CATCAGCTGATGAAATTCAAAAGGATAGTTTATTTTATTTACAAAGAAAATAGAGTATGGTTGGATTTGATAAAAATTAAATGGAAAAAAATCATGGATATTATTTTAAATTTAAAATTTAATTTAAAAAATTATGTGATTTTCTTATAGGTGAACATCTGGGCACTTTTAGACTCGCCAACTGTCAAGTTCTGCCCCTGACCAATGGGCATATAAGTAATTCTCAGGGGACAAACAGAATAAGAAACAAGTCTCGGCCGCAGTTTTACGGCCAGCAACTGTTAACGACCCATAAAGTGTGGAATAATCATCATAATCGGAATAGGAAACAATATCTAATCAACTTGTGGCCAGCAATAAAAGCATCTTGCTGAATACCTATGAATGGAAAGGGGAAGTCGCTGCTGCTAGAAGTATAAAAGCGGCACTAAATCATCAGCGCCGGTGATTTATGGTTATGCTTTTGTCATTATACGCGGCGAGTTGCTGTTATTTGCCGGAGAGAGGGGCTCGAAACGAATTTGTGTAATGAATCCATCTCGCGTGCAACAAATATATAATGTTTGTAAAAGCCGCCGACCATTATTTTTTAATCAAGCCGACGTCTTTTTTCTGGCCGCGTCCGCGCGTAATGACTCGCATCCGATTGCGCCGCGTCGTTGGACAAATGTTGCTTTTAAAATGTACTTTGCCGCTGTCACCTCCGACCCCTCGACTTCCGATTGCGTTCGCAAATTAATTTATTTGATTCTTGGCTGCAATTACGGACGGGAATTTAATATTTTTTATTGTTCTCTGACATCACTTTCAGTTGACATTGACGAATTGCATTTTACAATATTTTAACAATTCTTCACAGATGTGATTTCTTTTTAAAATAACTGCATTTCATTTATTTTAAACCTACAAATATTGGGATCAACGGTTAGAGTTATTATAAGATCACAAATTACAAATATTTGGAAATAAAAAATAATTATAAAATATTATAAAAAATTTTAATTTCAATTTTTAAATTAATCGAAAATAAGGATTAATTATTTTGTGCTTTTTTTATATATATATAAAAATAATAAAATCCGTTTTTTAAATGGTAATTTTTTTATATGGTTTAAATTTGCTCTTTAATTGAGATGAATGCATATTGATATTAATAATATTTTTCCAATAGCAGTAAATTACAATTGAATTAAATTCCGCTGATTGTTTTGATATGCGATAATGTGACACGAAGCAGGCGTTTTGACGTGAATAAAATTTCAATAATATACTGCTCTATTTCCATTAGCTTATCGCCGCTGAAAGCAACCCCGTCGTAATTCAATGTCCAGCCGGCAATAAATCTGAATTTAAACAGTCTCGCAAATTTATTTAGCCAAGTGTCACGTCGGCGCGCGGCAAATAATTTCCTGGCCATAAATTTCCGCACTGGCCGATTGAGACGCCGCTTGTGCGAAAAGGAGTCGCGGGCAGGGCGATAAATTTTTCCTCTGCCAGAGAAGCACCTGCGAGTCGAGGCGACAAATCACCCTTGCATCTCTCTCGCTCTAATTTACGGCCCGGCATGCATAAGTAATGAGGCGTCCCTTTATTGGACAATAAAACTAGCTGCAGTAAAACGACAGCGACGTGCGCATGCAACTTTTTATGTCGCCATGCGTAGAGCGAAGATGTTGCTTAATTACCTCTCTCTTCTTTAGTGCCGTCGTAGCCGGCAAGGATTTCAATGGTGCACCGACGACGACGACGACGACGACGACGAGTAGGGATCGTAAAAGAATGAGGCACGCGTTTTTATTAAAAGGGACACGCCAAAATTCTTTTTAAATGAAAGTGGGGCAATAAAAACAACAAAAAGGGGTTTTTAAAATGGCCAATGATTGCGTCTGGGATTACGTTCGAATGTCTGAATTCTCGCGTAAAAACGGCAAAGTGTAATTAAATGGCGACAATAAGTACAAGGGTGTTGGTGAAAAAAAAAGTGATGAAGACCACGCGTTAAGTTTTATGTTTACAGCATAAATCAAAAGCAACCCTTTCCTCTTTCTTATCTGCATATTATAATCCCGAATGAAGAGTGATAATCACAAAGTATAAAGAAATTTAAAAACTCTTTTATTTTATGTCAGCAGTAATAAAAAAGTTAATATTTAAATTTTTCATTACAGACTCTTTTAAAATTTCACTTAAACTTGCTGTTATTAAATATAAAGAAACTGATTAAATAAGAATAACAAAAATTTTCTTCTAAAGTAATAATCACAAAAGCTACCATTTCTCTAAATTAAAACGAAATTATATAAAATAAGTTTCGTAAATTTGAAGAATAAATAAATATCTATCTGTTCAGATGGTTTTATTTCATATTCTAAAGGAAACAATAAGAGAGGCGCAATTCTTCTGGAATAATTGTAGCTTTCAACTAGTTAATAAATCAGTCTCTTGTAGGCCGGCCGTCACTTCAAGTCCCCTCTTTACCTTCTCTCTCTCTGTAGTTTCTTGTATTTTTGCTATTACATTTTAATTCCAGCTCTCCGGCGTTAATTAATAAACGCGTGCGCTCTCCCTCCGTCATTCCTGTGCTGTGTGCGCGTGTATTATTCCTTCAAGCGCGAGAGACACTGTTAATGGGTGGAAGGAAGCGACGAGTTTGATGATCATTCTTGCGACCCCCACTGAGAGGGCAGGGGATTAATTAAAAATTCGACGCTGCTTTTCCGCGAGACGGAGCAATTGTGACGCGCGTCACAAGGCTATGGTCATCGCTCTTTCATTTTCGACACGACCTTAATCTAATTATTATACTCGGCGTGCAAAATTGGATTTTAACCGGTTCACAACGAGAGCACTGGAATTTCGGAGCCTTTGAAGTGCTGGGTCCGTTTCAGTTACACTTCAAGTGCGAATCTCATCCAACCAGAAAAAATATGTAACGTCCGGTTAATGAAATAATAATTAGTCTTTGTACTCCTCGCACATTTTAATATAGAACTGCGTTCTTTGAAATTATTCAGCCATCAAAGTTTTGTAATTAAAACTGATTGATTAAGGATGACTAATTAATATATATTGTTAAAAAATTAACTATTAAAACTAATATATTTCCTTATATTTTGTATCTTTTAAGCTTGTTGCACACTTATGGCGTTCCATCAATAAATACAAAAAAATAATAAACTTAATTTGTTTTTCTAAATTCTAATAGATTTAAATTAAATTCTAATTTATAGCATATTAAACATTAGGTAAATATTAAATTAAAATATGTTTTTTTTGTCTATAGGGATTCTTGTAAAAGCTTGAAATTTAAAAAAGGTACAAAATAAATTCTCTACATTTCATCAAATCACTCAGTGGCTCCGTTTCATCCATTTCCAACGCTGATCCTTATTAATGATTGCGGCTTAAAAATTGTCGCCAACATTAGAGGGGTTTGATTTATTTGCAGAGTGATTCAGCCATTCTTTAAATAGTCAATTAGCCGCCGACGAAAAACAGTGGCTCTTTTTATTTGTAGCGCGGCGTGCGTGTGCCGCGCGCGCATTGTTTCTCCCGCGGCCGCTGAAAGCAGTTTGTTGATTTAGCTGCGATTCATTAATAACGCTCATCTGCATAGGAACAGAGACGCTTTGCGGAAAAGCGACATTTCCAGCTCTGCGATTGTCACCCCTAATTAAAGTTACTTTTCTTTGATTATTAAATCCATCCTGGCAATCACTCAAAGGGGACAACCGAGTGCGAAAAACGCTTTGCATTTTCAGCCCTTGAAACGGAAAAGCTGACAAGTGAAAAAATTATAAATACCCTAAAGCCACGTTTTGTCGTTTCACCTGTGCCGACATAAATTTTCACACACCCAACTTTTGTTTCGCCAAATCCTAAAAACCGTTCTTCATGCTTTTCTTTTTCCACACAACATTGGTGGTGACTTTTTACAGATTTTTCATTTATTTTTCCCCTCGTGCGCTCCAAATCACCCTCTGAATTTGTTTATTTTTTGTATACGGGGCCAAATGAGACGCAATTGATAACCCACGCGCTTGTCACAAAGGCAAAGGGAAATAGAGTTGACTTTTTAACAAATCGGCTCGCTTCCTATGTATGGATGAGAGAGAATGGTAGGAACGCGCAAGGCTCATTACTCGCACGCGTTCTCATCAATCAGGCCCGCAACTGACCAGCCGCTCAAATCGCGTGTGAATAAAATATGGAACGGCGGCTAAATTAAGTGAAAGGACTGACCGCAAATGCTGTGCCGAGGGAGCATTCGAAAATTGACGGAAAAATTTACTATTAATGGAAATCGCTGCAGTTGTTGACGTTGACAGTTACAAATATTGAATTGTAAAAATGCACAAGTTTGTAAAAAAAAATTAATAATAATGATTATTAAACTCGATTTCTATAATTCAATATAGCACGTCGGTATATGACATATAACTGCGCATTATGATATTAAATTATATTAATTTGTAGAAATGAAAACATAATATGAAATTATAATGCAGTAATGATATTTTACATGGATACAAAATAATTATAGCTTACTTAATATTTCATTTTTAACACTTATCATTTCAGGAAAACAAGAAAATTTTGGAATAATAATGTTGCACATAATTAAATTTATGAGGGTAAAAATATATTGTAGACTTACAGTATTTTAATTTCCTAACGAATCTCAGAATAAATAAGAGGAATAATTTTCACATCTGTACAAAACTGCACTTTTTAATTAATATAATTTGATTTTCATTCTTTTTTTGAAGTTCCACTAAAATAAATGTGGTTGGACCAGCAAAATCATTGTTGTATAGTATAATTAACTCAAATTAATTTTTCTTATGACTAAATTTTGATTATTCTATTTGAAAAGTTCCACCTTCTCTTAAACATTGCTTATGCCCCTGACGCATACTTCAAACAGATTTGAACTGTAGGACCATTTTAATGCGATTAGATTGGGTTGCAATTTTTTTATAAAGTTAGATAAGGCCCGATTGAGACTACTTGAGTGTTAAAATTACGCCTTAATTTTTTAATACCTTGCTTTGACTTGTATTGAGAAGAATGTGAAATATTGTGAGATAATCGAATGCGCCTCGAAATTCACAAAATTCAGGTTTCGGCGGCCGTCATATAATACATCCAGGTAAGAATAATGATAATAAAACAAAAAACTTGAAATGATTGAAAACGTGCAATGTTTTGAAAAGATAATCATATGCAGATCATTTTTTCTTCTTGACATAAAAATGTGGAGATGATCACTGATCACCTGATTTCTCTAAATAATATCCAACTTTCTTTTGGTGCCGTTTTATTTTAAAATTCATTTTTTCAAATATAACTATTTGTTTCCTGCTCCTCTCTAATTTATTTGAAGTTTTCAGCACTAAATTTGATTGTTGATAATTAGCCGCGAATGAACATACTTTTTGCAGAATACTTCCAGTTTCTGCCAAAATTTTTGTTAATGTGATTATTTTAGACAGTTTCAGTAAATCCACGTAAAAACCTCTTAAAAATTAAAAAAGCCTTTTTAAATATATTCGGTTGTTTTTTTCTTTGGATGCTAACATAGCGGAATTGCGATTTCATAGGGATTATGAAAAACAGTAAAATCACTAAAATCATCCGCATTTTTGCATTTCCACTTTTTAATATATGACATTTTCTGAAAATATCATTGTATATGTTATTCCAAAAAATCGATCAAAGAATTTGGCAAAAATTTGCATGAAGTAAGATCTACTTCAATATTTAAAACGAAACTTGAATTTTCCAATTTAAAAAAAAAATGGCATCTTAAACTAATCAAATATTAATTAAAATTTTAATTTTTTTTAAACAGTTAAATCGTTATATCCCCTGCAACAACAAAGTTAGGCTTTCCGCTCAACATCAGACTACTGCTGGTTGTCTAACTTCGCCTATTTGTAATTTGTATTCTGATAGGCAAGCAAAAAACGCCGAGAAGCGAGAAAATAAAGTTTGTATTCCTTCAGTTTTTTGCTTGATAAATAGTGTTAGCAAACTTTTAATTGCCCTTTTTTAACCGCGAATAAATAGTATGACTTTTGATGAAATCATGAAATGCAGCGCTGCCGGAGAACGACGGGATCGCTGCACTTTGTAAGGTTGGCAGCGAAAGGAGGCGTCGGCCGCAGCCGCACTCGGCACTTCTCTCACGTCAACTGAAAAGTCACGCTGGGTGTCGAAACCGAAACATTTCACGGCTTTTGCGCATCTCCAAATTTGATTTCCAGTTTCAGAAGAGGAAGCTTCGAACTCTGCAAAAATGCCAGTTTTTAAAGGTAAAATTCAGCGCAACTCGGCTCAAAATAATGCGGCGAATTCCATTTTCGAGCCAACTGTAATTTAAAGCCGAGGATAAACAAACTGATTTTTTTCCAATTTAAACGTCTCAACGCTTATTGATTCCTTTCAAATTTCAGTCAAAGTCAAATGGGGCAAAAATACGTATTCAGACATCGAGCTGAACTCAGACGAAGATCCGCTGCTCTTCAAAGCACAGATTTTCGCCCTGACCGGCGTCCAACCTGACCGGCAAAAGGTCATGCTGAAGGGTGCGCAGCTGAAAGACGACGGCTGGGGCGACCTGCCCGTCAAGAATGTAAGGACGAAACCAAAATCCAACTCTAAAATTTTAAAACTTGATATTTCAGGGAGCTACGTTTTTAATGCTCGGAACGGCAGAGGAACTTGCTCTGGAGCCAGAGAAGAAGACTGTTTTCATGGAAGACTTGTCAGAGGCCGAGCTGAACACAAAGGTTTGTAATTCAAAATAAATCAAAGAAAGATTACAATTTAATTTGTCTTTTCAGCTGGACTTGCCAGCCGGCCTGGTGAATTTGGGCAACACTTGCTACATGAACGCAACTGTGCAGTGCCTGAAGACGGTGCCTGAACTGAAGAAGGCCCTGGTTGATTTGCGGCCCCAAGGCTCGAGTGGGATCGTGGACAGTTTGAGTGAAGTTTTCCGCTCCATGCAGACGGGCTCGTGTGTGCCTCCCTTGTTGCTGCTCGGAGCTCTGCACAGGGCCGTGCCCCGATTTGCTGAAAAAGGGCCCAACGGCGGTCTTTGCCAACAGGTACATCTTCCAAATACAAAATTAAAAGGTTTTTAAATTTTTTATTTGATAGGATGCAAGCGAGTGCTGGACAGAAATGGTCAGGCTGATGCAGAATGGCCTGCCAGCCGACAACACCACCAAACACAAGTAATTTTTCGATCAAAGATTTAGATACTTTCTAAAATTGTTTGACAAAAAGGTCTCTCATCGAAGAGTACATGGGTGGTCGGATGAGTGTGACCCTCGAGTGCACCGAAGCTGAAAGTGAGCCCCCAGTGATTTCGGTTGAAAATTTCTTGCACCTTAGCTGCTTCATCGGACAAGAAACAGGCCACATGAACTCTGGACTGAAAGCTGTAGTTTAAATTTTTTATTTTTAGAAAAGCATGAAATGATTTGATCGATTTTCAGAAAATCAAGGAGCAGATTTCAAAGATGTCGACAACACTGGGGCGTGACGCCGTTTTCACCAAGACAAGTCTGATCGACAGGCTACCGGCCTACTTGACTGTTCAGTTTGTTCGGTTCTACTACAAGGAGCGAGAAGCCGTCAACGCCAAGATCTTGAAGGATGTCAAGTTTCCGCTGCAGTTTGATGCGTGGGAACTGTGCTCGCCAAGACTGCAGGCCCTGATCGAACCGGCCAGGGCCAAATTCAAGGAGATCGAGGACAACAAGGTGGCCAATGCCCTCGAAGGCAAGGATGGAAAACCCAAAAGTAGCAAAGAACCAGAACCCATGGAGGTAACATGAAATCTTCCAAGAAAAAATCTCTAAATTTCTTTTGGAAAACAAATAACTACTTAATTTTGCAAAATTCGATTTTTAAATAAATTGTTTTTCATCAAATCTCTGTGCAGGTGGATAAAGAGTACGAAATAGAACCATTCTCCTTCCCCGATGACCCCGGCAGCAACAACTCTGGCTTTTACGAGCTGCAGGCAGTTCTCACCCACAGGGGCAGATCTTCCTCGAGTGGTCACTATGTGGCCTGGGTCAAGGGAGATGCACCCGACGTGTGGTACAAGTGTGATGACGACGTTGTCTCGCCTATCACGGACAAAGAAATTCTCAAGCTCTCCGGTGGAGGTAAATTATTATTGTTCATAGAGAGGTTTTGGTTTTTAAATAATTTTTTAATAACAGGTGATTGGCACGTGGCCTACATGCTGCTGTACGGGCCTCGAGTTTTGAAGGTTCCCAAGAAAACCTCTGACGAGACTAGTGAGAATTAATTTCTTGTTTTCTCTTAATCAAAGTGTTTTATACGTTAAATTATCATCTAATAAACATGCCCCAATTAAATGTTAAATTTAGTTTTTTGAAAAATGATCATAAGTCTAAAAGCAACAGTAAAAGTCTGTTTATTTTCCAACTGAAGTGTCTGCGATACTTAAATTACTGGAGGTTATAATGTCATGCGAAATTAGTCCATCATTGTAATTTGCAGCTATATTACTGATTTTCATAGAATTTTTAATTCTTTATGCCGTTAAAATTGATGAGTTTTTAGGTTTTAACATTCTTTCTAAACAATGCACTAAATTTTCCAGCAGAATTTTTGTGATAGCTCAAATATTACAAATTCTTCGAATATTAAACCCTCAAAACAAAATGTAAAAAATGTTGCACTCTTGTATGTAAAATTCTGCTGTTGCTGAGAGTTGTTAAAATTAATGAAAATTATTGTTTCGCTACTGTATCATAACAAGTCATTGTGGAAAAATTTCAATATTTGTTAAACAAATTATCTGTTTCAAACTCATCCTAATTTGTTTTGCAAATTTGTATTAAAAAATTTCATTTTAGACCTCTTCAAATCAATACCTGTTATTCTAGGTTTACCTAATTAGAACTGAACAAAATTTTCTAAACAGATCGAAAGCCGAGTTAATTGCTGTGATTGTCAGTAGGTTTTAAAACCAGCTCTGCAGATCGTGGGCTAAAATTTGCAAGGGTACATCCCACGCGCATCAAGTGTAGCGAATTTTCAGCCGAGTGCGAAATGTACTTATTTCCTCTGCACACGCAATCACAGTGAACGATAATTTTTTGCGTTTCTATCAGCCCATTTTTCACTATCATCGATCAGACCATTGAAACGAGGCAAGACCTCCCCGGAGACGCCAAAATCACTATTGAATGTGAGAATTTATTTATCGAGAAAGGAATACATTATTGCGAATGAGCGCGCGCAAGCTTGTCTCCAGTGCATTCAATTCCCCCTTGGCTTTCCAGTTTACATCGATACTCTCAACAAGCCTCAAACAAGTCAACGAAGTAGGTCAATTGAATGCAAAATAACAACGATTAACTCCCCAATCAATGCCAATGAGTACTTGTTTTTGCATTGAAAAAGGCAATCATTCCAAATACATCAGACCATTGTCATGGAGCGAGATCGATTCTCTGAAATGGTAAAAAAAACGACTCTTGATGAAAACGCATCAGGAGCAGAATCTCAAATATATGATGCTAATTTTTTTCAAAAGCATTATTGGAATTGGTAATTACTAATTGTCTGAAAACGCAGAGCAGAGATTTAAATTAATTCAATCAGGAAATGAAAATATGAAATTGGTCATTCTAAATTATTATTGTTGTTTATTTGTCACGTTGTTCGCATTCAATTTTTTTAAACAGTTTTTACTAGTTTGTCAAAAAAACCTCTTATCATTTTATTTAGTTTTTTTAGTCCATTTTACTTTGCTCCGATTCTCCTAGTATAAAATTTTGTAAGCTGTTCTTATCTCTCCTGGTAAACAATTATGTTGCATCACTGGAGTGAGTTTGAACAACAATCAAATGCGAGCCAACTAATGGGTCAAGTAATCTGGTTGGAGTCGCACGCAGAAGACGAATTGTAATGCACGGCGAGCAAATATATACAACGAGTGAATTCCCTCTTTGTGCACGGCGAGTAGTAAAGTAACCTACGTGTGTGTGTGCCTTGCTTGCGTCACTTTCCCTCGTGCAGCGCCAGGTCGGAAATCATGCGGTGTCAACAGCGTTCAGTTTATCCTTCAGGCCAGTCAGTCGCTCGCTCTCGTGCGATTTGCAGCGGGACGTGCTTTCGCAAGTTCAAAGGAGAGAGAGAGATCGTTGCAAAAATCAGCTGGCCGTGAAGCACGATGCTTATACCTGAGCTGTGATCTTTGCCAATAGTAAGTTTTTTTTATTTCTAAAAATACAATAAAAATTTCTTTTTTGTTTTAGTTTTAAAACGAGAGATTTGATTTTAGTTGAAATTGCATCAAAATTCATGCACTTTCAGTTAATATAAGAATAATTAGAAACAATAACATCTCAAGGTCTCATAATAATAAATCATTGTATATTTAAAGAAATTAAATTCCTCTTGAAATATTTTTTTGATTTTGAAATAATCAAGTTTTAATTTATTACCAACCGAGAGCTTTCAATTAAAAGTTTTATTAATTTTGAGCCCCAAATACGCACATTTAATCTCTAAAAGGGTTAATTTTATGATCAATATGTGGCCAAATATTAAATATTTGTACTACAAAATAAAATGAATTCCGATTGGATTGGGAAATTAATGGTAGCTATTTAGCTACAGTTATTGGAAATTGTACATGTTGAACTCCTTCAAGCAAGATATAAATACGTGCGCATATTACACAATCTACAATTTATAATGGCGACTGTAAAAGAATTGTGAACATATTTTTTTCCCACGTAGGCAGCGGAAAATCTAGAAAGATTAAATTTCCTGATAATATCGCAATTTTTCCTCTGTGAACGAGAAAGTTGTAGCAAGTAAGTTGGCTGGAAATCGCCTACACATATATTTTTATTTTATTTTGCAACGCCAAGTTTGTTCCACTTGAATCTGAAGCGCCGGATGTGCTTTTCCCAGCTCTTGTTTAATTTGCCCCCTTTTCCGGCGGTCCAATAAATGAGCCTCTGAAAATACGAAATGACGTCGACAGTTATTGTTATTTTTACAGCGCCACGTTTCCCTCAAAATATTAAATAAATGAAAAATATGCGTCATAAATCTAAAGCTTGCAACCCCTTTGTCCGCAGCAAAAAGATTTTTGCGTTCGGAATTAATTTTAATCGCTGTTAATTAAAACTGTGTAGGCCTTTTGAGCTGCGCCTTTGAAACGCGTGCTCGTCTTTTCGGGGCAAATCCCGGCTCGTCTCTCGGGGCGCTGCATCTGCATGCGTGCGAATAGCTGCAGCTCGGGCACAGCAGGGGTGCCGCCCGTGCAAATAGTTGTTGCGAAAGCACCCCTAGCTGAATGCCGACGGTGCTGCGTCGGAGACGGATTAATTGGAATTAGAAGAGAGTGCGGCCGTTATTTGTTTGCCGTTTTGTTCTCCGTCCGCATTGAATATAAGAGCCAAAGAGCCGCGCTGCTTTGCACCCGCGCATAATTTCACTCTCGCGGCGCAAATGCTACAAACATTTAATAAATTCGAAACGAAAAATCAATAATTTAATAACACGCGCTCGTCCCTCGTGAAATAGGGCATCGCGTCGGATTTGCAATTTCACGCGTGTGAATTTTATGACACAATAAGTTCATGGTGCGCAGCAGCGTCTGATTTCGCGCCCTCCGATCAATCTGTACAGGATTTATCTTTATCGCGCGCGGCGAGTGCTGGGAAAAATTCGCATTTTTTCCACAACTGCCGCCGGCCGACGCACATGCCGGAGAGAAACGCTCTCGTCGTCCCACGCGCGCCCGTTTATGCCGCTCCGCATGTGGCTCACAATGAGGACGCTGCGATTTATGATGCAGCCGATCAAAAAGGGCCAAAATACAAAAGAGCCCTGCCGCTTTGTAAATAATTTTTGATGAAAATTTGCTCTGCGAGAATAAAAAAAAACTGCCAGCTGAGCGGGTTTAACTTTGAAGTGAGAGAGAGCACTCTCGGGCTGTTGAATTTTCACTCTATAGCTTTTTTTAGGAAAATGTACTTCAAGGCAAAAAGTATCAAGTTAATTTAAAAGAAAAACACGCTTTTTAAATAAGGATGAGAGAGCTCTAAATTTTAACTTGTGATGAAATGGAGAGGAAAACAACCACGCTTGCTTGAACTAAACATCAACTTAGGAAAAATAATTAGGATTCGAATGAAGCAAAAATCTAAACTTAGATTTTTCACTTCCTTTTTTTCAAATCATTTAATTTGGAATACAAAAAAGTCTGTTAAATTTGTTTCAAATATGATCAAGAATGTCTCAAATTTAACAAATTTGAATCTTATTCATTTTTTCATTGCTAGAGTTTTGTAGGAAAAAAAATATTAACTACCACGATATTTGTTTGCAGAGATAAATTAATCACAAGTGCTTAAAATGTAACTAAATTTTCTCAGAAAATAGGAAAATGCAAAAACCACACTTCAATGAAACTTCTCTCCAAATTTTATGGTTCCCAAATTTTCTGGTGCCAAATCAGTTGAAGGGTTATTGGTTATTAAGGAATATATTAGTGGATCACACACCTTTGCCGAGAAATTTTTGTCAAAGTTTAAATGCGATCTAACGTTTTTGTGAAAATTTTACATAAGCGAGTGAGATGTTAAAACTTGAAATGCGTTTTGCTCTTATTCTTGTAGTCTACACTATTAGTTTGTATGGAAGATTTAGCGGCCCTGAGGTGGTTTTTATCCTCATTAAATTTTAATAGTAAATGAAAATAATAACAATATTTTTGTTTTTAAAGGCAAAGTTAGAAATTAATTATTGATTTCCAGACTTTTTATGTAATTATTTAATTAAACTGCTATTCTTTCGCAACAGTTTATTTTTTGTTGCTGTAAATGTATGAACATGTTTAATATTATAATTAAAAAAGTATAATAAACTCTTGATTATAACCACATAATGCTACTTATTATGTAGATATCTATGGGATCTCGATATCTATTACTAAATATTTCAAAAAATGTTGTTATTTTATAAAATCATTGAAATCCCATGGAGTCATTTTGTCAAGAGATTCTTCTAATAGTAAATGATTTCACATCATTTAATGCATTATTCAGCGTAGTAATCTTGGCACATGCTATATTGTAATTGCTTCAGGGAGATACTTGTTACTTCAGTTTTCTCAACTTGGAGAGGGAGAAGGGTCAGGAGGGTGGCGAGAAAGTAGTACCCAACAAGAAACTGTAGATTTTATCTTGCCGCAGTATTTTAATTGATAGTTCATAAACATAAACCAAAAGAGCTGCGCGCTGGTAATAAATCCAAAAATAATAATGCCCGCGCCGAGGCTGTTGAGAAATTTTCGCGATGAGCCATAAATCAAAATGTGCGAAAATTATATGTGCGGCGTAACGCGTTGTTTCCAAAAGCCAGGTGCAGTCCTTAAGCTCGGGTGTCTGCGCCGCCGACTTGGTTCATAGATACGCCGGCCGGCAATGAGAATTGACCTAGATCGTGTACCTCTCTGCGTTTGTCATGCTCAGGTGTGTAATTTAATTCATCAAGGTTGGCGCTTTGCTGGATAATACGCCGCCGAGACTGACTTTGACTCTCGCACAATCTGCCCATAGCTCACGAGCTGAGGTCAGCGAATTTTGGCCGGGGCCTCTCCTTCATCCATTGTCTTATTCGTCTGAACGGCATCTTGCGTGCGTGTGTCTTTTCGCTCCTTCATCTGCTTGGCGGAATGGATTTTTTTACTTTACTTGTGAAAATTTTCCGCTCCGCTCGGCCGTCGGTGCTCGGCGGCTGAAATTTTTGTTCATTAAGCGCGAGCACTTAACTTTTCCTCCTTTCCGCGTGCTGGCATTTTATTAAACTTGCACGCAAACATATATACGCGCGAAATTTTGTGTGTGTTGTTCAGCACACATGTTCTATGTCTATACGTGTAACAGCAGCCGTGGCGGTAATAAAACGACGACAATGGAGCAGTAATCATTTTCTAATGCGCCGAATCCGGTGCCGTCATGGAAATATGATGATCACCGATGAACAGATATTAAATTTCGCAGCCACTGACAATGAGTGCCACTGGGAATTGGGCAAGCTTTGTGCGAAACAAATCACAATTAAGCTCGGTTCATAAAAAGGTGAAGTTAAATTCATTGTTGAATTATATTTAAAGAACATTTTAATAAAATAAAATGTACAAGTATATTTTCATTTTCAAGGGTTTCATTATTATTGTTGCTTATAACATCACATTGTTTACATTTTGATTGTTGGAATCAATTTGTTTGGATTGGACAAAACGGCACTACCACTAGAAAGAAATTTTGCTAAAATTTTCAAGAGTAACATTATTTCTGAAAATTTTGTCACTCTAGGTTATAATTTTTTTTTTAAGTCATATATTTTTCATCCCATTTAATAATTAATTAATATCATATTTTACTTCAACGATTATTAAAATTTATATAAATACATCTTAATTTGTTACATTTTCTTACCTTCAAACAAAGGCAGAAAGTTGACATTTGCAACAACAAAAAACTACTTATTTCTGTTTCCTGTGATGATGTGCGTTTTAGCAGACCTCTGCTGGTTGTGATACCCTTTCTGCCCATTTTACCAATTCAATTTTTTCATGTATGACTTGCGTAGAATAAACAACAATATATGTCTTTAAATTATTAGCAAATTCCAAAATGATGATTAAATAGTTTTCCAACCATCCAGAAACATTGGATTTAATTACAGCTCAGTCATCCTATCCTAATTCTTTCTGGTTTATTATAGAGAAAATTTATAAAAATGGTAAATTTTATTAAAAATAAACTGTTATTTGGCTATGTTTATGTTTGAATTATTTAAAATTTAAAATTCATTCGAACAACTTTTCCTTTCCAAACGCGCAGGTTTCATTTGTTTCATTCATACATTTCCTTAAAAGGAGTCAACTTTTCCGGCATTGCAAAGTTTTTGACAAGTGTGAAACTTTTTAAACATTTTTTACAAAAACCAACACTCATTTCTAACTTTTACGAGTTAGTTAATTACATGCTTAATAAAAATGAAATAAAATTTGAATTTCTTGAATATATTTGATCTATTTTTGCCATTTTTTTTTTAATTCTAAAATCTTACAACCGTTCCACATTTGAAAGAGTAATCTTTTTTTATTATTCCACCAAAATGAATAAAAAAATGATTTTTTTAAAGCCAGCTGAAAATGCAAAATCCCCTCGGCAGCTTCGCACCCTCGACGACGCCCGGAGATGGATGTCCCTTGTGCAATTAATCATTCGGCCCGTTTGATATTGTTCGCGCAGAACCTTTTTCTGCCGCGCCGACCTGATACGCACTCACGAGAATAGAAAGGGCTCGCACTCACACACACACATAACAATAATAAATCAACAAAGCGATTTCCTGCTCGATTCGCCTTATCGCACTCTCCACGGCAGAAAACAAAATACTGTACATATTACGACGGCACTCAAATTCGCATTTGCTGCGTCCGCCGCCTAAATGCTTGCAACATACGAACCCCCTCTAGTGCCAACAACTACCCCCCGTTTTCGCACGCTGCTTTTGATTGATCTCAGCCCCAGGGAGACCCTAATTGTCCCTAAATTATTTGCCCTAAAATATTTATCTCATTTTCCCTAAATTTCATTTCACCTAAAAAATTTACTTAAAAAAAATGCTGTCCCCAAATGTCCCACGAATGCAAACAAATCTTAGCTCTTTAGTTTCATAAGGAAGAATGCGTATGAAATTGATTAGTATATTAAATGTATAAAACTGACGAGTAATATTTATATTCCGTTCATAATAGGCTCCACATTACAAATAGCTTTCACTATAGTTTTCAAGAATTTGCAGGTCGAAAAGCCCCACCCTGAATTGTGTAGTAATTTATTGGTACAATTAACATTGATTCATAAATTTTCTTCAAATTTTAAGGAAAATATTTTAGGCGGAATGAAAAAAAATTAGGGGAAGTTTTTTTAGGGGCTCTGAATTTAGAGGAAATGAAGAAATTAGTTTTAGGGGAAATAAATTTATGCACAATAACGGCGACTCCAGCAGCCCCAAAATACACATTCAGCCAAGTTTTGACGTCATTGGTTGGTTGGTTGGTCGATTCAGGGCCCACCGGTTGGGCTTCGGGGCCCATTTACTCCACACAACAATTGCAAACCCAATCAGTGAAATCTAATTAGCACCGAGTTGTAAATCCACTACTTGCTCCATTTAGTCGCAATTAAAACCAAAAGCTGTTTCGCCCTCGGGCCGTTTGCGTTTCTCGCCGCGCGCGATGTGCCAATCAATTGGCCATTATATTTTGCGATTTGTTTGCGAGCGCCGCCTAAATTGGCCACACGAATAAACACACAATCTGTGGTGTTGCAGACTGCCGAGGAAAAAAGCACGAGTAGAAACACACAATGCAGCAACTCATCCAGCAGCCAGCAAAACAGCCGAATCCTGTCGCTGGTCTGCTCAACGTCAAGGTCCCTGCTCTCGGCAAAAAGAGCCGCCTCGCCAACTGGAAGGTACGTTGCAAAATTTAATCGCCATGCCTAATTTGGATCCAATCAATACCGAGTTTTTTTTTACCGATCAGCAGGCATATATGAAGTTGTGTATTTTAATCGAGGTTTTCCTATAAATATGTGCAAATTGCAGGTATGGAGGTCGTTCTGGGTGACGGCGAAACGAGCGCGGTGCCCAAAGGGTTTGCGAGGAGTGCAGCTGAGTTTGGCGCCGCTAAAAGACATGCACTTGGAAGAGCCCGAGGGCAAAGTCAGCAAGGTTTTCATCCCCTGCGGCAGTTGCATAAAAAGGACTTCGTCGAGGTAAAATATTATAAAGTCGATTTTTTAAGGTTTTAACTTAAAGTAAAAGTCAGTTTTATCCTCGTTGAAAAGTTTTGTTTGGTGAAAAACGAAACGACTCCTCAATAAACAAAACTTTTCAACGAGGATAAGCCTGACGATTTGTTTTTCACGAACATTTCCTTAAGTGCTCATATCTTTCCTAAATTGAAAGCTCTTAACGTTGTTTTTCCTTTACTGATAATGCTCTGTTAAAAGCAGGAATTTTAGTTTTACTATAAAACAAAACTTGAAATACGTTGATGAAAAGTAAAACTGATTGTGAGTAAAACTAAAAGTTTACCGCGACAAATGGAAGTTTAATATTTTGTTTTATAGTTGGAATCCTGCAAAAAAAAATTAAATTATTATTAAGTTTACAAATTAACGCGTGTCTTATAATCTTTTGAAAACGAATGTCAAGTTGGAGATACAATGGATTTTTGATTAATAAAATGTCGAACAGAAAATATTCCATAAATAGCATATTTTTTCAATTTCACTCGGAGCTTTTTGCACAATTTGCGTTAAAATTAAATGACGCGCAATATTAATTGAAGTCTTACTTTCTTTCCATTCAAATTAGTTTCAGCACAAAAATAAGACCAATTTTTATCTTTCCAGGAACAAAAGCTACGTCTTTGCAATTTTCCCATCAGCCAGTTCCTCCGGACCCGCCCTGATGTACCTGGCCGGAAGGTCGGAGAGCGAGTCTGAGCGGTGGATGCGCGACATCAACAAATTTCTCGACCCCAACTTCATAACAGGTACGAGCACGTTTGAAAAATTCATAACCCTTTATGGAACAGCACAGGCGGTGCATGAACACGCATTAAGCAGCCGCACCTTGATGAATAAATCGCACCTGCAACACACATTTATATCGGTCCGCAGAAATCGATGACGTGGCGCAGTTCGAAGTGACTGCCCTGCCGTGCGCCCTGAACGCGGCCGTCGGCATCTCAGGGATGGTGGGACTGCTGGGGCTGCGACCCTCCGGACTGGCGTTGCGGACGCAGTCGGCCGAGGGCGAGACCAAGCTGGGCCACCTGCTGGGCGCGTGGGGCTGGAGGCAAATCGATCACGCGCGGTGTCGTCTGGCCGCGGCGGCCCTGCCCGAGGACGACGGCAAGATCTGTGTCATCAGGACGACCAGGTACAAAAAACGATCTGCTGCAAATCGGCTCCTCATTTGAATTTCATTCGCTTGCCAAGTTTGTTTGAGAGTTAAAGACCCTGATGGCTTTAGCGGTTGGGCAGTTAACCTGGAAAGCGGCGGTTCTTTATGTGAAACTGTGGCGCGGCGCACGTGTGTTGGCCGCACCCGCGCCTCTCCAGCTCGTTTTTCGCTTACATTTAAGGCATATTTATAGTTTTTGGTGTGCGAGCCACACAATAATGCACTCACGGCTACTGATATTGACTGAAATAGCTATCTTGTTCAGTGGTGCTCGGCGAATTGCCAATAACCTACATTTGGTAATTACACACACACAGTCTCTGTACTATATGCAGTTGATATTTTCATATAAATTTGTTGCTCCAAGTAATAATTCAAAGTGCCACACACTCGAAATGCCTACTCCAAATTGCGCATTGTTGTGTCTGAATCAATGTGCGCCGCGTTAGTTGCTCCGCTCGGCACCAGCACACATGAATAAGTTTTTAACTTTATGTGCCCGTCCGTCCGCTCTATTTGAAAAATAAACGTATGCTCGCTCTTTCCCGCTGCTTTATTTTACTCGCGATTTAAATATTTGCTCGAGCGATCATGATGTCCGTTTTTTGTTCCATCTTTAAATTATTGTGGCAATTCGCGTGTCTCATTATTAACTCAGTCTGTTTCCGAATGGTGCCGGCGACATGACCCTCTTCTGCGCCCGAGGCCGGCATTTGGTCAAGGCGTTGCAGACCAAGACCGCCTCGCTGCTGTCCACCCTGCAAAGCGACGCCGGAAAACGGGTGCGCCGCGTCAGCCGCAGCGAGGGCGACCTGCGATTCGCGTTCGCCCTCATGCACAAAAACGCAGAGGCCGATTCCGCGACCGCCAAAACCAAAAAGTGGATTGAAAAGGTCAACGCTGAGAGCCAACCTGCGTCGATGCCTGCAGGAAATCCTGTAAGAAAATTAACGCTTCATTATTATTTAATAATTTTATTAAACATTTAAAATTGATTCGCCGTTATTTGTCAGAAGACAGTCTTCGGCATTGATCAGAAAATTTTTATCAGAAATATCGTGTTAAAAAATTTGAAAAATAACAATATCAATAATGTCGGAAATTTATTTATTTTTGTATTCGTGTTTTGTAAAGGTCGTGTAAACGTAAAATTTTAAAATTATGAAAGCTAATTGTGATCATTTTATTTTCCATGACGAAAATCACAAAAAAGGTGGCTTTTCATTTAAAGAAGACAAAAATATCTTCTTATGTCTTTTTTTCTGATAAAAAGGGGTTCATCATTTTTTTTTTTTTTTTTTATAATTTCTCAAATTACAAATGTGTATTTTGATTTTTCAGTACTTGGACAACATTATTTCTTTAAACCGTGTGAGATGCAATTCTGATCGGAATCCGTGCGATCAGGGCACTCCCACCAGTGGCATCACCAGTCTCTCAGGATCACCATCCGATGGCGGAATATCTGAGGACGATTTGCAAGACTTTGATGAGCCAAATCCTGATGACTTGTAATGTCAATTAGCAAATATTTTTATAATAATCATTTAAATATAATTTATAAAAATTTTAATAATATTTTTTGTTTATATAATTTATTTTTATTTACACTTGGATTAAATTTTAAATTTAATTATAATTTATAAAAAATAATATTTTATAAAATCAATTTTTTTTTTAAATCTTCTAGTCATTATTAATTTACACAATATGTAGATTATAATTTTAATTTAACTAATTTATTTATGGTCTGAATCTAATCTTTGTTTTACATTTCCTGATTTTTAATTGCATGCTGAGGACCGCATTTTTTTTTTAAATTCTTCTTAAAGTAAATAACCAGCTATAGAGATGCTTCATTTCGCTCCTTTGGTCTCTAATAATGGGTCGCCAATAACCGATTAACTATTCTTTGTAAATTCAGAAATATATAAATTTTGAATTCTCTCTCGCACACAGTTTGGATCAAAGACGGATCTCCAATGTTTCGACGGCCTCGGGCGTGTACGAGACAATTGAAGACGACATGGAAGACAGAGGGCCAGCGAGGGTCGATGAGCCGCCCCCTCTACCCCCGAGGGAGTACAAATTGTACGCTAGAAGAAGACCTGGGGGACTGCATGCCTTTCTTCGACTCCATAGGTAAACCAATTGGCCACTTACATTTTTCCTCGGACCGGCCTTTTCTAAATTCCTCCTTTTTTTTCAGACTTTGGAGGAGCAATTCTGAAAATCACGTCGTCGCTCACTCGGAAGGCGAAGAGGACGCGGCGGGTTCTTCGGATGTGATTTACTCCGAGTTGAGTGACCCGCCCGAGAGCCCAGGCAGCTGCCCCGACTCGGAGCAAGACCTGAAGGTGAGCAACCTGCAGCACTCGTCCTCCTGCTCCAACCTGCCGCAGCAGCGCCCTGAGGAGGCCCTCGAAGAGTCCATCTACCTGTCCATGAACGCTTGCCAGCCGCGCAAACGCGTGAGCAGCGAGTCTGCGACTTTCCTGTCACGCAGGAAGGACCAGAAAATCGTCGGCGGCGACGTCACCTCCAATTCGCACGACAACATTTACGTGACCATGAACATTATCGACAGAAAGCAGTCGCTCACAAGCGAGATTTACGCGCTCGTGACTGGTATAGAACCATCTGCGAATAAAACGAGCGGCCCATGATGAGATGTGCCGGGACTTTTCCACTGTTTAATTGCACAGAATTGCTCACATCAATAATGGAGGACTCTGTGTTGAAAAAAGACTGTTAAGTGCTTTTTGCACAAAAATAACGTGCAGCAGGGTTAAATTTCATGCAATTGTATACCATAATTAAAGCAATGTTTTATTTTCTCGCAATTTTTTTCTCTTCGCGTTAGGAAAATGCAATCCCAGCGGCTGTAGCTGCCGCCAAATTAGCGCAATGAGTTAATTTTGAGAAAGATTTTACAGCTCTTTCGACGCTATATTGCGTGGGGATGATACGCCTGCCGGGATAGACAAGAGTATAATAAAACTGCTCTCTGCACAGCATCTCGGCTGCCAACCAACTTTATTCAATCGCTCTCTTGTTCATCATAAAACTGTGCAAACGCTCTGTCCAAATTTAACATTTACAACAATTTTAAACAATATGGCTTTAAAAAATTTCATCTTGCGACGGAGTCTCGCAGGTGCTCGGTCTCAGATGTCGATGTCCATTCACAAATCTTGATTAAAATCAGACAAGAATTGCGTTTGGACAATCAATGCCTGAAACTCAAGGTAGAAGTTCGTCGGACGTTCTCTCTGCGTGGTGCGTGATAGAACAATCGATTAAGTCGGGAGGAAAGGCAGGAAGGGAATTTAAAATAGCATTTTTTTTATTTAATCAATAGCTGGCACGGCTTCGGAAGCGATAGAGAAAAGTGCCAAAATTATCCGCCTTTACTGCGCGACCTTACGTTAAACGGCTCGTTTACTTTTGGTCACCAATTTGCTCTCAACTTGCTTGTTTTCCGGCGCTAAGCCGAACAGATCCCCTTTTACGTAATTTGTGTCTCGAGAAGGCGAGATGATGGAGAATTATTGTTCCCTATTATTCCTGGCTGCCATTATGCGGATATGCCATTATTTTAAACTTACAACGCCAGGCGTTCTCTCTCGCGCGCGCCCGTTCGCTCGCTCGCTGTGGAGAGAGCGAAAAAACGCATCACAGCGTAACTTACGGAAAATGAGATGACTCCAGTTAACCGGCGAGTAACGTATCGATCGGCGGCTATGCCTTTGCCCGCTGCTTGCAAACAACTACACAACTCGACGAGCCGGCAACCGCGTGTGTAGTCCGTTTGACACTACAGGGACCGGACGCGAGATTATGGTGATTGGAGTTCCCAAAGCGCACCACAAAATCTGAGGGTGCTTTTACCCTTAACCTTTTACCATCACGCAATCTTCTTCGTCGAGCGGAAAGATCAAATAAAAACGTCAAATACTTTAAAACGGCTCTCAACTTTTAACAAAGATAATTTATAAATTATTATTTCCACAGAGTACGAAAAAATCTCTCGGGACAAAACGAAAAGGAAAACTCGAGTTAAAGAGCTGCTTTTTAGCTTTAAGTACAAGTTAAATATTCAGGCGCGATCCCCTTAAAACGTTCCCATTGTGCCTGCTCTCTATGTACATATCGGTCTTTGAAGTCGAGGAATGCACGCGGCGCTCACAGCTCAGGCGCCATCGTAGGTGCAGGAATGCGCCTTTAACACAATTAACTTGCAAATTTAGTCCACGCTCTAAACGTTTCCGATTCTTTACTTTTGTGTGCGCGCCTGGCAAATATTTTGACTGCGGCCACTTGGCAGAGAAATTCCCTCCGCCGGCGAAATCTTTACACAATTAATTTTTCTTTGTTCCATCCAGCGCCTCAGAGCAAAAGGGAATAGCTCATATAAGGCGAAAGAATATATTCTCACCACGTGTATTGCCCCCATGGCGACTCTTTGATCTCAACGAATTCTTGCTTTCGCCCGCCCATGTGCTGACGATCGCAATTTATATCTTGCCTCGGCTATCAATTTTTCTCTGCGAGCGCAGCAGCTTCTTTTTGCCGGACTTGCAACCTTATATATATGAATTCTTCCTAATACGTCGAGACCGCCCCAAACCAGATACAAAACACGAACGCAGACAATGAAATTTTATTTCCTGCTGATAACGCACACACACGATTTCAAATTTTATGCAAAACAGATTCATTTCGGCCGAGAGCTGGGGAGATGAATAATAATTAAACTTTATTAACACCCTCCGCGCACGCATTTGTACGAGGACAATTTTACAGTGGATATTAACTTGGATTAGCGAAGTCTTACACATTCCATTTTCAACCGCTCCTCTTCCTTCCGAGAGCGGCGGCGAAGGCCATTGTGCTCGGCACTTTTCTAGCCCCAGCCTCCATTTCCAGAGCAGAGAACCGGCCATAAGCCTACCGACGACCCACGAAGGGCGAAACGCAGGAAATTATAAGTAGGTCGCTTGGACCCTTCTTTCGCAACGAAAGAAAAAAAGAAGCGCCGAAATATTGAAATATATATATAAACGCGGAGGGTGAAAAAAAAAAGAAAGGATGAAATCAAGCAAAACGTATTTTATCCCCCGGCTGGAGAAGAAGTGCAGTCGCAGCTTATTTGCGAAAAAGAAAGAAAGAAAGAAAGAAGGAAGGAAGGAAGCATAGGCATCAGGCCGCCGCGGCAAAATGTGACTCTTCTCCGTGTCCTCTAATGTATTGATTTATTTTCCCGAGTTGTTCATCTTCAAATCTGTTCGGCGAAATCACTCCCGTCCCCCGGCCGGACTCGCGAAGAGGCAACACAAGCGTTCCTCAACACGATTCGGCACCAGTATCGATCCCGCTCCCGCTCTCTGTCTCTCTCATTTCTGTCAGTTTTCCGGCTTAATTGTTGTGCAGTTGTCGATTCGAGGAGCTGCACCTCGCCGTGAAAAAGCACCGGCGGGGTGAGAAAAGGGAGCGAGCGTGGACGGAGGCGCCGCGTGCGAAATGTGCATCGAGCGAAACTCACCTTTGCTGCGGTCCACTCTCCAAAGTGCAGCCTTTGGGGGAGTGTAGGCGGAGGCGGCGCGGCCGTGCCGGCGGTGCGACGACGCCACGGCGGCTGCTCGGCAACTGCTGACGGAGTCAGCATCCAGAGGTCGAGCACACTGCCACCCCTGCCACCCCCTTGCCACCCCTGCGCGTTCTCCAGCAGCAGCAGCAGCAGCGGAGCAGCTCGTTCGGCGCGCGCTCTCTCGTTGGCTCCTCTCTCTCTCTCTCTCTCTTACTCTCTCTCCGCCACTATAGCCAGGGCGAAAAACTGGCACTCATTTCATACATTGTGTGTATATTCGGCGCCGCTTTTGCTTTTCGTAATCGTGCTTATCGTCATTATCATTCGGCTCACACGTCTTATGTTCCACCGTGAAATAATAAAACTTAACTTTTCATCATCCGCCGCCGCCGCTGCCTCTTTCACTCTCTTTCTCTCATTATGTTATTCGCTCCATTTCCGTCCCTGCTCTTTTATCTCTTCCATGGTTTCTTTCTGGGGTGAAATTTAAATAATTGATATGGCAGTGATATAGGCCCGAGGAATCTAGGGACGTGCGTTAAAGGAAGCGATCCCGGAGATATACACCACACTCGCGGCTCGTAACGCATGATTAAACTTGCGATTAGACTCTGCTGTGGGATGTTCAAAACTGAATTGCTCTCTCGCACCTGAATAATTGCGATGAGTGTGTTTCCGGAAAACGAGCCCGAGCCCCAAGAGAGCCCTGCTTTGTTTAAGCCGAGGACGACGCTTTGCATATTTTAAATTAAATTTGGGGGAAAATCACCCAAAAGATAAAGAATCCTCTTTGTTTCCCGCGCTCAAACGCTCCAAACTCGGAACGAAACGGAAATCAGTTCACTAATTGTATTGAAACGAAATTTTGAAAAGAAATCTTCTGAAAGTTAAATTTAAATTAGGATTTCCATTCACCAATTGATGAAAGCATAAAAATGTATTAAAAAAATATATATATAAACTATTTTGAATTTTTTGTTTGTTGAAAATGAGATAAATTCAAAATTTTCATTAAAAGCCTTTTATTTAAGATAAAAATTATTATTATTATTAAAAATTATTTCCGTGTTTTTCTTTTTTAGTTGAAAAGTTATAAACATTATAAATAATTATTGAAATTGTTAGCAGCAGTTTAACAGTAAATTTCAAGTGATATATAAGAGTAAAAACTACATAATAATTTACTAAAAAAGTTTATGGGCGGACAAAAGTTTAATTTTTAGCAGTCCAATTACTCCAGGAATTCTCCGGGCTCGGCGCCGAGTGAGTTAACTACTGCCATAAGTTGCGGGCGCAGAGTGAAATGGGTGCAGCGCGAAATAAGTCTGGTCGTCCTTTACAAGAAAAGGGTTATCCTGGGGCAACCAACCGACTGTTTAAATTGAAGGGCGTAATCTCGCGAAGGGAACTGCCCAGCCAGCCGCAAGTATAATTGGAATTTATAAAGCAGATTAGTGTATCCGCAGTTACGCACGTGTGTCCAAATAAATCTTCCTGAGAGCATCGATCTTTCGTGTCTCTGCGCGTGCACGGCAACGCGATTAAAATATTCAGATTTCTGGAATCGCCGCGGGAAATAAAGCGGCGGCGAAAATTCTCGGCGCGCGCGATTATCGGAGCAGCCGGGAAAATTAGAAAGGCCCCGAAGAGGTAGACGCGGGAGCCTTTTTCGCAACATGTCGGCCGGAAAAGTTGAAAGTTTTGTTGGTCGCGCAGGGGCTGTGAAAATATAAGAAGCGTCGCCAGCTTTTCTCGGACCAGCATGGCCAGATTGCGCTGTCCATTCATTACAATAATAAAACGAGAGCATACGAAGGGAAACTTTTTTACAATTCGGCGTCCGCCGCGCCGGAGCTGGAAGTGGTGTGCGCTGCAATCCCCCAGCATTTATGTTAACTAGCCTCCCCCAGCCCCCTGCACCGTCCAAGCACGCCACCACAAAGCACAGTTGCGGGGGAACAAAGGCATCAATAAACTGACCTCATCGCACACTACTACATACTCTGCACGTCCTGAGAGAGAGAGAGAGAGCAAATTCACGCCGGCCGTTTTCAAACACCAGGCATTGTTCAATTAAAACGAACGATTTCTTTCCGACAATCGGAGCGAAAGAGAGCAAGCGAATTCATTTCCATTTCATCAAGTCAAGTGATCCTCAAAACTTCGCAATGGCGCCGCCGCCGTCGCCGTGTGCCTTCCTACAATTAATAAAGTTTATATTCGTCGGATTCGCACTCAGCGCACACTTGAAATTTTTAATTGCCCTCGTAACCGATTATTAGACTTGCAAATTTTGCCACTCCGGAGCCAAAAATTGATTTTGTTTTTTGTTGGTGACCTGCCAGATTTGGTCACTTTGCAGACAATTCCACCAATTTAAGTTTGAAAATATTATCATTTTCTTTTTCAAATCCTGGCAAATTGTTTTAAATAATAAAAAGTGTTTTCGCTATTTAGAAATTTTCAATTAAAGATATTCCAATGAAAGTTTGTGCAGTTTTATTTTTTATTTTTTTTTTTATTTTGCATATTATTATATGTTTGTGTTTTAATTAAATAGCTCTAGCGATGATTTTTGTGTGTGTTTAAACAAACAACAGAAAATAAAATGATTATATTAATTATGAATGCTCTAATGATAATTAGCACGTGGACTAGTTTTAGTTTGGCAAGTCTCTGCATTTGCTATTATGTTTTGTTGCAACCCTATTGTGCGCTGGCAACCCTCTGGTGTACGCGCGTCGCCTGATTTATAGACGGGTCAAGAGGAATGGAATATTCGGTCAACCCCGCCCAACATTTGCTTGCAGACCATATTGCAGCCGAGGGTGTACGCTACATAAGAGAAATCGTCCTAGGGAGAAAATATCATCTGCACAATGGAGAGGTCCCGAGACAGAGTTATTGAATTTTTCAAGGGATATTATATGAGAAAGGGCAAAATTTAGAGTAGCAAAGCTGGAAAAATAAGTGATTTTATTCCTCTCAATGGCTTTTGGATTTTTTGCGTTGTTTTCGGCGGCGCTTATTCGCAATTCAAGGCGGACGGCGAAAGGGAAATTGATTTTATTGTGTCGGGGCAACGTGAAGAACATTTGCAAATATGTGTGTTACTGGGCAGCCGAAAGATCAGGCTCACGGACGGAAGCGCGTGTGTCTAAAGATGGTTAACCCACGTGGCCCCTGCCGCATCTGCAGCCAGCTAGACCCATTAGCACGGCAGTCTCCGACGGGCCAGTCACCATGGTTACCGTACAGTGACATGCTCAGAACAGAATCACTTGCGCGCGCGCCTATGCTATTATGCTGCACATTTGGGCAATCAAAACCTGCCACTGCTCTATAATTGTGCGTAACTTTCGGGAAACGCCGATTCGTTTCCGCACCGCTTCCGCCGAAAAATTAACCCGATTTCCACAGATAGAAGCAATCGATTTTTATATTATTTTCCTGGCGCGATTGATGGAGGCGTAAAAATCGTTTGACCCTTTATTTTTTGTCTCTCTCTCCCTCGCGGAAAAGGTAAAAGTATAAAAAGTCGCACGGATATAAAACGATAAAGTGAACTATCTCGCAGTGTGTATATGTCTGGTCGGTTCTTTAAGACAATATATAAAAAAGCATTGGGAATATAGCTGACGTCTTGGCACACCCCTCCGTTTGCTCGAGTTTTGTCTGGAGAATCAATTACGCTACGTATATCACACCTCTCTAGTACCTCTTGCCAGCCACGCTCCCTCTCAACACGAATCCGAGCCACGCGAACCGTTTCACCTCATGCGCCACTCTCGCACACCCAAAACTGTCCCCTTAAAATGTCCTTTATGGAAATTTAAATTCCGGTTTTATTATGATACGGGGGTCATTTTCATGCAAGTGCCAAAGGTGAAGGAAATTTATTGCACAGAATCACTTGCCACAAAGTGGGTTTTGAAAGAGAAGTTTTGGTCCCAATGAGACAGTTTTTAAATTAGTGAACTAAAAGAAAATAATAACATATTATTATTCAAATAAGATTTCGAGCAAAAGTTTTCAATGAAAACCAAATTCAAAATTTGGAAACTTAATTTATGGACTACAAAATGAAAAAGCCAAATAGGAAATATATTGAAAGAAATTTTGCATTTAAGTTGCAAATAAGGGTGTTATATTTATAGGCAGAAGCATCAATATCTATTGCTATTAATTAAATCTCAGTTAACATGGATGCTTTTGTAAATTGAATTTAAATCTCAGTTTCTGAATTATAAGTAATGATGATTAAGTGATGAAAAAGAGATACTGTGATCAGAATTTAAAAGTGAATATAATAATAGAATTAAGAGGAGATAGAAAATTACAGATTATTTCAATTAAAAATGAAAATTTTTAGGAAATTTTAGCAAATTAGGTATCGTAAAATTAACAATGCTCCTTAAATTTGAAAAAATCATGAATAGACCTTAGTGATTAAACCTGCCAAAAAAGAAAAGCAACTTATATAAAATCTTGAAATAGATATCAATTTTGAAAATTTCAAATTTCACAAATAGTCTTCAATGTTTCAAACAATATTAAATTAATAAATACGTTACTCTATGGTTTCTCCTGAAGACTTATTAATATAATTTTTTTTTTATAGACTTCCTGATACTTCCAAATTATGAGCTTTGCTTTGATTTAATTTTTGTCCATAGCAATGGCCAAAATTTGAGTTTGCTAATAGAAATGGCAAATTTTTGTGCTTCCTGAAAACATTATCAAAATCAATGTTACCATTTTAGATCCAGAACGATTTTCAACATAAAAGAGCAGTTGGCAACCCTCGCAAAATTTGATTTTCCCTGAAAACCATAAAATCGAATCTCATTATTATCAAGTTGACCACATAAGAGTAAAGCTCAAAATTTGCGTCCTTCAACCCACTTTGGCGAATTTACTAAACAGTAAAATGGACAACAAAATGTGATTTTCAAATAATTGCTCCATAAATCACAAAGTGCTCTTGGCATTAACAACAAAAATCCACAAATTTGTGTCAACCTTCTTTTACAAAAGTACTTAATAATTAATTCATTGCTTAAGTTTGTGGAACAACTTTTGAATCGAGCGGTTGTTTGGGAAACAGCTTGTTAAGTTTGTGCATGTAAACAATTAATTAGAATTATTATTGCTCCCCGAATCTGCTGTTTATTCTCACTCTGTATATTATATCGCTTTGGCGAAATTTCGCGTGTGTTGCGGGTTTCAGCCGATTAATTGCTTTATCAACGGCGAAACAGGAGGCGGCAAGCATTAAAGATTAAAAGCGTTTCGCGCGCGCCCGAGAGAGAGTTTTATGCACGCGGGTGTATCAAGTAAATCCCTTCTTCCTCCCATACAAATAAGATTTGCAGGCGCCCTCGGCGTCTCAAACGGCGGCTGCAGAACAAGTAAGTCTTCTCGGTGTGACCCAAAAACTTTCCACATGCGCACAACTCTTTCAAACTCTTCTCGCGAGAGAGTCAAAATCGAAAGTGGATTGGTCAGAGAGATCCACCCTCTTCTTCTTTTTTACGGAACATATTATTTATCCGGGCTGGGGCAAACGTAATTACCGACGCCGGGCCGGGGTTACGACGCGAGAAATTGGCTTGCATCAACACACAAAAATATAATAAAAATCAAACTTTACGCCCGAGTTTAAAACGTCGTAAATTTTCCCAGAGAAAAAATTGCCGGAGGAAAAAATTGTGACCCAGATCGAGGGAATACATAATAATGTGAACTTAAGGGAAGGGATACGAAATTGGGGTGTGTTGCGAAGAAGGAACGAACATATAATAATGATAATAGTAATATCTGGTGCTAATGTGGTATTATGCAAAGTTGAGTTGCGCGCTTACTAATTGCATTGTCAAGCGGACCGCCTCATTATCGCTAATGTCTGCGAGCGCCAACTCGTCGACTTGCCCTCTCTCCCAAATATTTTGTATGCATAGTCGCGTTTCATCTCGTGCAATAACCGCCCCAGCCGCCCCCCGTGTGCACCCCATGGAGGAAAAATTAAAGGAGCGAGTAGTGTTGCGACTCTGGAGATGCTGCCGAGAGAGAGCGAGAATGTTTCACCCCAGCCAACACCGAACACACACACACGCAATAGTTAATCAAAATGCAAAACGCGAAATGAGAAGTTTGAAAATTCCCATTTCAAGATCGATTTTCCCTGCTCCTCTCGGAAAGTTTATGTATGTGTGTGGTGTGGCCGTGTGCGGGAGGAGCGCCGAAAAGTTCATAAACGCCTTTTCTCGCGCGCTCGCTGCGTGCACTTCTGTTTTGCTGCAGCAAAGCCAGATTTACTGCCAACTTCAAAGGCCTCGCGTTTTCCGGCCAAAATTTTCGGCAGCCTTTTTCTCATTTTATGCGCCGCGTGCACCAGCGTTTCCCGCGCCCCTGGAGACTCAAAATAAAAATGCAAATCAGGTCTCGGGGTTGTAACGCTCGAGTTAAATGTGCCGGAAAAGCACCAAACGTCAGAATTATTTACGTAATTTGCTGCACAAAATCAGAAAATAATGCTTAATAGCGTCGGTTGAGAGACCGACGCACCAGCTCATGAAAATGCATCTCAATCTGGGAATTCCGTTTTCAAACTCATGCACTGCCAGCGACTCTAAAAGTTTAAACTCAAAAGAGCACATTTTTAATTTATTTCTTAAAAAATTTTAACATTCACCAAATTATTATCATATTGTACAGTAAATTTTGAAAATAAATAAATTTTAAAGCTTGAAGAGAGTTGCTTTTGTTTAGTTTAATTTGTTTGATTTAAGTTTATTTTGTTCAAAAACTAATTACATAAATTTTACAGAAAAAAATATTATCAAAATATCCTTCCAAGGACTTTGATATAAAAAGCCAGAAATAGGTAATTTTAAATAAAATCTTCATAATAATTATTATTATTAGAATTAATAATTTTTCGCACAAATACAGTATTATGTGTGGCTTAAAGTAAAAATTACTCGCCTTGCTGATTTTTTTCAATTCAAAATAACAAAATAACTGAGATTTGTAATATTATTTATTTGTACTATCGTATCGTGTGCTCAATTTTATTTGGAGAGCTCCTGCCTGAAGCAGGGTCACCATATCAAAACAAACTTTTTGAGATCGCAGTGATAATTGGTCAGGTGACCGCGACGGAATAATATTGTCCGAGCGGTGCCACTTCACACCAAGCAAACGAGCAACGGCCGAGGGAGGTCGGTTCGCATCTCCGTAGCCTGCATTTGAATTAATCCAGAGAAAAAAAGATGGGTTGCGCCCTTTGCAAGGACTCTTTGATGAGGAGAGCGAGCGGGATAACGGCCTACGATTACGCCAAAAATGTCATGGTGAGAGAATTTTCATATGGGGTCGACTTTCCTGCTAGCAAAAAGTTGTCCCTTCAATTAATTTGTTGCAAAGTTTCTCCTCGTTTTAAGCGCAGGATTAAATTAAATGATTTATGCAAAAGCTGTGCCGGTCGCACACGGACAATTTTAACAAGAAAGCAGGCGCGAGTAAACAGCCTACATTAGCACCGCACTCGTCACTGTGAATTTCTAATTGCAAGAGCAAAACGCAAGAGCAGCGAAAAAAATGCCGTTTTTTCGAGTTGTATTCTGACCTGGATTTCTGTAATGAACGCGTTGATTTTCAAAATATACGCTCGACTTGGAATTGGAAAATGGGGTTGGGTTGTGAAATACAAAAGAAGTCGTTAATAGGCGCTGCTGGTTTTCTTTCATATTTCCATAATTTATTATTCAGCAAATGCACATGTCCTGAGTTGTCGCTAATTTTTCGTTTATTATTTCCGCCGCAGCATTTTTATTGTCAAATCCCTTCGGTTGAATTTCTTGCTGGTCAATATTCATTTCTATATATGTATGTAATTCTAAAATTTCTGATTTGAATAATATTAAAATTATATTATGTCATTCTTGCAGATAATACAAAGCAAGAAAAAAATAAAATTCTAATTGAACGGAATGATTTTGAAAAAAAGCTCAAGTTGAGGAAGAAATTAAATTTATTAAACGCTGCTAACAAATAACTTATTTTCTAGAAACGTGTGCTAGATTGGAAGGCGCAGTCTCTTAAAAGTCTTGGGCCCAAAAGTAAAAATATATGTATCACAATTTTACATCCTATATGGATGTAATTGTTTTTGTGATAGATCAATAAACACAATTAAAAAAACCTTCCAAAATGAACAATTTAAAAACTCCAAAAAATGAAATAAATAATTTTCACCTAAATTTAAATTTAAAGGAGAAAAAAAAATAAATCATTTTTAAGAATATTTTTTTTAAATTAATTGTACTATTTCTGCGGCCCTATTTGATTTTCTAAAATTTATGAAAGCGATTAAATCCAAGTACCTGCAGGCGTGCAGGAAGAGAGTGCACTGCAGCAGCAGCCGCGCCAGTTAATTTTTTCTCTGGCCATAATTTCGCGCCGCCGCCACCACAGTATGTATTTGGCAAAGTGCACCGCAGCCACCGATCACAACTATCAAAAGAGGAAATATATATACGAGGCGCGCAGGCTTTTGGGCCGACAAGCTTCATTAAATTTTTTCCGCTCTCTCCGGACAAAAAAAAATTGCGACCGTAAAATAATGTCGCCTTATCATTTGGAAAGAGGGTCGCGCGTTCGGAGTTCGGAGGTGCGCAAACTGACCGGCTCTCGACGACCACCGCAGAATCATCGGATCAGTTGTTAATTCTGCGCGTCTCGTGTGTATTGTTTGATTTGCAATCATGTTGCTTATATGGCCGGGCCAGAGAGTTGGCAGCGGCCGCAGCCCCGAATATCGCTCGCCAGGGAAAACTGCGCGCGAGATTGATGTGGTTTGCGAGACCGAGCCACTCTCAAAACGCTGCGGTCGCGCCTTAATAGTCCTACCTGGACGGATCGTTTTCATATAAATTTTTTCACCGGCTTTCTTTCGACAGACGCCGGGATCAAGGAGCAGACAGGCGTCGGTGATTTCGCAGCCCACCAGGCGCAGCAAGACCTCGCTAGACAGCAGTGACAGGTACGGAATCGGCACATTTCTCTATAACGCACTCGCCACCTGCGCCACTATCATATTTCAATTTGACACTAACAATCCACTCGTTAAAAATGAGCCAACATTTTCGCACTGAATTAACTTTTGGGATCTATTTTTGGCTTTATGGTGAGATTCTTTTACTTGCCAGATGAAAACGGAGTGAAAATGATTCAGATCATCAGAGTTGAATTATATTGTAAGTTAATATTTCAAGCATGAAAATAATTTTAATTTCTTGTCGCCCCATCGCTTCTGAAGGTAATGTCCGAAGAAAAATCCACGTTTTTCAATACTCTTTGTAACTTTCAAATTTACAAGGTGATGATTTATTTTCTTATCAGCTTTCGATTCCCAAGATGTCAAAGTATACAAAAAGGCAAAAACTGATACCTCTTCTGATGTTTTCTCAATATCTGATTAATCTGAATTAACAATTTTTCTCAATGTTTAATTTAATAAAAGATTCTGGGAAGCAGGTAAAAGTTGCTATTTTAGGATACTTTGACATCTTCTGAATTGAAAGCTATGAAGAAAAGTTCACTTCACGAAAATCTAAATTTCAGATCAGAAATTTATTAAATTATTAAACACTGTCGTGTACAAAATATATACAATATAAAATTACAAATACATTTATTTCTTGTTTTTTCTTGCTATTTCAGACAAACTATTAAGTAAGATTGTTTGCACTACATTCAAAATCAAAATTTACGAGTCTTAGAAGATGAAAAAAACCTGAATTTTTACGATTTTTTTTTTTCGATCTTCAGACATTATTTTGGCACCCTGTAAAGAAGCGATGGGGCGATACGAATAATTATTTTCATTTTTGAAACATTAAATACACAATAGTTCCACTCTGAAAATTTGAATCGTTTTCAATCCTTTGTTGCATTTCAATTTTTTGAACAAAACCAAGCAAAGGAATCAACTGAAAATGGCAACAAATGTTAGGGAAATGAGTTCCAAATTTGAGCCATTTCTTATTTGGACTTATTAATACCACCGTAGAAAAATTCAGATCTCAATATGCGGTTAAATATTTGCTAAAATCAGTCGGTAAGAATTATTGTAAGAATTAAAAAAAAAATCAAGCATGGGAGGATTTTGTCTGAAAAATCAAATTATATCAAGTTTTTGTTTTATTTTTATGATTGAATTATGGTTGGAAATAATAATTGAATCAATTTCTTTTGTTGAATTCAGCTCATAGTAATATAATTCAAATGAACGAATATACGAGACATCTCAAAAGCTCAAAAAGTTGCAGTATTGCAGCAGTCTGCATTGCATAACATGGCATCGATTGCTTCATATAATATTAAAAATCAACAATATTAAAAAATAGCATATTTCTGTTAAATAATACTAATTTATTAGTACATTTTAAATAAATCATAAATAAAATATATAATATGTCGGTTAATAATATAAATAAATATAATATATAATAATGAATAAAAATAATAAATTTGATAATTTTCTTTATAATAAATTGTTTAGTTTTCAATTGAATGAAACTAACATAACTATACATGAAAAATTGAAACCATTTTCAATTTTTCATGAAATGCACCTCAAGTGCTACCATTCAATAATAATTATACATGATTTGATTATTTTTTTCTTCTTCATAACTTTTAGAGAACCGCCCATCTACTTTTTGAGCGGCTCTCCTGCTCTTCACTACGCACCTCCACCCCCGGAATTTCGCCAGCAGTTCCAGCCGCCGCCTCACCCTCTGGTCCCGCCGCCGAAAACACCCCGAACGTCAGGGTGGAAAAGCAGCAGCCTGTCGGTGCCCGAGGTGCCGTCGCGGCCACCGCGCCGCGCCAACAAACGAGCCAAGCGCAGCGTTTCCTCTGAAAAGATTATTTCCTCTAATACTTTGGCGGCTCCTGAGCCCGTTCACGGACTGTCGCGCTCGTCGTCGTCGCCATCGATTCCCGTGGACATCGACCTTCCCGAGGAGACGGCGCAGCGCTTGGAGATGTATTTGAAAAAGAACCAGAGCTTCAGCTCTATACACATTCTACTCAATGAGCTTCAGGTTGAACAATTTAATTAATTGCCTATTACAATTTATTTGATACTTAAAACATAAAACTATTAAAATTTAATATTTTGCATTCATATTTTGTAACTAAGAATAATTTTACTTAATTTGATAAATTATTTTTTTTTATACATAAATTTTGTCGGCTTTTGCCCTTTATTAATGGGTGCAGAAGGACCAATTTTTTTATTTTTACGAGTTCAACGTAATTTAAAAATCTTCATTTCGTAGGCCCAGAACAACATAGATTTGGCCGGTCTGAACGCTTACGAATCGGACGAAGATGACGAACACTGGAACCCGACGTGCCTCGACCTGGCGGGCATTCAATTGCCCACGTCGAGGCGACACTCGATTGAAAAATCTCCCGAGGAAGGCGAAGAAAATCCGTCGGATTTAAAACGAAGCTCGTCCAAAATCTTCATCACTTCTTGCGACGATGCGGACGTTGAAGTAGAAGCGCCCCTAGGGGGAAACAAGGGAGCTTTCTTATCGCCGCCCAACTCACGCAACCAGGTCTGTTATTTTTTATTTCTCTGACAATGGGATTGCTCGGGCAATAAAAACTAACCTAAAAATCATTTTAAAATCCAATTAAAAGCTTAATTTCTTTTTCATGTTGGAGATAAATTAATTTTTTTTTTTTAATATCAATCGATTTTTAGGCCGAGCGGGGTGCAACGCGCCTGCAGCTTTGCGATCTGCGAAAATTCTCGGACGTGACCGAGGGTGACGAAGAAATCGCGGCGATGCCGAAAACTCCAGGCTCGTGGTTCGACCGGGACGGCACGAACATGGAAGGGCCGCCGAATTTCCTCAGCCGAACCAAGACGCTCAGTCTGCAGACCGAGGACACGCTGGACCTGCGTGAGGAAACCATGGTGACGCCGCCGCCGTCCGAGGAGGACTTGAGCGACGAGGAGCCCATTTCGTCGTCCATCACCCACTCCATCCTGCACAAGGTGCTGCGCGGCCTCTCTTCGGACGAAACCGCCGAAACGTTGATTTCGCGCCGCGGCAGCGCCGGCAACGTCAGCTTGAGCGGGCTCGAGGAATTCCTCAAGGCGCTGCAGCAGCAGCTGACGGACTCGGAGGAAAAGAGCCACGAGGCCGAGCCCACAATCGGCGATCTGCAGGCCGCACTCTCCGAATTGCTCAACGCCGAAAAGATTAATGAGAAGCAGCAGCTGCACGACATCCAAGTGCCCTGATATTAAATTTCCCGAAACGGAAAAATTGCTAAAAGTGCGTGGAAAAAAATAATAAAATAAAAATCTAGCGGGAAAAGTAAAATCGTGTTATACAGTTAAAATTTATTTAAAAAAACAAGATTTGTATAATAGACTTTGTTTTCGTGAATTGTATATCCGTTGATTAGATTTGCATAGTTTTTAAGAAGTAAAGTATCAATCAATGCTGCAGATAGCTTGACATAAAGAGAGATAAGTCAGTCTACAGAGGGGGCCTGTACTCGCCCCTAGTTGTTGAACGTGACCGGTTCAGCAGCGCTGTAAGCATGATTTATATTTTTTATTATAGGAACGCCGTAAAATGTTGATGACGAGGGGCTATATTTGCATAGATAGAGAAAGGAAACGATCGATACTTACAGGATTTTCGATCTGCCTGTAATATCCTCTTCCGCTCGCGTGGATTAGCCCTGTTTGCTCGACTCTTGGTCGCCGTTTTCACTAAACTATTGAGGATCTCGTCATCATCACTGTAATGCTCGTCCTTGCTCTGCACCAACTCCGACCGCGTTCGATCTGGAAATAAACATGCGATAAAAACAAAATTCAAAAATTAATTAGGCATAGTAAGAAAAATTTAAGGGAGAACTGAATTTTTGAAATTTTAGAATTTTATTGTTTCTTATAATTTTTATTCTCAAAATTGATACAAATTTTACCAAATCACGTTCATATCACCCCAAATTAAGATGGAAAATAAAATGAATATGTCAATTGACATTAAATAAATCTACATTTATCTTGTGGGATTTAATTGAAGCATAGATTTCATAAGCAGAATTTTGTGACTTACCAAAATCTCGTCTCTGCCTTCTCCAGGCGCTCTCCGAGTCCGTCAAATCGTTTCCTAGGAGCTGCCTCAGTTGATCATCCTTCTTACTTTCCTCCTTCGGGCGGAATTTGCTCATCTGTAACAAGGAAAATTGAATTAACAATTAAATTAAAATTAAATAAAATCATATTTAAAACATTTTATCTCTCTTAAAATCAAGAGTTTATTTTAAATCTAAAAATTTCTATGATGAAAAAAAAGATATAAAATTAAGCAGATTTTATTTTTAATTTTCTTATTTTAAGTACTTTATTGAGGTTGCCATTCAGCGGCGGCCAGCGGCCAGTCCCGCATCCATGGCCGAGTAGATCTCGGGTTATCAGGGAAACATCGTTGTCCTCCTAGGAAGAACTAAACTATATACTATTGGCTCACAACAACATATTGTGTGCGTGATTGAGAGTGTGTTTGTGATCTTCTAATATTATTTTTTATTCTACTCAAATCGCTACACAAATGAATGTTTAGGAACAAATTAAAGGATATTTAATGTTTTAAGCTTGTATTGAGCACAGAAGGAGAAATTATAATATTGGAAATAAAATAAATGTATTAAATTTATAGCAGATTTAAGCATTTAAAAATAATCAATTTTTTCACATTTAAATTATTTAAAGGAAACATGTAATAAAAGGAAGAAAGTTTCATTAGGGAGTGAAAAATTATGTGCAATAAAATTCCAAGTTAAATCGAGCAGAAAGCCCGAATCAATCATGATTTGGGTCTTTCTTTGGGGGGTGAAAACAAGTGGAAAAGACTGACCTCTGTAATCATCCTGCCCCGGGTCTTGTTCCGCTCCCTGTGGTTGGCCTTTTTCTCCATTTGCTGAATCACCCTCTCTCTAGTGGTGCGGTACTCGAGTGCGAACTCGGAGAGAATGCGGCAGAACTCGTTGGGTTTAGTTTCATGGATTTTGTTGGCCGGGGTGCCCAGCCAAAGTAGGAACTTTGAGTAGCGGTTCATTATTCGCCGGTGAACAGTCTTCAGCACCGTGATCCGCTGAGCGCAGTCGGTTAAGAAATCAGACGTCCTGGAAGCACTTTGCGGAGCAAACAAGCAAATATGATTACCATAAATTGATCTAACGCAACTTTATTGGCATTTCAAAGAGAGGCAGCAAAAAAAATTGACATTTGTTTAAGGATTCGCGGCGAGGGCAATCAAATTTTTTCCCTCTCGTAATTGTGACGGCAAACTTTCTTATCGAGGCGGAAAAGCCGCATGACGTGGGTGGGGAAATAGCGCGCGCACGCCGATCAAAGCAAATATCGCCTTGAAAGCGTTTTGTGACGTAATCCTTTCTGTTTCACCGCCTCGCGGTGACAATGACACACGCAAGAGAGAGAGAGAAAAATCTGTGAAGCCCGAGAAAGGCTGTCAGATACACGCGATATGCAAAAGGACCTATTTCTCTATCAGTATAAAAAAAAGAAGGAAGAAATGAGAAAGCACACATCCTAAACCAATAAGGAGCAAATGGGCTTCTTCACGCATCACGGAAAATAGAACTTGCCAAGCAAAAAAAAAAAAATGCACTATTTGCGTTAAGTAAGAGGAGAGCGCGCACCCGGAATACAAAGTTTTGTGATTACACACAAAGTAACTCGGTTTAATTAAAACTTTAGGTGGAGGAAAATATTTATTTACCTGCTCTTGGTGTTGGTGTTGGATCCGTCGTGCTTGGCAATCAATTTCAAATGCTCCCAAGACGCTTTACATTCAGTCTCGAGGCGCTTAATATTCTGCTTTATCTCGTCAAAGTCCACCTTTGACGCTCTGTTAATTGCTCCAATCTGTTTTTTTTTTTTAATTTAAGAAATAAATAAATATTATTGTGGTAAAATTTCACTAATGAAGATTGATTCATGGTGATTTTAATTTAAAATCGGCTTTTCTTCATATTTCGGCTGCAAGCTATGCAATCATTTTGACAAGAATTAGCACAATAAAAAATATTCTTTTGAAAATTAATTTTCTATCAAATCAACAATTTTTTGTGAAAAACAAATATTTTAAATTTTTTTTACGCAAAACCAATTTTTATCAAAAGTTTCAGATTCAATTGTCAAAAATTGTTTAGTTAAAAATGTAACTTGAAATAATTTTTCACAAAAAATTGTCAAATTCAAAGTAAAAATATTTTTTAAGATTTTTGTACTAATTCTTGTCAAAATGATTTCACAGCTCATGCTGCAGCCCGCAGCAGAAACATGTAGAACAGGATAGACAACTCGAGAAACCGAGCCGAATTTAAATTAAATTTAAATTCAAAACACCACAAATTAACATTTTTATGATAATTTACCTCAGAGTAAAGATCTGTTGCATCTGGGAACTTTTCCATCACCATGTGACAGAGGTGGTGCAGCAGAGAGTGTTTGTGGACGGTGTCTTTGACCTCTGGCACTTTGGCCAAGTACTCGATCTGGAATCCTCTGACTTCGGCGCCGTTCAGGAAAATGCCAATGGACAAAAGGGTGCTCAGGATGCAGCGGAAAGTTCTGTTGCACTTGAGGATCTCCATGCCTTGCTTCAGATCCATCACAGGCTCCGCTATTTCCTGCGCGACAAGCACGGGTAAATTTTATTATTATTATTATTTCGGCCTTTTTTTTAATAAAAAAATCTTTGCCTTTTCAACATTCTCGTAATCCAATTTGAAGGCCCACAGTTTGAGTCTGGCAGGGAGTTCGGTGATGGAAGCCAAAGTAAGGAGGAATTGCTCGGCGTTGCCGAGGGGTAAATCTGGATGGGCCACCTGCGCCTCCTGAATGCGGTTCCTCTCGTCCTCCGTTGGCAGCATAGTAAACAGTTTCTATCAATACGAGAGACCCTTTGATTAGAGCTGGCGTTCACGTCGAATAATTTGTGTACCTCGATTCCCTCGCGATTCATGACATTTGTGTCCATGTTTAGAATCGCACTTTTGATCGCCCTCGGCGGCGGCAATTTCGTCATGCCAATGTTGATTGCGTTGGAACGCTTCGAATCCAGCACAATGATCTCTTTGCTTTTGTTCATATCTTGTTGTTTCTGCATTATAATTTTGAATTAAATTCCATTCTTAAATAATAAAAATGAAGTGAATGAATTTTTTTGCGTAAAAATTATGAAAAAATGCCCTTGTAATTAAATAATTTACACAAATTTATTAACCTGCAGAAGACGTCAATAAATTCATTAAATATGCACATGTAAAATTTTACAAATGTTAAAAAGCGCAATAAGCTATTATTTCAAATAGTCCACGTAAAACCCATCTAAAAATGTCTAGCCTATAAAAATAATCTAACTAAAAATTGAAAATTTATTTAAAAAATTGTAAAAAGTCACTCACCTCCTAAACATTCAAGAGCGCCAGACAATGCGGAGATAGCCATGAGACAAACGATTTATTAGCAATGAGTTTGATTAAAAATAAAATTTGCGGTAATAAAACTTAAAAGTATGAGATGAGGAAACCTAACATCTATTGAAATAGCACGCACGCAAAAGCGCTTACGTACAAATTATTGACATGAAACATCTATAAACTTAAAGTTATTTGAATTAATTTTTTAAACGTCCAGTTTTCAACTTACCTTGGGCGTGATGTCTTTTGCTCTGGACTCGAAAAGGTGTTCCAGTTTCTGAGTGTCAACAAACACAGGGCTGAGCTCGTCCCAAATCAGGCTGATGCCACTTTTCTGCAGCTTGGCCACAATCAGGGGGTCGTCGCGCACCTCCTTCCAAAACAGCTTCACCGTCTTCTTGCTCTTCTTGGCCAACTTTTCCGAGAGATTTGCGTCTGGAATGTCTGCAGACACGCCTCCTGGGGAGGGGGACAGCATCAGGGCACCCGCTGACCCTGGGGGCGGCGGCGGGAACATGCCCGGAGGTGGCATTCCGGAGGCGGGCACCATTGCCGGGGGCGGCACGATCAGCGGGGGCGGTGGGGGCGGTATGCCGTTTGAATGGACACTGGGGGCAAGGATGTCAACCTCGTCTTCACTGTTCAGGTCGGTGAAGTCGAGGTCGCAGAGGGCCAAAGGTCGGTCGACGTTTTCCGTGATTTTCTCCCACTGCAGATCAACTTCTGACTTTTTCGGCTCGGGCGGAGCTGCTTTCACTTCAGTCTGAAAATTAAAAAAAGGGAAAATTAATTAATTTTTTTTATAAATTAAAATTAAATTAAAATATGATTGCCAACCTTAACCTCTGCTTTTGATTTGTTCAGTCCTTCCATGGCCTTGGAGATCAGTCCTGACATGTCCCCGAGGCGCGCCACCTTCTGCTCCTCCGTGGGACTGCTCACGTTGATTTGGCCCGCCAGCTTCTGAGTAATGTCCTTGACGGTGTTTTCCCTGCTGAGGGGAACGCCGTTGCTGTCCTTCAGCTCGGATTCTATTTGGTTGACGGCGTTCATGATGATGTCCTGCCTGCTGTGGCTTCGGCTGACATGGTTGGACTCCGAGTCCTGCTCGCCGCCACTTTGACTCTTCCTCAGGCCAACCTCATCGTCACCTTTGCCGAGGCTGCGCAGGATCGACTCCTGCTGCTCCCTCAGGCTGCGGTGCCTCTCGGCTCGCTCACGCCTCCTCTTCAGTCCTGGCGTGATGTCAGGAACAGCTAAACACGCCATGTTCACAGAAAATTGTACTCAAACAAAAGAAATATCTGACCAGTGTTGTGATTTTCATAGTTGCCAACAATGAATTCCAAGTCGCCGATGGAAGGCGACGATCTTGAACTGGAGGTGTAGTCGTCATCGTCAGGGTCAATGGTCACAATCAATTGTTGGTTCATGATGCGATTGTTGTTGTAATTGTTGAGCCAGCGACGAGATTTGCGTTCAATACTTGGCGAGTCTTCAGAGCAAATCTTCCGATTTCGAAGTGATTTTCTGAAATTTTGAAAATTAATATAAATTCAAAAAAATTTAAAAGGTACCTTAAAGCTTCGTCAATCATAATAATGGAAGCAGATTCTCCGTCTTCGTCCCCATCTTCAAAACTAAGCACAGCCTCGTAAATTTTGAACTGCCTCAGGAGGTCAAGGTCGGTGCCCTGTCTTGACATGTACCTGAATAATTTGTTTTAAAAATAACTAGAAAAATAATTAAACAAAAAAATTACTTTTCGACAATTTCCTTCATTCCCTGAGCTTCAACCGCGTCAACTTGGTCATAATAAATACCCCGGTCAGTCAAACCATTCAGGGTTTTGTTCAGGAGAGTGCACGCGTACAGCAGCAACTCTGTGTCTGACGTGTCATAACCACCCAAAAGTCTCATCACATTGTGCCATGGCGTTTCTCCTAAAACAAAAATATGGAAAAGTTTAAAAATTTCAATAAAATAAAAATCTAAATCAAACCTGCTGGAATGTCTTCGGCCCTGATGGCGCTGGCCAGAATTTTGCAGTTGGATTCTTTGTATTCAATGAACACCAGCAGGAGCTTCAGGGCGGTTTTGACCACAAGTCGGAACTTGCTTGCAATCAGTGAGTAGAGCCACTGGACGGTGTCCGTGTTTTCCATCACGCCGTTCATGCCGTCCACGTAAAGCATCACCTGTCCCAGCGCTCGTAGAATATAGTTCTGGTAGTTTTGGTCAGCCTCGGAGCCAACCTTGACCAGACAGGCCAGGCCCTCATTTTGTACAAATTCATGGACCAAATCTTTGTCTTCCTGTATACCAAAAAAGAGAAAGTTTTTAGGTTTTATTTCTAAAAAATTTGATTAATTAGCTATTTTTAAATTTTGCCAATTATTATATAAAAATTAAATATAATTATTTTAAATACCTGAAAGATTTGCTTTAGTGAAAATAGAGCCCTTTGCAATTCTCTGCCTTCTGAATTTTGTAGTTTTTCTGTAACATACAAACGCAGACGTGATGCAATTAATTTTTCCCGGAAAATCATACACATTTTTTTTAAAAATAAATCACCTATTATCGTGTGAACACGAACAGAGAGCTGAGTCCTGAGTACAATTGAGTTCTTTCGGCTGCAACATAATTTATGAATATTTTAACATGTAAATTTGTGATAATTCAGGAAACGAAATTTCATTTAATTAAACTGACGGTCACCTAAGTTTAAGCCCATCAAACTCTTCGTGCTGCTCGCTGATGGACGCATCCAGGTCAAGGTAGGCGCCGAACTCGCCGTCTTTTTGTATCTGAAGCGCTGCATCATCCAACTAGTTGCCAGAAAAATGAAATTATACTGTTTAAATGGAGTGGAAAAAGAGGCGAGCCAAAGCAAAAAGGGGCGCAAATTTTAGTTCACGACTCAGGAGAGGTGAAGCGAGCGTCATTTATTTCAAACGAAGCTAAATTTTTGCACGTCATTACGCCTCGGCATTAAGCGTATTAATTTTCATCGTGCGAAGTACACAAGTCGCGCAATTATTATCAAGCTTTATTCAAGTTTCATGCATGCGCAAATTCTGTTGAATTTAACAAGACTCTAGAGTCATGTTGCTGAAAAAGTATAATGTACATGCAGGCAGGTATTATTAGTTGGTGTAGGAGGGCAGCTAGTGCGTATAATGCGCGCACAGGGGCAGCGACGGCCGAGCAAAACACGGCAATAAAAGTGCAAAAAATTAGCACGTAGTTCAACTACTGGTCAAGGCAAAGAGATTCGACCGCAGCCGGCCGGAGCAGATCTTGAACGGAGATGCGCTGAAGCAAACTGTGCTGAACTCAATTTGCTATGATTATTTTTTTTGTCCCTAACAACTAACAGCGGCCGTCACGTTGTCAGAAAGAGAAAAAGTTTATTTTCTTTGCTATTGTTGAAAACAGGAGCAAAAAAACTAGGGTGATGTGGCATGAAAGCCTGACAGTAAAAAAACTTCCAAAATGAAAACACTTTTATTAAAATCGTGTCAATGTGTGTGAATCAGTTTTGACACTAATTAATAATTATTAGAAAAAAAATTCAACTTTGTCATGCGATAAAATAAAAAAGAGGAATATAAATTGTAAAATTTGGCGTTAACGAGGAGCTTATGATTGTGTGCAATTAATTTTTTATGTCAACTGACCTATTGATTTTAATTTCCATCTTAATTGGGGTGATATGAACGTGATTTGGTGCAATTTTTCATGAGAACCAATAATTAAAAAAATTCAGTTCTTCTAATGAGCTAATTTTTTTTATCTATATTGTCTCCTTGGAACTGACATCTACAAATTAATGCTAATGAAGAGAAAATTTACCATTAAAATTAATCAGGCCGTTTTTTTAATGTATTTAAAAAATAATTGTCTCCTTTATTTACATTTTTATTATAAAATTAAATTTTTGGCAATAATTGTACCGATCAGAATCGCCTGTTTTACTTAAATTTTTCTAAAAAACTTCAATTTATTTTCCAGTGCGGTCCAGCGTTGCAGAAAACATGATATTGCCTTCATAAATTCACTGGAATTCACTTAACTTTGCGAACAATTGCTTATATATTTTGTCATGAAAGCGCATCTCCCTTCAACATCCGCACAGACGACTGGCCATATAAAAGGCAATGGAGTGCCAATTGGTCACACACGTTAACTAGCAGCCCTTTGTGTGCGAATCGAACGCCGCGCGGCCGTTTGCGGCAGCAGCGCCGATTCCGCCGAATTTATTCGCACGCCCCACTCGAATTTACACAAATGATAATGTTTGGCGACATAGAGAGATTATGAAATTCATGAGCGCCGCGCGGGCCGCTTGTACGGCGCAAATTTCACACGCGACTGGGTGAATCACGATGCTGAAACTGTGCCCGCAAAAAAGCAGCACTGCTATCTCTCTGCGAGTGAATTTGCGCGCCGGCCGCTCGCAATGTCGAAATCTGTGGGATTCATCGTGCTTATTTTATTCAACCCGATTCTAACAAAACGTTTGTGAAGCGCGGCTTAAGTGCAGTTTAGCGCTTGCAAAAACACACTGCTGCGCTCGGAATATTTATAAAGGTAACACACACACACACACACAAAAAAGCGCACACAGCCTTGCCGGCGTCACGACTTTGGAGAATTACATGATGCAGAAAAGAGAGAATTAAAGAAGTCGCGAGTGTAACACGGCTCCAAAGCAGCTGGCCGAGAGGATAAATTTGCAAAGCAATTTGTGAGATCGCAATACCGTGTGACGGGACACCACATTTGCTCTGAAAATAATTTAAATAAAATATAAATAAATTTGACAAAAAAAAAAAAAAACTAAATAGTTTCTGCAAAATTGAAGCAAGTAAAATTTTTAATAATAAAAACGAACAGGGGAAATAAATCTAGCTCGCCGCTTCAGATCTGGATGAAATTGATATCGTAAGCAAAGGAAACGTCTATAGCCTTTTCTAAATTATTAGCTGTAAAAAGCCACATTCAAAGAAGGGAGAAGTGGTCAAATTTATAAAAGGTAGGTATTTCTTTTTCTCGTCCATCTAGCAATTCAAAATATTTAAGGCAATCCTTTGACAGATTTAGATCAAACAGAAATTCTATTTAAAATTTACTTTATAGATAAAAATTAATATTATATAAATCTAATAATTATGAGTCGGAACACAAAATAATATACTTTTAACTCTGATAATTTTATATTGATCTGCATAGTGAACCGACAAGATAATGATGTTCAAGTAAGACTGAGAAGAAGAATCAAAATTACAAATTTAACTGTTTGTATGTTTAATAAGTTCATATTCATAATTATTTAAATTAAGTAATATATACAAAAAATAATTTTTTGTATACAATTATAAATGAATCACAATTAACTTAATTCAAATTATTTTGCCTAAAATTTGAAGTAAAATTTTATCATTATTTAGAAATGGTTGTTTTTGAAAGTTTGATGATTTTTATCAATTATTTTCAGAGATAAACCTGGTCTCCCCGTTTTGCCTTTCGTCCTTGGCGCGCTGCCTTTTTGCCGGCGAGCACTGCGCGCTGCTAGTCTTTAAAATCAACATGCAGCAGAGCCCGTCTTTGTGATAACAGCCGGTAAATGTAATGAGCATTAGAAGAAGTATCAAGTGCAAAGGAGCAGCCGGCAAGCGAGCGCCCGAAAGTAACGAGAAGCGGCGGCCAGACCCATAAAACACGCATTTCCGCAAATAGAGGCGATTCCATTTACCACCTTGGTTTCAATGTGCTCAATGTCACATAAAAATGGGGCCGAGTGGACGCGATTGACGACACATTCGCTGTGTTATTTGCTAGGAGAGCAGAAATGCTGCAAACGCTCGATGATGCATTTTTATGGCTTTTCGGTGGCATTGCTGGCATTACATATACGAGAGGCCCGGCCGCGCGCACCGTGATGTCTATTTGATTTGCACAGTTGGGATTCCTCAACAGGACACCTTCCACTTTCTCAAGTTCCAAAGTTATGTCATAATAAAAAAAATTACAAAATTATTGCAAATTATTTGTTGCGAATCTTTCTCAACATTTAAAAAAAAGTGGTTTAAAAACATTATATGAGAATAAAAGTGGAAATTCAATTATTAAGTAAGACCTCTCAATAATCGTTAATATATTATTTAATTTAGGAACAGTTAAATAGAGCGCAAATCACATTCTAATTTCAAGAAATTAAAAATTAAACCAGATTTATAAGTGGGCGAATATTAAAAAAGACTCTATTGGCTACTTTTTTCCCTTTTTTAAATTTATTTGTAATGAAAAAATATAAATTTTAATTTTTGAAATTGAATTTTATCTTACTGGATTTAAAAATAAATCAATAAAAAATCTCCATTTATGAATCTTTGAAGACAAATTAACATCATTATTATTGAAAAACTTAAATAATTACATTATTTGAAGAAAATATCATTTTTCGCCTTATTTTTTTTTATTGAATTATTGAAAAAGCATTTTTTTTTCTATCTTATCAGGATTTTCGGTGCAGATTCTGAAATGAAAGCAGTCGATGTGAATGTTGCGCGTAAATATTTTGAAAACGCACCCACTCTTTAGTAGGCCACTGACTGTCGGCGTTCGCTGGGTTGCGGCGCATGAGCCTCAAGACGACGCGAGAATATATTTGCTCCGTACGTGAACCCGAGATCACAAATCACACTTGATCTCTCAAGATCGCTTCTGCTTTATTTAAAGCACTTTGATGTGTCCCATATAAATGAATCTTGAAATTTTAAATTCTAATCAATCCGGAAGGAATTTGGACAAACAAAAAAACAAACCAAGGGCTTATTTCAACAAGTCAGAGACCTTGAGTGAATAAATTCAAATCAAGGTGCATGAACGTCTCGCGTTGTTTTCTGGAGCGAAAGGTGCGGCCAATTATTTCGTTAGCAATGCTGAGAATATTTTAGTACGCACCTATCCGGCCGAACAAAAGTACGAAATTTCCCACGCAGGTCAAAGAACCAACCTATTCAAAGTTCGAATTTTTCTTGGCCGTCTCCGATTTTTTTTATACATAAGCGCGACGACCGCGTTCATCTTTCACCCCGATCCTCCATAGTCTGGTCCGCTGGTATACAAAAATAGCTCTTGACATTTCACCTCGGCGCACATGGCCAAATAGTGAGTCAAAGTGGAACTCCCACGCTATTTATATTTACAGTTTCGCACTATTTTTTTAATTAAACCAAATTACGGTGAAATTACATAATAATAAATCAAATAAAAATTTGAATTATTTAGAACATTCGTTATCTCGGGAAGCTACAAGTGGCGACTAAATATAAAAGGTGCTGCTGAATAAACATGTTTCTATTTATAGCGGTGCACGAATTTTGTGCGAATCAAACCCTTTATTTTAATTAATCAAATTGACTCACCCTGTGGGGTGCACCGAGCAGTTTGTGAACGGCCGCGATCTGATTGATCAGCGGCAGGTTGACATTGAAGGTGAACACCGGCGGCCTCGTGGGCTCGAGGAAGTTGCTGACTTGCTCGAAGGGGTCGGTGTCGTTGAGGTACTGCACCCTGTGAGCGACGCCCTCCATGGTGGTGCCTGCCGTCGACAGGGCGCTCTCCTCATCCCACCCACACCTGCTGCTGCCCCACTAATTTATCGCGACAAGATTGCTTGTGTTTACGTGCCGGCCGCCGCTCTTGCACTGAATTCACTACTATTCTCAAGTCCAAGTCACACACACACACACTCGATCGCTCCAGCCGCGGAAGGAGAGGGTCGCCTCGTGCGCTAGCTCTCCGGCTGCTTACTTACTCGAGCTCTCGTCTCGCGGTGCAACCGAGAGACGTTGTTTTTCCCAAGAATTTTTTTGCCATCGTCGGCATAATACGATGATACGCAAGGCGAGTTGCCTGCCTGCCTGCCTGCCACTTGCCACAAGGTAAGCTGAATGTTCCGCTACTTACCGCGCCGGCACATACAAAAAAAAAACTTGATTCACATACGTATACGCGACGCTCAACTAGAGATGCTTGCAACGCTAAATTTTGAACGACTACATTTACTGTATGCGATTCAGTTGAAATTTTAGAAAACTTTTTCCCAAGCGAAAATAAAAAGCGGCCTTTGGTAAAAATATTAAATATATGAAATATTATTAAGTAAAATAATAATAATAATTGTAAACGTACAAAATAAGAATTAGAGTTTTATTCAAAATTTTATTTAACAAAGTAAATTTCATAACTTAAATTTATTTAAGAAACCAACAGCGGAAACGTAATTTAAAATATTGAAATATAATTTTATAAATTATTTTATTTCTACAAATTCATTTTAATTATTAAACAAAATCATCTAAAATTTGTTTAGTTAATTTATGATAAAAGAAGTGCGTTTCCTTTCACCCTTTAAATAAAATTTTCATTTTCTCTTTAAAAAAAAATCAACAACTTTATCTTCAATAATTTCAGAATTTATGTTGTCATTTATCAATACAGATTTTTTCGTCATGTGTCAATTAATAGTAACGACGTCCTCATTACATCGGCTACCCAGCACGGCCTGCACCATTAGTTGTAAGTGATCGATTGTGATAAAAATAAATTACGGCCGCGCACACTACATTAGGCGACTCGAGGATGCTGCTGTGAAATATATAAATGCGTTCCCTTTAGCTGTTTCCGGTTTTGCTTTTTTGTACTATGTGCGTTGCGTTATAATAACTATAGCGGATCCGACGGGGAGAGTGGAGCACAACGCGAGCGCACCACACTTTCAATTTGTCGGAGGACAAAATTTTAATGAGCTTTGAGCGCGGCCCGTAAAGCGCCGACTAAAGGCTGTGTTTTGACGCTCCATTGAAAATGCCAACCAAACACTATTTTGGGCTTTCAAAATGTTGTTTACGACCACCAAAATGGGGTGTTTTTGTTAAAAAATATACAATGAAAATTTCATGCAAATTAGAAAAATGGAAAATAAAGCAGAAAAATTGATGCCAAGCAAAAATTAAAATGTTTTCTGTTTAAATTCTGAAATTGTCTTACCTTGTCGTTTGCGGCAGATTCGTCAGTTCTGTTTTGAAAAAATTACATTAAATATATGAAACGAAAGATTTAAATATTTTTAGTACTTGTTTTCATCAGGAGTTTCAGCCGGCTGTTCTCGTAATTTCTCTTCCAGACTAACACTGTCAGAATCTTTTGAGACTTGCTCTGCGTCATCACTTTCATCGCTACTTCCATCTTCGCTAGACGATTTGGTCGCCACTTTAATTTCTATTAAATAAAGAAAAAAAATTCAATTTATTAAATAAAGTTCTTTTTATCATTTAAGAAAAAAATAATAATAATTACTCGCATCAATTACGATAAAAAATGACTGAATATTAAATAAACTAACCTTCTTTTTCTTTACTCTCCTCAGAAACAACTTCGGCTTTGGATTCTGCCTCGGACGCTCCCGAGACCTGCGGCCGCTCCTCGCCAAGAAGGTCGTCAATATTGGTGGTGTCGCCTATGAAGACTTTAACGCCAAGCCAGTCGTCCTCACCTGAAGAGTCTCCTTCGTGAAGATTTTGCCAGCAACCAGCCAGACTTACTGGCATTTCCAAGCCATCAGGGCTAGTTCGATCTCCAAGGGTGGAAATCCTGGGTGACCGAAGTTTCGCTTCGAGTTCCTCTAGCTCGTCATCGTCATCCTCTGAATCTTCGTCAGACTCACTGGAGGAAGTTTGCTCACCTTTGGGAGCCTCTGTTGCACTTTTGTCAGTCCACCAGGCCATATCATTTGCATTGGCCTCCCTCAAACCCCAATTTGGTTTATCAGCCTCTTCTGCCTCTTCTTCTTCTTCAGACCTGTCACTCGGAGTGAGGCAAGTGACCCCTTCAGGCACACTATCAGGATTTTCTTCCAACCACCAAGGTCGCTCCCCTGACTCAATTCTCTTGAGGCTTTTTAGCTTGGAAGTAATGCTAACTGATCTTTTTAGGCCACTTTCAGATTCTGTTGAAGCGACCGCCTCACTTCCGTCCACTTGAGGCTCTTCAATTAAACATTGGTCACTTGGGAGACGAGTGATTCCTTCAGGAACTGCATCTTCGTCGTCGACCATCCACCAAGCTCGCTCTCCGGATTCTATTCGCTTGATATTTCGCAGTCTTGTGCTTGCTGACCTTTTCACACCACCTTCACTGCTACCCACCGTGTTTATGCTCACCTGTGAAGCTCGACTTCTGCTTCCACTTTTTTCCAAGTTAAACGTGATACTTTCAGCCCTTGGAATGCCCTCAGGCACATTTTCGTTGCTCATCATCCACCAGGCCTTTTCACCACTTTCTATGTGGCGAATTTTAAATCGCCTCTCTGAGCCATCTTTTGACCTGACCGACCTGACAGAGCTGCTTCTGCTCGGAACACGACCTGAAGAACCGAGCAATTTTTCCATTCCATGTGCTGGCCAGAGTTGATCTCCACTTTGACTGTTTGTTACTTTTCCTGGCGAAAGCAAGTCTGGACTTTTTCCAGAGAGCAATTCGCTGTTCTTAGATTTTGAAATGACAACGTCACTATTGTTTCTTTTTACTTTAGATCTGCTGCCCGAATGCTTAATTTTATATTTTCTGGCCCACTCTGAAGTGACGGATTTTGAACTAGTTGATTGTTGAAGAGGTGGATTAGATTCAGAATCTTGAACCCACTGCACTTTAAAACTGCATTGCAGTGGTTGCTCTTCTATAATTTGAGGAGAATGGTCATCGTCAAGCACTGACTTGTGAGACTGCGATTTTAAAACTGCATCTGGAAATTCTGAATTCCATTGCATCCACCACGAACTGTCTTGTAAAATTTGCGACTGGTGCTTGGAATTGCTAAAGTTTTCCTTAGAACCACTGCTTATTGACATTGTACTATCAACACGTGCAAGTTCTTCTTTCAGTTTGCAGTCAAGTGCCAAAACTTTAACACCGGAGGCATCTTGCTTGATATGAAATACGTTAGATCGCTTGAGCTCATTGAGTTTCGGCTTATCCTGCTCCTCTCCAGATTCTTCACTAGATTCCTCACTTTCACTTTCTTCTGAGCTGGTATCTGAAATGTCCTCAGGAGTGTCCAAGCACCAAGACAGTGTGTTGACACCTGAAGATGATTGGAAAACTTTCCTCACTGGAAGTTTATCACTAGAATCGTCAGTAGGGCTTTTCGGAGGTGCCAAATTTTCAATGCTACCCAGCCAATTAGGCTTGAAACCACTAGACACTGGTCTAACTTTTCCCTGCCCACCTTCACCTTCAGCCTTATCCTCCTGGTTTTTCTCATTTTCATCTAACCACCAATCTATGCATTGAGACTTTGATCGCATAGGCACTTTGGGCTGGCTCAAACTTTGCTCGTTGTCTAGTATTTGGTCATCAGCAGTGGTCACATTCAATTCAGAACCTGCATCATTTTCAGTTCTATCCAGTGGCAGTTCGGATATTGACTGAGACGTGTCCATTCTGTCACTTTCAGAATTATTGTGCGATTTTTCTTCTTTACTTTTTGGAAAGAAAAGATTCGTCATAGGAGCTAAAGCGCGCATAAGGAAGGACGCTGCATTTTTTGAACCATTTTCTTTAGATTTGATTTGTGGAGAAATCGGTGACTCGTCTGCAGGCAAGTTTGTTGATGGCTCTTCAGAGGTGCCTGAAACGTTCCGAGAAAGGGGCTTGAGCCCGCTTTGACTTCTTGCAAGCGCGGCTAAATCGGGTTTACTGCCACTGATGTTTCCTTTGCTATTGTTAAGTGGTTTCGGAGGATCGTGTTCAGATTCTTCGCTACTTTCAGTGCTACTTTCTGTTGAACTTTCACAATTACTTGAAGATCTGCTTATTCTAATAAATTGAGTAACAGATTTAGGTCGCGCTAGATGTGCTGCGTTTGCTAAACGAGGGTCAGTTGGAATTCTGGGTAGAGAGACAATAGGAATTTCCCCAGTTGAGGCGGTTCGTGACATTGGCTCTTTTGAAGAAATATCACTTTTAGACGAAGCTTTGCAAATTTTCGAACTATCGAGCGAATGCAAAGATGGAAATGCGAGAGCGTGTTGGAGAGGAGCCGGTTTTAAGTTATTTTCTGATGGAATTTTACCTTCGGAGGCCGATCTTTGCTGCCCTGATTGACAGTTTTCACTCGGAGAAAATTTCTTTTCCTTTGTAATTTTTTGCTTCAGAGCATTCAGAGAAAGGGACGTTTTTATTGATCTTTTATTGCTTTTCGTGGAAGAAGCACTTGAAAGTTTATGCTCCGATTTCGATGGAGAGACTGGCGGCTTTTTGCTTGTTGGTTGTGGCTGCTCCAAGTTCGGTGAGTAAATTTCCATTGCTAATTTCATATTGCTGGAAGATGAACTATTCAGAAGTGTAGGTGGAGATTTTTGCTTTTTCATTCCAATTATGCTAGGACTGTTAACTCTTTTTTCAGGTGACGTTGAATTGCGATTTAGGCTCAAATTTGAGACAGACTTTTCTGGGGATTTTGAAAAGGAATGTGCTCTTGAAGGAACTTTTTCAGGGGACAATTTTCTTGGCGACCTTGGCGGAGCAATTAACTTTGTTGGCGAAGTCCTTTCGGAAGGCATTCTATTTGAAATGTTTAATGTTTCCGCTTCTCTAAATAATTCATTCTGTTCTCTTTTGCTTTTCTCTGAAGTTGATTTTTCAGGGGTAGGTGATTTTTCAGGTGAAGGTGATTTTTTCGTTGGAGTTTTTTGTGATGACGATCGCCTTAATAAAGATGGAGAAGGAGAACTATTTGACCCCCTTCGAACTGAAACTTGGCGTTTCTCAACTGACGGCTCTCTTTCAATTGCTTTTTTATTTATTTGAGCAACCCCTTTACTACCACTGCTGCAAGGCTTTTCCGGTGATGGTGACTTTTTTTGCATTACTGGCGAGTTTAATTTTGTATAATTAAGAGGAGGTGCAGTTTTTATTTCCGGTGTTTTCTCTCTCATAATTGCCTTTTCAGGTGATAATGATTTTTTTGCCGAGACTTGTGAATTTAATCTTGAATAACTAATAGGAAGTGCAGTTTTTACTTCCGGTGATTGAACTCTCTTAATTGCCTTTTCTGGCGATGGTGACTTATTTTTAGCCGGAGTCACAGATCTGACAGGCGTCTTTTCCCTCGGAGAAATTTTTGCTTGACGCTGATTTTGATCACAGTCTGTTGAATTATTTAAATTAAATTTAGAATTATTCTGTTTTTCAGGAGTTGATCTCCCACGAGGCACTGCTTGCTTTTCAGGAGAGGGTGACTTTTTTGCTGCAGTTTTTGCAGGTGAAGTCCTTCTGGCAGGACTAGCAGACGCTCTCGTGCTCAAACTGAACAAAGGCCGGTAAGATTTTGAGGTGGGATCGTCGTCAGATTTGTTTGACAAAGTTCTAGCCACAGGAGTTGGTTTATTTGAGTTTTCAAGCGAGCTAGTTCTTGGACTTAAGTAAGACTTGCTGGAGACTGAACTCTCCCTGTCATATCTATTGTAGCTCGGAGAATAGGTTTTAGCAGGCTCAAATTTTGAAACGTACCGCAAGCCTGTTGGTGTAAAAGTCGAACCCGTAGAAGCATAAGCCGTCCAAGGGGTTGAAGTAAATCTAGAAGATCGAGACAATTTTTCTGGGCTGTCAGGTTGAGTGGCAGAATCAGTTTGAGTGCTTGAATCGGCGGTGGGAACTTTTGGCGGCTTTCGCACATCCTTCATTATTTCGCGAGACAACTCATATCGCCTTGTTCTTGGAATATAACCACTTGGGAGGCTAGGTGAGGTGCCTCTGGTGGTGACATTTATGTAAGTAATAATTTTTTCTTCCTCAGGTGCTGGGATTATTTTCTCAGGTAAATTTTCAGTGAATGGTTTCGACTGGATGCCAGGTGAGAGAGCGGCTGGTGATTCCGGTTTGGAGGTTGAGCTCGGAGGTGGAATGTCTAATTTTTTCAAAAGAGGTTGTGGCCGAGTCCTGTACGTGTATCTGCCGCTAGTAGAGCTGCTTTCCGCTTCAACATTTTCCGTCGAGGAAGTGTACGGCCGCGAGAGCGAGGAGGGCGCCGTTGAAAACTTGTTCAAAGCTGACGAAGCCAAAGGGCGGCTTCTGTCTAGAAAGGACGAAGGCCCGATTGTTTTGTGCGGCCCGGCGCCTAAGTAGCTAAATCCGCCGTACGAGGATTGTCTCTTAAACACATCTGATTCGGGCAAGTCTTTTTCGGTCAAAGTGCTCGCAGACCTGCCAAAGGTTCTATACGAAGAGGGAGCTTTTGATGCGGAAGTTGATCCGTACTGATCTCTCGACACAGACCGCTCTCTGCTTGTGGGGGTGTAGGAGGATGTGCTGATATTCGGCTTATAATTAGAAGGTCTATAGGAACTGAAATCGGAGGAATAAGCTCCATACCGGCTGGACAAGCGTTCCTAGAAAAGTCGTTAAAAAATAAATATTTTGAATTAATATTATTTAATACTGCTGCTTTTTAAAAATTAATGTGCATGAATTAAAATGCATTAATTTTTATGTTTGTTTAGATCAAGTTAGTGAATTTATGTGGGAAAAGGAATGATAATAATGGAAAAGGAATTTTGCTAGCTTAGTTTTAATGCGGGAAAAGTTCCTTTCTTTAATAATTTTAAAAATAATTATAAAAAAATTATAATAATTCATGTTTATTCCAAGAAATTAGAAATAGAAAATAAAATGAAATAATAATAATATTAAGATATCTGCTGGATTTTATTATTTTTATGCGGGGTTGAGGGAAATTGAAACTGAAATGATGTGAAATTTTCTTTAAAGTACCGCGGATTCAGTTTTATCATCCGAAGCCTCGGGAGGAGTCTCATTTGGCGTTGCTGCGTTATTGGTATTGCCTTGAAGTTGATTGTTGTCCTCCACCTTGCGTGCCCATGGCACCTGAAAAATTTGGGCGGCAGTCGCGGTGTTTCAGAAGTTTTTCCAATCTCAGTAAATATGATTTTTCAGTCTCTTTTTATTTAGGAATGAATCATAGAGATACAAAATTATCATTGAATATTTTATCTACGGAAAATTGATAAATGTAAAATGAAAAATTTCAAGGGAAAACTAAATCCAAAAAATTTAACTGAAATAAAAATTTCTCCCTCAAAAACTGGGTTTCATGCAGCCAAAGACAATCGGGGGCTGATAATATGAAGGTGAAAATAAAATAATGAATATGAAAATATGAACCAAAGACGAGGTTCATGCAAATTTACGTCACAGACTTCACAGAAAGAAAAGTAAATAAGGAAGATAAATTGAACATATTGGTTTTAAAAAATTGTCTAGCGTGTATTTAAAAAGTTTATTAAATGTCCTATCTTGAATCTAAGTAGCTCGTCTGTCCATAAAAAAAACCTAGCCAGACCAAAATGGAGTGTATGTATTTTTAAAGGAACATGTGTTCACTATACTTGAGGTAAAAGAGCTTCAGCGGCCCCTACTTATTGCGATGACGCCAAGAAAAACTTGAAGATTATTTAAAAAGCCTCAGTAAATAACAATTTCTTCCGTTTTTAGAACCAAAGTAAAATGCTTAGTTTTTAAATGAAAATAACAGCAAAGTGTGAAAATGTCGTTGTTTACTTTGAGCGTATTTCGGTGCGCACTTCAGGTTTTGCAATCAAGCCAATTAGATCGATCGACCGTGGCTCGGCGTGTGTGTGTGCAAGAATCGGCTGCTAAATTTTCACCTGAACGCGCCCAGCGCCGGCGGCTTTAATAAAAAAGAGAGCCGAGGGGATTGAAAAACATTTTTTTATCAATACTATAGGAAAATTGGATGGAAAAAACAACATCAGCAGCTTTGAAATCACATCTGTAGTGTAATTTTAATATATTATTTTTTTCAGATTCGCGATATTTTTGCAAACTAGCTCAAGGATAGAGGAGGAAAGTTTAAACCGGTGTCCTAGTTCTAATAGTTTTCATAAGCGGACAATGTTTACTGGAGTTAGAAATTTATGTGAAATGTTTTTAAATTTTCAGTTTTTGAGTGTGTTTTGGGTACACAGAGGTTCTAAAGCAAATAACGCTCTCACAGCTAAATAAACTCGGCACACTCAGTCGCAAACGCTTTTCAACTTACGTAGCTTCTGTCACTCATGGCTATTTTTCAGCACCGCTCACGTTGTATTTTTTTTTTCTGTATCAGCTATTGGGCCAGTCGAATGCACCGCCGGACAAGAGGACAAACGCACCGCTTTTCGCTCGTCAGTCGGAGCAGCACCGATTTCCGGATGAGCAATCTCTCGGCATATTATGCGCCGCGGAAGGCAAAGCCGCCGCCGCCACCGAGCTTTGCTCTTTCCGCCGATCCAGCCACATGTGATGCTGCCGTGTGTAGAGGGCCTTTGCCTATTTTCAGCCTCATCTTACATTAAAATAAAACAGCCGAAGCCGCTTTGTCGGCGCTACTATCCAATCCCCCTCCCTCCAATGAAGATCTATACGTGCTTTTTTAATGTTTATATTATTTTGCGCCCCCGGCCTTGCCGAATCTTTTTTATTTTTGTATTTTCGCGTGCGCGCCTGTTTACGCGCCCCGTGGAGAAAATAATAAATGCAGCGCGGCGTGTGCGTCACGGGCCGCAATTCGGTGCCGCCACTGTACAGAAAAGTTTTAAAGTTCAAGCAACTTTCGCCGGCCGATCAAATTATTGAGGGTCGGATGCGCCCAATAATTTGCATTCGAATCGCGGCCCAGCTGCACGCCGGGGTCGCGGCGCATTCTGCACATTGGTTGTTTGCGCTTAAAGTGCACGTCGACGTCGGACCGAATTAACTTTCGAGAAAACAACGCTCGGACAAACGCATTTTCTGACAAAATTAGCAGGCTTTTTGCTTTTAGCACCCGGCATTCATATAATTTAAAAATATCTCGGGGCCGCGCGCAGTCGCGCCGTCCGCCGCGCTTGTGGGCGGCAACGTGTCCTCAAGTGAATTGGGGGACTTTGGCCGAGGGTGGACAGTCCCAAGAGCTGCGCCGAGACGCCTCCAGAGGGCTCCTGCTCGGAGAAGTACGGACGGCCGGTGCCACCAATTGGGACTCGGACGCAACACCGAAAGAAAATTTTAAAGTTCAACAAATCTAAAAATTTTTGTAGTAAATAAGGTTAAAATTTAGTTCTCACCCTCATGTTTTTAAAGAGGAATTGGAAATTTGTTTCATGGGTTCATTGACTTTCCACTAAACGGGCTTGATGTCATTGGTTGTTACTTACGCACGTTTCACCCTCCCTTGAAGCGGATCTCTTTATGTAGCGCACATTATAAGAGGGGAGACGTTATTTTCCTTATTCATGAATAATTTATGTTTTATTTGTTATTGTTTTCAAGAATACGTGCATACCGTTTAATTATTAGTTAATTATTCTGCATTTCCATATTTTTGTTTCCATTCTTATTAAATTACAATTCCAAAAGTTAAAGTAAAAAAATTATAATTATGTATGAAAAAACAGGAATTTTAGTGGAAATTTTTTACATAAAAATGTCCAAAAATCTGAATTTTTTTTTGGAAAATGAGATTAGAAAAGGAAACGCCGGATATGCCCATTTCCTGTTTCAAATATATAATTCCCACATTGAATCATGCTACAATCCAACACAATCTGTCAGTTCCGTCAAATTAAAATTTTCATTACATTTCATTGTCAGATCTGTGTTTTATACATTTTATATCTTGTAAGCATTTAGTTTCTTTTGAAAGTCCATATTCTTTTTATAGGTTTGATAATTTTCATAAAATTTAATAAATCTTTTCAAAACGTTTTCAAATTTGAGCATGAAAAATTTAAAATTTTAATTTCACGAGGATTTTTTTTTATATTTACACTGTAATTAAAACTCAACATTTTCCCGTAAAATCGATGTATTTTTTTTATACGTCGCTTGACCTATTTACTTAACCTTTCCATCTTAATTAGGGTGATAGGAACGTGATTCGGAGAAATTTTTGCCAATTTTGAGATAAAAAAAATATTTTGGAAAATTTCCATAAGAAACAAAGTCAAATTACAAAAATTCAATTCTCCCAATGGCTTCAGTTTTTCTGACAGACGCCTACAAACCAATATTGATGTAGACAAAAAATTATTATCAAAATTAATCTTGCTGTATTTTATTTTATTTATTTTTTTTTTTTTGCAAAAGTATAAGTTTCTATTGAATTTTAATTCACTTGAAATAATTGAAGCCATGGAAAGGTTATTTCGCTCGTTTCTCCAAAACCAAACAAAGTCTCAGTTTCAACTAAATGGAATTCCGGGAGGAACACGGCGGGCACTAATTTAATTCATGGAGTGTTTGCATCTGTACACCCTCTCGTATAATTCCCGAGCATTAGACGCCGGCATTGAATTCGGCTGGGCCACATTACACAGTATTTGCTCTGTAAATTATAGTGGCGTTTGCGCCGAACACGAAATAAAACTTTGTAATCTTCGCCGCGCAGAAATGCCTTAATTTTCACCAGCAGACTCTGCTCTCCTCGCGGCGCGAGTGAGAGAGAGAGTAAAATGTAAATCAGGCCATTTAAACGCCCCTGCATCTTTTGGACCACCCTTTATAGTTCGCAGCGCCTTTGTGTGATAAAGGGGGGACTTAAAATTATGCTCAGAAATTTGGCAGCCTTTTCGGCCCGCTCGATACGACCGACAGTAAAAGAGGGAGAGCTTATGCAAGCCCGCACTGTGGCCGTCATAAGCGGGTTGCATAGCCAGAAGTCGCACTCCGCGCACGCAACGCACACACACACAGAGATACACGCGCTCAAAACACATCTTTTTTTCCATTTCTTGCTTTTTACTAATGAAGTTTTAATGACGCCGCCAGCGCGAGTTTACAACATACGTTCCAGAAAAAGAACTTGGGACGCTTTTCGGCAAATTAGGAAAAGTTTTCAACCCTGCATGCCTTTAAAAAATAATCAAAACTTTGAAGATCACGTTTGAATTTGCGCTCAAAAGAGTAGTCCATTGAGATGGCGAGGAAGAATATATTTTTTTTTCAATAGTTGAAAAAAAGGATTTGAAAAATTATTATATAAAAGTGTCAATTAAAAAAGCTTTAAATAATTGTGTTCTATAAAGTTTGATCTTAAATTACTGTCTTATATTTTTTGGAAAAAAGTTCATTTCAATTTTATTCCACTTGCTTCTTCTAAAATAATTTTCTTCATTAAAAAAGCAACCAACTGCATAATCTCCAATAAAAAAACGCTGGCTAAATTTTCAGAACAAATTGCAACAAAGATTGAATTAGAATTTCAAATTTGGAATTGCTCTAGAAGACCAAATTGCCTCATTTCAGCAATTATTAAAAACCAAAATATCCAGAGTTTTAATGCAATTTTCCATTTCAGGAATAAAGTCCATAAATTTTTTATTCTTCAAATATTTTGTTTTTCACGCCAAATGAAGGAAGAGACGAATCGGCAGACTGCACAGTCGGACAGTTGATGCACTCGAATGCCGCCGAGGAAGCTCCATGGAGTGTCTCTATATTTTATTTTCCCACTTTTTACTGCATTTCCAGCTCGGAGCGAGTGGAGCGTGAAAAATGCGCATTCGCAAGACAAAAAATATATATATGATGTTTTGGAATTGTAGTGAGTATAAAAAAGAAAATAAATTCCAGGCCGAAATGCGCGCGCGGGCTCGGCCGCCGGTTCTCATCTGGCTAAAGGGGAGACTTTGGTACCCCGCCACTAACTAAAATTACTTGACGTGTCTATAAAAGGCTGGCCACATGCCCTGTGAATAGAAACTTGAGATTGGCACGGCACCAGCGGGCGGCGAGCAGCACCTCTGCAGGAGCCGAGCGGAAGGGCAGAAATGAAAAAGATAGATTGGCGCTTCTTCCATCGTGCTAAGAATATCTTTCTCCTCGAGCGCCGCTCTCTCGCCTTCTTTTCCTCTGCGCCGCCGAGAAAGAGGACGAATTTTAATAAAAATCCGGCCGACCGGCGTAAAAATTTGAAATCGCGTGGGGCGCGTGCGCGTTGATTTTGAAAAAACAAATCACTCGAGTTCGCACCGCTTGTTGAGTTGGTTTTCTCGCTTTTCACCGAGACGCGTCGGCTCCCAGGACAGTGTAGGCCGCCCTTTGCTTTGGCATTAGTTGAGAGAGGACTCGCGTGCGCAGCAGGGATGTCTGCCTCCGTCAGCAAAACCACCAAGACCTACACCTACCGCTCCTCCGGAGGTGGCAACGCTGACGTCAGCATCGAGTACTCCGCTGACCTCAGTGCCCTCACCCGTCTCGAGGTATTTTTTTGTATTCCACCCTATTTTATTTCTCCTCAAACTCTACTCGTTACTTGTGCTTAGTACTAATCTGTAATTGGAGCAATTCTCTATCAATGTGAATGGACGAATCAAAATTCAAAATATTTCTGAACCCGATAAAACTAAAAATTGCTTTTTCAAATTCTTGTGCCATGTCATAACTTTTGCTTTGCTGTATAAATTGAGCCCCTTAAAAAAATTATAAATATAATTCTGCCTATTCTATTTTTGATTTTTCTCTTTCTTCGAAGTAAGAAAAAGATCTGCATTCGAAAAACATAACTTAAAAGGCAACACCTTCTTCCTTCATGCATGTTTTTTTAGTGCACCTGCATTTCAATTCTCCAGAACGGAAGAGAAATGAGAAATATAGGTCAGACGCCGTTTCACGTTTGTTTAAATTAAAAGTTGGCCCTTGTGCTGTGTTCGACGGTCCTCTCTTCTCGCAGCATAAATTCCTACTTAAAATAAGCCACCTGCGCATGCTTGTTCCGAGAAAAGGGTTTTAAAAAGCTCTAGGCGGCATCTTAGGCAGCGAAAAATGATACGGCGAGCGTGAAAATTTTTGAATTAAATTTCGAGCATTGCCGGCGCCGATCACATGTGAGCCGATTGATTGTAAACATCAGATTCGAGTAAACGGCCTAAATAAAAAAAAAAATCAATTGTCGATTCAAAATAATAATAAAAAAATTGAGCAAAATTAATTAATTTGAAAAACGTTTCTAGCTTTAAATAGATTTCGGCTTTAAATTGAAATTTTTCTCCAGCGAATTTCCAAGAATCACGTGTTGATATCAAAACATCCTGTCTGAACTAGAACCTTCTTATTGGTCCTCTTAAAAACGGAAGAATTCAGAAAAATTATCAATCAGTGAATTGCTTAAAATTTAAATACTATGAAACTTTTGAGGGAAAAACAACAACAAGAAGCACTCTCCATTGATTGACTCAATTTTATTTTAGATTCGGCGTTCATTGTCATCGGCTAACTTTAGGTTCTCACGCGTTCTTCTGACTCAGAACAAGATTACGCAACAAAGTCAGAGGATACTAATAATTCGAAATTAATTTATATTTTCCTTCAAATGATCATTGATAATTCATCTGGATTATTTTTACAGATTTCCATTTAATAATAATTTCAACTTTTTTATTTTTCAAAAAACTGTCACAACATTGAACGTCAAATAAAATTTGGTCTCGTTTATCAAAGGGCAGCTAATATTTTCAGTATTTATAGTCTCCAGACTCTTATCTTGTTCAACTCCTAAAATATGAACCTCTTTTGGATCCTCGTACTTAATGGTGCCATTCTCAACACTCGCAGTTGCCTGAGTGCTCTTAAGATAAAATCTTAACGGTTCCTAATGCGTTGTTCATAATACTTTTCCGTACAACATTCTTACTTTTCCAAGACTGGAACGAGCTTCATAAACTTACAATTATTCCAAAATAACTTGAAGTTTGAAATGAAATATTACAGGCTAATTTAAAAACGACACGTTGTAAATCTTCATTTTTAAACATTTCAACCTCTGAATATAAAAAAAACCGTCTCTGCGAAGCCAGATTTCTGCTCAAATTATAAAATAACTCTCTCGGCTCGGCTCACCCGCGACAAATCTGAAAACCACAAATATTCTGGTGCGAAAAGCACACGAAAAATAATATCACTCTGCTGGCCATTAAGCGTTGCAGAGCATGGCGAACGCATTCCTCCGCTGCTACTCATGCAGGATAAAAATAGGAGACGTGACGCCGCCACCGTGTAAATCCAGCCTCTTTCTCTCGTTCGTGGTGCCATTCGAACGAAAACTCGCCGCCTTTGCTCTCACAACATTTTCTCGTTAATTAAAACAAAATCCTTTCGCCGAAACCAAAACATTTGCCAACTCAATTGAATCTCGCCGACGGTCGGCGACGGCGAAAATTTTGTCCCGGGCCCGAGACGAATTGTGTAGGCGTGCGGCGGGTTGCGTTTCTCAGAAGAGCCTCCTCCAGTCTGAACTTGCTCGCTTCCATACTTGAAAGGATTACCGACTCCTTACACTTTCCAACTATGATGAAATTACTCCGAATCGGAAAAGTATTGATCACAGATCTTAATTTAGCGTGAAATTTAATTAGCCGATGCCAACTGACACGTGATTAGCGCAGAGGTTAATCTTACAGGTTTAAAAGTGATCGGGCGACTCATCGGCAAGGGTTGCTTGCCAAACGATCAGTCGGTCTGACCCAGTCCAACGTGGAACGTGGGTGATGAAAAGAACCGATGAAATCATAATTTCAGAGATTGCCATCCGCTGACGGATGAATATAAATAAATATTACTCGCAAATTCAACAACTGAACGTTGACAGAAGCAAGACCGCGGCGACGTCAGAGTTTGCGAGAATTAATGTGTCACTGCGCGGGTTCTAGGCGCATTCCTATACTTTTAGTCAAATTGTCGCGGCAGAAATAAAAGCCCATTAATTTCAAATTAGACTTCCTTGATTTATGAAATCCTAAATCTTGAAACTAAAACAAACGGTGAATTTTAAAGAAAACAAGGTACACTTGTTTCATAAAAAAAAACCAATTAAAATAGCATCTAAATTTAATTTTTCCCGGTTTTTCAATTCAACAATCTAACGACATCTTCATACATATAATGTTTTGGAAATTTTTGTCAATTATGAACAATATTTGAGTAGCTTTATAATATAATAAAAATTATATAGAAAGAATGAATAGTAAACTGTAAATAAAACTCATGGAATCTTTCAAAAAAACTAAGTAATAGAGAAACTTCCAGCCAAGATTTGATATTCATGCCATTTTTTAAAATCCATTTATTAATATTATTTTCAATTTTAACCTTTTAATAATATTGTTAGCAGAGGTGTTGCCTGAATAGTTTTTTTTTTTTAATTTTGCTTTAAATTGCGCGGCTCAATCCATTCCTACCTTGACTAACAAATTTCTCTTGACTCTCAGAATGGGCTGCCTCTCAATCTGCACTAAAACTCACAACTTGAGGTGAGAACCGACGCTTTTTTGCTTTTGAAAATCTCCCAAAACAGCAAAAAAGAAAAATGTGAAAAGTGGCCCTTATTTGTACACACGTAACCAAAAACTATTCTGATCTAATTTTATTCCAAACGTACTCACGATTTAACAAAAGTAACAAAAATGAATTGCATGAGCTGGTTGAGTAAATAAAAAAAAACCCACATCGCTTAAGCGTAACAAAAACTTAACGAAGCGGAAACTCAAAGTTGTAAATGTGTTGGAGTAAAAAATCCGGCAAACTTTTCGTGATTTACTAACAAATCTCGTTGGATCTCTTTCTTTTGTCTTGATCATTGACCAACCATAATAATTAATTTTCTCTCTGCAGGACAAAATCCGCCTTCTCCAAGATGACTTGGAATCGGAACGCGAACTCCGCCAGAGGGTGAGTTTAATTCATATCCAATAAAAATTTAGCGAGTGACACGTAAATTAAAAGCTAGAGACGTGCGTGTATTTTGGTCTGGAAAATTATGAGCCGTTTGATTTATGTTTACTACGACGAGGGGGATTAGGCGGCTGGACCGCGCGCTTTCCCGCCATTCGCCAACTAATAATTGCTAATAATAGAATTTGGCACCAAAGTCTATCCTAGGCCAATTACTTTTAGCGCCATAACACTCTATTTTCATAACGGCAAATCTGGCGCTAGCTTAATTCGCGAGTGTGTTTAAAACTTTTCTACCTGAGAAGAAGAAGAAGCTCAATGTCAGAGCCACGCGCGGGGGCTGAAAGAGACGCCCCAAATTACACTTCACTCGCACAATGTGACTTTGAACTGAAGAGTTAAATGTGCCAAAGACGAAAACGGCTCCTCCTTTCTTTACACAGGGATTCCAATGGCTTAATTAGCTCCTCAGATTAAATTCCTCCCTCTTTCAGAATCAAACGCTTTTGTTATTTTCGACACAAAAGCCGAATTAATCAAGAGGAAATTGTTCGTACGTGATGAAAAGTAATTTGGCTTTTATAGTTTCAAGGAAATTAGACTTGTTGTGTGCCAATAAAAGCTAATTGTCCTTTTGTAAAATCAGCCTCTGGTAAAATTTCTTCGCATAATTAATAGAAATTAGATTTTCTTTAGATTTAATAAACAGATGATAAAGTTAATTTTTTCAAATTTATATTTAAAAAAATATATAACCAGGTTTCTTTATTTCAACCACGTAATGCCCGTAATGGAGCATCACGCCGGTAAATTAGCAACGCAGAAATCAATCACGCCGTGTTTGTTTTGGCGCAGATAATAGAGATACACATAGGGATGTTGTGTGCATTAACCGAGCGTCATGTTTCATTTGACAGATCGAGCGTGAAAAGGCCGACCTGAGCGTGCAAGTGATTACTCTGTCTGAGCGACTGGAGGAGGCCGAGGGCGGCGCCGAAAGCCAGGTATGCATCACGGCGATTTCACCCTCCATTTCGTTCTGATTATTACTTTTTGTTTTTTTTTTGTTTTTCAGTTCGAAATCAACAAGAAGCGCGACACCGAACTGACCAAGCTGCGCAGGCTGCTGGAGGATGTGCACATCGAGAGCGAAGAGACAGCTTCCCTGCTCAAGCGCAAGCACCAGGAGATCGCCAACGACTTCCAGGAGCAGGTCGATGCCCTCACCAAGGCCAAGACTAGGTGAGTTCCAAATTCCCACAAATGACGAACGGGGAAGACGATATTATTCCGACTCGTTTTGACCAAGAGCCAAAAAAACGTATCCAGGCTATTTAAAACGTGCGGTGATCTTTTTAGAAATTTAATTAAGCAGGGAGATAATTTTGTTTCAACCTATTAAATTTCAAAAGAGTGCATGAATTTTTAAAAAACTCAAATTATTATTTATATACTATTTTTATAAAATTTAGAAAGGAACGATTGGAAATTTGGAGACTGAACTTGACCTAATTTGAATCCGCTTGAAAATCATTCCATTCATGGTCAGTTATCAGGATGAGCCATTTTTCAATCAGGCAACTGCTCAACATATGGGTCACTGCGGTTGCATAAACACTAAAGGAAGAACAAACTGTGGACTCGGAAATAGACCTTTATCTATGAAAGTTGGGCTTGAGTGATGCTGTTGTTTATATTTATGTTTCTATGAAGCGTAAAGGCCAAGTTTAAAAATTCTGACAGCCGTAAAGAAGTCTTCCTTGCCAGCTGACGTAGTAAATTTCCAGTATAAAAACAAATTAGAATATCCATGCAGCACTTGAAAAAGCGCCTTCTGGTGTTTTTAACGGAAAAGAATCGGCTATGGGTGAAATAAAAAATGATTTTACAAATGAATGTTGAAGTAAAATTTTGCATAAATATTTAAAAAAAAAATGCCAGACATTTCTATTCTTTTTGTTATACGTGTTTGCAAAATGAAAATAAAAAAAATATCGGACGATTCTTTTATTGAGGGACAAAATAGATTTGCTTGTAACATTCCTGGTAACGTCTCCCTAAATCAATGAGGAAACAGCTTGAAGCTTTTTACCACAATCGGCAAAGCCGGAGCAAAAACTCGTTTTTTCCTCCTTTCTATTGAATCAGAGAGGATCGCGGAAAAACACAATAAAGTGAGAACGAACGAGAAGCTGAGCTGTGCTGACAAAACGATCGCGAGTAATCCTGTGTGCACCACGAGCGAGGCCTTGGTGTGCAGAAAAAGCTGGATCGGAAAGCGAGCGAGCGAGCGACACAGCCCATCTTTTTTCCCGTTTGAAAAGCAAAAGTGGCATTGTCTCCCCGGGGGCCGTCGGCCGGCCACCGCAACTTGGCTCTTTCTTTGCCTCTTTCGGCCAGCGGGGACGCGCCACACTCTGCGGTCGCCGGCCCGGCCTGCGGCGACCTTTGCGGGGGCGCAACGACAACATGCTTCTTTTTTTCTTCATTTTATTCTGCCCTGCACGCGTGTGAATCCGAGCATTATAGCGGGGCCGTTTCATTTCATTCTTCAAAAATAACGCGCGTTTTAGGGCAGCCATAAAAAGAACGGCGATGGGCTTCTGCGGTATAAGTCGCGCCGCTGTCATCCCCGAGTAACTGGGTCAAGCGTGGTCTCTAATTGGAGGCTGTTAACTCATCTCTCTGTACCTCTCTCGCTCTCCAAAGCGGCTTTGCCCCCGAGCGACAAGGCAAGGGGTGCCGCTTTTTTCTAAATTGTGTTGGCTTAGCGCGTGCTAACGAATTTCACAAAAGAGCAATTTAATAAGCGCACTTTTACAAAATAAAAACGCCGCGTTTAATCCCGCCTTGATTCCGCCCGGATTTCTAAAGACAGACGTTTGCATAAGTGCCTTTGATGCTTTGGATTTTAAAACCGTCATTCGAGGGTGGAATTTTGTAAAAATTCTTCTTTTCATTATAAAAAAATGTTCAAGTCTTCTTTTTTGATGAGTGTTTAACTATTTTTTGTAGGTCATGATGATAAATCAGTCTCCAAATGAATTGTATATTCGTGCAGAAATTATTTTTGAAACCAAATATTTAAAAGTCTTTCTCTATTATTTTATAAAATACTAAAAATTTGATCTCAACAATGACTAAATCGCCCCACAGATATCTAATTCATTGATTTTTTTTAGATTTAAATAAGAAGTAACAAAATAATAAAGTAGAATGGATAAGATAATTTTCAACATTTCTTATTCAAATTAATTATGTTTTCATGAAAGTAGCGGAATTTCTAAATATTTTAAAGATGTTAAACATGCTGAAAATGAAGCAATTTAGATAAATGCAACCTGCTTGACATGGAAGCAAATCAGGTTGCATAGCTCAACACATTCAAGGCGTCTTCTATATTACCTAATATTCTCCTCAAAATTAGTACAACTTTGTCAATAATACAAAATGTACAATTAAAATGAACGTGAAACGCGTGAAACATGGTGTTTTGAAAAAAATTAAATTCAAACATTGCAAAAAAGATATTTTTTCCATGTAAATGCGTGAAAAGAGCTTAAAAAATGCAGTCAAAACAAGCTCAGTCGGGCCGTTTATACAAAAATAAATGTGTTGAACGCGTGATAAGAGTGCACAGCGGCCATAAATTTCAAAGAATATATCCGCGTTCGGCCAGACGCACTCATCACACAGCTAGAGGCTCCCTGACGCATGAAGAGCCCACCCGAAATCTGTCCGTGTCCCTGACCGTGACGTCCACGGGGAGCGCCATTGCAAAAGTCGGCGATTCGAAAATATCCCACCAGTCACCACGGAGAGCCGGAGCGCCGCAGATACACACCAAATTTATTTTTAGCACTCAGATTTTGGCAACATGGCATTTAAATTGCTTTTCGGTAGACACCTTAGGCCTCTTCGTTTATAATACAGAAAAATCGGCACTCGTGCGCAAAGAGTTCGGCCCCGTATTTGAAAAACGAATTTATGAAATATTTGAAAATAAAAGCGACAAGAAATTTCAATTAAATAATGGTAAAATTATTTCTGTGCCTAGGGCCGAGAAGGAGAAGGCCAAATTCCAGGCGGAAATTTACGAGCTCTTGAATCAGGTCGAAGTTTCCAACAAGGAGAGGGTAAAATTAATTAAAAGCTTACGCACGGCATGATTAATGGAGAGTTAATTCTCTAGCTTATGGGAGCAAAGACGATCGAGCGCCTCGAAATCACTGTCCACGACCTTAGCATCAAGATCGAAGAGCTCAGCCGCACCGTCATCGACATCACCTCCATCAAGTCTAGGATTTCTCAGGTAAATTAACTCATAAAATTAAAACTTATCTACGCTGAAATTAAAACTTCTGAGACAATATACATTTTTTTTAATCGCCCTATATATTTTATTTTTCCATCTTCGTTGCGGTGGTATGAACAAGACTAATTAATTTGTTTTTAATTTTGGTCAGGCTTATTTTGAGAAAAAAATTATTTTAGAAAATTCCCAGAAGAACCAATGTACAATTTCAAAAATTCAGTTCTCCCAATGACTTAAATTTTTCTTACTATGTCTCATTGGAACTGAAATCTACTAATTAATGCTAATGTAGAGGAAAATTACCATAAAAATTATTCGGGCCGTTTTTTTTCAAAAGCTTTTTAATGTACAAAAGTGTGTTTGATTTAAAATATTAATTTTCTGTTTTAGGAAAACATTGAGCTGACTAAGGAGGTGCAGGAACTCAAGGTTAACATTGAGAATGCACTCTACCTGAAGAGTCAGGTCGTTACCCAGCTTGAGGATTGCCGCCGTCGTCTTGAAGATGAGGACAGGGTGAGTCACTTTTCAAAATTTTTAATTTAAAAAAAAAGTGATTAAATTATTAGTTTAAAAATTTGTTTTAAATTAAAGATTTTCCATCAAATGAATTCATTATTTTCATTGAAAAGTGAGGAAATAAAGAAATTTAATAGAATGTATTTGAACAATTTGAATTGTTACAGAGCAATTTAAAATTCATTGATTGAAAAAAGGAAATAAAATGTAAAAATCATTGTCAATATTTAAATAATTAGAAATTTTTGGTAAAAATAAACCAATGGACAATTTGAAATTGTGAATTTCAGAGGCGTTCAACCCTGGAGTCGACCCTTCACCAGGTCGAGATCGAACTGGAGTCGGTGCGCGTGCAGCTGGAGGAGGAGTCCGAGGCCCGGCTGGACATCGAGAGGCAGTTGGTGCGCGCCAACGCCGACGCGCAGACCTTCAAGTCCAAGTACGAACTGGAAGTGAACGCTCGCGCCGAGGAGGTGGAGGAGATCAGACGCAAGTTCACGATCCGCATCCAGGAGTCGGAGGAGCACATCGAGACCCTGATGGTCAAGATCAACGCCCTGGAGAAGCAGAAGTCGCGTCTGCAGAGCGAAATCGAGGTGCTGATCATCGACCTGGAGAAGGCCAACAACACCGCCCGCGAACTGCAGAAGCGCGTCGAGCAGCTCGACCGCCTCAGCGTCGACCTCAAGTCCAAGCTGGACGAGACCACCATCGCCTACGAGTCCTCCATCCGCGACCTCAGGAACAAGCAGGCCGAACTGCAGCGCGCCAACCACGAGCTGGAGAAGACCCGCGACCAGAAGGAGGCCCTCGTGCGCGAGAACAAGAAGCTTGGCGGTCAGTTAATCAATTAAAATCATTACTACATTTATAATAATATCAAAATTTAAATAACAATTTTAAAAATCAATAAATAATATGTTTAAATATATAAAATTAAATTATATATTAAAAAAAAAACAATAAACTATTATAATAAAAAATAAAATTTAAAATCATATTAAAAAATTAAAAAAAAAAACTAAAACGTTCAATTATTCTATAATATAAATTTAATGAAAAAGAAGCAAAATTGAGAAATATTGTTTATTTTTATCACAATTTTTAAACCATGCAAAACCATGATTTATAAAGGTTAATTTCAGTTCAAAATAATATAATTATTTTCCTTTTTAAATAGACGATTTGTCTGACACCAAGCTGCAGTTGACCGAGGTCAGCCGCCGCTACCACGAGTTGGAGGTTGAGATCCGCCGTCTGGAGAACGAACGTGAAGAAATCACCACCGCCTACAGGGAAGCCGAGGCTGTAAGTTCCACCGAGCAATTCTTTTATTTCCAACTCTAATTTAAAATTGGCAAATAGAGCCGCAAGGCTGAGGAGCAGAAGGCCCTGCGCCTGACCTCCGAGTTCAACCAGTTCCGCCATGAAACCGAGAAGCGCATCGCCATCAAGGACGAGGAAATCGAATCCATTCGGTAGGTTTCGTTAAATTTTATTTATTTTTTTAGTTTTTATTGATTTTTTTTTCTAAATTTTATAGCAAGCAGACCAGCTTGGAGATTGAACAGCTGAACTCGCGCGTCATCGAGGCCGAGACCAAGCTTAAGACTGAGGTCACCCGCATCAAGAAGAAGCTGCAGATCCAGATCACCGAGTTGGAAATGTCTCTGGACGTGGCCAACAAGAGCAACATCGAGCTCCAGAAGACCATCAAGAAACAGTCCCTCCAACTCACTGTGAGTGGAAATCACCATTTTTTTAAATAATATTTTAACTAATTATGGAAATTCAGGAAATCCAAGCCCACTACGACGAGGTGCACCGTCAGCTCCAGGTCACTGTTGACCAGTACAGCGTGGCCCAGCGCAAGTTGCAGGCCCTCACTGCCGAAGCCGAGGAGATCCGCGGCAACTACGAGGCTGTGAGTTTTCAATATTTCAATTTCAATCGAAAAAAAAATTTATATTTTGTAGGAAATGGAAACTTAAAAGTACTGTAAAATGGTTTTAGAATGATATTTCATACAATTTTTACAAATAAAATAATTTTTTTTTTTAATTTAAAATTTTTTAATATTAAATTGATTTATTATATATTAATTTTTATTCTTATTTATGGACACTGACAATATTTAAGTATATATTTAAAATGTCAAACAAATTAAAATGTATTTAATGTGTAATATTTTAATTACACCAGGCCCTGCGCGGAAGGCGCGCTGCTGAGCAGCAGTACGAGGAGGCGACCACCCGCATCTCCGAACTGACCACCATCAACGTCAACCTGGCCTCCACCAAGAACAAGTTGGAGCAGGAGTTGTCCGTCATCGCTTCCGACTATGACGAAGTCACCAAGGAGCTCAGAGTGAGATTTTCTTTCAAAAATAATTGCAATTTTTAATTAACAATTTCGAAATTGCAGATTGCCGACGAGCGTTACCAGCGCGTGCAGTCCGAGCTGAAGCACGTCGTCGAGACTCTGCACGAGGAGCAGGAGCGCGTGGTCAAAATCGAGTCCATCAAGAAGTCACTGGAGGTCGAGGTCAAGAACCTGTCCATCCGCCTCGAGGAGGTCGAGACAAACGCCCTTGTCGGAGGAAAGCGCGCCATCAGCAAGCTGGAGGCCAGGGTAAATCACTTCTTCCCACCATTCCCAGACACAATTTCACTTTATTTTTAAAATTTTTTATTTTGCAAACAAACTAACCGTCGCGTGTGTTTACTAACTGAAACTCGGTGTGATTATTGTTTTGCAAGTTTGGACGACTTTTGGCAGATCCGTGATATTGAGCTCGAACTTGACGAGGAGAAGAGACGCCACGCCGAAACCATTAAAATTCTGCGCAAGAAGGAGCGCGTGGTCAAGGACTGTGCTCTGCAAAACGAAGAGGACTCCAAGACCATCTCTCTTTTGCAGGACGCCTATGACAAGATCAACGTTAAGGTCAACCTGTACAAGCGACAGCTACAAGAAACTGTGAGCATATTATAAATAATAATTTCTGTTTTTATAAAATTTCAAAACACCAGTTGTAAAGTTCATTAATTCATACAAAAAGAAAAAGAAATTTAAATTTCAAAAGATAAAAGCACAACTTTCAATTTTATTTTATTATTTTAATGTATAATATAAAAAATGATAAAAAACAGAAAAATATAATTGTTTAAAATTATTATTATTTTTTCTACTCGATTCTGTAATAAAATTTAAAATGGAAAAAATGAGCAGAAAAAATTATCAAATAGCAAAAATTATTAAAGTTATAAAACTACAATAAAAAAAAAGAAAAATGAAAATTTTAATTTAATAATAAAAAAATATAATAAAAAAATTATTTTAATGATTTTTATAATTATTAATTGATAATAATTTTATTATTGTTTTCTTTGATAATTTTTTTCCTGTTTTTACAAAATTAAATTTTCCTGAATGTTTTAATTTTTTTAATTTAAAGAAAGATCTGAATGTTATGATTTTATATTTTAAAATAAATTTAATATTGTATTTTAATCTATTTATTTTAAATGAATTTTCAGGAGGGCATGTCGCAGCAGAGCGTGACCAGAGTAAGGAGGTTCCAGCGCGAGCTTGAGGCCGCCGAGGAGCGCGCCGACACTGCCGAGAGCAACTTGTCCCTGATCAGGGCCAAGCACCGCACCTTTGTCACATCTTCGACCATCCCTGGCAGCCAGGTGTACCTAGTACAGGAGACTGTCAGGTCGTCTTCCGCCGAGTATAATTAATCCACAGAGAGAGGAATTAAAAAAATAAATATCATCTTAAGCAAAATCATCTCGCGACAAGGATTAATTGGGAACTATTGGACTCGGTGCCAAAGCTGTAAAAACTAGCGCGGGTGTCGCTCGTCTAGGTGCATTTTAGCCACACATGATATTATATATTCCTCGACACCCGTTCGCGCGCCAACTTTTTCCGGATGATAAGCCTTTGTGTCTCTGCGCGGCGCCGAACGCAATTTTTTTTATAGCTTTAGCACCGATGACAAAAAATTTCCACCATGGGTGTCATTTTATATCATGCTAAATTGTTGGAAATTATTGTGAAATAATAACAGATTTATGGTATTTAACAAGGTGTTGTTATTTAATCTGTCTATTATAAGTTTAAAAAGAACTAAAAAAAATAATAAAAAAAAAATCTAAAACATCTGTTTCTGTCTGCCGCAAGTTCACTTATTAGAAACGTTACTTAGCGTTCCTGCTAACCTTTGTTTTTGCAGCTTGTTATGTTCCCTGCGCTGTCATAACATTAAATTATAATATATGCACGTTCGTACAGAGCCACTTGCGGTTTCCGTAAATTCTATTTGTTTCGTGCGTATCTCAACAATATATAACGTTTAAAGGTGCAAGTTGTCCTTGCGCGCTTAGTGATATATTATTTACTCAATCAGTGATTCGGGGTGCACAGCACCGTGCGCCTGTTTAAACTTTATAATATATAATATAATAATTAATAAACTGTATCGAATTTAAAAGTAATATTTTTCATTTAAAACTGGAAAACTTTAATCAGCACGGACAGGTTTTTGCACAATCACACAGCAGCTGATTTTTGTTTGGGTACATTTATTATAAAAAAACTTACATAGCACATAATATACCATTTTGCTTAGCACAGTAGGTTAGAGATAAGTATTAAATTGCACTCTCTGCAACGATTCTCCGTGGTACAAATAGGAATTCTCCGTTTCCGTCAACATGTCAATTAAAACCAGCGGTGAGGCAAGACTCAGGCGTTATTGGTGGAAGAAAAGTGTATTATATCGCAAGAGAGCTATCGACGAGAGTACATAATAAAGAGAGCAACAAAAAAGTAGTAAAAATATGAAAATATATTTTCTCTTTAAGTTGAAACAACAAAGACAGAGTTTAGCAAGTCTGACAGGCAGGTAGGTAGCACAAGCTGGTAAATTAATAAAACAGCTCGCTTTTCATTAAATTAAGGAAACAACAAAGTCACAGAAAATTTTCTAATTCAGAATTTAAGGGGCACAAGACCTATTAAAAAATATTTTCATCAGGACAAGTGGACAAATAAACAAACAAACAAAAATGTATAAAATACCACACTGCATGTATGAAATACAAATATTCATCTATAATAAGGCCTACTCTAGCCAGCAGAATATCCACATTTCCAGGACTCACTATATACGATACTTGCTTCTATCAAAAGCATAAAGTAGAACTTAAAAATAATCATCTTCCGTAAAAAAACTTTTACTCCTGTGTGCTCACCTTTTCAAGGCGTGAAACTAATGGTGTGGACTTCTCAAGACCTGATTTTTTTTAGGTACAGCAATGACTTAATTATTGAACCTGTATATTAGGATAATTGAATTGTTCTAAAATTTCAATCTCTATTTATTGACTGATTAAAAACACAATTTTCGGAGGAAAGTTTAATTTTTTTTATCTCTCAATTATTTTTCTTTTTTATCAAATTAATTAACTGATTGAGCAAAAATCAAATCCTGATTGAAAAGAGAGCGATTCAGTTCACCTTACTTGGCGCTGGAGCCACCAAAAACGGAGCCCACAACACCAGTGATGCCAGATTTGACACTGCCAATGGCCGTATCAACAAATTGCTTTGCATTGTCGTTCCAAGAGATGATCCAGTAGGCAATGTAGAAGTAAATAATTCCCCAAAAGATCTGCTGAACCCACCAAAGCCTGTGTTGAGAAAAATTAAAAATCATTATTCAACAAGAACTTTCAAATCTTAATCGTACCTTTTGGCGTGCCTCCTTGCAGCTGGCAGGGTGGAAAGATCTTCCTTCATGCAGTACTGACGAGCTCCTAAAATGACGTTCTTCAAGTACAAGTCCTGGTCGACGTTCTCCGTGTCTTGGAAGAACGTTTCCCTGTCCGACGGACACATTTGCTTGTTCATCGCGGCAAAGTTTTCATTCGCAAAGACCCACTCGCGAGTTGTGAAAAAGTACAACAGGTTCAAACCGAAGGAGATTTTTTTCTGAAGGCGGATCATGCTGGGGAGATCAAAATAATTTTAGAAAAAAATCATTTTAAGACATTTCCACTCACAATCTTTTCTGGCCGAACAAAAAGAGGAGGCAGTCGATCAAAATCGCAGGGACCCAGTGGAAGAGGTAGAGGGTGAGCATGTGCATGTACTTGTTGCTGCGGATTTCGCCGTCAGGGTACCACACGGCGCCCTCGAAAGGGTTCGCGTGGAAGTGCTTCTTGCCTCTGCCGACCACCTCGCCCCAGGTGATGGGCGCGATGTTTCCTGTCGTGATGTTGAACACCTGCACTTCGTACTTATTCCTGGAAAGTGTATAAAGAAATCAGTATTACGATTTGTACTTCAATACTGACACAGACTTGTCGAAAATGCGTCTCCAGGACGCGGAAATGAGAGCGTTGATCGCGATGTCGACGGGAATGACTTGAGCGTGGTAGTCAGGGTTGCAGTGCATCGAGCGCAGCACTCCCTTGCCGGCGGCCACCAGGATGCCGACGGGTCCGTTCAGGCTGTCGACCCAGCCGGGCTTGGGCTCTTTCAGAGACGGAACCACTGAAGCAGTAAAAAACTTTATTAGACGCTTTTACGGCGCATGTAATGGAGAATGAAAGACGACGGCCATTACCGATGGAGGGCCTGCAAATGGCAACAGGAATTTCGCGCTCGGCTCTCTTGATCAGCGTTTCGGCCAGTCGCTTCGAAAATGTGTATGTGTTGGGGTTGGGAGGCAAAACTCTGCAAATTTCACAAAAATATTTACATAACTTTCGTTTAAATAAGTTCTTCTTACTTTTTCTCCAGCTCTGCGAGCATTTCATCATTCATCCAAGTCACAGATTTCATCAAGTCTTCGGGCTCGTAAGGAGCCTCGTTTGTCGTCTCTTCCAGCACCAAATGGTCAACGTGGCAAAATGCCGTCGACAAGTGCATGAAAGCCTGTAATTATTATTCAAATATAAACTCATAAACTCGAATTCCAATGAAACATGTAAAAAAAATTAAAAAAATTACAATATTTATATTAAAAAATACAATTTGCCGATTTTTAATCTTTATGATTTTCATTTAATTATTAAATATCAAAAATTTAATCATTCTTCAATGGATATTATTAATGATTTTTGTATTGCCTCAAGTTTCTTCATGCCCTTGGCAAGTTCAATCATTTTGGCGGTGCCGCTTGTATTTTGAATGATGGCATCTTTCAACGGAGCCTCCAATTTGAGCGTGGCTGCGCTGTGGAAGACGATGGACACCTCTCGCTGCAGCAGAGCTCGGTGCTCGTCACTCAAACCCAGTCCTTCGGCACAAAGGTCGCCTGGGATGGCCACCACCTTCGACGTGGCACCAGGTCGCTCATTGCGAATTCGCTCGAAAACCTGAGTAAAAAACAAGGAAGACGATTAAACGCGCACATGATATGTAAAAACACAAATTTCTGCGAATGCAAGTCAGAGAGAAGGAAGCGAGGTCGATGCGGAAAACTAAATCTTGCAAATCACGGTTACTATAGCGAATTTCAAACAAAAGCACTGGCCAGGCATCAAATTAACTATTAGATTTCCGAGTGACCTTCACACACTGATGTGTACCAACAACGCTATTGTAATGGTCAAAATCTAACAGTGACGAACATTTCATGGCAAAAATCGTTAAAATATTGTCAACGTCATAGTTCAATGCGGAGAAATAAAAAATGCAAATAAATATAATAAAGAAATGTCGGAAATTATGAACCAAGGTTTATTTCCAATGTGAATTTGTGCGCTCATAAATTCAGAATGTCAAATTATCAACTAAATGTTAATTTTATTTACATGCGCAAAGTACGAATTTCAACGGAGAGGCGCAATTGTTTTAATTTTGGTGTAAAAATTACTAGTGCAAGACACGCAACGCACTCGTTTTTTAGGACAGTAAAGCGTAAATTCACCGCTTAATTACCGCAAACCAAAAGGTAGCGAAACGTATAAAAAGCGCAATTCAGACACTTTTTCTCACAACATGTCCATAATGAAATGCGAGATAATCTCAAAAAGTTAGATCCGCCGAAGATATTCAATTACGACAGAGAGCCAAACTAGCGAAGCGATATTATTGCGTCAGGACAAGCGAGACGAAAGGAATGCTGCTTGGCTTTCTCGTCACCGTAATAAAAAGTGTCCTGGCTTTTTGCACCCATTTTGCTAATGCTATTCTCTATGTAGTCGTCAGATGGCTAATTAATATCTAAGCATGTGAAAGTATATAAATTGACTTAATTCAAAACACGTGCGAGGGGATTTGCTGCTGAATCAGCTTGGTAAATAATAACCAAACTCATCTCCATAGAGTGTTTGTTTAACATTTTGAATTTAAATTTCCACTCGCCTAGATCTCTATCAAGGGCTCGCCGTTTTAAGCGCCCAAAGCAATAATGCAAGGCCAGATTTAAGCCGAAAAGTTGTAATAAGTCCAACTGGTAGCCGGACCGACAACTTTCACCAAAATGCAGTAACCAGTCGCCGGCACCTTCTTAACCTATTAAAAACCAGTCTAGATTCGCAACATCAGACGGAGTTTCAAAAAATATGACAGGGGCTTAAGCCGGAAGGGATGTGTCTTGACGCAAATCGGATCATTTTTTCTTTCTTTTTTTATTACGGGCCATTATCAATTTTCACCAAAGTGAGAGGATCGCATAATGACGCTTGCATGCATAACTTAATTATGAAAAAACGCCAAGTGGAAACTATAATTTGAGCACTCGTTTAACGAGTTTCGCGTGTTCCTTTTTTTTAATTGCACCAGTCTGGCTGGAAAAATTAAGCAACTAAATCCCCATAGCATCTCAATGAAATATTTATTACTCGTGGCGAAGGAACACGAAATCGTATAAATTAAGGTAATAAAAAGCGCATTGCATTAAACTCACCGGCAGTTTCATCATTTCGACGATTCTTGCTTCTTCGCTGAGTCCTCTCTTGGGCCGCAGCAAGAGGTAAATTTTTTCCAGGTCCGGGCACGAGTACAGCAGCTTCTCGACCAGCACTTTGCCCATAAACCCTGAGCCGCCGGTGATGAAAATCGACCGACCCCGGTACATGTCCGGGATGGTCGGCCACTTGCTTGTGTCTACCATTTTATAGGCCATTTTCGGAGCTGAAAAACGGAATTAAAAATGAAAAAATATATATTAAATTGATAAAAGCAAAAAAAAAAGGTTTGAAAGCTGCTTATTTTCCTTCCTAGAAGTGGTTTTATGTAAAAGAGAAAGATCAATTCCAAAGCTATCAATCTTCAGGCAAGTGGAGATGCGCAAAGGTCCGGCGAGGAAAACCACAATAATTACTGTGAGGTCAGTCGTAGGACTGAGGAAGAAAAGGTCGACGCGCTGATAGCAGTGAGAGTTCGAGATGCTTTTACTTTTCATGAAAAGCAATGATATTTCTGTGTACACTGTCTTGTCAGATCAATTGCTCATTGAAATAAATTACGCGCATCGACTCTCAAGAGTGAAATCTGAGATATTTTTATACAAACTTGGCAAAATTGAAAACCATGACGCTCTGCACGCGAGATTTTTTTATGGCCTTGTCATTAATGACAGGTGCTTTTTTCGATAAGGCCTGCGCTATATTGGTTCTCAATTGAATTAAATTACTTGACAAACACGAGCTATAAATAGAGCTGTGAAGAAATATGGAGCTGGTTATTTTCATCTCGTTTCACTTGATTGATTGCGTAATTCTTAAAAACAAAAAAATGGCATTGGGCTGTGGTTTAAAATTCCAAGAATAGAGAAGCGTTAAAATTTCGGTCAGAAAGATGCAATTCTGTCAAAATCTGTGTGTATATTTTAGATGGAAAGTTTATATCCATTAACGCGAGCAGACGCGAGATGCACGTCATGGCTTTCACTTTTTGTCGTGCGTTTAAACACGGCGTGTTGTTGCATGGCCAGCGAGCCGACGAGGAACAATGTTTTCAAGCATCAAAAAAGAAGCGACCTTACATGATGATTTTGCGTATTTTTTTTTTTTTTACTCAGCGCCAATGCCACTCTCCTAATCCAAGGTAGAGAGGCATTATTTTTGCTTGCACTCCACTTTTAAGCGTGATTACGATTGTTGCCAAAAGCTCAGCAAACAATTTAAAACCACAAATGACATGAAATAAAAAATTTTTAGTTCATACTGTAGCATTACAAAAGTTTGAATTGAGCAAAATAACTGGTAAAAAAATGCGTTTCAAAATAATTTTAGATGATCAATTTGTATTTGTGGAATTGGGTGTAAATTGAATAATAAGATTAATTTGCGCCGATTGTAAAAAGTGCTCACCTGTTGCTTCCGCACCGATGGTCAAACTGAAGTAATCGCCAACCAGGAGAGAGTGCTTTTCTTCTCTTAAAAGTCCGGCGCTGGACTAAGTCGCGCGGAAAGCAGATCTCGGCGGCGCAGACCAACTTTTCTCCGCACGCTACTCGCAGGCGATGCCAGCGACCTGAAACGGAGAACCTGCAGGTACACCGGCAGCACAGCAGTGTGTGTGTGTTGCAGAAACTCGCACCTTCGAATGGCCTAGCCTGGATTTGGTAAATCTCGGTGGGAATTAATTGGTGGGGACTGAAGGAGTTTTGTAATTCCGGCTGTCATTGAATGAACTTGTCCTCCTGTAGTTCAGCGCTCAACTTGTAGGTTTGGGTGAAACTACTGGTCCAATAAATCATGCTCGTGCTTTTTTCGAAACACATTATAGAATATATACCTGAGCTAGTTTTTGCAATCTATTATAGAGCAAGCAAGTTTTTTGTTGTTCAGAATTGATTAGAATGGGAAGCTAAAAGCTCTTGCTTATATTTTGTTATAATGATGATTTTTTTTTTTAAGATTTAGTCTGGATTGAATGGCATGAAGGGGTAATTTTTATGAAAGTTATGGTTGCGTAAATTTTACAATTAAATTAAATTTGCTTTTCACATCATCTTTATTTTTGGAGAAATCTTTATCTTTTTCCTTTTTTTGTCATTATGAATATGAAATCTAATAATAATACTTTCCTGTAAATTCAAAATATCATTTAGATTTAATTAAGCTTAATTTCAATAGATTTGGTTGAAAAATGATTTGAAACATTTAACTAATAAATTTTTGTCAACAAAAGACAACATGAAATATAGATTGCCATGTTTTGATTTTGCCAAATGTGAAAATCTGAAGTTAAATTTTGATAAAAAGGTTACCATTCATCATTTAATGTAGCTTAAGAATAAAGCAGAATCACTGATAAAAGGAAAATAAAATGTTCTATTTTTAGTATCATTAATAACAGAGTGAAAATATTTCTATTGCTGCATCGGTGCCAAAGCGTTGTCTGCTGTTAATCTTTCACTAATTTAGATAAACTGTATCTTGTTGAGTTTATAATTTATTTTGTGAAGGGTCATTAGAAAATTTTAGCCAGAGGAAGAATCGTGACGTAAACAGTGCACAGACTTGCCCTCTTTGAATTATTTTATAGATCTTAAAACCTTTAAATGAAATATAACAAAATATACATTGAATATTTGATAAAGTTTTATACAAAAATTAAGTAATAAAATTTTAGCTCACCAAATTAATATTAATGAAAAATTTTACTATATTTTTTTTGTTGCAAGAAGGAATTGGCTTTTGGTAGAATACAAGAAAATAAGTGGTGAACAAGCCGATTTTTTTTTTAATAATTCCCCTCGATAAAACTTGAAAATTTTTACATCCTGTCAAATTTTGGGTCAATTGCTATACAATCTCTTAGCCAAAAACCTGTATAATTATATGTGAAAAAAAATCAAGTTTCAATACAGTGCATCGATGTGCGACATTCATTTTCGCTTAGTATAAAATCCTTTCCATGAAATGATCTCCGAAAGTTAAACAAAATTCAAGAGGCGGCAAGCTTGAAGCTTTGGCCACGCTCCGAATGAATTTAATAGGCGGTATAAAAAAAAGTGGACCCGCGCGCACGGTTCGATAGTAAAATACTCTTCCGCGCATATCATTGGAGAGCTTTCTCTCCCAGATCGCAGGACCCCCTAATAAAAAGCAAATCAATGCGAGCACATATTACATGGACTCTTGATGGACTGAGCACGCACTTGAGCAATATTGCAAAATCCCCGACGGATATATTTGCAAAACGTGCATTACGCTGCCCAAATGTGTAGACAACGGCAAAAAATATGACATGCCTAGTGTGCTAATTATTTATTACAAAATTATCCTCTCTTTAATGGACTTTCGTAAGGCATTTGACTATACAAGCTAAATTAATTGGGCATTAGGCAAACAAAATTAAAGCTTTTGAAAGATTGAACATTAAAATTATAAAAATTTAATTTCCACTCATGAATAACGTGATAACCACTAAAATAATAAAATATAACAAAACAAATGTTTAGTCACTTCATATTTGTCATGAAAATACCTAACGACAGAATATTTAAATCCACAGAGTAAGTTTTCATTTTATTCGCTTTTTAAAAGATAAAAACGATAAGCTATGTAAATATAAATCATAAATATTAAGAATTAACATTCACATTTTCTCTGTGTGATCGCCAAATTAATTTGCAATAAATATGACTTAAATTTTAATCATAAGATCCAATTCTTCTTGAATTTGGTATAAAATCCATAATATTGCATTAATTTTTCAAAGCATTTAATTAAACGTTGTGTAAAATGAAACTGAAAAATGTTCAATATTATTTAATGAGGTTTTATATTTAGCAATTAATTTCATCACATTGACCGAGAAGATTGTACAGACCGAGAAGAATAAATAATAATAATAATAATTGAAACTTTTTCGCTAATTTTTTTAATTCCCTGCAATTTTTGTAAAACATTTCGCTAACCGAAAATACAACACATTGTTTGTGTTCCTGGGTTTCAAACGCAGCGGACTGGAAATGTGAGTAAAAAAGCCTGCAACACTAAAAAAGCAGTAAATGGGGAAAATAATTTTTTTTATTTAGTTTCAGAAATTTGTTTATTGGTTTCAATATATAAAATAAAATAATATATAAAATTACTCAAACATTAGATCACATTAGAAAATAAAATACTATAGATATAAAATTTAAAAAAACAAATTATGAAATTCTCAAACACATGACATTGTTCTTATTAACAGCTTTATTTGTACAATTTTATTTTAAAATTATTCAACGATGGAATTAATTGTTATTTATTCAATGATAGCATCAACAAATGAAATTAAAATGAATTGAATTGACTCAATATTAAATTTGGAAAAATTTACAATATTTAATTTTAATTGCTTATTGTTGTTGTTGATTTATAAATTTAATATTGAATTGTTAAAATAAATTAAAATTATTTTTTAAATTAAAGTAATAAATAAAAAATATTGTGTAAACATGTAATTTAATAAACAGTGTAACTAACAAAGTAAATTTTGATCGTAATTAAATTTTTTCCTTGAATATTTAATGCTGTGAATGTTCGTTTAAAATGAAATATTAAAATATAAAATTAAATCTCACACAATAAGCCCTGGCGTGCTAAAGGCTCGTGGGCAGAGCGTGTAAATAAGCGTAGACGCAAAGATCGACCCGAAGCGTTCGTGCATTTACGAGGCTTTCGTCGCGCCCCTCCTCCTCCTCCAGCCTGCTCTCGACAAAATAACAACACCGGATATCGATTGCTCGGCACCCCTGCCCGCTGCAACCCTCTGCACCATGCCTGCTGGTGCAAAATGTTGTAGCGCCAAGAGTTCCTCCCCGATCAGCAATGGTGGTGAAAAAATTAGCGATTAAACTCATCTTCACCGCCGGCGCTTTGATGCTGCTCGGCCAACTTTTGATTTTGCACTACATGAAGGCACCGACGCCGTTCCGAATCGAGCCCATCTCGCAATTCGTCAATGTCACCACCTCCATTCCCCTGCCCATAATCCTGCTGGACAGGAAGGTCCTGTCCGAACTGTCCGACATCTGCCCCTTCTGCAACTTGGACCATCCGCTCGCCTTTGGCTCTCTTTACAAACACATTCAAGAAGTCCAAGTATTTTTTAAAAAAAAAATTATAATATTTAAAATGTTAACCTTTAATATATTTTTCAGAGCCTCCAGTCTGTCCTGGACGCTGCCGGCTTCAAATCAACCGTCCTGCTGAACACTCTGCCCGTCGAACCGGCGGCGCCGAAAATCGTCCGGGACATGCCGACGGGCTTTCTCATCTCCAAGGATGGCATGACCATGCAGCTGGTGCTTCTGCACGAGAGGGCGGACAGCTACTGGTGGTACGGCGCGGCCCAAAGTGATTTCGGGATTAAGCAGAAGCTCGCGGACTTTCGAATTCAGAGCGACGCCCAGGCGCTGGAAATCATGACCAGTGAAGGCGCCCTCGAAAGGTTTGCCAAATTTATCAGTCCGGAATAAATTTTTAAAAAATAAACAAAATCCCAGATTCAAAGGCGTGTCCGTGGACGTGCAAGGGTTGACCCTGATGGTGCCTGCGAGCATCGACAACTACCTGCAGCAGCGGTCGACGGACCAGTTCGTCGAGTGCAGCCACAGCAGGGCGGCTGCGTTTTTTGACGAGTTCGGCGAGGACGACAGTCCGGACGCTTTAAAGTTTAAGCATAAGGCTTGGAAGATTTTGACCACTGCCAAGCAGGTCCTTGACCAGCTCAATATTCCTTTTTGGCTCTCTAGTGGTACTTGCTTAGGTACAGGTTTCACTTAGTCTAGAAATTCAAATCATTGATGTGCACTTGGGCTGTAGTAATTAGATTTTAAGAGGGCTGTAAAAGATAAATCAACAAAATGGTTATGGGCTCAGAATGAAACTGCAATTATGATAAAATTAATAAAAATAGGGATATCACTTTTTCATATCATAAAAAGATAAATAAGTCTCAGACAACTAAAAAATTCCATTGCTTCATTTCCTGTAAAATAATAAAATTTTCCACCCTAATTTTTTTTTAAAGATAGTTTGAGATGTGGAATAAAGCTGTTCATTTTTTAAGCAGTTCTTTTATAAATAAATCACTGAAAGTGCTTTTTAATTAACATTTTAACTTCAATAATTTAGTGAAATTGAATATTTTACTAAAAAATACTTTTATCCAGGTTACTACCGCCAGTGTGATCTTATAACTTACAGCAAAGACGTTGACTTAGGGATAATGGCCTCAGATTACTCCATCAATTTGATGCCGGAGTTTTTGAAACGAGGTTTCAAACTCAAGCACATTTTTGGAAGGGCGAACGACTCGTTTGAGATTTCCTTCATGTACGACGATCTCAAACTGGACCTATTTTTCTTCTACCAAGAAGGAGACACAATTTGGAACGGCGGCACTCAGGCCAAGTCTGGATTGAAATTCAAGTAAGGCCAAAAATTTAAATCAAGAATTAAAACTAACTCAATTTTAAATGAAAAAAGGTACATTTTCCCGTACTTCACGCTGTGCTGGACCGAGTTTTTACAACTCAAAGTCAGAGTGCCCTGCGAAACTTTGTCCTACATTTTGGCCAATTATGGGTCAGGATGGTCAACGCCCCAGAGAGCATGGGATTGGAAAAGTAGCCCATCGAACGTGCATCCAAACGGAAAATGGGAGAAGAAGGACTGGCCTGAAGTGATTCAGGTTTTTTACTGATTCGAAAGTTACCGAGAAAATAATGTTGGCTGCTTTTTGATAATTCAACTTTATTGCTACCATTATTTTGATAATGGCGAAACTGCTGACTGCGCAGTTAGTTGCAAGGTTGTGCCCGGCAATATCTGCTTTTTAACGCTATTTTGTGCCATCGAATAATAATTATGCTTGAGGCAATCAGACATCCAATAATCAAAAGTCTGCACTTGTAACGATTTAAAAAAAAAAATTACGTCACATTCAGTGACAAAGTGATTAAGCTAAATGTAAGAATCGCGAATTTTAATACACGCATTGTTCCTTTAAATTAAAACGACGGAATATTGATTGTTGTCACCTTTAAACTTTTGCCTTTGCTGAATAAAATTCAGCAGTTACCAAAAGTCATGCTTTTTATTGTACAAGCATTCCCAAATAACAAAAAAAAAATGCCTTTATTTTACTAAAATATTATATTGATTATTAATTTTATTCAGATTTAAAATGAAATAGTTTTAATTTATTTAATCAGCTTCAGGAACATTATTTTGGCTACTTAATAATTTATATTTATTGTTATAAGATAAATTAATTAAAAATCGTTAATATAAATACTTGAACTGGCCAATCAGGTCATCAGAGAGTGGTTTCGGAATTTTTCCCCTCATCATGTTTGTCAAGGATCAGTTCTCTCTGATTAGCATCGTACTCGAGCTGATCCGGGTTGTCATAAATGTAATACGTGGTCCTAGAATTGGAATATGAGTGATGGTTGCACTAAACAGATCAAACAGGACCACCTTGGCGCGACAATGTCCAAGGCATCGTCGTCGTCGTCATCGAATTCGTACGCCTCGTTAATCATTCCCTCTGCCGGCTCAGGATTTGCAAAGGAGTTCCTTTCTTCGTCTGCGATTTTAAAATTAATTTATAATTTGTGAGTAAATATTCGCCATGTACAGTAAAATCTGCGACTTTCAGCGTCGTCTTTGGGCTGCTCAATCACCAAGTAGGGTGGCACTTGGACCTGAGGAGACGAAACACTCAGGTCTGCCTTTGGCCACATGTCAGGCTTTTCATTTCTTTGCTCGAAATTTCTGTTGAAAAAGTTTTAAAGAATGATTGTATCTTTGTGGTCCTAGGATATGTGATACTAGATGAAAAAAATTTAAAACACAGGCGTTGGAAAAATCTAAAATTGGTTCAGTGAGGCGACCAAAGAGTTGCAAAAACTCCAAGAATGGGTTTCGGTTGCCTACTTTACAAATCTTTGATCACCTCACTACAGACCCACGCTCAACCATTTTTTATTTTCCCAACGCCAGTATTTCTATTGTGCATTTAGTATCACATATCTTAGGATTGAAAAGATACTCAATCATTCTAAAGATGGGGCTGTGTCATAGAAACAAAATTCTATTGAATTCATACCTGGCGGTCGCCCTGTAGATTTTGATTCTCCAGGTGAGAATGATGAGAGCGATGAAAATCACCATCACCCCGAAGAAAACGCAGACCCACCAGATCAGGGCGAGCTTTAAAGGTTCGTCGTAAACGTACATGGGTGCAGGCAAATAATCGTCCTTCCGAACAAGGTTCCACATTTGCTCGAGGCGAATTCGGTCCAACTGGTAGGGTGGGTTTTGCCCACTGACAAAAGCGGGCACGGCCATTTCCATCTCAATGCACTGTGCAGAGTTTGGCCAGCCCGGAGGACATTGGCGCAGATAGTAAATTAGAACGTTTTCGGCTCTGAAATATAATTTTTTATTCCATTCATAATTAAAAAATAAAATAAACATATAAATTACTCAATGGGTTTGATCAGTTTGATGTCTGAAATTCTGCAAATTTCATTCGACGCGCTTGCAACACGTTCCTTAAATGTCTCAATTTCACTGTAGAACTAAAAGAAGTTCATTTTTTTAAATATCAAAAACAAAATTATTAATTTTGATACTTTTTCTGGGTCGATTCCGCCGACAAAAACGGTGTAAGTGGGAACCTCTTCATCGGCTGGCGGAGTCGGTAGCCCGGTTGTGGTGGGTACTGTGGTAGGAGCGGGAGTCGGAAGATCTGCAATTTTCGTTTGAATAACCAGCTTCATCGAAGTTTAGTTTTCCGGTACCAAAGTTTGAATATCGCAGTCTGAACGTGACATCGCCCACATTTTCTTCTTCAAGTCTGGCGCCGAGAACCAATTTTATAGTGAAATTATCTCTCACCGGCATGGAAAACTGAATTGGCTTTTTTATTTTCCACGTGAGCAGAGCGCTCGAAGATTTGTCGATTTCAGTACCTAGTTGGAAAATGGATATTAATTTTAAAAGTTTATCATCTTAAAATTTAATAATCGAATGTAAACAATAAAATGTTTCGTTGATTCCAAAATTCAAAATATTCTATATTTAGGAAGAAATTACATTTTTCTAATAATTAACTTAGTTATTTTGGGTAGATTTAAATTAGATATTTTATTATATTTTGATTTAGTTTAAAATTAATATCACTTTCAAAAAAGCATTTTAATTTCATTTATTTTGTCCACCTTCAACTTTCGAATTAAGAATTAATTCAAAATAAGATTAAAAATTTATAGGATTAATTTGGCAAAAAATTAAGAAACAAAATTTGGCAATAAAAAAAAATGTGGAAATTTTACACCAATTTTCATTGAAATAAAAAATCATTGCCTATATGATTTTAATGTTATTTAAAATTCTCATCAACCTAAACAATTTTTCAAATTAAAGAAAAAAATTGTAAATAATTAATGATTATTAAGCACCTGGGTTGATCAAGAGATAGTCGCCCAAGTCAGCGTTCAGGTTCAATTTATCCAGCGTAATATTCACTCCTAGGCCGGTGTGAGGCTGGCCGTTGGAAGTGGAGCACGAAAAATCCCATCCTTCGGGAGGTATGACCGACGGACCCTCGATGGTGCCAGGTTTGCCAGGGATCTGCGCGTAGCGTGCAATTAATTTGTGATAAACGCTTGTCAGAAATAATATTGCGAGCAGTACCTCATTGCAGCGAACGGCGTCAGGATTTGTGGGCTCAAGTCCATTTGTTGCTGTCGCAACTGTGAATAATAATGAACTAATATATCACCGGGGCATTATTCACGCGAGAGCGCAGAACAGAAAGGGCACGGGCTAATTTATAAATTTTGAGGAGTGGAGCCGCTGAAGCTCTCAGCTGGTGTGCAAGAAGAATAATTATACATTTCTTTCTTTTTTCATATTTATATTCAAAAGTAGCATGGGAGATAAAACGGGGCGCTACATTGTGCCTCAAAATGGAATGTTAGAAATCGTATATTTGTTATTCAATTTAATGATTCAGTTAATTTCAAGTTGAGAAAAATATGTAATATTGTATTGTAAAATATAGCATAGACGCCCTTTGGGATTTTCTTAAAGAAATTTAACAGGGATTCAGAAACTGAGCGAAAAGGCAATGCTCGGAAAACAAATTGAAATTTCCAAATTTCAACTTTTAATTGAAAATCTTAATTTATATTTTGGAAAAGGCTAGCTGATGAGCTTTCAATAGGCAAAATCATGGTCCTACTCATGTGCAGGGTGTTGCCGTTTTTCTTGTTTGTTATATTTTAAATAGAATTTTTCTTTGCAAACAGATATCATAATCTGTTTGGAAAAAATTAAGATTTCCAATTAAAGTTGAAATTTGGACATTTTCATTTGTTTTTCTCACTCAGTTCCTTAATCTACTTTAAATTTCTTTTGGAAAAACAGAAACTGGAAAACACTTCATGAAAACACGACATTACTCCTAAAAAAAAGACGAAAAAAACTAACAATTAATCAGCATTGGAATTATTCAGATCTTAAACAGTAATTTATTTCAGCCCACTCATTAAAGATTCAGCATTCAGGTTCGCTTTTATACTTAAAAAAGGTATTTATCTAAGCAAAATTTTGTGTTTCTTGTAAAACCTTAAAGCCATATCAAATTTTCCAGTAGTCAAGGGTCAGAAGCAAAGATTTAGACAAATTTCTTAAATTTTGGCTCTCTTTATCAAACCCTCTAAAATTCGTAATTATTGCCACGTTAATTGTAGACTGAAGCCTCAGAAAAACAGTAATTAAATATGAATCATTTTGCCTGCCATCAATCAAAAACAGCGTCATTGTGAGGCACCAGGAAATAATTATTATTTGATAATGACAATTATTAGAGTACGCTTCAGTTATCTATGCTGACTATCGTAATTAAAGAAATGATTATGTCGCTGCAGATGGGCAAAGTTAGAAAAAAAATTAGCACATTTATTGTCATTCCTCGCAAGTAATTAAATAAATTAAAATTTCTAACATTCCATTTATTGGAGACGAAACATAAAGAACTGACATTCCATTTTAGGGCATAATGTGGGCCCCCCTGATAAAACCACCCCGAGAATTAAGAGCCGCCGCGTGTCTAATTGCTAATTAGTTTTGCGCCGTGCATCCCGCGGGGCATCGCGCGTGATAATAAGAGCAATTATCCTATGAGACGTGGATTGATTCGAATTGTAAGAATAAAATTTTCGCTCTGGGATAACAAAGTCGATGTTAAAAATTTATGGTGTGCCCGTTAGCCTTGCGCACACGGCAAGTGAGGTGGCTGAAAAAAGCAAATGCATAGTAAGTGTTTTGCAGGTGCACTATTTTAATATGTTGTGCATTTAAGAAATAAACACGCCGTCAATATCACATGTGCGAGTGTGAATTTAGGCCACGGCCTCCTCCACCGTAAGAAAAAAAACCTAGCGTTGTGCATTGTTCGGTACGTGAGCTATTTTCTAATTTGAATTAAATAAAGGCTGAGGGACGAGATAATTTGAGGAACAGATGCGTGCACTTGGCTCGATTAAAATATGCAAATCGGGCGGGCGTGCAGCTTGGAAATTGAGACCTGGCAAGGCTGCCATTTGCATGAAAAAGGAGATTACTTAAAAATTGTCTAGATCAAGTTCATTTATAATTGCAAACAACGCGTACAGCTGCTGCTTTATACCTAGGCTATTCTCAAACTGCTCACATTGTTGCACATGATAAAAAAAAAAATTGAAAAATCCACATTCAAGAAATAAATAACATTAAGTTCAATTCATTCAGGTATTAAATTCAATATTTCCTAGTTACACTTTGCTTATTTGGTGAAAACAAGGATAAAAAACTAACAATAAATCCAATCTTTTTTGAAATAATAAAATAACATTCTCTAGATTCGTGTCAGATTAGTGGAACAAAACCTATGAGTGAATTATGATCTAAAAATTAGAACACTGAAAACTCTCTAGACATAATAATGATATAAAATTGAATTAAAATAATTCAACGTCCATAAATTATTAAATCCTAGTAATAAAAAGTTGGTTTCGTTTTAAAAACAGATAGTAAATTTTTTCGTCAATTTTTATTTACGGAAATTCTTGGCTTATCAAGTATAAAGAAAAGAAAAATAGGCGATTAAGGACAAAAAGATTTTCTTTAAAATGGATTAAAGCATAACGTCGGTAGATATTCTAGAGCTAGACTTGGATTGAACTTTGAGCTATAAATGAAAACAAAGGAGTGTCAAAAAATAACAATTGCAACAATATAACTTACTATTTGCAATAAACGCAATAAAAATGAGGTGCGTTGCGGTCTGGCGTGCCATCTCGCAGGCCGTCTGATGCGACTGAATGCGTCAGGCTGTTCGTTATTAATCTTCTCTCTGATAAGATAGCTTAAAACGTTGACCAATCCATTGCATACAAGAATTGGAATGGGCTTATCTGTGACGAATATCAAGTTCCTCGTTGTTCGCTTCAAAAGTAATACATTTACAGCTATTTTTAAGCTGCCAGACAAATGAGTTGCCGCCGCAAAATGAAAAGTTTAGCGCGCGGTTTCCAGGGAAAACAGCGCAGTGCGAAGTGCACACATCGCTCGGGGGGATTTAAGAGTCTAAAACACTTTTGGTCTGCGGTTTTTGCGGCGATTACGGCAGCATTGTTCGTTACGACAGCACAGGCGGCAAGATCGATGTGGATAATTCAGGAATTCAAAGATGATTGAGATTACAAAAGAAAGGCCACAAAATTTTATTGGTGACGAAACTGGAACTTTGGGCACTTTAGTTTTACGCATTTAATTTGCAAATAATCATAATGCAAAAAGGAATCTAGCATATTAATCTCCACTTTTAGTCCACTTTTAGATTGTTAACAAAAAATAATCTCGTCTGGTGATTTATTTTAATTTATTTGATCTTTAAATTCATTTATTTTTGGCTATAATAATAAATATTAAAATGTATTTTCTGAGGATTACATTTTTCCAAATGAATAAAACTGACACAACAACAAAATTGCTTGAATCTCCACAATATGTACGCGGAGATTTCAAAAATTATTACTCTTTTTAGGTCTATGGCTGCAAAAGTATACATAGATTTTATTATCTGCTTGCAATATGGTTAGCAAGAAGTGTAATTTGAGAAAAACAGGTGAGTAGATAATGAAGCTGATTAGTTCTCTTTAAAAATTGGTTCAAAAACAAAGAATTCATATTTTTATGATTTTATTATAATTATCATTGTTTGCTTGTCCTGAATTGAGAAATAAAATTAAAAACTGTGCTGGAAATGAAAACATTGCGATGATGCAGTTGAGACAAATTAAAACATCCTAAAGTAACAGTAGATTTTATTATAAATAAATTATCACAAAAGTCTTCTTTAAATTTATATGGCTTTTTTTTTTATCAATTCTTGCACAAGATAAATAAATGATGTCGCACAAACTATTACTCATGACCTATAAGGAAAAGTGTAAGTACGAAGGAAAATAAAATTATTGCCCTTTTCAATTGGGGAAATAAATAAATTAATTAGAATATAAAAGCAGCTAGTGTAATTAAATTCTTGTACTTAAGTAAATTAATTAGTTCCTGCATAAAACTTATAGAGTTCATAAACAAAAGATTCATAGTTTCATGATTTTATCATAATGTCATTGTTTGCTTGTTCTGAATTTAGAAGTAAACAAAATAATTAATAGTTGCATTGTAAATTAACACACTGCGTTGATGCAGTTGGGGAAAATTGAGTACGTCCTAAGGTAACACACAGTAGATTTTATTAATAATAAATTAAAAAAAAAGTCATCATTAAATTTATATGGCTTTCATTTTATCAATTTTTGCACAAGATAAATAAATGAGTCACAAAAATTATTACACATCACCTACGAAAGCAAAAAAGTCTAAGTAACGAAAGGCAATAAAATTTTTGCTTTGTTCAATTTGTGTAATAAATAAATTAAATAGAATATAAAAAGTTGTGTAATTAAAGCCTTGTTAACAACCTGCAAAATTGTCAAAATAAGAGTAATAATTGATTTTATTGATAGAAAAAACACAATATAATCTTTAGGCACATTTGAAAATCCATTCAATTTTTTAAAGGCATAGAGATTGATGTATTTTATATAATATTAATTTTTATAATTATAGTTATTGCAATTACCTGGACTTTTACTATCATGGTGAAATAAAAGAAATTGATTAAAACTATTTCCAAATAAAAAGTAATTTTTTTATATCAATTAATTATTGCTTATCAGGATAAAGCAAATATCGATCATCTACTATATTTCACAGAGAATTTTTGAAAGCAAAAAAGATTAATGCAAGGATATAATTACTGCTTGGTAAATGTAATATGTAAAATCAGTTGATAATATAACAACAGACAGAAATAAAACTCGCGTAGCAATTCCAATCAACTTTGAATTAATCTGAATTCCACTAAATTCTGTAATGAAATTAATTCACTTCTTGTAAGGAGAGGAAAAGAATCTTTGGTATTCACAATAAACACTTCTCTCGACGCGACAAGATCAAGATTCCATTTCTATGGAAAGAGCCGATCCTTTCCATTTGAAGTTAAAAGGTGTCAGTGATCTTTGATCGACGGGACGATCCGAAAACACTTTAATGACAACACAAAACGAATGTTTGTGTTGACAGACTTGCTCAATTTTCACGGTCGCGGAGAAAAGAAGGCAAAATATCGTGCAGATTTGTAATTTGTTTATGGCTTAAGGAGCAGTTGCGCGTTCTGAGTAATTCTCTCTCCAGCGTGCACGGTTTTGCTCAGGGCAAGCGAGGCATTTAGGAGATCACGCGAGCTCCTCGCCAGGTACAGTCTCGGAGGGACCACTCGAGTCCAGTCCCTCTGTGCTCCACCAACATGAAGCACGGCAAGGCGCTCAACCTGCGCAACAAGGCCCAAGTTCAGGTACAGAGAAAACTTCCCTCAAATTTTTTGGTCGAATTTCACATTTGAGGGTGTGATTTGATCACAAAAATCCAACAAGGAAAAGCCGACTTTAAATTCAAATGCCCTAGAAATATTTAATAATTGTGAAATAGACGCAATTTGTAAAAGTGAGATAAAAAAAATCAGTTTATGGAGAGACAATTGTTGAATAGCTTGATTACTTACCAAGTCACACTTTCTCAGAATAATCAAAGCAATTTTTGGGTGTTGTTGGCGTTTTTTTATTTGGCAAAGGTTGCTATTTTCGTCCTCCATTTTTATAAATCTCAAATTGCACATTGTAAACCTTCTTCACCTTCAAATTTTTCTATGAAGATCGCTTACATAATTCTAAAAAAGCATTGTTTCTCCTTCGCCAATGTCGCGTGCGTCAAAGGCGTTTCATATAACTTTGGACTATAAAAATCAAAAGGTAAAATCATCTTTAATATTATCTAGGCGGCGTTTGTGATTTAAAAGTTTTACGATGGCTTCTAAAATAATCCAGGAAGTGTTGTAAATGAAGAAGAGTCAAAGTGAACCTTCAATTTGCGATTTTACGGACGTTGCGAAACATTGTCTCGACGGCGAAGCGAAAACCGGTAGAATAAGAAGTCTCGGCTGTGACACTTTGTGCACAGGTCAAAGGTCAAGGTTAGCCGCGTCGGCGTTTTCTTCAAACAAGCTTAGTTTCAAATAAGCTGACGCAAAATTCGTTCAATGAATTACAAATAAATTTTAGCAAGGGAAAATCACGCTAGGAAGTTATATTTGAAAATTCCAAAGAAAACGACGCGATTAAAAATGTATTATTTTTAATTTTGCTTACAAAATTAATCTCTCATTTTAAAATTAATCCAGAAAGGAATAGAAATGAACTTGGATTTCAAGCATATTTATTTTTGATATATCAATTTTATGCTTAAATCATAATAATTAAGACCGTGACATTGAACTAGATTGAATGCCTCTTTTTCAGTTTGAGCTGAAGTAATATAATTATAGCTCGGATCGCTTTTTTACTGCATGAACACTTGTTATAAAGACTTATTAAAACAATTCAATTTTACTGGCAACAAGGCCACGTGATTCTTGATTATCTTTTTAAAAGCTGAATGATTATATCAGCGGTAAAAGGCCACAAAAAAGAGAAAACCTGTCTGCAGCAAATAGTACAACTCTTGTATGCATTCGTGTTTGGCAAACAGCGCGAATTATTAGCTTTTCATAACCGACAAAGTACAAAACTGCCACTGAGGGATTAGCAGGAAAGATAGATATGCAAATATTACATGAAAGTCTCTTATGCGGTGAATGATCGACGCTTTCAGCACCAAAGCTATTAATAACCATGAGAGCTCTCACTCCTTGCATGTGAAATAAACTTTTAGTTTTAAGCAAGCTCAAACAATTTTTGTTTCATATTTATATGCGAATTGGATATTTAATTACGGCCAAAAAAAAAGTAAAATTGGAAAATGAGTAAAATGTTGCAATTACAAAAAATTTTAACGCGCGAAGCTGTATGTTAATCGCGCATCCAGTGCATGTACAGTGTGTTTAAAGAAGTTGCTCTCTTGTCGGACGAAAAGCGTTGAGCAACTGTTACCTGGTTTCGCACTGTACCGTGGCCAGTTTTTTTTTCCTGCTCGGAGATTTCAAAATGTAGCGAGCAAATTGGGTACGCCACGAATTTTATGTGAAAAACTCGTTCATCAACTCATCAAATTAAAAATTCCCTTGAATATGCCAAGCGCGGAGCAAAATTGATGTGGGAGAAGCAAGGCCCACCGCTTGAAATAATATTAGTTTAAATATACCTCACAGGCTGAAAATTAAGGTTCTCTTTTATTACATGGTTGGATTTACACAGCTTACTCATTCAACAATACTTGTTTAATAAATTAGTGATGCGTCCTTTTTCCTTGGAGCAAAATCATGCAATTCATTAGCACATTATTTTTTAATCTCTTCTTTTGTAATTGCAAAAAAAAATATGAAATTGAGATTTGTAATATTGCATAATATAAAATTTTCAAAGTGCTCGAGCGATGAAAAAAAAATTATTTTATGCTTGACTAACAAGTGCCCCTCTCAAACTTTGTAAAAATGAGCAAACGAGCCCAAAAAAAACGGCGATTAAAATTTAAAATATATCTGAATATTATAGTGACTGGAAGAAAAGCGATTGCACGATTAATGATAAAGGTTTTGATTAAATGAGGTGAACTCTATGAAATTTACAAATGAAAAAATAAGTTGAATTGAAAAATATTTAAAGCATAAATAATCAAATTAGTTAAAGCTCACTTTGTCATGAAATAAATAAATTAAAAAAATAATATAAAAAGTCACTTCATTGTAACATACTATTTTTACCTTTAATTAAGTAAGGTTTCCAGTGCAGTTTTAATTATTTAGTTGCTACAAACAGTTCGTAATAATATTAACAATGTTCCTATTATAGACAGCATATCTACTTAAATGGGAATAAAGTGCGTTACAAATTTTTATGATAGAAAAATGAAAAAAATTCTTATTAAATATTTAGATATGCCAATAGTTTATTTTTAAATTTATTTACTAAAAATTCAAACTTGTATAAAAAATCACTTTACAAATTCAGAAATTCACAAACATTACTTAAAATCATGTAATGATTATTGAAGGCGGAAATACTGATGACATTAAAAATGAAAGAGTCTATGACACACACGCACGCGCTGCACAGAACAATTGACAATTAAAAGGATTAAAATTATGTCTACAGGTAATTATTTCCCGCTAATTTAGATTATATTTGACGACAAATTTACAAGATTGTTTTGGTTTCATTACCTTTTATCTTGTCAAAAACATAAAAAATATAAAAAACCTCAGCTTTTACTGCCACTTGAAAACTTTTTCTGCGGAAAACGTTCAATCTAGGAATAGCTATGCAATTTTTTATCTATGCATAATCGCCTAAAATGGGAAAAAAGAAAACAAAGCAAGATAAAAAAACGTAGATAGAAAAACTTTTGTCATTGAAAAACCGACTGTGTGGCACAGTGGCTAGTGCGCTTGGCTGATAATTTGGAGGCCTTTGGTTCTATCCTGGCCAGGGTCAGGGCTTGAAAAAGTTCTAATTCTGACCGGCTAGTTCACGTACAAGACTACAGAAAATCATAGGAGGTGCATTAATCACTGCGACAGGCAGATTCGGGAGAAATTGCAGGCATTTCGTCTGCAATTTCGGCTATGCTGTCTGGTGTTTTCTGCGGTTTCCATCAGACATTCCAGGCGAATGCCGGCATAGTTCCCATTCATAGGCCGCTCACCTTCCTCATCCCTTCAAATTCCCAACATACAAACCCATCCTATGCTCCTCTCTCCCCGGCCCAGTGGGTCGCAAGGTCACCGTGTTATCGGCCCCAAAAAGGGGAGAATCCGAGTTATCGGCCCTTGCGATTTAGCAGCCTGTCTGCTACCGCTGGTGCCTTTCCCAAGAGGGATAAACAATTAAAAAAAAGAGGACACAAAATTTATTGATGACCAAACTGGAAATTTGGGAACTTCCATTTGACGTTTAATTTTAAAATAATCATCCAAATGGTCCACTTTTAAACTCTTACCCAAATTAATCTGGTTTTTCGACAACCAAAAGTTTACTTCTATAATTATAACATTGAATAATAAATTTTTCTGTGTCTTGCTCAGAATAATTGATAATTAAAAGCATTCCGAACGATTTCCAACCAAGATTCGGAAACTGAACGAGAAAACCGATGCTCAGAAATGAAATTAAAATGTTTGAATTTCAACTTTTGAGTGGAAATCTTATTTTTTCTTTTAAACAGATGTGAAAATCTATTAAAAAATTATTTTGTTTTCCATTTAAAATGAAGAGCATGTCTAAAGCTGTCATTGTTTCCAGCTGATAAGTAGATTGACATGAATTTTATAGAGAAAAAAAATGCAATTTTATTTAGTCCAAGTATAAAGTACGCATGAAATTGTGCCACGATGACAAATTTCTGCGGAAGACAATCAATCTAGGAAAAGTCGGTGCAATTTTTTCACTTGCGCATCATCAGCCGAATTTGAAGAGGGGAAAAAAGGGAAAAGGAGGCGTCGATGTGCGTGATTGAGCGAGCAAAAATCGGCGGATAGAAAAGAGAGACAGACTTTCGCGGACTGGGGGCGGCGCGCCGGGCCGCGCCGGTGGGGAGCCGTGGGCAGCCTCGGCCCTGCGTCGCTCCACTCTCGCAGTTATCATGCACTAGCGGGTGATGCAGGAGACAACAACGAGTGTAGGGTCGGCGGCGCCGCAGCAGCAGCAGCAGCAGCTGCAGGTGGCGGCGCCGCGGCGGCTGTCCGGGCAGCCGCCGCCGATGCTGCGCTTCAAGATGTCCTCGATGGAGGAGGAGAACATGCTGGAGCGGCTGCGGCTGGCGCTGCTGCGCGAGTGCACCGCGCGCCTCACCGCCGAGAACACGCCGCGCATCACCAGGGACGCCTTCCGCAGGGCCTTCCTCGAAAGGGTACGTTTTCAAGCCGGCGCCGCTCCCAAGCGCCGAATCTAGGTTAACAGGCGCAGGTGCCTGGCCCCGGGGCACGCCGCACTAATTGCGTCAGCGCGCATAACTTAATGGGCGCCCACGTGCATGTGTCTCTTGCTGGACACGCCGAGTTTTAGCCGCCGCGATTCATTCACCGCGCCATTTGCATATAATATGAATAAATAATGCATGTTCGTTATGTACACGTTGAATCGCTAATTTGTCCAATAAAGCTGTTCAGACGCTCTTGGCAGCTGTGCGAGCAAAAAAAATCAACAACGAGTCCTGCTTGTGGTCTGCGCAGGAAAACAAATTATTGACAACAATCTTTTTATGTTGCAAGTCTGGTAGTTATTATCATACATTTTTGCTCCAGCAATTTTTAAAGAAGGGATTCAAGTAGTAAATAAAATATTTATATTTATTAATATTTGAAAAAATTAATTATTTTTCCTCCAATGAGAAAAATTCAAATAAAACTACGATTTTTGCAATGAAATTTTAAAAGCCTTAGAGTTTTGTAAGTTTTTAACTAAATCTGGCTGCCAATTCTCGCCTTTAATGTAATTTTTCTTTATTTCCTGTGCGGGATATGTTGTGAGAGAAGAAACGAATTGAATTCAGATGATTAATATTTTTCCAAATCAAACAATTATTTGGTTAAATTTTTAGGATTTTGCATTTCAACAAAACTTCATAAACAACAAAAATAATGAACAATTTACTTCTTAAAAATCAAGTTTGAAATTTTTAGATAGAATTTATATGATAATATTGATTATGCAGAAAATTATACAAATCAATTTCAAAAAACAATAATATTTGTTATAATTTTTGAAAATGTAAGAAATCCAACGCTCTCTCTTATTAAATTTTCTTTAATTAAAGTTGTTAAAGTTATTTTCCATAAATGCCGCAAAATTTTAGTTCAGATAAAAAAAAAAACAAATTTGAATAAGCTCTGGGAAATCTCCAAACGCAAGAAATTTGAGAAGATTTACAAGTTTTCAGTTAGGAAAAAAGAGCCAATATTTGTTAGAAGAGAAGTTTATAGCCACATTTAAAAAACAATTTTAATCTGCAAACGTATAGTAAGTTGAATTAGTGCCAACTGGCTTGACTGCTAAATTCTGAAGCAACAATCGGTACGGAGCGACAGTTACAAGTGAGCGCGATAAACGTAATTATTGTCTTCTTAATGTCCATTAACTGCGGAGTCTGTTTGAGACGAAGTCTGAGTCGGCTGCGTTCATTGAGAGCCGGGAAAGAGGCACAGTTGGAGGAGCACGTCTTTCGTGTCTTCCCGCCAATGCGCCGCAGATAAATCAGAAAACACACAATAATAATATACACTGAATGGTCAGTGCACGTCAACGTGCTATCTGATCAGGAGGTCGTGTGTTTTGTTATTGTTACGACTATTATGTTATCTCCTCCGACTTATGCTCGCTGCGAGTGCTCATGAGCGCGCGCGAAACACTGCCACCGATCGGCCTATTCTCTGCATTTATTTGTTGTCGTGCACGTTTCCTATCTTGTATCAGCCGAACACAAGTCAAATTATTGCAGGATTAACTCTTTGCCGCCGAATATTAATGATCGCCGCTCGCGGAACAAAACGGCAGCCACGAAATGCACGCATGCAATGCTCCATTGGATTTCAGGCAGGTGATTAAATGTTGTTCTTGCTTCATAGCCTTTATAAAAGAAAACGTTGCTTTTAATGACATTAATTAATTAAATTGCATTAAACCGTTTTAAAACAGAAAAAGTTGGAAAAAATCAGTAAAATTTAAATATATTTTAAAATTGTTTCATTTACGTCATTCTCCATAATAGAAATGACAGAAAACGTGCGCATTGATGAGGATATTTACACTGAAATTAAAACTTCTCAGCCTTTTCCCATAGGATCTACGTTAATTTTTGTACGTTGACTCACCTATTGATATTATTTTTCCATCTTAATTGGGGTGACGTGAACGTCATTTGGTAAAATCTTTATTAATTTTGGTCTGGTTGACTTCGAGAAAACAATTAGTTTCGAACATTTTGAAAGTTAATTATGAAGTCTTTTCTGGTTTTCTTTGTTTTATTCTTGAAGGATTTACAGTTGTAAAAGATAAACCTTTCTACAGAAACAAAAATTTAAATTATGATTATTGAAAACATTTCTACTTTCTATTTCAAACTTTTCAATCATAATTTAGGTTATATAGGTTTTTTAATATATATTTGTTGCATATTAATTCTTTTCAACTAAATTTTAACTTTTACTTCTTTATTAGAAACGATTGCATTGAATTATACGGCAGCTTTAGAGGGAAATGGATGAGTAAAGATTTATTTGCTTTTAGTCTACTCTAAATTTTCACACAGGCAATACTTTAACTGCCGCTTCCAGTCGTAAACTTTTATCTAGAGCATTATATAAAAAGCGACTGCGCCGCGTTTGTGTGTTGTCCTAATCACCAATTCATTAGTGCCGCGGCACAATTAAAAAGATTTTGTCGGCGCACTCGAAGGGAAACTCGTATATGCGCCGCGCGGTAATCATCATTAGAAAACACACGCTCAGTCAGACCCAGATAAATCAATAACAGCGCAGGCGAGAAGAATAGCGGCTAATTAGTTTGAGGTTACGCTGCTTCTGCCCTAATACGCGATAATCGGCCGAGCCTCAAGTGCTGAGCAGGTGGGGACCGCGAGCTGCACTAATCAGAACACGCTCTTTCTTCAAAAGGCAAACTTGAATTTTTTTTCGGCTGCAGCGCGTGCGGTTCGTGCCCTTTTGAGCTCGTCAGGTCAGCACCTTGCTTGGCTAACGATTCGAGAGTCGAATTATTTTTTATGTTCCGAGAGAGTAGATTTTTACCAGATAATGAGATAATTAAAAAAGATATATATGTGTTCTTTCACAATGGTCCAATGTAGCTGGATAATTATATTTCACATTCTTCCCGGTCCGGTTTGTTTTCTCCAAAAGTTCTGGCTATGCAAACATTGCTCGAGGTTCCAGGAAAGTCCGAGCTGAATGAATTTTTTTTCCATGTGTGTGTAAAAAAATATATTATTTGGATTGAGAGTTGGTGGCCTCCGGTGTTTGTGCTCGCGCGGTGACGCAACACGGAGCGAGCGCGTAATCGGAGCGCTGTGTAGTGAAGGGCGATGTAATCCGAGGATTTCGCGATGTTGCAGGCATCGCATTTGCAGATTTATTTCACGCAATCCGCAACAATTTGCGCGAGATGTGAGACTCGGTCAATTATACGTTAAGTTTCGCCTGCTCCGAAGAAACATTTATCTTCATTTACATCAGGAAAATAAATGAATCGACACTTAAATGACCCGCGCCAAGTGATTTATCATGCTTGAAAGCATCACAACACAGACTCGCGGCTGAAGGAGATTAACGCTGAATTTGGCGAAACCGGGCAGAAAAAAGGGCGAGCCATCAATCACCGCAATTAAGGATAATTACAAGATCTCAGCACTCGCGGCCCTACAAACGTGTAATTGAAAAGTGACTATTCCGAATATCAAATTAAGTAGCGCGGTCAAGGTCGCACGCAGAACCTGATTTTCTACAACAGATTAAAATAAAAAAGCATATACGTAAAAGAGAGATGTGTTTGCAGATTACAAAATAGAAAAGCGAGTTCGTCCGCGTGGGTGTTTGTACTTGATTTTTATATATGAAGTGAGATGGGATTTCCTCCGAGAGTGCAATAAAATGATCTCTCTGGTGTTATGAATGAAGTGCCTGTGGTGAAATGAACGCGCGGGTATCCGAGTAAAAAAATTATTGAAACGCGGCGGGCGAGACGGAATAAACGGCGGCATTATAATCCGACTGTTTGAAATGCATTTATTTTCGAGACGCATTGACCTGCTTTTCAACTTAAAGTGCGAAAACGGTCCGTCAGTTTCTGATTTAATTGGAGCGATCGTGCCTGATCGCGGGCGTAATGGCGCGAGGTGAACACATTCAAAAGCCCTTTCATTCTCTAGCTGCGTTCTTTTATTTCCAACTACTGGTTCACGCGCCATTTCTGACCGAATTTGGTCAGCGCCGTGCAGTGTAAGGAGATTTTTTTTCTTAATCGGAATTTCCTTACAAAACGAAAAAATGGAGAAAAACCTTGTATGCGGCACTTACCTTTAATGAGTCGCCGCCGCTGCTCCATCCTTGACATCTGGAACATAGAAAGAGTTTGAGGAAAAGGTGTCTTGGTTTGTTCATTAACAATTTCCTTGTGGATTTGAAAGGAGTCATTAAAATTTGTATGCACACGTTTCAAACTAAATTATTTATGACTAAACCCATGCACAAAATCAATCAACGCTTTGACGTTGGCGCAGCGATTGCAAGTCCCTCATTAATTTAAGGTTTCTAAAGGCGCTAGATTTCTATACTTTAAAAATTTGAGAAAATTATGAGTACGCAATTTCAAAATTTTACTAAATTTCCAAATTTGCAATAGATAATTAATATGTTAAGTTGAGAAAAATTTTACATAATAAAGTAAAATTTTTAAATTTTACATAAAGTAAAATTTTTAATTAATTTTTACCGCGCTACACTTTTATTATTATTGTTGTTTAATAGTCCACATTGTTACAATACATTTTTAACATTCAATCGTTGAAAAAAGTTTATTATTAAAAAAAAAAATGCTGAAAAAAACTGGAATCACCAATTTTTGCTAGATCTCCAAAGATCAAAATGACACCACACGCCGCAGTGAGCCTCAGATGACTAATTGTAAGATACAATAATATTTTTTTAGTATTTTGATAGCTTTTTTCCCTCAAGATCCAAAGATTTAAAAAAAAACATTGATTATTCTAGCGAATTAAGTAAATAAGTAGAAAATTAATAATTTAAATTAAAAAGTTCACCATTCAAAAGTTTCTCAAACAACACTAAGTGAAATTTTTTCAAACTTTCTGTGAATAATAATCTGCTCCTAATAAATTAAATCTTTGTTCATTTCTCGAGCCCACGTTGGTCATGTCGTTCTTGTGTTCTAGAATTTTTAATTCTAGAAAAAACTAGCAGTTTGCAAAACCAACAACTCTAATTGGCAACCTTGTCCGCCAACCACAAAGAGCACAAATATTATATAATGAGATCGAAAAAACTGCGCCAATAATCAGCGCGATTGATTCAGCAGTTAATCTGCGCGCCCTTGGACTAGTAGGTGCACTCTCGGTTTCAAGTGCAGCGAGTGAGAATGTGGCAGAATAAATTATTTTCAACATTGGCCGATAAACGCGGCTTATTATCTGCCTGCCCGTTCCACAATCAGCCACGCTGGTCCAATAACAATAATTATGTAATGACGGACCGCTTGCGTCACCACACCTGCTGACCCCCCCCCCCCCTCTATAGCAGAAGAGAAAAAAATTATATTGTTGGATCTTGAAAGAGGTCAAATTATTTTCGATTGAATGAATGATAAATTGTAATTTGTGGGTTTTGCATGAAAGTCTCTTTCAAGATGCGATCGCGGCACGATATTGTTTCACCTTGCCCCGGTCGCGATCGACTCAGCAAGACCGATCGGCCGCCGGCTGCGGCCGCACAGAAAAATTCATCTCCGGCAAACTCTGATTTTATCTCGGCCCGGCCGCAAATAAATTACTCGAACGGGCAATATTAATTAAGAACCGCCTTGGAATTTTCCTGCAAAACTCTTGCGCAACAATGCCGGGCAATTTATTTTTTCGGCCTAATTGATTGGTTTCGATTCATTGCACGCGGCCTATACGCCTACGAGCGGATTGTTTTTCGTATAAATTTTTCGCAGACAATCCGGGTTAATCTGCGCGGCGCGGAGCAAGCACGAGATGAGTCAGCGCGATTTAATATATGGAGAGATTTGTTGGTCTGAATTGGCTCTGACTGACATATCGCGCATTACGAATGACAACGCGCGCTGCCAGCGCTGTTTGTTTTCGTTCCTCCGAATTTACTATTCAAAACACGATTATGAGACATGGCACATAAATAATGTGAAATAATGCTGGAATTATACATGCGGGCTCGCCAATCTGGTACCATTTGGCCCGAACCGCCGGCGTTTTACATCCGAATTTGCATTTTAATTGAAATCAACGCTCTGTCTTTTTTCAATTAATTCAAAATGTTATGTGAGATTACGGTGAACACGGTGAAATCGGAATCGCTGGAAACAGCAGGAGATCGACTTAAGATTACAAAATTCCATTTTCATTCATTTTAATGCCACGTTTTTTTTATTCCGTTAAAATTGCAAAAGTTTTTTAGTAAAATTGAAATTGACTTATGCATTTCAACGAAAAACAATAGAAATTTTTTATTCATTATTCCTGTGTGTTGACCTCCAGATCTTTCAAAAGCAGAGCGGGAGTTTCTTTCAGTTCTCTCCTCTGAATCATTCATTAAGAGTATTATTTGTACAAGGTTTAGTGCCACTCCTACTTTCAATATTCAATCATATACATTCAATGAGATTATTTATGTGATGTTGTTAATGTAATGGCCGCTGTTGTTCGCCCCACCAAAAAAATTAAACATGTGCATGAAATTCAGACAGTTTTCATCCATTATAATGAATTGACTATATATATTTCTTAATTATTTATTACTTGCATAATTAATCTGTTAAAAAAGCATTTGTAATTAAATTTCTAAAAGAAAATAAAAATAAAACCAGAACTACTTCGCCCTTTCAGAGGTTGAAGCCTTTCTTGGATTAAAATTAGAATTAAATTTGTTACGTTTTCATTAAACAATCTTAATGAAATAATCTGGAACTATCAAATTATTATATTCTATTTGTATACCAAATCAAAATTCCGGGCAGTTTTCCAGGCAACTTTCTGCTCGACCGTGTGCTACAGTTGCTGGGCAAATGTAAAAGTTTGCCAATCAACTTGCGCGGCTGTTGCAGGCTTTTAAACTAGTCCGAATTCTTTCTCTCTTTCTCGGCGGCTTTACAAATGTGTATTTGCACGCACAGTGACGTGAACAACTCAAATGAGCACTTCGTGAATTACGCAAAATAATGCCTTTGAAAGCGAGCGAGCGGCTAACGAACGTGCCCAATTTCGTGCATATTATCTTCTCCGAATGGAAGCGAAGGATAATCATGGTTATCTTTTTTGTTGGCCTAGACGTACAAAAGAAAACAATCGGTTTTGACGTGTCTCTCCTTCACAGACCCCCACATTAACCGATCACAATTCTTAAATATAGCAGCACGTCCCTCCCTGTGCTAAAAGCTGCAAAAAACTTTTTAATGTATTCCAATATGCAAATGACTCTCTCGGGAGTCGGTATTTTATTTTTTATAAAGCGTGTGTGTGCATATAATATGAAGTGAGCCGAGAGCACGCGATTTTGCAACGTGAAAAATGAGTTGCGGTGCGTTTTCAATTACACACGACATGGAGGTTAATGGTACGATACGGGGAGGATAAATAAAAGAAGTCGGATCGTTGTACAAATATAGATTTTCCGGCGGTGGCGAGAACGAAAGGCGAACTGTGTAAATTGTCCGCGCCGCGCTACGACTTTAAGCAACAAAAGATTCGGTTTTGCAAGCAAGTGGTCAGCTCACTCTGGATTGGAAGAAAAATGACGTCAGTCGGTGCCCTGGGGCGGTCTCTTTCTCTAACCAACCTGTATGTTTTTCTGCCCACGTCATAATTTATTGCAGCCTCAAAAGAGTAAAATGCTCTGCTGAGAGGGAGAGCAGCTCTGCTCCTTGATTACGTCGCTCTCTCGTGTTGTAGAAGTGATTTTAATTAACATTTACACAACCCTTTGCATGCAACCTCAAAACTTCGCCAATATAAGCGGTCAAGTGGCTTGGAAATGGTAATTGGACAAATTGATGATGTTACTTTCAAGCTCTTCGAATAACCGCCCCGAGCGTGAATTGAACCTTCATCTGCTGTTCAATTTACTGCGCAAACCTTTTTCTTTCTTCATCCTTTTGGATTTAATTGGAATTTCAAGTGCCAAGGAAAGTCGCGGACCCCCGCGTACTCGCGAGTGAATTGAAAACAATTAGGACTAAATGTGTGTGTGTGTTAAATTCTGTATAAGGCGCTCAGCTATTGTTTAAATAAACTGCTGCCGACTGTTGACAAAGAAAATTGGCACCGTCATTAAAAAAATTGTCGCAGGACAAAAAGTCATTCATTTCTCAACGGCAGCGCAGTTTTCTTTCTAATGTGGTCACGGCCGGCCCTCGAGGAGCTTAAATTAAAAGGCCGATGAATTTGGCGTGCGTTGGCTCACACTCTGCCGCAAATATGTCCAGAAAATCAGCGTGCGTGTGCACTCAGAAAACTTAGGCTCGTCGCTGCACTAGTTAGTGCTGTGGCTGCTCTTATGTGGGCTCGTCACTGCACTATTAGTGCAGCCACAGCACTAACTAGTGCTGCGACGAGCCTAAGAGTTTTGGGTGTGTGTTCTATATCTATTTAAAAGTGACCCAATCGCGCAATTAGAACAAGTATGGCGTGCGCAGATTGATGACATTCCTGCGCCGCCAGCTTGCAAATTAAAGAGCCAGAGGTGCTAATGCTTTTGCACAGGTGCACACAAAATTAATTTTGGTTGGTCAACATTGCTTAATTTGGTGCCGATGAATCAAATTTTAATTTTTCATTAATCCAAGACTTTAAATTAAAAAAAAAATTTAAGTTAAATTATATTTTTATGTAAAATTAACATCTTATTTTTTGCAAAATTTAAATTCCAACGAAAAATGAAAAATGGAACTGTAATAAAAACTAAAGGTGTTTTTTGTATCCAACAACAACTAATTGGGAGGAATCCATAAAAAATTATGGGATAATAAAAAATCCAGAAATTAATTGAGAAAATGAGTCAGGCAATAGCTTCATACTGTGATTTTGCCAGAAACTTCCAGGGCAATTTTATTTTTTATTTATTTTTTTTTTAATTTTTTTTTTAATTGTATTGTTTGTCTAAAACTCTGATTGTGTTTTTTTTTAATAAGATTTATTTATTTAATTTATTTAGATGGTTTTAAGCGATAGGCTGAATTCATTTGACGTTACTTATAAAAAAAATTTAAAATTTAAATTCAAATATTTTCTAATTTATTGGATGTGAGGTAAATGAATTTATATTAATAGAAAAGATTTTTCCATGATTTTTGACATTTCTGTTTCTCTTACATATTTGAATAAATAAATTTATATATTATTTTTTTTTAATTCTGTTTATAATGAATGCATAAAAGATCAAGAGCATACGTGAGAACTCAATTTCAGCAGGGGATAGGTTTTGTCTTGGTTGTCCTGGAAAAAAGCGAAATCGTGTCAAGATCTCTGGCTCAATTTGGAATAAATTCCCTTTCTTGAAATGCACCTTACTTGGCCGCAACACACATGCATATAATGCTGAGGTGCGATCGAGTCGACAACAAAAGGCGTCATTTGCGAACTTATTTAGCCTGTGTGGTGTCAGGTGTGTGCGGGACAAAAAGAGCAGCTCAATAATGTTATTACTGCGGTTCACACTGGCGGACGCGCCATTTTGAATACAATATATAATTACGCATACAATTTGCAGTGAGCCGCGTGCAGTGTCGAAAGCGGGCGATTTACTTTCTATGTAATTAGCGTCCCGGCCTGGCCACAATGAAAAGCAATTTACTCGCTGACAACACAAACACTCGCGCGCACTGCCATTGTGTCCTTTGACGACTCAATTTTCCGAAAAGCTTTTTTAATTATGTTTGTTGATCAAAGTCGTCTCAAGGCGCGCCGGCTTCATTAAAGCGGGCTTTTGTATTACGGCTCGGAAAAACGGTGCTTTCGCGCAAATCTCTCTTCCCAAGTGGAAAAAAAAGGAGTCCCGCAATAGGGCCGAAAAGAACAAGGCCGAAAACGGCTGAGCGGAACAAGGCCGAAAAGGAATAGGGCCGAAAAGGAACAAGGCCGAAAGCTGAAAAATAACCGATAATCGTGAGCGCGTTCAGCTCAGCAAACATTTAAACTGAAGATCCTTTGCGCGCCGATACTGAAATCCATCATGCGGCCGTTTCGCATTGGAAAATTGAGGAAAATTTAAAATTTTTTGTAGAAGATCTCAGCAAAATATTCTTCATTTTAGGCGAGACACATATCAGAAAATCACAGAAATATGGGGGAAACACATCACAAGATAAATTGATCTCTTGGACTGCATAAAAATACCATATTGCATCGGAACTCTGAAACCACGAACATTTAAGAAATTATTTGTCCAGAAAACTTATATTACTTGTTATGTGTCGTTTTTTTCTTCTTTTTGACTTAAATGTTTCCATTCATGCTCTATAAATTTTTGATGTCTTTTGACATATTGATTCAAAATTTCCATCATAATTGGAATCATATGAACGTGGTTTGGTGAATTTTTAATCAAGTTTGGTCTGGCCAATTTTGAGAAAAAAATTATTTCGAAAAATTCCCATATGAAACAATGTAAAATTTCAAATATTCAGTTTAATTAATTGGGTGAATTATTTGAGATTATCTCACAGTTTGACTTATAAATACAATGATGATAAAGAAAATTGTGTGTCTTGATCCTGATGTTTTCTGAAACGTCCCGTTTCTTGTAGGGATGACGGGTTGACATATATAGCACGGTAATAGATGCTTCCCTAAAGAAACCGGTTCTTCCTATTTTGTTTGCACCGGTATTTCGGCCTTGTTCCTTTTCGGCCCTATTCCTTTTCGGCCTTGTTCCGCTCAGCCGTTTTCGGCCTTGTTCTTTTCGGCCCTATTCCGGCACTCCAAAAAAAATAATCGAGATCCTGCAAAAGGCTAAATATATAGCAATCTCTGTTGTAAAATGCATTTCACTGAGCTGGATTTACGATTATTACCGCACGGTCTTGAAGGAATTACAACAAATTACATTTCATATTTCGCATGCCAGGTGCAGCGAGAAATCTGACCTGGCGAGAGGCGGCGTGGATATATAGATTTAATCAACTTTGATAGAGCTTCGGGCCCAAGGGCGATCATTTTTCTTTTCGCACACACACATGCATGCATCGTCCAATTCGCCAATTTCGCTCTCTCGCGATACAAATGGATGTGTCTGCGTGCACGTAATTCTCGCGTCCCCGCGAGTCCAACAGCAGGCAATTTCGAAATTTTATTTTTTTCTTTATACACCGAGTCGTATAATTTGTTGCTGACGAGCTGCTGCGTGAATTGCAGTCAATAAAAGTTTAGCGCACGAAATCAGAGCACGCGCGTTATCTGCGCGCGACAAAGAAATGGGGCGGCGAACTGAAAAGGACGGAGACGACAATAAATCGAGGCGAGCCACGATTTTGCCAATTTCAGAAATAATTAGATTGGGTGGGGGGAACAGAGCACAATTGTACGCTGAATTGCAATGTTTTGCAATAGTTCAATTTAAAAGTACATTTTCTGCAGTCAAACGTGTGATTATTTTCTATTGTTTCAACAGCGGCCTATTGTCATCATAGGCGTTAACGAAAAAAAAGGTTGAAATAACAAAAAAATTATTTCTATCATCTGCTAAAAAAAACAAGTATTATGTGGGCTGAATCGACCCAGTTAAAAAAAAACTATTTACATTGAAGGGATTTGGATTTATGTTGGGATTTACAAAAAATTTAACATATTAATTCTACGAAAAACTAATTTTTTATTTACTCTCATTATGCCAGTTTGCAGCTTGTTCTAATTCTAGGAAAAAATATTGAAATATTAATTTAGACAAATTTAAACCATTCAAATTGTTGTTTTTTGATCAATGTAGAGTGGTGTCTTTCTTTAATTGTTTCTTAAAGTGCAAAGCAGTTTCAAATTTTAATTTTCAAGAGGTTTTTACGAGGATTTACTGAAACTTTGCAATAAAAACTTGGCTTTAAAGAATGCAATGTATACGAAAATTTATACTTTTAATTAAGAAATTTTCAAATCCTCAAAATTTTATCTTTTTGTGTCTGATTTTGACTTTTATTTAAGAAATAAATCTTCAATGACTCAAACATTAATCTTTTTGTGTTTAAAAAGAATCAAAAACGTAGTTAAAACCCGGAAAATTAGGGCAAAAAAAAATAAATATTTGAATCATAGAAAGTTAATTTCTTAAATAAAAGTTAAGTATTTAGTTGCAAATTGTGTTTATTGATAAAACACAAGGGCAATTGCTGTATTTAATTTAAAGCCAAGTTTTTCTCACCCAAATTCAGTAAAACCACGTAAAAAAACTCCAAAAATTTAAACCAGCTTTTCTTGCAAATGCAAATTTCTTTCTTTGTTTAATAATCATCGTGTTTTTTTTTAAACATTTATCAATATAATTAACAAGCTCCATATCGTAATGTCAGTTTAGCCCTGGGCTAAGTATTTAAATCGACAGCACGGATTGTAAATCAATATTTAAGTGATTGTAATTTATTTATATTCCGAAAATGCAAAACAATCATAATTTGTGCATGAGCAGTCGGTAATAAAATTTTACGGTTGTTTCGTACGAGGTTTTCCAAGCGAAAAACAATTGATCATTGAAGCTTATAAATCAACGCACAGATTGGCAGGTAGATTATCTCTCATGTGTGTGTTATTTTCGCAACGCCTTTTCATTATCCAATTCCGCGCTCTCTGCGGACAGGGTGTAATTCTCGCGTCGAGTATTATGCGCGCCGATAAATCACCGGTGCCTCATCTCGACTATTGTTCACGCTGCACACGGTATAATGAGACTTAATGATCTGCCTTTTATCAACAGGATTTGCTCGAGCGGCTCTTCAGGTTATTTGATCACGACCGGGACAACCTATTGCAACAAGAAGAGTGGGTGGAATTTCTCAAAGCCAGGTTGACGTAAGTGGAAATAATTCACCTTGCACCTTGAGAGAGAGAGAGAAGATCTACGCCAAATTGAGCACATCGCGATTCCGCTTTTCGAGAGAGACGCGACCGCGAGAATCTCGCGAGGCTTGCGTAACGCTGAGAGCAAATCTTCAATCATTATCTCACACTGCGCGTTAAAACTGCTGCTCTCAGCCAATTTCAACACGGCTTTGATTTTATATTTCCCCAGGTGCAGTAGAAAGGATCTAAATTAAATTTGGCCAAGAAAATCGTTTAGTTCTAAAAAAGCTTTAGTATATAAAAAATTTATTAAAGTATTTTTTGAACACATCAAGATTTTTTTAATTGATTACAATAATTTGGGAAAATTGCGTTGTAATATCTCATTTAAATTTAAATGATTTATTGCCTTTAATTAATTGCTTCCATTGAAAAGGCCAAAGATCACATTAATAAATTCTCCGACTCCAAATTAACTTGTCTCTGCTCAAAATTAAGAGCCGGAGCCGTTTTGAATGGAACAATTATTTACGGTGAATGATATGATGGACACGCAATCGGCGATTTTGCATAAAAATCTCGTTTTCCGCCCACTCGGCCGCGCGTGTAATAAACACATTAGCATTCTCGTGCGCTTTGATTAAATAAGACGGCAATTGTTGTTCTTTTGATGACATTATCTCGGGTTGTCATCTCAGCACCAGCACGCCGTCTCTCTCTGAATTCAAATTCGCATTGTAATGCACAAGGCGTAAAAAATCCAATTTATTTGCTCAAAGCTTTGAGAGCGCGCGCGCCAGCCACACCAACAAATAAATAAATGGCGTTTATTAACGAATGAACGACGCGCTGTTGGCACCGCAATCGGACAATCGAATTTTCGCTCTTACAAATGCAGAGAGACTTCTCGCGGTGTGCTCAATGAATAATTTATTATTCATCTGCGAGTGAATCGATCGACGCAGTGAAAGGTTTTTTTTTATAATGTTTGCCCTGAAATTTTGGTGCTCGCAGAGATGAGAAGCAGGTGGATTTCGCCGAGCAGGTCGAGAGCGTGGCTTACGTCTTGTGCGGAGATGACCCAATTACGCTGGAAAAGTTCTGCGAGATATTCAACGCCAAAGGGGTAAGTGCGAATGTAAAAGGAAAATTTAGTACCTCAAGTGATTCGGCAACAGGTGCTAGATAAACTTTACCGGCTGGTGGACCTCGACTCGGACGGAGTTGTCACTCCCGAGCAAGTAATCGAGTTCATTTCAAACATCAGCAGTCCTCGGTATGGAACATTACGAAAGGTGCGAAGAAATATAACTTTTATTATGTACTCTCTCAGGCCCTTGGCCGGTTTCGACGCCGCGAGCCTCGAGTGGCTGGAGCAACTTTTTAGGCAAACGGTCGGCGACCAGAATGAAATCAGGCGCGATGACTTCAAAAAGATCGTCATTTCTAAAAACGTATTTTAAAGATTTTTTTCTTGAATGAAAAATCTAATTAAACTTTTCCAGCCCTTTTTCACGGAGAGGGTTTTCCAAATTTTCGACAAGGACAACTCGGGCACAATTTCCCTGCAGGAGTTCATCGACGCGATGCACCAGTTTGCAGGCCAGAGCACCGGTGACAAAATCAGGTTTCTCTTCAAAGTTTACGACCTGGACGGTAAATAAATGAGACCTTTTAACGTGTCCGTAAACACGCGCAGCAATATAATTTGACGATTATTGCTGACGAGTAAGCACTTCTTGCTAAACACGTTTCTTTTTTGTTCGTCCGATTCAGGCGACGGACTCATCCAACACAAAGAGCTGCAGCACGTAATGCGAGCGTGCATGGAGGAGAACGGAATGAAATTCAGCGAGGAGCAAGTCGAAGACCTGACCATGGCGTTGTTTGAGGACGCGGACGTCGAAATCAGAGGCGCCATCACTTTCGAGGCGCTCAAAGCTCAACTGGAAAAGCACGACGGATTGCTGGAAAACCTCACCATCAGGTTTAACAATTGATTAAAAATGAAGCGGACCGGAGAATGATTGAATTAATTTCCAGCATCGACCGATGGCTCGTCCCGCCAAAGCCCAAACCAACCCCGAAATCAATTTGGGGAAAATTTCTTGCAATGAGACCTTATCAGCTCAGCCTACCCTACATGAAAAATAATTATGTCTACCTTGTCTTCCTCGCCGTCTTTCTTTTAGTGAATATAGGACTCTTTATTTCTCGAGCCATCCAATACCGGAAATCGAACTGGTACACAATTTTGGCAAGAGCTTGTGGTGAGTTGAGCAATTTTTATTTTTCAAAAATTAGCTTGAACACTGAAATGAGATTAAGCCTTTTGCCATAAGATCAATGTAAATTTTTTATGTCAAATGACCTTTTTATTCTTCCATCTTCATTCGTTTTCGTCGGCCCATTGTGAGAAAAATAATTATTTTAGAAAATTCCCATAAGAAACTATAAAAAATTTAAAAAAATTTTAATATTTCCCAATGACTGAATTTTTTCTTGCTGGATCTAAGAACTATTCTATAGAGAAAAAATTTCAATAAAATTAGTCTGACCGGATTTTTTTTTGCAAATATCTAATAAAAATTTAATTTTCCCGTTTTTTATTTAAATTTTTTTCCCAGGTCAATGTTTGAACTTCGACTGTATGTTTGTGTTGGTGCTGATGCTTCGGCAGAGCATCACGTTTTTGCGAACGCGCGGCTGGAGCGTAATTCTGCCGCTTGACCAGCACATTTACTTCCACAAACTGACTGGCGTGTTCATATTTGTCTTCAGCGTCGTGCACACAATCATGCACCTCATCAATTTCAGTGAGTCCGCGACTTTCAATTATTATATAATATATCTTGCTGTAACACATTACACGCTGTTTTCGCTACTCATTCCTACCTGTTCTGCAGCGACCATCATTCCTAACGATCCGGTCATCAATGCTGCCAATTACACGGTGCCCGAGTGGCTGTTCACAATGAACCCAGGCCTGTTCGGCTTGATTCCTGGTATTGCCAATCCCACTGGAATAGCCCTGTTTGTCATTCTGATGATCATGTTCATCTGCTCGCAACCGTTTGTTCGGCGCGGAGGATGCTTTGAGGTTTGCGCAATTATAAATTTATTTCATTACAATAAGTTATTGACCAATCTTCAAATCAACTTTTTAATTCAAATGGGCAACTAATGAACAAATTTAAAAGAGTTTAAGATAATTCAAAAGATGATTTGCATAAAAAGCAATCATGATTCTGCACACTTAAAAAACTTCATTTACTAAATTTTGTCATAAAAATGAATGAAGTGCAATTTTTTATTTTCATTCGAATCTTTTAGATTTTCTATTGGACCCACTTGTTGTACATTCCCTTCTGGATTTTGTGCCTCCTCCACGGTCCGAATTTCTGGAAGTGGTTCTGCATTCCGGGGGCCATCTACATCATCGAAAGGGTGGTGCGATTCGTCAACATGCAGACGCAACACGGGCAGACCTACATCAGTTCCGGCATCCTGCTGCCCTCCAAGGTGACCCACCTGGTCATCAAGCGTCCGCCCCACTTCGTCTTCCACCCCGGCGATTACGTTTTCGTCAACGTTCCGGCGATCGCCAAGTACGAGTCGCACCCCTTCACCATCAGCAGCGCGCCGGAGCAGGGAGGTGAGCACCATTCTTTTTATTAGCTTAAAAAAATTCGTTTTGCCTCGGGGCGATTCTGAAAAAGCACGACTCGGGCGTAAAAAATAATAATGAGGGGTTTTCACGCTTAATTAAAAATTGTTTCAAGACACGATCTGGCTGCACATCCGCGGCGTCGGCCAATGGACCAACAGGCTGTACGAGTACTTTGAGCAGGAGCAAGAGCGACTCCACTCGGAGGAGCAGCAACAGCCCATGCCGCAAATCGTGGAATCATCCAAGCCGGGGGCAATCAAAATGCAAGCGTGAGCAATATTTCAATGTGTTTTTTTTCCGCTGTTGCAATTTACGAGGCCAATTTTCAGGTCGATTAAGCAAAAGTTCAAGGACAGGGACCGCATCGTCGGCTTCAGGGGCGACGGCGGCGGTTTTGTCAACGAGAGCTTTGACATCGCGGACGAGACGAATGCCAAGCCCAAGGAGAACCTGCCGCGCCAGACGTCGCTCGGTAAGAGTTTCTGCACATCACACTCTTGACTACTTGACATGTGTATACTTGTCGTGCATGTATTTTCATTAACGCGCTTTTCGCGCAGGCACTTATAATGACTTGCATTTAAATTGTTTTCCCGCGTGTGTATTAAGTTGTTAATAGCTGGCGGTGATCAAGGAAAACCTCTTTGTTATTCTGCACAAAGAGAGCTAATTGCTGAACGAATATGTAAATTAAATGCCTCAAAATTAATTAGTTGTTTAAATTGTTCAATAATTCTTGGCTTGAAGTGGGTTTAAAATTAAATTTCATTAAAACAACTTTTAGATTTGTTAAAAGTAATTTCTTTAAAGTTATTATTAAAAGTAAATTTTTCAATATTTTGTAAAATAATAGATCAATAAACAACACCAATAATTATTAATCAGGATTTTTACAGATTTTTCTAAGGGAGGGATTGAAACAAAATTTAAACTTTTTCAGGAGAACCAACTTCAGTTGGGAAAATTGTTCTTGAGCGGAAGATCCAGTCGCTCACGAATGGCTCCAGCGGGAGCAAAACTTTGGAAAAGTCACTGTCCATGCCGGACATGCAGACGCGAATCAAGAAGAGGCAACGCGTCCTTGCGTAAGTTACTGAGTGAAAAAAAAACGCCTATGCCGGCTAATTGTGGCGTTTCTCGAATCACTTCCGTGTTCTGTTCTTTTGCTTTGAGGGCGAGAAAACTATTTTTTACGTCTCATCAGGGATCGGAATTGACTTCCCTGAATACCCTAAATTGTTAGATGATTGTTAAAATTAAAAACAAATATCTAAAATTATTTAAACAGATACAAAATTGAGAAGTAGCAGAATCAATTTAAAAATAATAAAAATATAGGGTTCCACCATTTGTTTAAAACTGGAATCTTCAAAAAAGGTTTCAAATAATGTCCAAAAATTTTGAATCAGAATCTAAATTGTCAAAAATTCCCCCTCGAATGTCAGAATTTTAGTGAAAATTTTGATAAAATTGAGTAATTCATAATATATTCAAGTTCGTGATTCTAATTGTTTCAACAATTTTGAAGTTTTGACTGTACTTTTACTGCTAAATGTTATTTTAATATTTTTTAAACAATATATTTCATTCCAAATTAATGAAAAAATGGTTGCAAGAAAAAAATTGCTAGTAATTAACATTCTAGGAAACTACAATGGTTAAATTCTAATAAGTAATAAGAAATAGATCCATAATACGGAATAAATAATACAAAATAAATGAAATAATTTATTTTGCGTGTGCAATTGCAAACTTCAATATTTTTTAAGATTATTGCACATTTAGAAGTTACTGCACATACAAAATGTCTCGTGGTATTGCTTAATTATGTTTTCATGTTACCATCAAAGATTTCAAGAACTATCTGGAAATTTAATTATTGGTTTCACTTTTTAATTATACCGCAGCCTATGTAGCAATGTGACTGGATTTTTTCAGTTTTGGATACGAACGTGTTTCTTTCAAAAAGTTTTCTGACACTCAAGAAATACTATTTTCGGATATTTTGTAGATTGTGAAAAAATATAGCGACCTAAAAATACAAGTTTTATTTTAATTTTTTTAAATTATCTCAATGATTCAAGAATGAGAGATTCCTCATTATGCTCCACCTTTTTTCCAAATAAAATAACTATAAAAATATTTAAATTTTCCCTTTTTTTTTTAATTCTCGCCCTCGTTTTCGCCCGGTTTTCACCCTTAATTGTCACCTGTGCTTTTGTCTCTATTCCTGGCAGATTGCGCGAGTTTGCCCGGTCGGAGAGCGAACGGAGTTTTAACGAGGCGCAGGTGAGGCGCGCCCGGCTCCAGTCGCTGGGCCTCGCGTACCTCAGCCCCCAAAACCGCACTGTCGCTCAAAGCTTCCGCTACATGCGCCACAAACCCACGATAATCGCCTTCAAAACACCCAGCATGGAGGAGGCGGCCGCGGAGGCGGAGCTCGAGGCCGCGACGGCCGTGACCGCAGACGAGCGGCCCACGGCGGCCACGGTCGAGGAGGGCCGCCGGCCGCAGGCCTTCGCGCAGACCAACGTGCTCAACCTGAAGCGCGGCTCCCTCACGCCGGCCCAGTTCCCCATCGGAAAACCGCTCGAGGTGAGTTGAATTTTCGCTGAGCTGAACACGCTCGCGGTTATCTTTTATTTTTCAGCTTTTGGCCTTGTTCCTTTTCGGCCTTGTTCCGCTCAGCCATTTTCGGCCTTGTTCTTTTCGGCCTTCCGGTCAGCCATTTTCGGCCTTGTTCTTTTCGGCCCTATTGCGGGACTCCAGTTTTCGCCACTTTAATCTCCATTCCCTCTCACGATTTTTTTTTTTAAACCTGCACGCACACATTGAATTACTCTTGCTAACAAACACTTACTAATCATACGAGCAGTTTGCGCAAATTCCTACTTTTTGGACCGAGCATGTTGTAGAATACTTAAAAATTTTAACAAATCACGTTCATATCACCCCAATTAAAATCAATAAGTCAGTCGACATAGAAAATTTACAATGATCTTATAGGGAAAGATTGAGAAGCTTATACACATAAGTGATAATTTTCCTGGACAAATAATTAATTTCTTGAAAGATCGTGTTTTCCGAGTTCCGATGCAGTATGGTTTTTTAAGCTGTCCAAGAGATCAATTTATCTTCATCTTGCTGTCCCCCAAATTTCTGTGATTTTGTGATTATGCGTCTCGCCCAAAATGAAGATTTTTTATGCGAAGTCTTGTGTAAAATCTATTTTCTTCTATTTTCCAATGTGAATCGGCCGCATGACGGATTTTGGTATTGACGCGCAAAGGATTGAATTTTCGCTGAGCTGAACGCGCTCGCGGTTATCGGTTATTTTTCAGCTTTTGGCCTTGTTCCTTTTCGGCCTTGTTCCGCTCAGCCATTTTCGGCCTTGTTCTTTTTGGCACTATTGCGGGACTCCAGTTTTCGCCACTTTAATCTCCATTCCCTCTCACGATTTTTTTTTTTTTTTTTTTATTTAAACCTGCACGCACACATTGAATTACTCTTGCTAACAAACACTTACTAATCATACGCGCAGTTTGCACAAATTCCCATACTTTTTGGACAGAGCATGTTGTAGAATACTTATTTATTAACCCTAAGGTAATTGGGCACAGACCGGAGCATCTTTCGATTGATAGCCGTTTGAAGGTGAGTTTGCATGTGATTTGGGCAAATAGTGTGTTTGTAAATATTGTTTTAATTATTCACAGGAATAAATTAAAATTATGGCCTGAAGATATGAAAAGACGCAATTTAAATATGTTAATTTCAACAAAATTTGCATATAAAAATTTTAATTATTAATTTAACTATAGAAGACAAAACCAATGATCAATTAAAGATCCTCTCCGGTAAAGTGTATTGCTCTTAATTCTGAAAGATTGCTAAAGTTCGAGTATATCTTGTGAAAACACTATTTGAAAATTCCAAACCGTTGCGTCTCAATCAAAAGAAAACCTAAATACGAGTGATTCGCGCGAAAAACATGTGAGAATTGAGTTGCCAATCAGATCCATCAGTTTGTTCCAAAAACTACAGAATTTGGTCACATTGGCGCTGCGATCGCTGATTTTGCCACTAATGCCCCACGGCGCTGCAGAAAACTTGGCAAAATCAGCGATCGCAACGCCAATGTGACCAAACTCTGTAGTTTTTAGAACAAACTGATGGATCTGATTGGCTACTCAATTCTCACACGTTTTTCGCGCGAATCACTCGTATTTAAGTTTTTCTTTTGATTGAGACGCATCGGTTTGGAATTTACAAATAGTCTTTTCACAAGATATACTCGAAATTTAGCAATCTTTCAGAATAAAGAGTAATACAATTGACCGGAGTGGATCTTTAATAAATTTACTTGATTAATTATGCCTACTTTTGTAAAATAAATTATTTAAGGTTATTCTTCAAGCTTATTTTAGGAAGGAAAATAAAAAAATCTTTATTCTTAAATATATTCAATACGCTTTAAAGATATTGGAAATAAATTTTCAGCACAACATCTACTTTAATTTAAAAGAATTTTGTAATGTGGTGCTTGTCGTAAAATTAAAGCTTTTCCTTTAATTTTTGAATAGTCAATTAATACTAATTACTAACTAAAGATGCGAATTTTGCACTCGGTACTGGGTGCATTTCTCGCCGCATTGCAAACCCACGTATGTGAATCACTTTCATCAAAAGCACTGTTGTCGCTCGGAACTATTGCTACAAATTTGGATTAATAATTATGAATTGATATTATATCTTAAAATATTATATTTTTTTAATAAAGGAGTGAAAATGAAGATTAAACCGTAAAATGGCAACATATTATTGATGCACATTTAATATTTTTTAGGTTTTTCGAATCCTTGAAATTTTTTAAGCTTGGCAAACTTTGAAAATTGAATCGAAAGTTCAATAAATGTATTTAAATTGTTCTTAAGGTAATTCAAATAACCATATAAAATTTTTGAATAAATAATCCAAAGAAACTTATCCTAGTGCAGACTCTGAAGTCAAAATGGCTCGAGTGCGCTTTGTCTGTTTGTGGTGGAACACAATTTAATTAACAGATTAGAAATTTGATAATAATTTTTTAGATCTTGAATCATTTTATTGCTATTTATTTCCTTTTTCCTTGTAAAATAATTGAAAAGCAAAAGAAAAGCTTATCAACTGTTATATATATTTTTTTAATAAAGTAATCGGAAAAAAGACGTCAGGAAATATTTTTAGTCATTTGTCAAAAAATTAATTTATCAGAACAACAAAATTTATTTATTTTTCTAGTTACAAACTTAATTAATATTACCTTTATTTACTCAAGAGATAAAATATGCCATGAGACACAGATATTTTCATAAATATTATAAATGTCAGACTCATAAATACTCGTAAATACAATGCAGTTTTCTTTGTAATTTTGGAAAAGCGCTCCTGTGGAAAAACGCTGAACTATTTTTACATTGGAGGATAGAAAGCAGGCAGCAATTGTGCCTCAGGGAATTTAACTCCCAAAAATAGCGACTATAGAAAAACCTTAAAATAATCAATTGATTTGTTGCTTATGTAGTTGAATTTAAAAAAAAAATTTATTCATCTTTTTGAATGAATTTTGAGCAATTTTCAAGCGAGTTTTTATCCTGTTTTCAATGTGGTCCTGTTACGTGTGCATGTCAATATCGTAACTGGCGTTTTTGCTGCCCTAATGCCCGTTTAATTTGACTGTTTAGGATCAGAGGTCGTGTCGGCGTATTTGCTTTCGTTTACTGTGTTGAAATTGTCCATGCATAATTAATTAAAGCCGAGCAAATGATTAATGAAGTAATGAATGGTTCGCGTCTCAGATCATAATCGACGGCCCGTACGGCGCCCCATCGAGCCACATCTTCCGCGCCCAGCACGCGGTGCTCATTGGAACTGGCATCGGCGTCACGCCGTTCGCCTCCATCCTGCAGAGCATCATGCACCGCTACTGGAAGGCCAGGCACCAGTGCCCACGCTGCGAGTTCTCCTGGGCCTCCGACATTCCCGCCACCGTCATGAACCTCAGAAAGGTGCAACCATTGTTCAATTACATTTCATTCAGTAACATTATTTATTTTTTAGTGTCTGATATTTTATTGTGTAATTTTATATTGATCATTCTTAAATTGTTCTTGTTGGATTTAATTTTTTTATTAATTTATTGTGATATTTTAATCAGTAAATTTAGTGTAGAATTATTTATAATATTATTTAATTTTTTGTATTTCATTATTTAATTGTATTTGCAGTTATAATTTATTTCTTTTTGTTTTAAATTTATTCAGGTCGATTTCTTCTGGATCAACCGAGACCAACGATCTTTCGAGTGGTTTGTAAATTTGCTGTCTCAGCTGGAAATCGAGCAAGCCGAGTTGGGCGGTGCCATGGAACGATTCCTCGAGATGCACATGTACATCACAAGCGCCCTGCAGAAGACGGACATGAAGGCTGTCGGTCTGCAACTCGCCCTAGACCTGCTGCACCAAAAGGTTTTTTGCATTTAAACCCCTTTTTAATTTGTTTTTATTGATTTTTTGTTGTTTAGGAAAAACGTGACTTGATCACCGGATTGAAAACTCGGACCAACGCCGGTCGACCGAACTGGGACAAAGTTTTGAAGCAGATCCAGGACCAGAAGAAGGGCAAAGTGACCGTTTTCTACTGTGGGCCGCCGCAGCTGGCGCGCACCCTTCGCGTCAAGTGCGACCAGTTCGGATTCAACTTCCGCAAGGAGTGCTTCTAAGAGAGATTCAGACTCAGTTTTAAGTGTTTACTTTCAGAATATAAGTTACCATCGATAAGAGGCTTAGCTTTAATCTGCAACTAATTGATCAATTCCAATGTCTTGCCGTTGAGATTCTATAATTCGCAATTAATAACAGAGTGAAATTAAAATTTTATGAGAAAATTGAAAACCAATCTCACGGGGTGAGATCTTGGCTCGGGTGGTGGTGGTGGGTTTCATAGAAATTTTTGCTTTGTTATCAAAAACGAAAGAGGTCTGTGATATTTTTGACGAAATGCTATTTTTGATTGAAAGATTTTGCTGTTATAGAGAAAAACTGTTCGTTTTTTAAAACTTTTTAATTTTTGTGACTTTTTACACTACTTAATTGTTCTTGAAACGCAAGCGTTGTCCTATTTATTTTTAATACGTGCCAAGGTAGCTGTCAATTCTAGGCACCGTGTCTTGTATTAACTGCTTTAATGTGTAAAAAAAACTATTTATCAAGCTGAATAATGTGAGCCTTCCCTGTGCCTTACGTTTTACTGAAAAAGCATCAATATATTTTAAGATACATCACTATTTAATCAAACAATCGTCTCTTCTATTAATAAAATTAATTTAATGTCACTGCTGCCCATAATAAAATCTGTAAATTTAATACATTATACACTATTTTGAAAACTCTGAGTAAAATCGCTCAGATTCTAATTTATTGATTAATTGATATGATTGATTTTTTTCAAAATGCATGCTATGATCAATAATTTTTAATATCAATTAAAAAACTTGAAAAATGAATTGATTTCAAAAGCATTTTATATAATGGTTTAAGTTCACCTTCTGTAAAAACTAAATCAATAAACATTTGATTTAAATATAAGTGACGAAATTCTAGATTTTAATCCCCTCGCTATATTATTGCCGTTTTCAAAGAGAGAATGTGTTTTGAAAAGCGCCGAGTGACCTTGATGATCGAATTAAGTTGCTATTAGAATTATTTTTTAATTTGAAAACGGCTGGAGATTTGTTAATAAACTTGAGGTCAAAATTAAGTTTCCAATAGAATAATAAAAGTGTTAAAAATTTATTTCTATGTGAAAATACCAACATTTTGATTCCTCAGGCAGCAAATAAAAAAATTTCTGCCGTTTCGCTGCATCAAAAAGCCCTCTTGGCGAATGCGCAAAGTGAAAAATCCCACGGACCGAAATTTCAATCGCCAAATTTACCGATGAAAGCGCCGAATTTTTTACCATGTTGTTTGCACCGCTTAGTTTTGTACAAATGAAATCGGACTGTATGCTTTAAAAAAAGAGATAAATTTTAAACTCCAAACCGTTGCAATATTTGGCAACTGAGACATTTAATTAATCCGTGATTGATTAATAACCATAACCACCGCTTTGCCGCACGTGTGTGTGTGATTGGATCGGATTAGATTCGATCGAATTTGCCTTCGGTTTTGTGGGTTTCCGCCATTATTTGCTCGGTTTTCCACCTACCGTGTCAGGATGTGATGTTTCCTCATCCACGAGACGTGCTGAACGGGTTCAGAAGCATCATTTTCAGCCACATTTTCGAAATTCACAACGCCACAAGCCACAACAAAGCCCCGACCGAACCAAAACAAAGCCACATGCGACTGGAAGTGGAAGGAAGGAAAGCGGCAGAGGCGCACGTGTTGATTGGCGCACCCTCTGTTGAAGCTACAATGGAAGAGGGAACTACCCAAATAAAATTATTAATGTTTTTTTACTGAACTGGGCGGTAATATGAAAAATGAAAATACTCTGAAAATAAAAATGAATAATTTTTTGATTTAAATTACATATTAATTTAGAATTTTAATAGAAATTTGTGCTGAAAAATTGTAAGAAATGAAATATCTTTTTTGTTTCTTGAATATAGACAAATAAAACTTTAATAAATATCCATGATAAAATACACATTTCCATATTAAAACTGTGAAATATTCAATTTTACTTTTTATCTTTCGACCGAAACGAGATCTCTGCGTTCAAATCAGGGAAAATATGAATTTGTAAATCCTCAATATTATTATGCCCTCTATAATAAATTATTTGATCAGCTAGTTTGTTTCGATCTAGAGAAGAGTTTAAATGTAAATTGCGTTTAACAAGGAATGCGCTCGAGGCTTTGCGAAAAGACAATAACTCGACGACGGGAGAGTGAAATTATTATTTTTTATGAGAACTCGACGGCGCAGCTGAATGGGGTGCTGAGCCTACCAGAAATTCCTCCTCTTCCACGTTGTAGTGGGATGGAGCACTCAAAATGGAAAAGGGACCTGCAAAACCAGAAAACAATCAGAACGATCGATGTCAGATTCGGGGCGTGTTTTCAGAATTGTCTGACAAAGGTGCTTGACCTATTTTTTATCAATGAAATGTATCAAAATAGTGGGCGTAAAAGATAGCAGGCCGCCTTTGTCAAAAATATCAAAAGAAAGAAAGCCGTCTTGATTCAAAAGTGACCTGCACTGCCCATATAAGAGAGGTGCAGCTGCAAAAACACACAATGCATCAAGTGTGAGTTTCAACTCATGTATTATAATCTGTCTCAGAAATAAGAAGGAGCTCAGCAGTTGCAACAGGATAAACAATAAAATTGGAAAAAGTAATAAATCAATTTGGGTGTGTTTAATATATGGACGGCTTGAAAGATAATCAAGGACCATTAAGACACCTCTACTTTTAAAAAGCACATTAATCAAGCCTCTCATGTCAACCATTAATAAAAATTTGTTTCATTTACGGTTTATATTATTAAATATTTTTTATTTACTTTTGATTTTAATTGATTTGTGCTCTAATCAATCATGATTTATTCATTCTTCATATTTTATTAAGTAAAACACACAATAATTTATGACTATGCAAATATTTAAATTAATAAAAATTATTGCAAGCAACACTAACATTATAATGCAGGTAAACCCTAATTTTTATGGCATATATTATAAAAAAAAGGATCGATCTAAAGCATTGTGATATTTTTTATGTACCTCTACTGTCACTACTGCATCTACGGGGTGCCTTTGGGGTCAGGCTCAGCCTTCCCGTCATTCGGTTCCCCATTACACCAAATTCGAGGCTTCTCTCTGTAAATGAAAAATATGTAGTCTAAGCGTTCGCACCAAACAAAAAAGGACGAACCTGCAAAATCAGTGTTGTCAATTACACTGCGTGAGCGTTTGGGTGACGAGTGTTCAATGGTTGCCTTCGGCAATACTTGACTGCCGTGACCGTGGCCGGTGAGGCTCTCTTGGCTGGAATCGTCTTCGCAGTCACTGACTGGGAATTGGAAAACGCGCGAGTTGGGCGACCTCGGCCAGGTGGTCGGAGGTGGACTTCGGATCATGTGCTCGTGGATTTCAGGTAAACTCAGGGGGTCAAGGTCCAACGAGCTGACAACGTGCTCCTGTGTACATTATTAAATATATTTAAATAAAATTCTACAAAATTTAAGGGTGGCTCAAGAACGGTTTTTAAGAGGAATTGATATTTTTATTAAAGAGGATAAATATGTAATAATATCAAATAATTAAGGAAAACTAATAAACGTGTAATTTGCATCAATAGAATTGCTACCCAAATTTAGCAAAGCTCTCTTGTTTTGCCCACATCCCCCAATAATTGAGCATTTTTTTAATTTATAATGTTTTAATTCTTAAATTATTTATTTATAGTTCTGGTCCAACGAGAAAGAAAAAAATGCTTGAAGAAGTTGACACTCGAGGAGATCAGAGGAGATGATCATGGAAATGAAGATAATCGAGCTTGTCCTCATTGCAAAAAAAAAATTGTTCTACTTTTATTCCAATTTAACATAAAAAATTCTCTTTCTTTTTCATAATTTTTATTGAAAAAAATTTAATCTTCATACAAACAATGCCAAATGTGTATTAATTTTTCCTAAATAAGGACAAGAAATTCCTAAAATAAATTTTATTATTCATTTTCCCTTTACTTACGTTTGACATGAGGATGGCAGCGTCATTGCAATCGTCCGAGTCCAGGAGACTTTCCCTACTAGCCAGCAGTTGAAGGAAAGGATTGTCCTGTCGGGAAAGGCGCAGCGCTTCCATGTCCTGGTCAAGGTTTCTCGTCCTTCCAGGCGTAAGGGTCAAGGTTGAAGACATCGAGCATGGCATCAGATCGAGAGTGGCGTGCACTGACAGTGAAGCGCTCACTGGACAAACTCCTGTCAGTAAAGAACACAAACCGCGGTTTACATGTGAAATAAAATAAAATGCCACGGCCGTAGTCGATGCTGCATAAGTGCATTGAATAATTTTCATTAGTATTGCACGACAAAATATATCATAATATAAAGCGTGATCAATAATATTTATGCTATTGTCTTTTTCAGAATAAAAAACCCTACATAATTTGTTAGAGAATCTTTCAAATCTGACCCATTGCTTGTATATTATATCAAATCAATCCTTTTTATTGCAAGAATATTTATTATTCATTAAATTAAATTAAACATTATTCTGATTAAAAGATAAAATACTCATTTTTGTAAAGAAGAATATTTTAATAAAATTCCAGGCGTGAAAGTAAAATATTTTTACGCATTCTCCTAGTCTTCTTCGATTGAAAGTCGTTCGATTGATTGATTGGATCGATTCGTGACTTTTGGAGAAAATGCAACAACTGATAATTAAATTGCGTGTGAAAGTTGATAACGTAACGCGATGGGTCGAGGGGGGATTAATCCATCAACATGTAGGAGGCCATATACATGCAGTCATGTACATTAAATAATACACCCTTGGCGTTTCATTTTTTTTTTTCAAGTGCACACCACTCACCAAAGATGCCCCCGTACGAATCCTCGTCGTCGCTCTTCTTCTGCTTGAACATGCTGGTGAGAAAACAGGTCTTGCTCTGTTTCTTGTGCTGCTGCTTGTCCAGCTCGGAGGGGATCATGTCCGACCGGACAAAAAGAGCTGCAGCACCATCAGGTACGAAACATTGACCCAGCTGTATATTATTCGCTGAGGAAAGAGACCAGCCGAGCATAAACCACCCCGGCGGCGGTGCGCATGCCCCACCCTCTCGACCCATTTTCCAGCAGGGTCGATGTTAAGGGCGGAGTGCCGTTCGTTCGAGGGGTGCGTCGCTTGCCCACTGCCAAACTCAAGTGCACGTGCGGTTGCGCGCTCAAAGGCTGCTCCGATCGTCATTTGTTTGCTCTAAAGAGGAAAGAACACGCCCTGACTTCTTTCTTGAAAACAGCGGACGAAATTAGCACAGGAAATTATTGAACAGGAAATTGCTGTTTGATTCAACTTTCGTCGGCCCCTTAGCTCTATAGATGTGACCTTTTCCTCCCCAATTGTTACCCTGGCCTTAATTTTTTATTATGGCCGAAAAGTGAAAACCGTGTTGTGAAAGCATGACTGTGACTGCACACTCTCTAAATGAGCACTCGAACAAATTCAAAGATATGTAAGTGCTTAATTATATTTTAATTTTCTGGAACTTTTCATTAAATTTACTGTTAAATAGGCACCGGGGGCGTTCGCACCCTGAAGCACCAACGCCAAAGGTTCAACTGGGACTGCGGGCTTACCTGTATCATGATGGTCATGCCTCAAGAAAAAAGGCAGCATTTCCAGGAAAATTTTAAACTTATCTGCAGTGAGGAGGGCTTCAACAAGAGGTAAGTGTCTGAATAAATTTTGAAAGACTTCCACTGAATTTATTCATTTTTAAAATTTTCAGTACGTGGACCATCGACCTGGCATACCTGCTCAAAAAATTCGAGCTGGAACATGTTTTTTGCACAATTACTCTTGGAATTCAACCAGCGTACGGCAGCCAACCCTTCTACGCCAAAGTCATTCAAAAGGTTGTTATTTTTTTTTCTCTAGATGTAAATTTAAATCATTTTTTTATAATTATTTCTTTAGGACGAGGCCCGTGTACTGGATCGTTTTGTGAGCGCCGAGAGTAGCGGAGTTTGCGTTCAGAAGCGCTCCTTGCCTTTGGAAGAGCTGCTGAGCCACCTCGAGCAGCACGGTCCGGTCATCGTCCTCACCAACGGCAACCTGCTGCAATGCGAAATCTGCAAAATCAACAAACTCACCTCCGAACTGAGGGCATGCTTGCCTTGGCCTTCGTCCTACTCTGGTCACTACATCGTCCTGTGCGGCTTTGATTTGCCTCGTCAACTTGTCTTTTACCACAATCCTTCCTATTCCGAACGTAGGTTAAATCAAGTTTTGCCTCGTATTCATTAAGCATGAAAAGAAAACTAGAAACTTATTTTATTTATGGTTGCAGGTGTGTGTGCGATTCATTTTACCAATCTGGACGAAGCCCGATTTGGCTACGGCACCGATGAAGACGCCATCCTCATCTTCAACAGCCACATCGGCTTTGTCCACGGCGCTTCTCCATTTGTGAGCAACAATTCACAAAATACTTCCGACTGATTAACACGAGCAAATTGTTACGCAAAGAAAAATTTATTTACATATACAAAATTTTTATTTAAACAAGACTGCAGGGAACAAATTTTCAATAAAGCATTTTCTTGTCATTTAAATTTTAAAATCATATTTTCATTACCGACATCTTAAAATTGAGGTTTATTGGATTATTTGAATAGGAAATGATTATTATAGGCCACCAATTTAATCATGATGCGATGAATTGGTCTAACCTCGAATGACCCACTTGTAAAGATATAGCTTCTTTTAACATTTTGAATGAGATCTCTTTTGTTAACGGTCAGAAGTTCAAAGTTGACTGATCAGAATGATAATTAAGTGAACACCATTCATGAGGGCTTTCAGTAGGGAGATATGGGTTCTTGTTTGAAGGTGCCTTTGCTTTTATGCTTTATTTATTATTGTCTCATCATTGCTGTTGATGGTAAGCAAGAATTTAGGATAATTGAACAGATAATTTGGCTTAAAATTAAATAATATTAAATGCAAATAATATCATTCAATGATGTCATAAATTTTTTGTATTTTTAATCAAGGCAAAGAATGGCCACACTTGTCCAAAATACAACCTTCAACTGCACCTGTTGTGCAAGCTGCCGCCGTCCAAGATTTGGTTGCTCGTTTGATTCCGGAGCGGCAAAACGAATTCCAAATTCACGTCGACCCTTTGCTGTCCACCACGGGAAGAGACACCTTTCGACTATTAAAAAAGCCAGGTGACGCCCGAGTCTTTGTGACCGGCAGTTCGGGGGTTGCAGCCGCTGCGGGCTTCAACTTTTACCTGAAATATTCCTGCCACAGCCAGATCAGTTGGGAAGCGAATTCGCAACTCAGCCTTCCGCAAGAACTGCCTCAAATTGATACCGAAGTGATTTAATTTTACATTCTGATGCAAATAAGTAAATTAAAATTGCATAGATAACTTCACCTGACAGATTCAGGTATTACCAGAATGTTTGCACCTTGGGCTACTCATTTATCTGGTGGAATTGGTCGCAATGGGAACGCCACCTTGACTGGATGGCCCTTAATGGAATTAACCTGCCTTTGGCTTTTGTGGGCCAAGAAGCACTTTGGCAGCGCGTTTGGAAACGACTCGGTTTCGAGCAAAATGAAATCAACCCATATTTCAGCGGTCCTGCATTTTTGCCGTGGTATCAATAAAATTAAAAAAAAAAAGATTTTTGTCAGATAAAATTGATTATTTAGGAATCGGATGGGTAATATGCGAGGTTGGGGAGGCCCTTTGCCCTCGTCGTGGAATGAAAAATCGTTGGCTCTGCAGCGCCAAATCCTTGATAGGATGCGCGACTTTGGCATGACTCCGGTTTTGCCAGCGTTTGCTGGCTTTGTGCCGAGGGCAATTGCGCGAGTTTTTCCTTCGGCGAACGTGACAAAAATGACTAGGTGGAACAATTTCCAGGACGGATTTTGCTGGTCTGGAATGAGAAATTCACAAAAGAAATAAAAATTACACAATAATTTTTTCAGTCCTTACATGCTTCAACCCGACGATCCACTTTTTGCAAAAATTGGAGCACTCTTTTTGAAAGAGGTTTGTCTTTTTTTATTGTACATCTGTTGTACATTCTCACTTATAAGTGTATCATTAAAACTTCTTCTAAATGGTAAGAAAATTAATTATTAATAATTTACTTTTCTTTGTGTATTTATAGGTGATCAAAGAATTTGGCACAAATCACATTTACAATTGCGATACTTTTAATGAAATGGAGCCGACTTCTGGGGATGAAAAATATCTTGTGGAAGTTGGTTATTCCACTTTTTCTGCAATGACCTCCATTGACCCAGATGCAATTTGGTATATTTAAAATGCAAAACTAAAGAAATCGAAAGAAATTATTAAAATAAAATTATTATTTAAAATAAAAAATAGGATGATGCAGGCTTGGCTTTTCATGCACGATAGTTTTTGGAGCAAGGAAAGAGCTAAAGCACTCCTTACAAGTGTCCCCACAGTGAGCCGCTTTATTAATTTTTCTTTTATCAAATTATACTTTTATTCATCTAATTTTTCTTAGGGTCGTATGTTGATCCTCGACCTTCAATCTGAACTGAGCGAACAATTTACCCGTCTGGATTCATACTTTGGTCAACCTTTTATTTGGTGCATGTTGCACAATTTTGGAGGCACTCTCGGTTTATATGGCGCCGCGCAGCGAGTTAATCAAGTAAAATGAAATGAAATGATAAAACGTAATAGGATGATATAATATTATGTCTCTCCAGGGAGTGCACAAAGCAAGAAAAATGCCAAACAATACAATGGTCGGAGTAGGAATAACGCCAGAGGGCATCAACCAGAACTACGTTATTTATGATTTGATGCTGGAAAATGGATGGACCAGCCAACCTGTCAATCTTACTGATTGGTATTTGAAATTTATTAAACAAAAATAAATAAGGCTAATAATCCTTTTGTCAGATCAGAAACTATTAATTTTCCACTTAAATTTTTAATAAAATTCTAGGTTCGGTCAATATTCAAAGCGCAGATATGGATTTGAAAATGAGTTGGCAGTCAAGGCCTGGAATCTTTTGCTTGTAATATTTATTTTAACTGATCTATAAACAGCTAATTATTGTATTTCCTCGCAGAACAGCGTCTACTCATTCAATTTGACGAACATAAAAGTTCGTGGAAAATACGTCATTTGCAGAAGGCCCAGCTTCAAGCTGAAACCAATTGTGCGAATTTTAAATTTCTAAACAAATACGTAATATAATTGTTGGAACTTTAAGATTTGGTATCAACCGTTGAGCGTGGCCAAATCATGGGACAGTTTGTACGAGCTCGTGCCAAAACATAAAAACTTGAGTACTTTGCAACACGACTTTGTGGACGTCACAAGACAGTGTCTTCAATTATTGGGAGCTTTTTACCACTCGCAAATTACGAAAGCGTACAGGAAGAAAAACTTGCCGGATTTGAGGTACTTAAAGAAGTGGAAAAAAAATCATTTTATTATAATTATTTTAGGAAAAATGGGGAAATGCTGCTGGAGCTTTTTGTAGACATGGACTCTGTATTGGCCAGCAATGAAGATTTTCTTATGGGAAAGTGGATCAGAGACGCCAGGAGCTGGGGAGACAACAATAAAGTAAGCTTTTTTTTCAATTAGTTTTATGTAAAGTGATAATTCAATATTTAGGAGTCGGATTTGTACGAATTTAATGCGCGGAATCAAATTACTCTATGGGGCCCACAAGCGGAAATTCTTGATTACGCGAATAAACAGTGGTCAGGTAATGAGAAAGAAAAGAAATACACAATTTTTAGTTGTTCATGCATTCCAGGCGTTGTAAACTATTACTATAAACCGCGCTGGCAGCTATTCATTCAAAGCCTGATTGGAAGCCTTGTGTCGGGAGAATCCGAGTTTGACCAAAACACTTTCAACCAGCAAGTTTTTCGTTCCGTCGAAGAACCATTTACTCTGGACAAAAAACAACTCCCAATTGAAAGTTCTGGTGATGAAAGAAAAACACATTAACTTTGAAATTTATTATGAAATTTCAGGTGATTTCTGGACGGTGGCGAATGCGACTTACTCAAAGTGGAGACCAAGGTTCGATCGGAGCGCAGTCAACTTTTTGACCAGGGCTATGAAGAGAAACGTAGGACAGGAGTAAAATGTGAAACTCTCCGCAATTCTCATAATTAAATTTGTTTTTATTGTTGAAAATTTCGCACACAAAGGAATTAACATGTATTAAGCCCCATACAATATATATTGGATTGTGTAAATTGTTTAACACTGTTGATTATTTCAGTTATTGTTCCGAGTGATAGTCTATGAGTCGCTAACATTCATAATTTCATTTAGTTTTTTTGTAACAATAAACACAATATATGTCTACAACACCTCAATCTTCTAGAATTTTTACGATTTGAGTCTATTATCAACAAACAAAAAACAAGAGAGTTGGTTACGCAAGTTTTATTATCAACATATCACAGGGAAAAGCTGGCTAGCAAAGGAACTTACGAAAAGGAGAACTGCTAGTAGAGAAAAAACGTCGGCGGTGCGTAATTAATTAATTATTCATCAAAGAAACGATTCAGGAGATATGGGTTTTAGCGTTAAAAACAGACACAAAGTAGCATCTAGCAATTCTATCTCTCGTGATTATAAAAAGACCTTCTCTCACTTGATTAAATGCATATTTATTATTTTTGCTTCGTATTTTGAATAATTATCATATCTCATTTTTCTTGTTTTCTCTTTTATTTAATTAAAATGTATCCTGCTTAAGCTCTGACAATTTGTATTGATTTGATATGCAGTTTAATCTCTTGGAAAAAGTTTTGCTATTCGAGATGCCTGCGCCGTAAAGTGTCTCGGAAGAAACTCGCTGCGAGGCTTTGATTATACGAATCTTTTCTCAAATTTCGACTGTGTTAGGGGGTGGCAAGGATAATCAAATTTGATATTGCGTGGTGTTTTTGATAGACAAGTCAGTCAATATAAGCACGCCCATACTCAATTGCACTCGCGCCAACGCTGCACCGAGAGGAAGGGTTAGCCGTGTTTGATTTGTGTGTTTATTATTGTTTCTGCATCATTTATTTTTATTTTGCACGCGAGCCGACAATGTGAGAAAAAGCCAGAGATGCTGGAGAAGTGATATTTGTATATAAAATCGCGTGCGAATTGGGTATGCGCGCGGTCCTTACACATTTAAATATACACATAAGTGAGCAATAGCACGCACAAGCGCGCACGCATCACACAAAAACACACACACACACATGACAAATCCATAATTCGCTGACTAACTTTAAAGCTATTAGTTGGAGCTGCGACAAAGATTCTCATTATTACGTTTACAAAGTCGATCGATCGATTCACATAATTATTTAGTTAACATTACGATAAGTTTTGAGCACTGTCCTACTTAGGCGACTAAGTACAATTGTAGACTCACTGATATTATATCTTTTTATAATCCTCCGCTTTTGCAGAACAGATTGAAAAAACTACAAACTACTTTGGTATAGAACAAAAAATATCTCGCAAAAGAATATTTAGATAGCCGTAGTTTGCCAACAACAGATTAATTTTTTTTTTAATGTCCAGCGATTTAATGCTCGGTGTGGATGTGTGAGAAGTTAATTAGTATTGATTATTAGTAATTATTTAATTATTATGTACGAAGACAATGCAAAACACGAAAATTCTATTTTTTCACTCTCAATAAAGTCACAGTATATATAGTATTTTAATATTTTAACCCCACGTAACTAGCTTACAATGATAGTGATTATTTATTACAGCCTTGGTATTTAGACACTCATAGTTAAAAAACGTGTGCAGTACGATTGCAATGCATAATAATGCGCGAAAGATTTTTTTAGATTACTTCGTTTAAGGGCAGTCCCTGGAAAGATCCGTTTGAATGAAAAGAAAATACAAAAAATACGAAATTGCGTTAATTTTTGAGAAAATATTTTTGCTTTTAATAATTTATTTATGATATGGATTGTTATAGACGCTGCAAAATTTAAAGATTACTTTTGATTGGCATTCTTAGTATCACTAATACACACTGAAAAGCATAAATTAAGTGTGTAAATTCTTCGAAGCAGCTAAGCCTAAGGTTTTGTTCCCACAATGTTGAGCTAGAATTTTACCCTGCCCAGAATATATACGCCCGAGTAAAGCGCCAAATTTGGAGAACTTTTGGTATCAAATACATACGCACTGCCAAAAAGCATCCAAAACCCTTCATCAACATTATTTCTTTAGATTAGCACCACTGTTTTGGCCTCAAGCGATTTTCTAAACGTTTTGCAGATGAATACAAGAATCAGCAACTATTTAAAAGAATGCATCTTTCCCGGGACTGCCCGTGTTGTCACACTTTTGGTAATATTATGTCAAGCAAAAACTGCGATAATATTGTTATGTTTTTTGTTATAATGGATAATGGCCGGTTTGGTCTACGGGTATACCACATATATTTAAAATCAGCTAAAATACCTCGTAAGAGACAATAATTCCTCTGTTTTAAGCGGCTAAGTATGCTTGATTGTGGTAGAGAAAGAGGAGGTAACCAGTTTTGATTAAATTATGCAAGCATTTGAATTTGAGCTATCTCATTTCAGGGACATTTATGATTATGCAATCATCATGAACAGGAGCTTTTGCACAACTCAGCACAGCACCTGACTTGTATTATATTTACTTCGTGTTGATTCTCTCATAAGGGCGATCTCGTTTTAAGGAAACTTTTGTTTTTATTTAGCGGGGTCCGATCTCGACATGCCGCGAATTTGTCTGTTTAAATGTGGACCGCCCTCCTAATATTTAAGTATAAGCTCTGGTTCCGAATTTTTGTAATTTTCAAAGCTGCTGAGTCATGCAAGTGGCGATTTGGTGCTAAACACACTTTTACAAATAATCTCCTCCTAAAGCCATCCATGGCGTCAAAAACGATTAACTCGCTAGCAGATAATTGTTTTAAAGTTGCCTGTAATTTTAGATGTCGCATCACTTTTAAAATCTAAGTAGTGCAGCGAAAACACGTCGAACAGATCCTGCGAACAATTCTTCGTCATAATTATTCTGATAAAAAGTCTAATGCGAAAAACAAGCTTTTCCACAAACGCTTTAGTGGCAGACGCTGATATAGTTTATATAAGTTTTGCTATATTTTAATTTACTCTCGCCAAAGGTAAAATTTATCTTTCGATCTAAGCGGCACAGCCTAAAATCTAACACATTGATTTTACCCTAGAGAGCTAAACGACTTGCGGCGGCCGTCGCTGCCGCCTAAAATTCTAGTGAATACACTTGGGATATTAACATGTATAAGTATAATTATGTTCCAGAGATTGTCGAACAATGTTCATCGTGTAAACATAGTATCACAACGTACACAATTATATGTTATATTATTTTAATAATTTTGCCTTTAGCGTTTAAGAAAGAAGTTTTAAGTAGAATAACGTGTGTGTGATATTATTAAAACTGTGTGTCTCAAAAGATGCCGCAAGATATTGGTGTAGCACGACTCTCAGAACCCAGGGAAGCCTGTCTCATCTTTTAACTGGTCTCAAAACTAACAGCAATTAAATGTGTGTACATAAAATTGAACATCCGATCGATTGTGAAATAAGATAGCAGGCAACCCTTGGACCCGCTAAATCCACTCATCAGCTACGACAACAAGAATAATTAATATATCAAACATTGAAATATTCTTGTATTATTATTTATGCATCTTCGTATTTATGATTGATTGTGCAATTTGTATTTTTAGTTAGATATACTTCAGGGCGATTGATATCGGACAGGCAAGAGTTAGCACGGCCCGTGTCAAATCTAGTAATATAGTTTTGAGTAAGAATTTTACTCGATTGGAACAACTTATAATTATTATGCACCATCAAGACTCTTGAGACAACTGTTATTCAGCCTCTCAAAGAAAGACAAAGTCACAAATTCCAAAACTAGCAAAAAGCGTTAACGAAACAAACCCCACAAGTCAAAACTTTTGTTTTGGGGCTCAGCGAAATCAAATTGATTTATACAATACAAGCCAAGTAGCAAATGTGTCCAGCACGTCTACTGCAAATGTGTGTATTCATTTAATGCATTTTATTTTAATTTATAATTGCTCATATTACAAAAACGCCTGTCACAGACAGACCCCTGTATAAATCAGAATTAGTTTTTTTTCTGATGAATTTTGCCGACTTAGTAAGTCTAATAATTCGTGTATATTATAAAAGCAACGTGTTTCACAAACATTATACAGCACACTTTTCCTAACGTAAGTAGAAAACTAACAAAGTGAGCAGAAATTGCAGTAGTACATAAAAAGTAACTCAGTAGATTCTTAAAACAGTTTTCTCGTTTCACAAAAATCGCAATGGAGTGGCAAGCAGCTGTGAGAACACACACTCGATCAATTATTAAAAATATCAGTAATGGAAAGGTCAACTTGGCTAAATTTGACCTGGTCAGTTGGGCTAAAATCGTCACTTGCCAATGCATCAATCAGCGCGACCAGCTTGCGTAAAGGAATCGCCCTTGCATCAGCATCAAGCACTAGTTGTGTTATTGGATTTTTAAGAATAACATTAAGAATCAAATTCCATCAATTATATAAACACTTATTACCGCGCTCTACTTTGTCCGTCATGCCCAATTACATTGTATTTATGTGTGACCTCTACGAAATCCTAATTGGAAAATTACAAAATTTTAGCAGAGAAACTTGCTTGGCAGGAAATAATCGATGAAGCAGGGGTTGATTTTCATTTTAAAGTCACCTTCTTACTTAGAACTTGGATTTTGCGTGTGGCTTGACAATTGTTGAAAATAGCATAGAATATCACAGAGAGAATTAGGAGGCCTAGCTTGAGGTGGGGATATATTTATCAATTAAAACGATTAGTAGAGTTGATCAACAAAGCATCTCACCAGTAAATTTAAAGTATTATGATGAGAGAGTAAAAGGATTCGCACCTTTTCTAATTGCCCATTCTATTAAACAACGTTATTATTTTAAACTCTTAAAAATTCAAGCGAGAAGAAAGACTGTGATATACATTAAAGACTTTTTGCTTCTTCGAATAAATCAATCCGGAAGTTTTTCGTAAAGGGCTTGATCTGCGTATGCCTCTAACAGTCGTCTATTGCGATATTACTCTATAATGTCAGTCAAATAAACAGTCCTCTAGTGTGTAAATCTTGTACAAAGAGTAAAGTACGACGGTTTGGGTCCCTTGCTTCGATTTCTACTTGGTGGTTTCTAAAGCAGGTGTGGAGGTTTCTTGATCCTGGGCACCCAAAATCGTACACGTCAACGTAGCCCAAAGGGCGGTGCGAGCACCGCGGATCCCAATGAAGAGCTGCCTGATGGTGGTCACCAGCGCCTCTAGCTCTGAACAAAGTACCCAAAAAATGAGCTCAGTGCAAGGTGGAATGAATTTGAGCTAGACAAAAATGAAAAAAGACCCACGTAGAGAAAAGTTTGGAAATCGGTACTCACTTTCCTCCAGTTTGTTTTCGTCAATTAGGGAGGCAGCCGCTGGTCCCTTGAAGACGAGCAGGTTGTGGTTGGCCTTGTGGGTCTCGACCTCAGCACGACGGGCTTCCTCCACCCTGTGGATGGCGTCTTTCCAGTGGGAAATGGCAAGATGGACAGTGAGAGGAACTTTGTACATCCCAAGGTTTTCCATTTTCCCAATCAGCGTCAACACCTGCAAGACGCAAAAGAATGATTCAATGGAATTTAATATTATAAATTGAATAAGAAAATTACCCTGCAGTGTTCTCGGATGTTGTCGATGATGAGGCGGTCAACTCGAGTAGGACTGGGTGGAAGTTTTGGCACAGGCAAGGTGTTGGCCGAACTCCAGTGGCGGCCGGGCAGGCTGGAAGCCAGTTTGGCCTCGGTTTGCTTTCGCTCCTTCTCGAACTGCCTGAACTGCTCGTAGCAAACCTCGAGGTGGGCGTGCAACTTCTGCGAGCTACACATTTTCCTCTGCACCCTGGCCAGGGCCAGGATGGGCATCTGTGGGTGGTAGCACGACGAGGGGAAAGGCATCATGGCCGTGGCAGGCGCCGACCAGCACGGTGGAGGCATGCAACGGCCTGACATGAGCATTGAGGAGGATTGTTGCTGGTGTTGATTTGGCTTGGCTGAAATCATCAGGCGCTGCAGCGCTGCAGTTTCATCATTTTGATCGAATTGCTGCAAAATTTTGAATAAATCAATTACAAATCAAAATTTCCTGTTATACTTCCATTTAATTTTAGTTAAAGTTAATTAAATAAAAGCTCCTCAATTGATCCCATTTTGAGAAAAAAAAAAATGTAAATAATTAATTCTTTTTAATAATTTACAATAAAATTCACCTTTTTGTATGAGAGAAGGTGGTGTGGCTGGTGCCTGACATTGGGAAAATTTGAGTAAGAATCGTGCCGGAAATTGTTTTCCGGCGGCAACTGGATCTGCATTTGCTGCTGGCCATGAGACTTGTGTGGCATCGTAGGATGGTTTAGGCTGCTGGTGTACGCCTTCTGGTCCCTAAGAATATTCGGCGGAGGAACACTGGGATTGATGCGAGGGGAAGGAGGAACGTCTTGCGGGAAGGCTGTCAACAGGTCTAGGATGGTTGGCGGGTGCTCCGGCTGAGCCTCGGCCAGCGCCTGGTAATAGCTGAGCAGGTCGTCCTGGCTCGGCAGGGAGGGGCTCAGCGGCATATCCTAAAATCATTTTAAATTATTAATTAAAAAAAAAATATGCATCTGCTTACCTCGATTACATTGTTGTTGGACCAGATGCTGTTGTTGTTGTTGACCGGCCAGGGGTCGTTGTTGTTGGTATTGTTCAGCCAATGGTTGCCGAAACGTCTCGGATCGTCGTCCTCGTCCAGCAGAGCCAGAGCGGCAGCAATGTGCTGACTTTCGTCAAGTCCATCTCTTAGTGGACGCTCCATCTAAGTAAGTGAGGGAAAATCAATGAGTAAATCTAGTAATTTCATCCAAAAGTTTACTTTAGAATAATTGGGGACATGTTGTTGCAGCGAGCGCAACTGCATTTGTGAATTATAGTTTGACTCGCAGAAGTCACTGGTGCCGCTGCATTTTTGTGGCTCTGGTATCTGTAAAAATAATTTTTGTTGAAAAATTATGCATTAAAATTAAATAAATTTTTTAAATAATGTATAGTTTAATTTCAACACCAGGTGTGACAAAGTAAGAGTAATTCTAAAAAAATAATTACATGATTCTATTATAAATCCAGGAAAATATTTTAGAAGAGATGTTCAAAAATTTCAAGGTTAATTCAATTTCTTGTAGTTTACACTTTGATTTGAAGAAAGAAAGCAATCTTATCCATCTCCATTTTACCCGACGACACTACTTTCAACTTTGTTAGAGAAATCAGCTGTTCGACAGTGCGAGACCTGTTTTGCTGGCAGTCCGGATTTTCGTCTTTGAAAAGAAATAATCAAAAGCGCATAGCCTTCTCAAAATTAATACTTTGCATTTTCACATACGAAACAACCCCTTTCAACCCTCTCCGCAGCTGAGACTAAGAACACCTCAAACCCCCAAAAGCTATTCGAATATTATAATTCCTCCTGAATCAGCTGAGAGCAAAAATTGGCAAAAGAGCAAAAACCCCGTGACAATTATTGGAACGTTGAGAGTTTGATCCAAATAATAGGATACTCTGCTGAATAATTAAACAGGTGGAAAGAAGTGCCCTCGGCAAGGGTGTCTGTGCGCAACGGACGAGAATGCATGTGTCCGAGTTGCGGCGGCGGCTTATCGATTTGTGGCGCGGCGCCGGACGCCCCCGGCCGTGCCCGCTTTTTCCACGGCCGATGCAATGTCAGGGTCCTGACGTGTGTGTACCTGAGGTGAAGGTGGCCTGATGAGCAGGTTGTTGGATATGTAATCGAGTCGCACAGCACCCTCCATGCATCGTCGCAGCGGCCCAGCCCACACCCACGATTTGGCTGGTGCCTGCGCTGCTCGCTCGCTCGCTCACGACGGACTCGCGGAGCCGACTCGAGGATGCGCACCGCGAGGCCAACAAATGATTTCGCCGCACACGTCGCCCTCGGCACCACCACCAAAGAGTTAAAAACGGCGCCTGCAGGCGAGCTGCTGCCGCGAGAAAAATAGTTTTCGCTTTTAATTAGAAATAAAACCACGATGTTATATTATTGTGAAAAATAAAAATAAAATTATTTTTTTTTTCAAATTTTTTTCAATAATTTAAACAATAATTAGTGATTTTATTTTTAAAAAAACGTTTATTTCTTAATCTCAACTGCGGTTCTTATCGTTTTAGAAAGATTATGAAAAATTTCATTTAATTATGTGCTAGAATTTCACAATCGATAAATTTAAAAACGCTTTTCTTCTATGGGTTTTGTGAGTTGAATAACGTTAAACAAAAACAATAATCCTGCTCGACGTGTTTCGGCTGCGGGCTGCAGCCACAATTAATGAGCTGTGAAAACATTTTACAAGAATTAGTACAAAAACCATTTTTTGTTTAAATTTATTAAGAAAATTAATTATTTTCTTCAGAATTAATAATTTTTTGTGGACAAATAATAGAAGCCACATTTTTATAAAAATAATTTTTTGGCAATAGAGTAGGAATTTTTTTTTTAACACATTCATATTTTTTATAATAATTTTGGTCAGAATATTGAAACAAGTGTTTTAAGCGACCTTTCTTGGTGGTGGTCGAGAGAAGACTAAATTATTTTTCACACGTTAATATTTCCTGACCAAAATTATCATAAAATCGAATTTTTTAAAGAGAAATTCAGATTTAACTGTCAAAAATGGTTCAAGTGTAAAAATGTAAATTTTCATAATAATTTTTATTTAAAGAGTAATATTTTTTTAAATGGACTTTTGTATTGTTTCTTGTCAAAATGATTTCACAGCTCATGAATTGTGGATGCAGCCGAAACATCAAGAGCCGGATATTTTTTTCTTGATAAATCAACAACTCACAAAACCCGTCGGGAAAAAGATGACTTTAAATCCAAATCACCAAAAATAATTCAAATCGTTTTAAAACAAAATTCAAATTTTGAGTAAAAATCTCATTTATTTTGTATATGAGTAAAGCTGACGATGTCAGAAAATATAAAAGGGTTTGATAGAAACTAGCGATTTTTATTCTTGTCACATATTATGGACCGGACACGAGCAGACGATTTTATTCCAAAAAATATATAAAAGGGCTGATAATGTGGTTTTAACTGTTCATTTTTTTCAATATTTTACGAAATGAAATATATAATATTCTCCCGAAAAATTTACCAGTAAAGAGCTTAAGTTGAGATATTAATTGCAAAAATGTATGCATAAATTTTTTTTTATCAGCAAGCATGAATTGGAGTTCATTAGAATAAAATATAAATAAGGAATTTCTTGCCTTACAAATAAATTGTTTAGCCTCGGATTGATATTTTATGTAAATTGTCAATAAATAATAATAGTATAAAATATATTAAAATATTAGCAAAACGATATTGTAATTTAATATTATTTCAATATCAAAATGGAAATACCGCCAAATACAATAAATAAAAAATCTACTAAATTTATTTTACGATTGCAGTAACCGTTCGGCCACCATGTTATTATAAATTATTTTTTTCCATTGGGGGAAAAAGCGCTGGTGCAGGTCGAATGCAGTCGAATGCGGCGCAAGCTCAACACAGTCCTGCGCGCCGGCCAAATAAAAGCAGCGAAATATTAGCGCGCAACAAGTTTGATCACGACCAAGGTACGCCGATCCATGCCAGACAGTCTGTCGCCTCATCCCATCTTCCGAGGAATTTCGGCGTTATTTCTCTTTCCACTTCCTTATTTTTGCTGCCAACTTATTTCATCTAATGGAGCGGATTTTCTTTTGCTTGCACATTTATTTGAAATACATGCACGAAAAATACAATCAATTTTTAGGTTTACAAAAAAAAGATGAGACTGAACTTATTTTTTGTAAACATAATAGATGATTTGAAATTGGTCGAGTTGTGTCTCTCAATTAAATTATTAATTCAACTTTTGTTCGAAAATAAAAATTTTGCGATGAAATTAAAATCGCCTAGAAGGTTATCAATTTGTAGAAATTGAAATAATTAAATTGATCTTAATTGTTCATTACATTCAATCAACTTAAGTTGATCTAATGGGCCTAAACAAAAATTTTGGCTTCTCCAAATTTCTTTAGTCTGTTTTTGCAAATAAATTTGACCATAAAATTGCAAATTAATTAGAAAAGATGCGTACCTGAATGTGCAAGAACTGCTGATGCTGAGGCTCACACCACTGATGCATTGTTGAGAGGAGCGTCGGTGAATTCGGGTTGTTCACTCGTCGGACTCCAGACGCAGACAGGAAGATTCCTCCAGACACTGGCGACGCCACGCTGTCTGCCAAAGACAAACGGCGCTTTTCATTGGAATTTGGCGGCGGGTAGGGTTGAAGGAAAGCGATTCAGGGAGGGGGCAGTCTGCGCCCCCCTTGCCCCCTTCCTCTGATCGCCGCCGCAGACAAGTGGGCGCCGTCATTCCTCCCTTTCCTATTATTCCTTTAATATAAATTATTTATCTACATTTTGTCCCTTCGTATTCAATCATTTCCTAGTTAATTTTGTCTCTTTCACCTTCACTTCTTATTTATTTTGAGCAAGGAATAGCATTTCTGTATTTTATGTGATTCCTTTTTGTAAAATTTCATGCAAAACGTGCTTTACAATAATGGAAGAATTTAAAAAAAAGGATTATACTGCTGCTTTTATGTTTTGATAAGAAAATTAAATGCTTTTGAAAAAAAGTTTTGCAGTTAGTTATCATCAATTGGTTAATTCCAAGGCAACAAAATGCGCATTTTTATTTTACTGTCTGATTTTTATTGGGTTTAATAGTTGTAAAAGAAAATCAATTTTTTTACATAATTTAATACCTTTAATCTTAAATTCTCTTTATATAATCTTTGAATTTTCAACAAAAAAACGGCAAGCATATAAATTATAAAAGAAAATTAAGAAACACGGTGTAACAAAATCACTATCGGCACATAATCTTCTTGCAATGCTATCTGTCCCAGATGTCTTCCATTGAGTCCATCATGAGTTCATCAATGGGCATCACTTTAAGTCTTCTCAACGCATCGAGATAAAAAGTCAGTTCTGAAATGACGACCCTGCAAAAATTCATAATTTAAGGTTTAAGGATAAGATTTCAACTAATTATCAAAGAAGCATCAATAAAGAGAAGATAAATGTAAAAAAATTTAAATAAATGAAGAAAAAAACTAACCCGTGCTGAGGTCCGCCATTGTTTAGAATGTTCATTTTGACTAGCTGCTCCTTCAACACAATTTTGAACATCTTGTGGGCACTTCTGTACAGGTTCTGCACTTGTTTCTCCGGTAAAACTTCCGAAATGGCCTCGTACAATTTCTTCATGTGCTTCGAGACGTTGCGAAACGAGTTTGAAGGAACCGGTGGTTTTGCGTCCCATTGGCAAATTTCTCTCGAAAGCAAGCCTCCGATAAGCGCGAGCAGTTTGTTTTCAATCTCCCGGCAGTGCGACATGATGTCCCGCTCGAGATTTTCAATGTGCATCTCAATCCTTTGCGGCTCCACTACCGACGGCAGTAATTGCTGTTTGGCAGCTTCAGCAGCAACCAGCACCAGTTGCAGCGATCTCGACATGAGTGCGAGGTTGGTGCTGGTGATTGTGTTGAGGCCGACCGAGTGAAGCGCGCCGGCTCCCAGCACCAGTTGACAGCTGCGAGAATTAAAGAGCTGCAGCAGCTCGATGAGGCATCGCAGCAAGTTCGGTGCCATGACAGTCAGTTCTTCAGCGCACAGACAGTACTCGGCCATCATCTTCAGCAATAATAAAATAGACCTGCGGAAAAATTGGTCCTCGGAACATTTTCAATGAAATTTATTCGTCCAAAACTCACCCAACTACAACGTAATTTTCTCCCCCTATGACCAAGGAAGGTGCTCCTGTCAAGCTAAGGCCCCCATTTGGGATGGTACTTCCCAATTCCCGCTTTGGCAAACTCAATTTCCCTAAAAGTATTCATTAGAAAAATACTCGGCTAAATGGAAAATTATTAAACTACCTGTTTCGTGCAACTTGTTTGCAAGATTCTGAAACTCTTGCGGTACCATTGCTTGTTTCCAAGTTTCACTAGCAAGTATCAGCGTCAACTTGTCCTTCTGGTCTTGATGAAATTTACTGACAAACTTGCTCGCCTAATGAAAAAAAGGCTTCAATTAAGCTTTCAAAAGACCAAACTGGATTTTACTTGGACTTTAAATGCAGATTTCAGAGCCGTGCTACATTTGCCACACACTTGTTCGCAGCTCACCACAAAGTTGTCCACCACCTTTGCAACATCACAAACTTGAGTGGCTGTGGCTCTCTCGATCCAGGTTTCTTTTGACTGGGACGTCAGAAGCTGAGCAAATTGGTCGTTGGCATAATCACACACTGAACACAGAAGTTCGCTCAGACAAAACTCGACAACCACTCGCTCGTCCGGACTAAGTAACGTTTCGGATGGGTCGGATCTAAAAATCACAACGAAATGAGTACTAATAAATTTTAAATTGAAATAAAATGTAAAGAATATTAAAAAAAGGATAAAATTACAATTTAAATTCAATTATCATGCATTTTTTTTAAATTATAAAAAAATTTATCTTTCCAAAATGGAATAAATTTGTTGAATTGTGTATTTACATGTTGAGATAGTTTGAGGAGGTGTTGTTTTCATCTTCCTTCAGTTTGTCTTTGCCTGAACTTTTTTCGACTGCCTCTCGCATGACATCGTGCACAACCTGTAGATGATTTGTTGGAGATTTAAATTATTTTATAATTTTCATTTAAAAAATTGAAAAACCTTGACATGATGAACAATTTTTAGTAGTGTTTCTGCAGTCCTTTGTAATAAATGCTGCCATCGAGTCAAAGGCAACCCTTGAAGCTGTTCTCCACTTCCTGTAAGTCGAACGTCTCCTTCTCCACTATCACTTGCTGCAATCTCCTCGATGACCAACTGAAATAAATTTAAATTAGTATAATTGTTATTAACTTAATTCAAGTCTTACCTGTTTCACTTTTGCCTTGATTGAGGTAAATGCCTCCTCTTTGTATTTGTTGGCAAAGTTGAAATACTTCTGCCTCAGCATCCCGTAAACAATGGATGCTAGTTTGTCCTGGAAAAAGAGGAGCTGATTTTTTTCACTGCAAAAACATGCCACTAATTTACCTCTTCTAAAACTTCTGTATAAAGATCTAAAGGTCTGTTCAAGTCTGCGGTTACGTAGCGCTCGAACTCGGCGCTGAGAATTTTATCTATTAAGCGTTGCATTTCGGAAAGTTGCGAGCTGAGGTGTCGGAAGCCATGCACCCCTGCTAGCTCCTGAACAAGAATTTCTTGCGTCGTCAATATAAGATCTATGGCAGCCACGTAGTCGGGAATAGAGAGGAGAAGTTGCAGCATCGACTGAGTTTGGTGAACCGTCACCATCAATTTTAACTGAAGTAATAATATTTTGTTAACACAACTAAACACGAGAGGACCTTTCTACAATACCTTTTCTACCACGGCTAAGTAATTTTGCTTTGTCTGCGCATAGCGAAGTATTTTTAAGGAATCTTTCACAAGGTGTTGATCAATATTTTGAAGTTTACTCCTAAAAACATGCATGTTCCAGTTTCAAATTAAAATTTCTGATAAAAAGTGTTACCGCAATAGCGAGACAGTGAGGCACGTTTTAGAAAGTTTTTCCATCAAAGTGTCGTGGGACGACATGGCTTGAAAAAAAGTATCCGACTTTTGAGTGACTTGGAAGGCAATTTGAACTTCGACGATGTCTAAATAATGAGCCAGCTGAAATATTTAAAACTGAATAAACAAAAATAAGTTGTTTGCTTTTTCGCACCTTCTCTTGCAACTGATTAGCACTACTGATAGGCTTAGACTTGTGAGTGTCTCCTTTTAGTGAATGGATAGTGTTGAAAGTTTCTGGAACCCGAAGATCAAATTGAGGCTGAATAAAAATTTTTGGAACAACACTCATATCACTCTGAGCTCGATCTGTAAATTTCAATGGAGGTTAAAATTTTTTTAAATCTGATTTTTTAGAATTACAAACCTGGTACTGAAACAGGCCACTTTGGGCTGAGGGGTCCTCCATTTATGGAATGATTTAATCTCTCGTGTAGTCTTAAGCGCTGAAGATTTTTTTTGTAAAATCATTGAAATTTAAATTTATTTCACAGCTCACTTTGCGAATTTTCCTGAGATAGTGTTCAAAGTTGGCAGAGGACACTTCCGGTAAATGCTCTAAATTTCCAATGAATGCCGACTCGACAAAATCATCTCCCCAAAGTTTGGTGAAAAAGTCTCTCTATAATATTTTTATTCGTTTTATAACTAAACTTTTCAAATGAGAATTTTTGGCATACTTGTTTCCCTCGATTAGGGTCATTGAGAACCGCTGGCAAGTTTTGAGACGACAAAGCCTTCCACAACACCATGTCACGTTGAGAAGGCTTCTTTACCAACGAGTTGCTGCTTTTTGATCTTGGTTCCGCACCTTAAAAAATATTTTCATAATTATGTAGTTTATTATTTTTATATATTAAACGTTAAAAATACTTTTAATTTCTTTAAACATTTAATATCATGTCATTGTTGTAAACAATGTCGTCAGCATAAATGTAACAACGATTGTTTTGTTTTAATTGGTTAATAAAAAAATAATGAAATTACCACTTGTAGATGCTGCTGCGTTCTTGGCATGTTTTACTGTTTGGGCATGGTTTGCTTTGGAACCGGAGTAGCTCGGGGATGTTTCCATTGCTGACGCTGGCCGAGAATGTACAATGTTGGGAGGCCATAAGCTGCTGGAAGTTAAATTTTTAAACTGATTACGTGCTAATTCAAAACAAAAGCGTCAATGCGCACTTACTCAATTTCACAATAAATTCAAGATAAATTTGCGCTAGCAATGATGAGGTGGCGCGGATGACATGACTCAAAATAAATAATAAATATAAATAATTTCGGCTTTCCAGTCCAGTCAGATGATAGCAGCTGCTGGAAGTTCCTATTTGCACAGATTCGCCCGACGGCGCCTGTGCACGTAATTCATTGCTATTTTCACGTTCTCACGTTGCCCTGCCCCGCCCACAAAACATAAAAATGTAAACAATGAAAGAGAGGTCTCATTATGTATTTCAAGTAGATTTGCTTGTTTTATAATAATTAATATAATACGCAATAATACGGTAGGTACATTTTATGATGAACTTTAAGATTTCAACATCATATAATTATATTATGTATTGATGGATATTTAAACTTGCTCTGAATTTAATGAGGTTAATTTTTATCCATTTCTGTTTTTCTGACACAAAATATTTAATTTTTATAGAGAACATGGACCCGAGGGTGATGGATACGACAGGAGAATCCAACTTTGATGATGATGACACACACATTTGTCTGAAATGTCAAAATACTATAATTGGATTGGAAAATTATGTCCTTCATCGACGCTCAAAATGCACAACTATATCGGCCTCAACTAGGTAAATTAATTCGAAATTTTAATTTTTTGATTTGATCTTAATTTTTAACCATCATCAACAGCAAGGACATAGACAGAGAAACCGTGCCGAGCGTAGCTGTTGTGGAGAACGCGGCGGACGCGCAACTTCCCAGTGCATTGGACTTTTTCAGTTCTCTCGAGCTGATGAGCAAAACACGTCTCGATGAATTCGACATCGACTTTGACATTCCTAATCTTCCTAAGACCAGCCTGGAACTCTCGGCCAAAACCAACAACTTTCTACGAATTACAGATTTGGAACTCGAGTCAAACTTCAGCATTGACATTGGAGACATCAACAAAGTTCGTAGAGGAAACTTTGATTCATTGGCCGACCTCAGTCTTATGCAAGAAGACGGCATCATTGGGATCGACCGGGGCCGATCCATCTTGGATTCTGATATTTTTTCCTCGGCCTCTATCGAAAAATTACCTCCCATCCCTGAGGAGATTCCAGTTCAGCCTGCGGCAAAAATTCCACACCCACCCTTCCAGTCTTCCGGAAAGTGGATGCCAGGAAAAATGTCTGAGCATCTCAAGTCAGGAAGCACCATTCATTACTTTTGCCGAACTTGCAATCGGCGTCTTTCGAGCAGGACTTTGTACGAAAAGCATTTACGGAGCGAGCTGCATTTTAAGAGGAAGACTGAAAACTGCATTTATGAGATGGAGGACGAATTTTTAGCGCCGTCTGCAAGGCAGAAAAGAGGAGGGCGGACTGTGGTAGAGAGCAAAGCTGCGGTAATCACAAGTTTATAATCACAAATTTAGGAGTAATTTAATCTTTTTTTATGCAGGACTCAGGAAAAAGTGCCAACTTGAAGCCCTGCGAAAAAATACCTGGGCCAAATAAAAAATATACTTTTTGTGAAATTTGCAGCATCAAGGTTCCTTCCTTGCTGTTCGGAAAGCACCTCCTCTCCCACTATCATTACATCAAAGGCTGCCAGAATCCTCAGCTGTCGAAGGAGTTGGTCCTGAGCAACATTGACAAAGTCGTCAAGCACTTCTCTTTCCAGTGTCTGTTGTGCCACTTTTATTGCAACATGATGGACGATTTTCTGCTCCACTTCAGCTCCGATATTCATTGCAAGAAAAACGAAAAGGTCTGCCCAAGTTTTTATTACAAAGGAACATTATTTTTAAATTTAATCGTAGGCTGAGGGAAAGTTTTGCTGCCAGCAATGCAAATTTGAAGAATCCGCAGCGGAAAGTATTGAAAACCACCTTCGAACCGAAGAACACCAACAGGTTGTTGCGGCCCTCAATCAGTCGGTGCCTATCGTCATCAAAAAAAGGTCAACACCCTTCAAGTGCAACATCTGCGAGTCAAAATTCAGCCTCAACATACAATTGAGATTTCACATGTCTAAGAAACACGGCATAACCACTGCACCTCTCCACACCTTTTGTTGCAAGTTCTGCAAGTTTTCCTGCAACAAACAAAGATCACTTCAGGTCTGTTTAGTTTGAAAATTTGTAATTTTGCTGTATTTCGAAATCTACTTTATTTCAGCGGCACGTCATTGGCAAACACAAGAAGAAGGGGCGCAGAAAGCAGCAACTTGATTCGACAGGCGAGTTTTTCTGTGGTCTCTGTGATGAAACTTTTCACAGCAAGGATGAAGCAGTTTTGCACAGAAGAAAACTGCAGTGCAGAGAGAAACGTGCCCTTGCAAATGGCTTCAACACAACTCAACTGTGTCGGATTTGCCAAGGAGTGTTTGAAAATTTATTCGAGTATAAAAAGCACATTTTGGAGCTTCACCCTGGAGCATTGCACAGGTAATAATTATAAAAATAAAAAATAAAATTTTTCATTGAAAAAAAAAAATGAAATTGCAGGTGTCAAATCAAAATTGCAACATGTGTTTTGCCATTTCGCAAGACCTTTCGCGGCATTCAAGGGAGTGCAAAGCTTCTTTCAAGTCTGCACCAAAAGGAAAGTCAAAATTTTTCTGCACATCCTGCCAAAAATCATTCACAAGGATCAGGAATCTTGTTTATCATATTAGGTAAAAATCTATTTAATTACTAAATCAATTTTCTCATTTTTATTGTTCATTTAGGAACATTCACCAAGCTGAGACTGAAATTAAGAAGCGAACTCTGCGGTGTCACCATTGCAATTTTGCCTCATTAAAGAAGTCTAGACTTTTGCAACACATAATAGCAATCCACCTGAGCCATTTACGCAGTCGGGACTGGCTGTGCGAGATCTGTGACAGAGCGTTCTATCAAAAGTGGGTTTGTTTTTTTAATTGAAATTTCAGATTGATTGAGGATAACGTTTATTATTTTAGAGCTCACTTGAAATTACACAGACCCATTCATTTTCCTAAAAAATTGAAGTGCATTTCTGTGGGGTGCAGTTTTGAAGCAAGCCATCCGTCGGTTCTCAAGAGGCACAACGAAAAGGTTCACAGCAAGGAAAGAGATACTTCTCAACGCGTGCATATAAAACCTGTACTTTTAAAGCCAAGTTAAAAAGTGGTTTAATAATTTTGAATATTTTTATGGCATGGTTCCAATAAAATTTCTATTACCAAGTTAGTAAGACAGTTTTTATTTTGAACCAGAACTCTTGATGAATCTTGCGAAATCTTCTAATGTTTCCAAAATTTCATTAAATCATATGACATTTGTGGAAATTTCTCTTGCGTTCAAGTTATTTTCCATTCACGACGCACAAATTTTATAATAATTTTATTTTATTGTACAAATCAATTCCAAACTTCTCTGTTTCCGCGCCAAAACCACCAAGGGCGCCATTTATCGAGTGTCACGACCCCATGCGTGGGCGACGAGAACCATAAGCATAATTTCTGTTTTGTTTACAAAAATACAAAACTTGCCGATTCTACACGTCTCGTGCAACGTCTCGTGCTTCTGGAACAACACAAAGGAAGATTTGGACATTAAAAGCTCACAAAATTAGTGTTTATCATTTCTGTGCGCCACGTTAATTAAATAGAAAGGAACACTTAAAAAAAAAACATGTCGAACACCGCGATTTGGCACTGCCAACTCTGGATGGGAGGAGTAAGAAATTTAAGGCCACTTTTTTTCTAATTATTGTCTTTATTTTCTTTCAGCTTGAGCCTTATATGACGGAAACGTTCGTCAAGGGTGCGTTTGAGAAGCTCGGAGAAGCGCCGATGGGCGTCAAAATTATGAGGAACAAATTCACAGGTGAACCAGCCGGCTACTGTTTCGTCCACTTCAAGACGGACGAAATCGCTTTGGATGCGATGCACAAGTTGAATGGAAAGGTCATTCCTGGCTCCAACCCGGTAATATTTTAACGAAATCCAATTTGAAAGATTAAAGTAATTTAAAAAAAAAATTTCAGCCTGTTCGCTTCAAACTGAATCATGCAAGCACAACTGGAAAACCAGGCAACGACAGTGATTTTTCCCTGTGGATTGGCGATCTCAGTCCGGAAGTGGATGACTATCAACTCTACAGGCTTCTTGCCTCCAGATATCATTCCTTGAGAACAGCAAAAGGTGAATGTTGTTGAAATGTTGAATTCAAGTTTGCTTCAATGCTAAATTCTTTGCAGTTGTTATGGACCCGTCAACAGGAGTGAGCAAGGGCTACGCTTTTGTGAAGTTCTCGAACGAAGAGGACCAGAAGGCTTGTCTGATAGACATGAACGGCTACAAGGGACTTGGCAACAAGCCCTTGAAAATAAGCAACGCTGTGCCCAAGAGCAAACAAGCAGCCGCTGCCGCCGCAGCAGAAGAGTCGCTGAATGAAAAGGCCCACGCTTATTTGGAATACTGGCAGAACTACAACCAGTGGAACAGCCAATACGGCAGCAACTCGGCCTATTACGACCACTACAATCAATCAAACACCACCTCTACCTACACAACCTCCCAGTATGATCAGCAGACGGCTGCAGCCGTAGCTGCGGCTGCTGCAGCCGCCAAGGCTATCGAGTCTCAGCCTCCACTGCCTGCCGAAGCACCGCCACCAGCACCGATTCCGGAGGAATTCCAGCTTGTCGGTCTGTGCTTGAGATAATTTAAAAAAAACTTTGATTGCTAATAATATTTCTGAATGATTGCAGAACACAACATCCCAGTTGACATTGACGAGCTCAATTATCACACATGCCAAAAGGATAATCAAATGTGGGATGCACTTTTGGAGTCCAAGTGGCTCCCTTCAGAAGTTTGCGTCCCTTACTTATAAGACAACTATATCTAGGAAATTTGAGTGAATGCACTTCCGTAATATTAATGATGTAAATTTACATAAGTAATAAAAAAATGTTGTAGAGTAATGTTGCTGATTTTTGTAAGGATGTGTTTCTTTTCAATATTCTCTAAACTTATTTATATCCAAAAAAAGACAGAAAATATATTTTTTGGTAATATATTATGTAATAAGAACTGATGAAAAAATTTCTGATTTATGCAGTTGCAGAAGAATGTGAGTTTGATTTCTGATAGCATGTTAGTGTTAGTTGATAATGTTTAAATTCAGAAATGATACTCATTGCTAATTAAATTTCACTAAATGTTTTAATGTGCTTATAAATTAATCAATTGTTCTCTATTCTAAATTTATATAACAGCCCATTCATATCACAACTTTCATGTTTTTTAATTAATAAAAAAACCAGATTAAGTACTTGAAGAGTAACATTCATCAGTCCATTAATTAAACAGAACTGATTTCACAGAAATTGAATTGATGCCAATTATCTTTGATATAATTGAAGGGTTACAAAAGTTTATTTTTCCCTTTAGCTTGCATCACATGGAGTTAAAAAATAAATGCAGCTACTTTTTGAAACAAAAAAATAAAAGACAGGATACTATTTTTTAAAAATTGTCACGGTGGGCTGAAAAGCAGATAAATAGAAGTTATTATAAATAAAAGCTCTAGAAAAAAATTAAATTATTACCTGGACAAAGGAAGCTTCATCGCTCACAAACAACAGTTTTTTCCTTATTCACAGTAATCTCCTGAAAAGAGAGAGAGTTGTTAGAAAACCAGTTCTCAAAAACTTATATGATGACTAAAAACAAAATTACCTCAGCAAATCTTTCTGCGCTGTTCTCGACGGCCTCAGAATCAACATCTGGTTGACGCTCTCAACCATCTCCAGGGACTGCAACCAATTCCTCCCTCTCCTCGTCACTCGGGACAGGGCCCTCATCAGCAGGATCCTCTGATTCATCTGCCTTATCCTGAATTAAAAAAAAATAGAGTTGTTAGAAAACCACCAAAATAAACAAGGTGACCAAAAATAAAATTACATGTACCTCAGCTGAATGCTCAGAAGTAGTGCTGTCTGTAGTCGTCTCGTCGTCAGACTCTCCTGAACTGAAAATCATTTTAGTCCCATTGATGTAGGGCGTCAGGTCTTCGTCAACATCAAAGAAAGATTTCTGGACTACAGGCGGGCCTTTTTGGAAATAGTTCATCCTATATAAAAATAAAATAATAATGAGATGCTTTTATTTCAGTTAAAATTAAATATGATTTACTGAAGCATGTAAGCAGTGTTCTTCAAGTTCCTTGTTGAAGTTTTGTGCTTTCTGAAGCACATCTGTATGTGATCGTGGGCTGAATGAGCTCCGATGACTTTTTCGCAGATCGGGCACTCAATGGATAGTTCCCACTCTGGATTGTGGAACGGGAGTGATTCGTGTTGCTCTAATTCTCCTTCTTCATTTTCAGTGCTGCGTCTAAAGTGGGGATGGTCATGGTACCCATCAAATCTCTTCTTACCGCACACGCATCGGAAAACTGTTTTCACTTTCACAGTCGACTTGTTTGTCGACTTTCTGGTTAACGTTATTTTTATAATTAGAAAAATATTTTTTTGCTAATATTAATTATCTAATACTTCTCAGACTTATCCATTTTGCAGGAGAATTCTGTTCAATTAAAAAAAATTTTCACAACACCATTATAATCGACGATCATCAGAATTCACAGGAAAGAATTTTCGCTTTTAACCGGTCGCTTTTCAAAAAGTCATAACGGCCCTGACTGATAATAAACAAATGCTTAAGCGAAGGAACAACAATAAATAAAGTTGTTGGTGAATCACAGGTCTTTTTCTTTAGGACTAGAGGTGTGGGGTTCATTGTGACCCAGGGTAGTTGATGAAGAAAAACGTACGACCAGGTTTATGTTTTCTTGTATATTGCTCGAACTGAAAAACAAAAACAAAATAAATATCACAATTGAAATAAACAAAAAAAGAGAAAGAATTTTTATTTGAGTTGGAAGTTAATTAGACTGATGTTATTTTTGATTTGAGAATTAATTTTATTAATTAAACTAAATTTGTTTTTTTGAGAATTTTTGAGAACTGAAATTTGCATAAATTTGTGTACTGAATTTGAAAGAGATTTTGTTGAGCAATTTGCATTTAAAATTAAATATTATTTTTTTCTTTTTGTTTTACTTAAAATTAAATTGAACATTTTAGGCTCGGTGAGCATCGGCACTTTGCCTCGGAGAAAACTAACATAAATCATATGAATGAGAATCTTAATGAATTAATACGGAATTTTTTACAAAGTCGTCTGGGTAAATGCAAAATTAAATCAGTTGGTAATATGATGAATTATTCGTTGGCAAATATTACAAATTCGGCCCGACACTGGTTTTGCGCACACGTGATTTGAATGGCGAATTTTGTCGTTCGAGTTTTTCACTTAAATTCGGACTTGGAGACAAAACTATTTCACTCGACCGACAGACTGTTCTTGTGGCTTTGATTTGGGGGCAAAATGGGACGCTTACCCCTGTCCGGGTTCGAGGATGGTTGAGTTGAGATTTCTGGCAGGCTTGGGACCGTCGTCAGCCTTTTTTGTTTTGCCAGGGAACAATGCAGGATGCCCGGCAGGGGGCGGAGAGGTTGCCCTCTAGTGGCGCTGCTACAGAGGAAATAAAAATAGTCGCAACAGTCGCTAATTTTGAAAGTCAGGTTATTCCAATTCAATATCAGGACTGCTCGCTGATTCTTTTGAAAAAATTGAAATTTTTTTTAATTCTCCCTTCGTTAATTGTTTTTTTACACTTCCAATCTCTTGCGTCCGGACAATTTTGAAGTGCATTGCATCAAAATATTATAAAACTGACACACGTTACAGCGCGTTACAGTTTTTGTGTATTGGCTGAAGCGAAATTTTTTTTAAAGTTTTCAATCAAAATGGATTTTTAGTGAAAAATTAAGATCTTTGAATTTTTAATAGATTCGATAGTTGTTACTTTTAAAAAAAAAATCATCAAGAATCAAACCTAAATGAAATTATCAAGTTCAAAATAAAATACGCTGAGATTATTTTCTTGGAAAACTTTATTGTATAACATTAAAGACCTTAAATTACAATGTTAGTAAAAGATCACTTTGGATGATGAGAGATTAGTAAAAATTAACAAGATCATCCAATGGCAAAAAAGTGTGTATAAGAGTTGTACGTACAATTATCGAGTCTTTGAGGTTTGTAAGTTTAATGTGCCGCGCGCAATCACACAATTTATACAAAAAATAATCAGTTTCAACCATTTTTGGCAGTGAGAAATTTGAAATTTCACGCCGATCTTTTGGACCTGAATTTGGTTTTGACAAACTGGCCTAGCATGTTGACCGCCTTGATGGACTTCCTGGAGCTCAGGCGGTACCTGAGCAGCACAAAAGTGGCCAACCTGAGACCGACGAAGCTCAAAATTAGCAGTACCGCGTCCTGCCAGTATTGCACGTTCTCCATCCCCACCTACAACAAAGCGTAATTTCACAATTTTAATAGCCTGAATTAAAATAGAAGTTTCCACAAAAAAGGACTTAACATAAAAGTGGTTTGGGTAAATATAATCGAATCTTGGAGACGCTTAATACTTAAATATAAATCTTTTGTGGCAGGGTGAATATTACGATGCCTAAATCCTGAATTTGTCTTAATTAATAAATTAACTCTAAATGAATCTCACTATGAAAAAAATAATTATAATTTTTAACATAGATTCTACGGTTTCCAACAAAATCAATAAAAAATATTATCTCTTATAAAAGTGTAGCACAAAAAGTTCCCTCAAACAGTAAAAATTTCCTAAATCAAAATGTCCTGGTTTTTAAACTCGTATTACTTTAAAAGGTAAAGAGTAGGAAGGGTAAAAAGGTACTGACATGTCTGAGGAGGGCCTCCGGTTCCCTGAGGTGGCAGTAGTCGATGGGGCAGGGCAGCGACTTGCGGCCGAGTCGGTACATAGTGACGATGATGCCCTCGAGGCCGTAGCGCAGGTAGCTCAGGTTCATGCCGACCCTGATGAGGACCGGGATGTCCGCCGACCCTGAGCCCATGCCGTAGCAGGAGAGCAGCATCAGCGGCACCGACAGCACCGGCCCCATGAACATCCCATTCTGAAAAACCGAAGCAACCTTCAGAATTAAGGGTTCAAAAAGAAAAGGTCAAACAACGCACCACAATGCCCAGGGTGGAGCCGATGGTGAGGCCGAGGCTCTCCGACACCAGCGACACCATCAGGCACATGAACAGGAACTGCGTCAGTCGCAGCGCCTCCATGGGCTGCCCTGACAGGTAATACACCATCGTCGCATACATCGTGCCCAGGAATATCTGTAAAATAAATATTTTCAAAATCACTAAAAACAGCTCAGCAACCATTCAAAAGCAATACAAGTTTTAAAACTATTCATATTATTTAGTAAAAGCATTTTGTTTATTGAAAAAAAATATTTGCTTTTCATTTTTTAGCATTAAAATAATAATATATACTAAACAGTTAAAAAAAATCATAATAAAGTTCATGTTGATTTCTAAATAAAAAAACTTGAAATTAATTAAAAATAAATAAAGGACTAAAATAAAAAACTCCACCTGGCATAGAATAAATACAAAATTTGAGAAAAATTTACTTGCAGATGAATTTCATACGAGGACGCGCTAAAACTGCCGATCGAAATACAACATGGGTCGATAATTTTTTCAATGATAACCACTTGTCCATAGGTCACCCCATGTGGTTAAAAAAAATCCCAAAAATTTTTTCGAATTTTTAGAATTATTTTTAAAAAAACTCAAAATTTGAGTTTTTAATTTTTCTATGAGATATAAAAACTTCTAAACAACTTTTCTAGACTAATTTTGCAACGCCCGACAACTTTTCAATGCTGACAAAACGTGTACAAACACGTTTAAGGTCACTTTCAGACAAATTTTGACTTTGACTGAAATTTTCGAAATGAACGCCCCCTTGGAATTATTTGCAGGTATAGGGAAAAATGTAGCCCATCTAATTTTGAATCGATATGGTGATTTCCAGAAATATATTATTTTTTGTTTTTCTTTTATTAAAAGGTGAATGAATAAAAACGTTAGATTTTGGGTTTCCTAGTGAGTATTGAAATCTCGGAATTTGCTTCAATCGTCCGATTAATTCTCGCGCTAAGAATTTACTTTGAAATATAACTTTTCTAGACGTATTTTTAGTTTTCCAACAATTTTTCAATAGTAACCAAACGTGTACATACACGTTCAAGGCCATTTTTAGACAAATTTTGATTTTAACTGAAATTTTCATAATGAACGCCCCCTCCGAATTTTTTGGTGGTATAGGAAAAATTGTAGCCCATCTAATTTTAAATCGGTATGGTAATTTTCAAATGTATATTATTTCTTGTTAAAATTATTTTAAAATTAAAGTAAACCAACTCCGACCATGAGCGTATTTTCAGCGCTTGAAACGCACAAAACCTAATGTTTTTATTTGTTCGCCTTTTAATTAAAGATAAACAAAAAATAACATATTTTTGAAAATCATCATATCGATTTAAAATTAGATGGGCTACATTTTTCCCTATACCTGCAAATAAATCCAAGGGGGCGTTCATTTCGAAAATTTCAGTCAAAGTCAAAATTTATCTGAAAGTGACCTTAAACGTGTTTGTACACGTTTGGTCAGCATTGAAAAGTTGTCGGGCGTTGCAAAATTAGTCTAGAAAAGTTGTTTAGAAGTTTTTATCTCTCATAGAAAAATTAAAAACTCAAATTTTGAGTTTTTTGAAAAAAAATTCTAAAAGTTCGAAAAAATTTTTGGGATTTTTTTTAACCACATGGGGTTACCTATGGACAAGTGGTTATCATTGAAAAAATTATCGACCCATGTTGTATTTCGATCGTCAGTTTTAGCGCGTCCTCGTATGAAATTCATCTGCACAGCAATTGCTGTAAATTTGTTTGTTCAATGTGGACATTGATTAAAAAATTTTGGATACATAAAAAAAGTGAATTAATTTACTCAAATTTTTGACCCTGGAATCTTCTAAATGGTTTTTACTAGACGTATTTTAAGTTGGGCTTTTTCTTAATTTGCAAGTATAGATTTGAATACCTGCAACGGAAGGTGGGAAATGGTGTAGGCGGCGTAGTAGGCGCCCAGGCTGTACCACCGGTTGAAGTACTCCCGCTTCAGGATTTTCACGTCGATTGGAACTGCGATTTCAATTAAATTTCCTTATTTTCACAGAAAAAAAAATTAAAACTCTCACATTGCAGAAGGACGGGCATCATGGGGATGTAGAGGAAGAAAATGATGCAAGTGTAGCAGAAGCCAAAGTTGAACATGGTCTTGGAGCCGTCGTTGCCCATGTCGTAGAACATGCCCCCGATGATGATGCCCAGGGCCAGGTGGAGGCTCAGCTTCAGGGTCAGGTGGCTCTGCCGAAAAAGTCTCAGGTTTTCCAAATTTACAAAAATAAATGAAGGAAAAGAGACTCACCGAGTCGCGCCACACCTGCAGCAGCATCCTGGAGAGCAGCACCCTGAACTGGTCCCACCCTGACAGGGCGAACCCAAAGTCCTGCTTCAGAAGGGTGCCGTCCTGCATAGGTAGTTCGCAAAACTCTACAACCTGCTGATCCTCCGACGATCCTAGATTTAAATATTTTTATTCCGAGAGTTGAAATTAAATATCAAGGTGGAGGAAATTAATTTATGGATGGGAAAAGGGAAAAATAGTTGATCACATTAAACTAAAAAATTAGAATATTTAAAAAAATGACGCATCACCAACATGAAAAAAAATCGTCTATTTTGATTATAAATTCTCAACTAAATTCACCAAATTTCAGACAAATGGCCTGATCAAAATAAAAATCACGAAAAAGAACATGAAACGCAATATTTTCAAAAAAAAATTTGAATTTTTACACTAAATATCAAATAAGTGAAATAAGCAATTAGGCACCTATTTCGAAAAAAAAACTATTTTTCCCATGTCTAATTAACTTACTGGAGGGAAGGGAAGAGTGTTGGTAGTTTGGGGTCCAACGTTGGCAGCGGCCATTCTCCACGGCGGCCACCATGCGCTCCACATGGTTTTCGCCGTACTCGCCGCACGCCGCCTCCAGAGCTGCAAACCAAAAGTTTAAATTTTAAGACGATCATTTTCATTATTTTTATTGCAAATTATTTCATAAATTTGGCTAACATTCGAAAACAGCAGGTCTATGTTTGCAAAATAAAAAGCACCTACATTTATTAAAAACTCTGCAACAACCTCTACTCAAAAACACCTAAATTTAATCTAAAGGAGCTGAAAAATTCTCATTGAAATAAAAAATTTCATTTCTTAACATTTATATTTTTTAATACTTTCAAAATTGAAATTATTATTGTTTAACTATTTGGACTCTATAAAATTGGAATTGTTTCATTAAAAATGCTCATAAACAAGGCCCATTGAGAAAAGAAAATACTTATTTTTGCCCATGGATGTGGGTTTTGGCTTTTTATTAAACAATAATTTAGTTGTGATTGAAATTAATTTGATTAAAATATAAGATAAAAGTGGAAGGGCAGATGTTTCGATTGTAATTTAGAACTTGTGAATTGGAGATATTTTTATGTGAGTCGCAAATTAAATTTTAGCAACATTTTAGACCGTTAGAAAGTGCACAAAGAGCGGCGTGACTGGCAATCGCCGGGAGATACTTTGCCGACAAAAGAGCCGAAAGTCATTGACCGGGGGGCCTTTTATTGTCAACTCACAAAACCTCTTTCAAATACTCAAATGAATTATTTAAGAGAAATGCACGCGACCTCAATGCAGCTTTTCACCTTGAAACTCCTAGAGACTCTATCAAGTGCATTTCGACGCAGCACCAGAAGATTGTCAATCTCATCCACAAAAACCAAAAAACTCTAACAAAAAATATTTCTGTTTGTAAAATACTCAATTTAATGTAAAGTAGTTTTGACCATAATTTTTGTTTGTTTTTAGATGTTTAATTTTGAATAATTACCAAAGTCTGCGGGGTTGTAAGTTTTGGGGCAGCTGAGGGCGCAGGAGGCGTGGAGGAAGGGGATGACCTGGGTGGCGGCGCCTTGGAAGACGCACTGGCCCTCGGCCACGACGTACACGTTGTCGATCATGTGGAAGAGGCGCGCGCTGGGCGTGTGGATGACGCACACCACCGTCCGCCCGCCCGCCGCCAGCGCCTTCAGCAGAGACAAGCACTGCGCGCTCGACAGGTCGTCCAAACCCCTAATCATAAAAAAAAATTATAATTAAATTGCAGCGATTGCGTAAAATTTCACTTAAAACGCAAAAAAAATTCATCATTTAAATATTAATTTTGATTGTATTTTTTTTTTTAATTTATGACAATATTATGGAGTTTACCAATGAGAGAAAATGGAAGATTTATTTATTTTTGAATTTTCTTTTTGCTAATGTCACCTTAGAAATTTGGAAATACAGAGAATTTACGATAAAAAAATAAATTTTTAAAAGGGGCCTTTTTAGCAGATCAAAGAAGATTTGAAAAACGTGAGAATAGAATTTAGAAAAACATCAAATTTTATGAAGATTTATATTTCCAGATTCAAGTTTACAATTTTTAGTTTCGAATCGTTTCAAACTAAAAAAAATCTAATTGTTTGCAAATAAAAATCCAATCAAAAAACACTCCAGAAATATATTTAATTTGAATTGATTGTTTTTACTCACGTGGTTGGTTCGTCGAGGAACATGACTGGGGGGTTGTTGATGAGTTCGAGGGCGATGCTAAGGCGTTTGCGTTCGCCGCCGGACAGTTTCTCGGTGCGCGTGTTCTTGGCCCTGGTGAGCCGCAGCAGCTCGAGGATCTCGTCGACGGTGGCCTGGCGCTGGCGCGGCTCGAGGCGCAGGCCCAGCTTGAGCTGCGAGGCTGCGTGCATGGCCTCGTCGACGCTCAGGTGCGGCTGCAGAAGGTCCTCCTGCATGATGTACCGCGAGATGCGCCGGAACAGACGCATCTCGCGCGGACGCCCGTTCACGCAAATCGTCCCGCTCGCGTTCTCACACCTGCCATGTTCAAGAACGCATAATTATTTTCCACAAAAATAATTATATATTATTTAAACATTAAATTAAATTAAGTTGAGCCAGTCATTGAGACTCATTGAAATTATTTTGCAACTTAATTTGGGCGACATAGTGAACTTTCAAACATTTAAAACTTTCTTATGATATCTCCTTGGGAAAAAGCATCGTCCAAATTAATTAATGTGATCTAACTTCAGCAGGAGCCCCTCCTTTTCGGTTTGAAGGAATTTGTATCAATTAATTTGGAATATTGTTTTGGTAAATTCTAAAATAAACTAGTGATGTTTTTCCACAGTTCTGTTCTCTCAAATTAACTTGATTTATATGTCACATCTCATTTGAGAGACTTCATAATGTTTCCCTTCCAAAATTAATTATTTTTGTAAATTTATATCTATAAAAAAATCGCCAAATTTATCGGTTTTTTCTTTTTGCTAAAATTTACTCCCCCACCCTTTGAAAAGCCTAATATTTGAATTTTAAAATTGGAAACAGGAAATCTTTTGTTGCTGCGTATCATACGAGTTACTCTTCGGAATTACTTTCCCACAAGATTTCTCTCTCTGTGTGCGTTTGTTCATATTTTCTGTTGTTGAACAACACGTTTATGTGTGTGTAAGTAACTGGGCGCGAACGACCTCGGCCGGCAGCGAAGATAATCGTCTTATTTATAGAAAATCTCGAGACAATTATAATAAATATAAATACGCTCCGCGTCGAGGTTCGCGCCGGTGCAGGACGCGCGGAAATTGGGCCTTTGCAATAATTCATCACTCGCATAATTTCCGCCTCTTTGGCCTTTCACAATTCTCTGCTCAACACTCTTGCAAAAAAAAAATTGAAAATAGAGGAAAATGACGGTGGTACTTTTCCACCAAGAGGGGTGGATGCGCACGTGAGAAGGCAATTTGCTTCATGAAAATGCGCAAGAGCGATTTTGCTGGAAAAAGAAGCTAGGCTCGATTAAACCGGTTATCCTTGCCCTTGAGTGTCACACAATTTAATATGTTCTCCAGCACAGAGCGGCGGCGAACAACTCTCACAATTAAAACCTCAATCGGGGTTTTTTCCTCTGCTAATTATTTCTAATGTGTCACTTTTTATCCTAGAAAAGGCAAAGAATGCTTGGTTCGAATTTTTTAAACCAGTTTTTGGGCGTTTTTCCGAGTTCAAGCAACTCGACCGCGTTTGACAATTATCGCACCGGGCAAAAAAAAAGATAGTCATGGCCGCGCCAAAACTGGTTCCGAGCCAAACCAACTACTTTTAATAATGATAGAGCAATAAAACCAATCGTTATTATTTCACACCTCTTGTTCTTTCAACTTTTTAAGTGAAGAGCTAATTGAAAAAAAATGGTTCACAATGGAAATACCGTGACGTAGGTCGTGATTCAATTTTTTTTTATATTAATCCTGACCTTGACATTTTTGGTCACCGGTTGATTCCTTGAGACCCTCTTATGTAGGTTAGGGTTAGCTTGACCAAAAATTTATAATCTTCACTTGAACTTCATTCAAGCTTGAACTGTACCCATACATTTTATCCAGTTAAATCAAGTTTATTATCCTGATTTTTTTATTTTTGAGAATCAAGTTTTATTTTTATTCTTTTGTGGCCGGATTTTAACTTCTTAACCCTTATTTTGAACAGAGGAACAAATTTTTTGCAGACTTTATAAATCAATCAAATATTTTAATTTATCTTCAAATTTTTTATTCCAATTAAAATTATTATTATTGTTGTTTAGTTCCGAATTAGTATAAAATATTAATCTTTAGTCTAGTTCCTAATAAGAACAGATAGAAAATTAACTTCGTCTCCTCAAATCAGCTTTGGGTACAACTTTTTTTTAAATTTATTTGCTTTTGAATGAAAATAATTTTTGAAATTCAACATAAATTGCTTCAATTGTGGTTAGAAATCGATGTATTTATGCAAAACTTTATCAATTTAAAGCTAAAAAATGTTAAATTTGAAAGTTATACATGATAAAATTTATAGCTCTCCAATAATTTGAGACTCACTTGTATCCTGCGAGCAGATTGAGCAGGGTGCTTTTTCCTGCGCCCGACGGTCCCAGAATGCACGTCAGCTCGCCAGACTTGAAGAGCCCGTTGATGTTTCTCAAAATCGTCTTTGGACCTGCAACAAATGTCAAGTGGTGAAAATAATTTCCACACTCTCGAATGAGACAAGTGGAAAAGGTCTTTGGGTTCTTCCCAGAGGAGCTCTTTCGAATCAACTCTTTTTTTTGCTCAAGCGGATGCGGAGAGAGAGAAACAATGTGCTGCCTCACCGCCAGCAAGGGTGCTTCAGACACACCAAAATTATCAATTCTTTAATTCAGGGTCACTTTCAGTTGCACAAATCACCGTAATGAGTGTGCGACTTTTTCACTTACATTCAATTGTTTCATATATATTATGTAACCAAGAGCTAACAAAATTCGCTGTTTGTAGTTTTAAAATTAACTAAGTTTTTCAAAATTCCTTAAAGGTCATAGGTAGGGAAATTTTTTGTATCAAATTCAGCATTTCGACGTTATTGAAGGTGAAAATTTGAAAATATCTTGCACTTTTTTCAGAGATATTTGTAAAAAAATCACTGTGAAAATAATTGAAATTCAGTTTCTTTTAATTTAGGTAAAAATAAAAGTGAAATGATTTATTATGAAGAAAAAACTTCTTAATTTCTTAATTTTTATTTTTAGAAATCATTATTTTTAAGCTCAATTGATATAAAATGAATGTTCCTCAGTGGGTCCCTATTTTCAGGAGGGGAATTCGTAAATGAATTTTTTATAAAATCTATTTCCTAGATTCTTATTTTTTTTATAATATATAGGATTGAATATCATTGTTTGTCCTGATTTGATGATTATATATTAATACCAAGTCTACTTCCACCAACCACAAAACGAAAATCTCGCTCGCATTGCAGATCTCGGAAGTTGGTCAGATGACAGCAGAGGTCTTTGGAATTTACCTTTGTAAGGGCACACGTGATGAACAATATATTTATAATAGTATTTGCTATTTTTTTTTTCATTCTCACTTCGGAACAACCTTGGCTGTGCGAAACTAGTTTGAACGCCAACGAACGGGTGTTCCGAAACCAAAACGGACAATCCTTGAGTCTCAATAAGTTGATATATTATTTGCACTACTAATCGAGCAAAAAATGTAATTAGGAAGTAATTTATATTTTTATTTCAAAATCATTTAATAATCTCTTTCTAAATTCTAACCATGAAGCGTCGTAAATTTTTGCAAATATAAAGGGATATTTATTTGGGAATAAATTATGTCCAGGAGTTATATGGGCGGTGCTTATGTCAGTCAAGCAATCCAGCGTGACATACAATATTTTTATGTGACTAAAGAAATACATCGTTTTTATTTTGATCTGAATTTAATCACTAAAAACCACCTGTGCCGGCTTTTAGGAACAAAAATAATTCATTTTTTACTATATTCAGACTTCTTTATGATTCCTTTTTATCTAATTCACATTTTTTCCGCAAATTTTTATCGCTCGTAAGTCGTATGCCTTATCAACTTATAAAATTAGTAACAACATTAATTTGAACTTGAAATATTTAGTAATTGTAGAACTTGAAATTAGCGGAGTGAAGCAATTAGGTTTGGTTCGTTCCGCTCGCTCTCCTCCAGTTTTGCTTGTCACGATCTTTTCTTTTTTGCACACGAAAGCAGGTGTGGGTAATTAAGGGAGTTGGAAAAGAGCAACAATGACAATCGCTTGCAAAGTGCCGGTCATAGCGCAATGACGCTGCAAACGGATCCGCCGAATTTGGCGCGGCCGAATTTTCTCCTCCAAGGCCCCTCTCGCGTTGAGAAGTATTTGTCCATCATGCTTCACTTTATTTTCCTCAAGTTTCAATTAACACACTTCCTCCGCAAAACAAAACATTAACATAATTTGTGCTTGTTAAATTAAAAATTACTTCAATTTTCAATCTCAAAAATGGTCCTGTGCAAGAATTGTTTAGAAATTTAATTCAACTTTGAATAGTGAAATTACCGATCAAAGGAAAATTGTAATTTGTTTATAAAATTCCATCCCTTCATCAAGGAAGAAGGTAAAATTTCTTAAAATTTTAATCTCGATTTTTCAAAAGTAGATGAACTTCAAATCAAATTTGCTCATCATTTTATAAGTTCGTCTACATTTTGCGGGAGAAATTTGAAAATTTGGAATATTTACAATAAAAAATAAGTATGTTTAATTGTTTTTCAATTTATATTAATTTCAAATTTTATAAATTGTTGTAAATTTTAAATCATTTACAAATCATTTTCAAACTATGCCTTGGACACTGATATTTTGATATTGCAATAAGAAATTTTGGTCTACAAACCATTTATTTTGAGTTGTTGTTTAGCAAGTAACAAACTTTTGACATGATTGATTTTGCGAAACATCAACAACAAAAAGGTTCATTTGTGCAAATTTTGTTGAAATCGCGATGAATGAAAGGAAGCATAAATTGAAACCAGATTTCTCTTCAACTCACTTACGGGAAAAAGTTAATATATTTGGCTCCACCTCTGAATTATGATCAAATTTTGCGTTGACACAATGACGTTTGGCACTCTCTGAAAATTATATTCCTAGAAGAAAATTCGACGAACGTGTCGAGCATTGAAATCTCGAACAAAGGATTTCGCAAGACACCCACTTGAATAAAAACGGTGACTTGCGTTTCTCAATTTTCTCCTCGCGCGCGGCCTTTCCACAAATTTTCCTCCCAAGAATATCAGCTGAAAAAAAAATTATAGATGACTTTGCTCGCAACGCCGTTCTCCGTGAAAAAAAGTGGAGTTGCGTCAGTTGCAGAACTTTTTTCGTAGAGCAACTCTTTTAATGGAAGCAAATATTTGCTCACCAATAGAAGAAAAAGAAATTCCGTCGAGCGCTCGGCAAACATGGGGCGTCAAAGTGATTCTCGTCCTAACAAGCGCGACTTTAATTAGTTTTGTTTGAGATAAGACAAAAAAAATCGAGTGTCAATTTTCTAGGCAAACAGGGTTTTAAGTGTGAAAAATGTCCAAATAGTCATAAAAAAGACTAAAAATTACAGAATGGCAAACAGGTTTTTTATTAAACTGGTTTAAAGTCTCAAAAATCCAAATTTTTGCTATAAAAAAACACTTAATTACTTATAATAACACAAATCTAGTTACTTTGATACACTTTGATATTGACAAAAACCAAGTGTGAATTTGAAAGAAGGAGTTATTTCATTTACTATCATTTTTTCGCAACAATTTTTTTTTAATTAAATTTGTTATTTTGACTTCAATTCCTTATTATCCTTGACAATATTCAAAACGAATAACTTTTAAGTATAATTATTTAAAATAAATTTTAATGATTCATTCTGTTGAAAGGAACAAGGTTTAAAAATGATCACGCGATATTTTCGCTGCTCTCTTATAATTGTTGACGATCACTGACCACAATTTTCACGCCGTTTCCTGCGGCGACGCCAAATTTCCTCCTCCAAAAAGTCGCCGCTTTTAAAACCCACGAGCCAATAAATTCTCTCACGCCTTGAAATGTGGCCGAGAAAAAAAAACAGGTGTCAAATGATATAATTGCAAGTCAACAATCGCACAAGTGAAACTTGGAAATTGGCGAAAATTATTGCAAGGAGAAATTGAACTGGAAGGAGTCGCATTTAAATTACAATGAAATCTTGACAAATTATGTTGCGAAGTAAAATAAGCAAGATATGTTATTAATTTGTGACATTTTTGTTCAATTTCAACAAATTTTTAAATTAATAAAACAAAATTGAAAGTTTCTCTGCCAATTTTAAGGAAAAATCACCTGTTTTAAAGTTTTCATTTGTAAACGTTTGTGTTGAGAAGAAGATTTAGAAAGGGTGGGACAAAATCTGTCTTGACAGCAAGAAATCGGTTTTGTATTATGCTGAACTAATTTTCTTTTCACGCCGTTGTGCTCTTTTGTGCATCTGCCACTTGAGATGCACCACTAGCCACCGGGAAAGAAAAGCTTTTGAAAAGTCGGTCACTGCATGCGACTTTTCTGCGTTCAAAACGAGCCACCGAATCAAGCATCTGCCGTTCAATTCGAATCTAGGTTGAGGCACTTTATGATTTTTGTTTAATTAATTTCCAAGCTGCCGAGAGAAGACAAGTTGAAACATGTCACACTCTCTAATGAGAGAAGAGAAGCGACATGCGATTAAATAGCTGCTTATAATAATAATAATTGATCAGACGATCACTCTGCACCACAATATCTTAATCTACAAAAAATTAATTCCCAAATCTAAATTTTTTTTAATTATTCAAGTCGCCTAAATTTATTAACCATCTCATTAGAAAATGACAGGAGTTTCACTTTCTGTCCCTCGTCATGTAAAACTTCCTAAAATAAAATTTGACTCCAAAATTCAAATTTTGTAGTGCTTTTAGTCGGAAAGGCGAATCACCCCCATTTTCAAAGGGTGAAAATGTTTCAATGACAATTGTCAAATTCGTCCAATAAAATTGTCCACCATTAACATTCAGGAATAATAATTTAAATTTTATAAATTTTTGTCTGTGTGGATTTTAAATATTTCATTGATTCAAAATTTAATTTTCGTTTGATTGTTGCACACACTGGTTAATCAGATCAATTTTACCAAAAGGCAAAGACCAAATTTTCAGTTTTTTTTTTTTGCATTTTTGTTTCACCCCGTCTGCCAAATTATAGCAATTTTTGAGAAAACTGAGAGTGTTTCCGCGATAATTAAGGAGGTTTTTCGCTCTCAATTAAAAATTCAAGTCTTGTTTTGGTTGCAAATTCGCGGGCGAGGGAGCAGGAAGAGGCGCACGCGAGCAATTACACTGCACGGAGTCACGAACTGGTTTCGCCAAACATTCCCATAATAAAAATACACCACACTCATGCTCCTCAATTTCAAGTTTAGCACTGAAGCCGAGAAGGAAAAATCTAAAATTATTCAAATTATTTGAATATCTTGTTTGAAAATAAGAATTGGACATAAAATGTTATAATGTCCATTTGCGGAATTTATAAGAATAAATAAATATGTTTAAATTTTCATATTAAAATTAAAAATAAGATTTTAAATTAAATAAGTAACCGTCAAAGTTTTAAATGAGATTTGATACAATTAAATCTTTTTACTTTTTATGTTATTAAAAAAAAAATCAGCCTCAAATGATTTTATTGTCAATTTGCCTTTAATTGAGAGAGGAAAAAATGTGAATTTGGACTGACCGTAGCCGTCCTGGTGGACGGTGTAGTTGAGGTCGGAGAACTCGATGGTGACCGGCATGAGAGGGGTCAGCTGGCTGAGGGTCTTGGCGGCCATGTTTGGCAATTGGCGGCCTTCCTAGCTCTTTTATCTCGGATTTATCGCTCACTCGGGTCGGCGGCCGTCCGCTCTGCCCGCGAGTCGATAAACAACTAAAGCGCGACTACCCGTGCCGCCGCCGCCGCCACTCATCCCGTGCATGACGTCACCGTGAATGAGACTCGGAGCAAAAGAGAACTCGATCGATCCATTCTCGGAAAGTTACGAATTTTTTAAATTCACTCTCCACGACCTTCGGCAAAAACATTCAAGCAAATTGGCAAACAAGGAAAGAAATTTTTTTGCAAGAACTGAAAAAAATTTACGTAAAGAGGAAAATTTTGCTAACAAAAAAATTTGAGAAAAATTGCAACGTTTCTTTTTAAAATTGAGTTCACGTTTATTCAAATTTGATACTCTCCAATAAGATGCTGTTGGTTAATTTTAGAATTTTGTTCCACGTTGCAATACTTTTTTTTAATTATTGTAATTTTTTTTTTAAATATCAATTAGTGGAAAATTTGACTAACAATAAGGAATACCAAAAAGGATTTTCTTCCGTGTGTGCAAATTATATTTGCAAGCGCGAGCGCGACCTTGACAGTGCAATCTACAAATAAACTCGTTTTTCTTTCCGAGCCGCCGTGCCGTGCATTATTATTTTCAACTCGGTCTTATTTTCTTACCAGAATAGATGAATTTTTTCGCGCAAACAGGTTTTTCTCTCCGCGCTGATGTCTGCGTCCCTTGTGTTTTGATGATGCGAATTTGATTACCTGTCTCAAGTTAAAAAAAAAATAGGGTTTCTTATTGTACTGCCATTAATGAAATGAGAGACAAAAAGCATCAGCAAGTCCAAGTGAATGTTTTGCATATTTATTTTTGTAAACGAAAAAGTCAATTGATTAATTCAAAAATTTTGATATAAAATTTGTTAAAGGCGTAAAAGTCGGTTTTAGATTTTATTTGTCTAATTGCAATTTTATTTATATTTTATGCAAAAGATTCATTTTTCTCTGAATCTTAAAAAATATTTATCACACATGATTATGCACCAGCAAATAATTTCTTCAGAAATTGGCTGGACTTACAAGGAAATAAAACAAATAATTATCTTTCTCTTAGTTAGAAAAATACATTTACCGGAAGTCTATTTTACAAACGAATTTGATTTTTAAAAATGAATATAATAAATTAATCCAATAATATTTTTACTTTTAAATTCGGATTAAAAAAGGGTAAATTTACATTTTAATAAAAATCAAGCGTAAATGAAGAAGTCTCTAAGCCCAATAATCAATAAATATTCACATTTCACGTTTAGAGAGAAAAAAGTACAATTGAATAGTATTTAATTATTGTGGCTAACTTAACAGTTCAAGTTGTAATATTAAAAATCATTTAAAAAAAGCAACAATTATCAATTGTTTGTTGAATAGAAAGACCATTTCATTCGATTTCTTCACAGATTTACTTGAGCAGAACAAATTCCGAATTTGTGACGGAAGAAATTTCTATTTTTCGTTACGAAAGAGTTGAAGAGATTACGCGGGAGAGAAGGAGAGGAAAAGTGAATCAAGGCCCATGAAAAGAAAAAAGAGCAGAGTTGCTTTGTGTTCGGAACACAATAATATTCGTCGATTACCCAGCACATTTTTCACACTGCAACAATAATTGCATTCTTCCCTCGGCCTTGGATACAAATTTCTCATTTTCGGTCTTTAATGCACGATTGCGAAATTCCGATTCCTGTCCAAAATATTCGGCGAGGGTTTCCGATTTGCATGACAATGCAGCCTCGTCCGAGCGTGATTTGCAGCTTATTTCGTGACCTCTCATGCATGCTCGCCGCTGCAATTTCGCGGTGACTTGAATATTAAACGAGGCAGGTCGCGACCCGGCCGGCCGCGATTATTGCTTTTGATTTGGATCAAAAGTCTCGCTGCGACTCTGTCGAAGGTCTTTGGCGTGGTTTTGGCAAAAAACGCGGATTCTTGTTTTGAGACAAGAAGTGCAATTATTCAGTAATGATGGGAGAATTTGGCAAAAGTTCTCGCGGAACAAAACAGGATCAGCCAAATTTCACAACAATAAGCCGCACAAAACCAAGGTCGGACAAAGTCCATTTGTCCAATTGCTTATAACAAAAAGGTATTATCATTTATTTGAATTTTACCATTGAAAATAACAAAATTTGTTTTGCAAAATTTGGGTAATTTTTCTAAAATAATGGAATAAAAACAAACTTCATTGGAAATTGATCTAAAGTTAATTCAAACCCACTCTCCGAACTTGTGGAATTCATTGTGAATGCCACTTTTTGATACCGGGAAAAATGTTTATTGAATTAGAATTTTCTTGAACTGAAAGAGGATGCAATTGTGTTATAGAATATTGTAAACTGATTCCAAATATCATTTTAAACTGTTACGGTTTTCATTGTTAACTAACGGTAAATAGTGTTGTTGCAACTTGCAAGCGAGTTTGGCAATAAAAAGAGTATTACGGTTGTTATTCTTGGTGCATGATTTCGTTTTACAATAGAACAGAGAGAAATGAAGTGGACGGAACGAACAGCATCTGTTGTGTATTCTCTCGCCTTGCTTCACAACTCGCTGCGGTGCTAATTTCCGAAATGAATCAGCGTGACAAATGATTAGAAAAAAAAATGTGATTCACGCGCCGCTGGGCGACAAACTGCACAACAGATGCGGGTGGTCACGCTGCAGAAATAATGAAAAGTAGTTCAAGTGGGAAACTTATTTATTTTTATTACAATAACAAGTAAAATTCGTGAACAGGAAAAAAACGGGCACACAATTTGTGTTACTTCATTTATAGTTGAAAGGGAAATACAGACTGAGATTTATTTCTACAAATAAATATCACATGAAATAATATAACAAAGTAAAAACCTGATTGTGGTGAATCAGAAGAGCAGCCCCGGTTTTAGTCGAGAGAGCAGAAATCGCATTTTTTTATCACAATATTTAATATAGCAAAAATATTTTTATTTAAAAAAAGGATAATCAACGGTTGCTCTTGAGCTTCCAGCGCAGGAAGAGGAAGGCGGCGACCCTGAGGATGACGAAAATGACGACGAGGGCGATGATGTCAAGACGATAGTCGGCGTCCACCATGTCCAGCTCCTCGAGGGTCGTCTCAGGCTTCTTGAAGTGGCAGTGCATTTGGCTGCACTTCAGCTTTTCGCGTCCGAACGCGTACGTCGCCAGGGCGGTGCCTTCAAAGCCGTACCTGATGTAGCTCAGGTACGTGATCCACCGCAGGTAAATCGGGATCGCGTCGAAACTCACAAAGAAGCCGGAAAACAGCAGGAACGGCACCGACATCACTGGCGCCAGGAAAACGCCGTTCTGACAACAAATCGAGAACAAAATGTCAAAAATTTTTAAAGAACAAAATTCAAGAATTGAAAAAGTTTCTTGCTTTTTGAAAAATAAATTGATGACAAAATAGGTCAAGGTCACCGTGAGATTTAATGTTGATGAATAAAGGGATTGAGGAATCTAATTCGTTGAATTAATTTCTGCACCAAAAAACTTAAATTGACTTTACATTAAGTGTGACGTATCACCGGAAAGGTCAGGTCACAAGCAATCGATTGGTGACCATAAACAAGTTGGTTGTCGTTTCAAAATTTGAGAATAATGGAGAATTTAAATTGCTAAAAAAAGTTTACCCTCTAAACTTTTAAATTCTGTAGCTATTATGTTTGGCAAACCATTATTCTCATCAAAAGTGAGTTTTAAAAACTTTGGGTGGAAAAATAATTGTTCCATTAAATTTTATAAATTAAAAAATTTACATAGACATTTTCACATGAAAAATCTTTTTAATACCGTTTAAAACCTTTCGCAGAAAACATAAATGAGATTGATTGGAAATTAAATAAATTTATTTGGATTTAATTCATTTTTTAGCACTGACCTGAACATTCATGGCGGCGCCAACGACGAGACCGATGCTCTGGGCCACGAAGGAAATCATAAGGCAGGCGGCCAAAAACATGCCAAAGCGGAACCACTCGTACGGCTGCGACGTGCAGTAGTAAACGATACTGACGTACAGCACGCAGAAGATCGCCTTGGAAATACAAAATTTTATTTTTTTAAATTATTTTATTTGGTTGGAAATTCACCTGGAAGGGAATGTCCGAAATAGTGATGGCCAAATAGTAAGAGCGCAAGGAGTACCAGCGGTTGAAGTTTTCCTTCAGCAAGACTGGCATCTCGAGCGGGACTGAAGAAAAAATAAGTTATTTTGGTGAAAGGGGTGCGGATTGTTTAAAACTGACAAGAGAGGATGGTGACGGTCATTGAGGTGTACATGAGGAAAAGCATGTTGAAGAAGAGGAATCCCAGGTTGCTGAGCACCTTGGAGCCTTCGTTGCCGATGTCGTAGTAAAGCGCGCCAATCAGGAAACCCACCAGGATGTGCGCGAACAGACGCAGGTACATCAGGGTCTGCCACAAATTAAAGGGGTTCAAAGGTTGGTAATGAAATTTTCGCGTAATGTATTATTTGAAAGCTCTTTGAAAGCTGATTTCATTGATGTGCTGGAAATGGGATTTGGACTAAAATTGGCGGGGCTGTGTCGGTTTTTGTCCTGGCGGCCATCTTGAATAAAATGGTGACTTCAAACTCACAATTGTACCTCAAAAGTACTGATGTAACATATCTTTGAACTTGTCTTTTTCAGATCTATGCAAATAAAATTGAAAAAACTTGACTCACCCAATCACGTCGGCTGAAGAGGAAGGCCCTCTGCAGGATGATCCAAAACTGGTGCCACTCGGAAGTTTCGTAACGCTTGCCCACGTTCTTGGTGTCCACGCTGGGCTCGAGCAGGGACGAAGTCACCGTAAGCCCCCCATTCTCCTCCCGCTGCACCACAACCTGGAGATTCGCAGTCAAATCTGAACAAAATTTGGAAATTTACTTAAAAGAAATTCAAATTTTAGGAATTCAAATCCTACTTGAGTCCTTGGAGACGTAGTTGGTGGTGGTCTTGGCGAAGTTCTTGTCACCATTTTTCATCGCAACCACCTGATTGTTGTCCTTGACCTCGGGCCACGGTTTGCCCTCGCGGATGTCGTGCTTGCCGTTGCCGATGGCCGCCACCAGGGCGCTCACGTTGTTCTCCCCGTACTCCCCACAAGACACCTCAATTACTACAAAAGACTTGGTTTTAATGCGCAATTCAATCAAACAAATTTATAAAAACAGTTCAGTAATTTCTCTGTGGCAATGGAAATTTATTAAAAATGCATATAACAAAAAAAAAAAAAAATTGGCTCCACCAGGTCACGGATTTCCATGTATAATTAAATTAGATTTTTGAGTGCGATTTTCACCAAATTTAACACAACTTGCATAAACTTTTTTTTATTATAAAATTATAAAAATGGCTGTTGTTGCAGACTTTAAATAATATTTTGACTTACTATAGGAGGCTGGGTTGTGGTAGCTGGGGCACTCGAGGCCCCTGGAGGAGAGCCACGGCACAAGTTGGCTTGTGTTGCCCTGGTAGATGCACTGGCCCTCGGCCAGGGTGTACAGCTGGTCGAACATCTCGAAGAGTCGGGCGCTCGGCTGATGGATGGTGCAGACAATGGTGCGGCCGCCCCTGCTCAGGTCCTTCAGCAGTTTGATGCACTGGTAGCATGATGAGCTGTCTAGACCGCTAGGAATTCACAACAGAAAAAAGCACAAATTTTTATTTGGTAAATTTTTTTTTTTTTTTTATTGTTTATCCCTCTTGGGAAAGGCACCAGCGGTAGCAGACAGGCTGCTAAATCGCAAGGGCCGATAACTCGGATTCTCCCCTTTCGGGGCCGATAACACGGTGACCTTGCGACCCACTGGGCCAGGGAGAAGGGAGTGTAGGATGGGTTTGTATGTTGGGAATTTGAAGGATGAGGAAGGTGAGCGGCTGCGGCCTATGAATGGGAACTATGCCGGCATTCGCCTGGAATGTCTGATGGAAACCGCAGAAAACACCAGACAGCATAGCCGAAATTGCAGACGAAATGCCTGCAATTCCTCCCGAATCTGCCTGTCGCAGTGATTAATGCACCTCCTATGATTTTCTGTAGTCCTGTGAACTAGCCGGTCAGAATCAGAACTTTTTCAAGCCCTGACCCTAGCCAGGATAGAACCCAAGGCCTCCAGACTATCAGCCAAGCGCACTAACCACTGTGCCACACAGTCGGTTATGAAAATAAAATAAATGTTTTTTTATTTGATATAAATCTTCAAATTGGTTCTATTTTATTTTTATATGTTTAGTTCATCTTTAATATAAATTTAAAATTTTAACAATTGGCAATTTAAAAGAAAAATCTGTCATAATTTATAAATATCTTTTTTGTCTAAATATAAAGATAAAAAGTGGTTCTTTTTTTCACTAAAATCAAACAACGTTTTGTTGAGCAACGTTTTTCTTTGGCAAACACAAATTAAACAAAGGATATCGAGTGCCGGTTTTATTGCGCGCTGTCGATCACAAGATCACCACTCACTCGGTAGCAACAAGCGCTGCTTGCTCAAGCTAGAGAGACCGCGTGACGTCACCGCAGCTGCATTACATTATGTGTTATTTATTGTGCGGCCGTTTCTCGTCGAGCGACGCACTTGATGTATTTCCAAAGTGCGATAAAACTCACTGACTAACGCTCGAGTACAGGAATAATTATATTTAAAATGAAAAGGGAAAACTGACCTGGTGGGCTCGTCGAAAAACATGACGGGCGGGTTGTTGATGAGCTCGAGTGCGATGCTGAGGCGCTTTTTCTGCCCCCCGGACAAGTTTGAGGTCATCGTGTGCTCGTGTTCCAGCAAACTCAGCGTCTCCAAAATGTCCCTGATCTGCAAAAAAACAAAATTATGCTGATTTTTAATCTGTGCAAAAAAATTGTTCCAAAATAAGGTGAAATTGAAATTTACTTGGAAAATTCGTTTTTTTTTTTATAAAAAAAAATCCAATGAACAAACTTATTGGAATTATTTTATTGTTTTATAATTTTAGGAAGTAAAATTCTAGAATTATGGCAAAAAGCACTTGTTTACTTTTCATAAATTTCAATCATAAAACAAAATTTCGTGTAATCAGTTTCTTTCCCTCCTAATAAGTATTTAAAATTAATCTGTTTTCTCAAAATATTTGCTATTAAAATATTTTGTTTGTGGTTTTCTTAGTAGCTTTAAAAAAAGGTGGAAAATACTAATAGCATATTTTGAATGTAAATTTCACTGGAAATAAATAAATGATGATCAAAGTTCACAACAAAATTGTAACAAAATTCTTACATTACATTTCTTTCAAATTGAAACACTTTCATCTGGGCAATTTTAGAATAAATCAATCTGTCGTAAAAGTCATTAGAGCTACTTGTGTTAAATCATCCAACAAGAGATCTGCAGCGTTAGTAGGTCAAGAGCCGTGTCGAGCATAAAAAAACAATCAAATGCGCGCTTTGTGTCAATTAAAGAGAAACTTCGACAATTGCTCAGCACTTTGAATTCAAGTGGGAGTTTCGGGCAAGAAAAAAAATCGAATGCACTCACAATGCCAGGCTTGTCCCGATAGTCCTTGCTGAGTTTGAGGCTGGCGGCGAGACGCATCGCCTCCTGCACCGTCAGGTTGGCGTGCAGTTGGTTGTCCTGCATGATGTAGCAAGACTGCTTCCGAAAGTGGCTCAGGTTCCGCTCAGCCCCGTTCACAGTAATCGACCCTGACATCCCTGTCGTCCTGACAAAAAAAAAGTAAAAAAAAAAAAAAAATCAGAAATTTAAAATATTTAATTTCAATCACTTTAAAATCTTGACAAGAATTGATAATATAATTTTTTAGCTCTTCTGAAGTGTTTTAGAAAAGGTGCAATATCGAAATTTTCATTATCTCCAAAAATAAAAAGATTTGCTTTTTTCTATCTTAATAATTTGGTATCAGATTGTCTAATAAAAGAACCATATAAATTTTAAAGTTTGCTTAAAAAATCTCATTAATGATAGATATCTCTGTAATTTAATTCATTTTGATAAAAAAAATGTGGAATTTATTTATAATTTTAATTGACAACTGATAAAAGAAACAATTTGACAAAAATTTCAGAACTTTAAATAAGATTTTTTTACTAATTTCCTTGAAAATTAATTAACTTTGAATTTTCCATAAATCTGAAAGAATCTTCCATTTCAAATCTCAACCTTGAGCATCGTGGCATTTATAATTGAAATTAAAGTTGCATGCTTCGAGTGCATGCGCTCGTATATTGTTAGCCTTGGAGTCAAAAGTCTAGAGGGCGATTACAAAAGTGACGCTGCGCGATAATCAGCGCGGCTCCAAAGGTCTCGAGATCTTCTTATCAAAATTCCACATGCACTGATTGAATTAAAAAAAAAAATCAAATTGAAAATAGAAAAAGAGCTCTCACTTGTAGCCGGTGAGGATGTTGAGCAGCGACGACTTTCCGGCGCCCGACGGACCCATGATGGCCGTCAGCTCGCGCGGACGGATCAATCCGCTCACAGACTTCAAAATGGTTTTCCGACCTGAAGACAAAAATAACCAAGAAATTAAATGATGAAAATTAATATTCATTTCATTGTTAGAAAATCTATGAAATAAAATAAGGATTTAATTAATACAAAAAGAAAATACTTAAATAATTATTGATTTTACAAAAAAAAAAGACGAAAATAGTTGAATTAAACTTTCATATTTTTCTTTAAATGTAATAAATATGCCAAATTTTAAATAATAAGATTAATAAAGAAACAAATTTAATAAAACTTTTCTTCGTGTCATGAGCAGATTTTTTACCTTTACTCCTGCCCTCGGAGACTCTGTAGGTGAGTTCGGAAAAGGCGAGCTCGACCGGCGGCCGCTGCGGCAGGTTGGCCATTTTTGTCTGCGACGAATTGGCCGCCGGCTGGATCATGGCCGCGGCGCCCGCCGACGCCAGGATCGGCGCCATCTCCACCTTCACCCCCTCCTCAAACCTTCAAAAACAAAATTCACAATCCAATTTAACTTCCAATTTTTTTTTTTCAGTAAAATATAAAAACGATTGATTTGTAAATGTGAAGTCCACAATTTTTTTTTTCTTAATGTGAGTTTTCAATAAAACCAAGTGTAATATTAAGTAATAAAAAATTAATTCGAAGGAAAAGGTGTAATTTTTTAGAGATAAAAAATTTCATATTTATGTAATTGGACTTTATCCAGATGTGGGTCTAAAAATCCTGACCGGATAATTAATTTTAATTTGCAAACGAGTCAAACCAGTTGTAATAAATTTATGCTGCGTCTCTACATTAATTTGTCCTTGGACTAAAAATTTAACAACGACACGCGTCTTTCATAGAATTCATTATTTTTCAATTTAAACATTTTACCGCTGCAAAAAAAAATAACTCTAATAACTTTGAAGTTTTCTCATAAACAAAATCTAACAACGGCCTAAACAAATTCAATTATTTCTTCTTAAATTGCTAAGATTTTAAAACTACTTGTAAGAAGTTTGCAGGAAGAGAGATTGAAGACGCTAGAAAAGGTCTTGAAGAATTAATCATCGAGCCAACAAGGAAGCCTTTCAAGGTTTGCGCCTCTTTTCAATCAACGACAGAGATCGTTACATTTTTATTTTGCAGAAAGTATAGTTTAGGTGCAAGTGTGGAAAGAAGATCACGCAGTTCAAGTGAGAACTTTGGACTTTGGTTTTTCTGATCGTTTGGGGTCACTTCGTCATTCAATTGATTGTTTTTCTCTAAAGTGACGCAAATTCGGAGCAGAAAAAAAATAAAAAAAAAAATAATAAAATAAAAAACAATCAGAGCAAAGGATTCTTTTCTTAGCAATTATCATTTTTAAAATTAAATATTGTTAAATTTAAATGAAAAAAAAAAATGAAATTTGAATTCGCGAATATTAATTCATAAATATCTTCCAAAATATCTGACAATATTTTTTTTAATTATTTCATAAAAATAGTTAAATTAATATCTGATTTTGTTGAGGCTCAATTTCAAGTTGGTCTCGCTGCTGGAGAAAAAAAAATGCAAATCATTGCGGCTCTTTTCCTAGCTGGCGCACCAAAGCAAACATCGAACATTTTGCCAGAATGAAAAAAAATTAATCTCTCCTTTATTTATTTCCGCTCGGCGGAATTTTATTCGCTAAAAGTTCTTGATGCTCAGCCCTGGCCCAAAGCAACAAGCAGAAAAAAACACAAAGTGGCGAACACCAAGGTCACGCAACTCGACCTGGCTTTTTCGCAATATCGACTTCTTCCTCAACGTCCCTCCTTTTTTTCCCTCGCGCGGTGTTGCGAGTCCAATTTGCCATCGATCATTTCAACCCTCCGAGGGTCCAAGGAATTATGCAGTTTTTTTGTTTTCATTCGATGCAAATTAATCTCATTATACGGAAGTGAAAACAAACCTGAGGTTGTTGTTGAGAATCGAAACGCTCATGATTCTGCACGTTCAGGGACTCTGCGCTGGTTCCTCTCGCGGGTCAGTCGTTGACCTCGCGCGGATGACTCTGGACACCTCGGACACACGCACCGTCTGTCGGAATCGGACACCTGCCTCACCGTCCTCCTCTCGACATGTCACTGCGCACCAAGAAAAAGGCCCCGCATGGAAACGCAGCTCGCGGGCCCCCCACCACTCGATGTCTCGATCCTGAGCCCGAGTCGCCTCGATTCGCGCCCTTTTTTCTCCAATTCAACGCACTGTCGGACGGAAAATTTAATCACTCCAAGATTTTAAGCCTTCTCGTTTGATTTTGGCTATCAAATATGGAAATTTAGGGGTGGCAGTGGAAAAATTGCGAGGGCGATTCGCGATTCGGGCCGGCGAAATCGATATAGAATTTTTCACATCCCACGCCTTTGGTCGGAGCTGCGCATGCGCCCGGCAAAACGAAAGCGAATCGCGAATTTTGATGCCGTTTGGCGGCAAAAGGCCGTCGTAGTTCCACTTTTTACCACTAGGTGCCTCATTGCTTAGAATATTAATTAATCAGGAAAGAAAACTTTTTCCAAAATTTTCACTAATTTCAAATTATCCCCACCACATTAAAATTGGCTCAAATATGAGAAGTGCAACCGAGATCATGGGGAATTGATAGAGGTCAAGGTATCCATCGGATTTGCTCTGCTCAAGCAAAGATTGAATTAATTAAGCAATGATTTGTTTAAGGTTTCCACACCACCAGATTCAGAGTGGATTCAAAATTTTAGAAGTCACAAAGTATCAAATGGATCATTTGGGGAAGGAATTTTATTTGAAAAAATTTAATTTAAAGAGTGGCCCTGCCACTTTTCTATTGCTTTTAATTCCATTTTGTTTGAGTTTACCAAGTTTTTTTCATCAAGCCAATTTCCTACATTTCCGTAGAGGACAGTGTGGTTCATTCCAGCCGCCACCTGGCTGCAGATGTCATTTCAGAAATTATATTTCAGCAGTTCTGCCAGTCTTGATATTTTTAGGAGCCACCAGAACCAGAACAGCACCAGAAAACAACCCTGTTTTAGGTTTTCTATTGAGTTTAGGGAGCATATTTTTGATCTGCTGGCATCCCAGTATAATAGAAATTTCAATAGAAATAACTAGAATTCATTATAAAATCTGACGCTAATTTTTCTCGCGCCAACTCTAACAAAGAAAAAAAAGGAAGAAATTCTCCCTTTTTAACTCGTTCTTTAAAAATAAAGGCGATGACGCAACCCGCGTGGCACGGCAGTTCTGCTGATTGCATACATGCCACTTTTGGTAATATATTTTTTTAAATCAAATTACGCTAACCGTAATTTTTCCCTTTTAACGGAACTTCTTCTGACGATGATTAAATCAAAAGACGCTATTACAAAAAATGGAAAATATTCATCTTAAATGCCAAAATAGATTTTTTTTTACTTACGGATTTTTTTGAAAACAGAATTTCACAATTGAATAGTAAAACCCTAGTCAAAAACTGATGCTAATGATAATTTATTAAATATTATAAATATTTTCATAGCCAAAAAGATAATACTCTATTGATGCATAATAAAAATTTGCAATAATAATGATATGGCAACAGGTTTTTTTATTTTGTTTTTCAATTCCGAGTTACATTGTTACGCAATAATTGATTGTAAACATCGCTTGTTGCAAAAAAGTGGACAAATAAACAAGATAATTGTAATAAAACTTCAGAAATTTGGCTAAAGACTCTTTTCAATATTTCTGCATTTTATGTGTGTGTTCGTCATTGTTCAAAAATAATTTTTTTTCATCATTTGATTATTTATTTTCCAACAAAATTAATATAAGGAAAATAAAATTTCTTTCTTTTTTAAGCATATACGAAATTTTGTGCTTGCTGAAACGAACAGTGATTTTCTAATTTTTAAATTTTTCTGCAACCATGTGTCTGATTGATATTGCGCAGGATAAAAGCTGCATGTTTTTCTAATTGTCTCTTTGGCCTTCAGGTGTAGCGAGAAAAAATGTATTACATAAACAGAATTTTTTCAATAATTAAAAGATAACATATATTTATTTGAAAGAAATAACAAATCAAATAGTAGGCCGGTGCTTTGAGAGACTAATTTAACGGAGCTTCTTCGCGGAGGACTAGTCGAGGTCCGACTCATCCGATCCTTCGTCTGTGTCTTCGTCGACGAATTTGTAAGCGGTGGTGTGCTTGACGAAGCCAGCTTGTGGCTTGCAGTTCCGCACGCGGATCTTAATCAGCTCGTTGCCGTACGGAATGTTCAAAGTGGTGTGCGCGTTGAGGACGCCGACCTTTCGGAGCAGTTTGCGCACGGTCCTCCGTTCTTCTCTGTCATAATCCCCCTCCACGGAGACGACGTCCATCGTGCAGACACCAGCAGCCTGAGTAACCTCAATTTTGTCGTCATCGAGGGCGTCCAAGAATCTCATGATCGGTTTTGGGGCTCTGCTGTCGTTACCCTGCAAACGCCTTGAGATGCGGACGCGCAAGAGCACCGATCTTCCACCGTGTTCGATCCATGCGACCGGCAACACAGGGCGTCGGCCCTGAGGTTGCTGATGGGCGGGGAAGATTTGAAGAAAGGCGTCGTCCGAGACGACCAGTTCGCCTGAAATTTCAGAGGTTTTGCTAATTTGGCTTAAAAGAAGCCTAAATTTTACCTAGATCTCGGGCGCTGGTCACACGAGAACGTTTTATCAGGACGAGCTGCATCGTCGTTCCAATTTCAGTTTGAATTCAAATTCTACAAAGAGCCACCGAACAGAAAAAAATTCTTGATTGTTGCAACAAAATCGCGATTCAGTTAATAAACATCCATGATGGCGACCTGCTCAACAATGTAAAAACAAAAAAGGTTCGATTGATAATTCATTTAATGTGAAGACATTCTTTTAAAACATAAAAATTTTAATTAAATTAGCACTAAAATAATATGGAAATCAGTGATCCGCGATAATATCTGGTAAAAGTGGTAATCTAGAAGCTGAAAGTATCTTGAAAATTTTCTTGTTAATGTGAATTCGGAGGGTTTAGCTAAATCTTTAATATCGTCAATACACGTCAATACTGATCTTTCTGAGTTATAACGCTTTCGTTTGAGGGAGCCGTCCTCAATTATCTGCTGCTGCTTGTATGGGATTGAAGTCTAGAAGCGAAAAGTCTTTGGCTAGAATTAATTATCAATAAAAGACCTTTTGGTCAACTTAAAATTAGCAATTTACCTTTTTTTTTACAATTTTGTCTTTTTATTTACATGTCTCAATAGTTTAGATTATAAAGCGATTAATTTTAATAATAATAAAAAAAAGAAATTTCAAAATATTTTGAATAAGTATATGATTTTTATAAGAGTTACAAATCTTAAATACTTTGGTGTTGAAGAAAAAAATATTGCAATTTAAACTTTTATTTTAGAAACTTGAGTGCAAGGGTTTTTTTTTGTGCGGTCTTAAATAGGAAAAAATGTAGAAAAAATTTCTAGACTTTCTTGAGGTCTGATTATATTAAACATAATTTAATTTGGCCAAACCTTTTTCCCATTTCCAAGTGGTGCATGTTAAAAAATGAATCATATTTTGACACTAAAGGTACACCGAGGAGCCAGTCAACTTTACAAAAAACAGCTAGATAAATTTTATGCTTCGAGTTAAACAGATTTCTAACTTCATTCGTCACTTTAGTGACAAAGATTTTTAAATTCTATTTCATCCCCTCATTTTCAATTCAAAAAGTCCGCTCTCGCCCTATATATTTTCACAAAAAAAATTAGTTTTTTTAAAAATTCATATTAAAAAACCTTGAAAATTAAAAATCAGGCATTCCGAATTTCACTGACCAAATGTTGAATTTGATGGGCTACATTTCTTCCCATACCACGGAAATAATCTGAAGTACGCTTCTTTGATAAAAATGCATTTTAGTGACCTTGACCTTTGACCTAGGTCATTTCGGTGTACAGAGCATTTGTTCAGAATAAAAATTTACCTACTGTGGTGAAGACCGCGATGCTTTAAACTCAATAGGAGCAAAGATAAACGCAATTTTGTGTTTAAAAAAATTCCATGATATTTAAAAAAGTAGTTTAAAAAATTTCAAAATTTAGTCAGAGACTCCTCTTAATGACCCTAATAGCATGTGTGAAAACTTTGATGATCGCGGCAGCACAAAAGTTCGTAACAATTTGTGATCGATCCCATAACCAGCCCTCAAGAAAGAAAAACAATTTTTCTACACTTATTTTCCTATTTTAAAAAAAAAAATACTCATGCACTCCAGGTTTCTAAAATAAAAGTTTAAATTGCAAAAAAAAAGTGCGTGTCTGCCAAAAGCAGATTCGCGCGACGACACGTGTGTGGATCACTGATATTATTGCAGTGCTCGGCAGTGCTAATTTTATTTAATTTTTTAATTAAGAATTTCCTTGCATGAAATAGATCGGATCATCGATCGAACCTTTTTTATTTTGACATTGTTGAGCAGGTCGCCACGATGGACGCTCATAAAAGCCGGATCGCGAATGCAACAATCAAGAATTTTTCCGTCTGGTGACTCATTGTCGAATTCAAATTCGAAAAGTCTGAAACGATGCAGCTCGTTCTGATTCAAAATTCGCGTGAGGAAAGCGCCAAGAAGACCAAGGTAAAATAAAAATTGGAAAAATTGGCTTCTTCAAAGCCAAATTGCAGCAAAACCTCAAATTTCAGGGCAACTGGACGTTTCCGAAGCGGCGTTTGCGGAAATCTTCCCTGCCCACCAACATCCCCAGGGACGCCGCGCTGTTTGGCCCCTTGAGGGTCCGCGCCTCGCAGCGGCTCGAGGCAAACGCAACCAAGGCCCCGAACGCCATCAAGGAGTACCTGCGGGCGTGCGCGATGGCTGCACCATCGAGGTCACGCGGGCAGGTGCCGTGAGGACCGTCGACGTCGTCTCCATCGCCGGCCAGCTTGACAGACGTGCGCGAAAGGTCGCGAGGCGGTTTTGCTTCGCAAAGTTGGAGTCGTGAATGCCAACATCACGCTGAAGGTGCCTTCACGGCAGTGAGCACGTCAAGATCAAGATCAGGAACTGCAAGCCTCGCGGCGGCCTGGTCAAGCACTCGACCGCCTTGAAGTGGGTCGACGAAGACACCGACGAGGACTCGGACCCATCAGACCTGGACTAGGCCATTACCGCAAACAAGCTCAAGGACAAAATTCAAGCACACCTTCAAGCCAAAGAAGAGAATAACCATGCAGTTTTTATCCTGAGCAATGTCAATCAGAAAATTTTTAAATTTTCAATTAAAAAAAAAAATATGTTCGTATAATTTTGAAAATAATATAAAAGTATATTTGGATTGAGACTTATTTAAACAATAATAAACAAGCCAAAAAAGATGGAAAAGTTTTTGTTGTTTTCCTTTTTGGTTTATAGACCTATTAGAGGTTTGGCTTAAATTTTTCTTTCAGCAGATTGACTTTGACTCGGACTGAAAATTCTTAATTCTCAAAATTTAAGAGTCACATCAGAATTATTGGTGGATTGATATCAATATTTCATGTGTAAAATATGTTGGAGATTGTGTTTTGAGAAATGATTATTATTTCAAAGATTGTTCTCGGAGTCGGAATCTCCCACTTGAAAATAATTGTGCAAATTTATCGGTTGGAATTAGTATACTTGAATTGGGCTTGCAACCCATGGTTTTGTACGTAAAATTTGGTGCATTTGATGGTATGGAGTTGTCGTTGCAGAAAGAACTTTGATGTACGCTCAAACTTGAAAGAGGTTACGCATGATGTGAGGGCAGCTTGAGCATCACGTGTGGTCAAGTTGACCCCTTGACCAAAGACCTTTCATTTATAAAAGATCCTTTGAATCGTTTCTTGCCGTTGCACCGGTACCTGTGCCTGCCAGCCATGGCCCATGCTGTTATTGTTATCAGCTGGTGATGTTTTGAAGGTGGGGGTTGGGGGTGTATATATGTTGCTGCCAGAGTAAAGAGAGACTAAAAAAGGGAGACAATTAGTAGTGCCTTTGCCTTATGAGTTAAGATGTAAAAACTATCAGAATAAATTTATAACTCGAATTATTTGTACAAGTGTTCAATTAAAATTCAAATGTTTCACTTTGTGCTTCTAGTTGACATTTATTCATAAGTTTGCTGAACACTTTCTTTTTCCTCATAAACAATAAATAAAAATTGATACAAATTAATTAATTAAGAAATACAATTTTCCAATAAGAACATTTTCCAAATTCCACGCAAGGCCGTCCAACAGTCCATTCGATTACAGCAATTTGAGGGTCGGGAAATTTAATCTAACGAGTAGAAGAGACCCAGGTGGGTGCGGCGACGGCACCCGAGTCGGCGCGGCGCACTGTGATCCGCTCGTACTTGTTGTCTGCGGCCGAGTAGAAGGCAAGCAGCTCCTGGATGGCCTGGTCCTCGATTTGGGTGAGGTGCAGCGGCTTGGCCTTCACTCGGCGCAGGTTCTCCTTCTGCTGCTGCTGGTCCTTGACGATGGCCGACAGACTGGCCTCCCCTGGGCTCCGAGAAAACACCCAAGCTGGCCCAGGCGGGCTCTGTGGAGACGATGGACTAAACAAAAAAGTTCCAATTAATTTCAAAGGAATTTCTTTTAATTTTACCAGGGATGGCAAGTCTGGCGGCTGGAGGAGGGGATGGCGACGGCCCCTTTGATGGACTTCTCAGGCTTGCTCCAAGCATTTTTCTTCTCCTCTTTGATGATGTCGCCGAGGCTGCTGCTTGGACTGGCTGGATGTTTGCTCCAGGGGGAGATGGGGGACGTCGGGGTTTTGGGCAAAACTGGCTCCTTGCCTGACTCAGATGACAGCCTCTTTCTCTGCTTTTGCGAAAGCTTCTTTATGTTGTTCTTTACCTCGCTGCTGACAGATAAAATTTTGAATAAATCTTATAAGACAAAATTTATTTATGTTCACTCTTTCCACCTCTTTAATTTATTTCTAAAAAATTATCACAAAATAAATTATCCTATGCTTATTTGCTTACAAACCAAAAATCAGCTTGTTACAAACAAAAGAAAATTATTTACCTCACTTTGGGTTTGATTCCACCCAAATCTAGATTGGAGAGAGAAGTTTCCAAAACGGGAAACATGTTACTCCAAGCAGATCCTCCGTCCTTCACAACTGCTGGCTTTTCCACAGGTTTTTCCACCACAACCGGCTCGACTCTGTTCAAAGTAATGATTTCTTCAACAAGCTCATCCTCCAGGGGCTGAACGTCCTTCTCCAGATCAACAGAAATGTCCGACGCATTCGAACCAACAGAATCTTTTCTATTTCTGTTAAATTCACCCGAACTGATCCTCCTCATCCTGTTTCGCTTTGGCTTTGATTTCTGCTTTTTGATTTCAAAATCGTTTCCTGCAAAAATCCAAATAATATTCAAATTCAAATTAATTTTAATGAAAACCACCTTCTTTGGATTTAATGAGAGAGGCGCCGTCCAAATCAATTGGAAAATGAGTGGAAATGAATTCCAGTTCGTCACTGGAGGGGCCGATTGAGTACGGGGTGATGGTCCTTCTGCACATGTCTGGGGTTATTTCGCGGTGGTATTTTGCCAACTCCTCCAAAACCTCCCACTCAACCTCATCCAAACCCCTAAAATTTTAAAATTAACAACTTGTAACACAGAAATAGGAATTCTTTCCAACCTCGACTCGATGAAGACAGGCAGGTTGAAGGAAATGTACTGCATGCAGCTGAGTTTCAACTGGGCGGCGTTGTACGTGGAAGCGAGTTGCAGCAGTTCGGCGGCGTTTTTCAGGGTGAGGGAGGCAACCAAGGCGCACTCACACGCCTCCTTCAGCCTCTCGACAAACATTTGGTCAGCCACCACCAGCATGGTTCTGGCCAGTTCGGCGTCACCGAACACCTTTGGCGCCTCGTCCGAGTACAAAAAGTCCAACAGGACGTCCAGCACCACAGTCGGAAGCGCCATCTTCAGCACGGAACTGCGGCTTGACTGAGATTCAAAATTAATTTTAATTCAAGCTCAGATTTTAATAATTTACCTCTGCCCAGCCGTGGGCAAACATGCTGTGGAAGTACTCGAGCCGAGCGGCCAACACACTTCTGTGGGCCTGGATCTCATCTCCCTCCAAACTTATTACGGTTGCATCACACAAGTGCATCATCTTGGTTCGGTCGAAGCTCAGGGCTGCGGGTTGGTAGGGTTCGTGCCCAATTTTAATCATGACCAGGCCATCCCTGTTGAAATTAGGTATTTGGTGATATATTTAATTAGGATTTAAGTGGTAATTACTTGAGCTGGTAGGAATCTAGAGCTTTGCTTAGAGAGGGCAGGCCAAACGCTCTGGCTGCCGCAGCAACAATTTTCATTGGATCATCGTAGTTTTTCTTTTGATTTGGGGCTTTGTTCTTTTTCTTCTTGCTTGTCCCTGGCTGAGTTTTATACGCTTCGAAAGCCGAGACTTTTTTCGGGTCGAAATTCAACTCAGGTGAGGGTGATTTTGGTTCAGTCCTTTTCTTTGAACTAGATATGTTTTCGTCAATCCTTTGAAATAATAATTTTTTGGTTAGTTGCTTAAAAACATAAAATACTGTTAAATATACTTGACGTTGCAAGGGCCTCTTGTCAGCAGGCTGCACTTGTTGGTGTAGATAAACTGAAGAATTTGCTCAAATATCTCTGGGCTTGTGTTGAGAACGAGGATCTCCGGCACATCCTCTGTGTCTGCCGATTTCTGTTCTTGGATCAGCGTGGCAAGAATGTCACTGCGGGCGCTGATGATGCACTGGTGGGCTGCAAATCTCCGCAATCCAACCTGGTTGCACATCAAATAAGATCAGTTTTTCAATTTTTTAAATTTTCATACCAAGAAAACAACATCATGGATTGAATCTTCTTCGGACGCTTCGTCGAGGAGCGTTTTCATTTGCTCACTCATGTCTCGAGACTCCATTTGCGGCACTTCCAGAAGCGCGGTTTTTGGATGACCCTGATTTTAATCAATTGCAACAAAATCGTGACAAATAATTAAAATCCTACCTGGATGACTGCAAAGTTGCGACCTCTGGGGTCACAGCTGATGGCCACAGCTCTGTGGATGTTTGGCAGGCGCTTTGTCTTAACCACCTCGCACTCGACGTCTCCTGAATTTCTCCATTTAATATGCTTAGAAATACCATTAAATTAATTAAGAACCTTCAAATTTCTTCTTCTGCTTGAAGAATCCTTCGAAAGCCTCACAATCAGAAGTCAAAAACAGCAGGTGCTGGTTGGTCAAAACAAAGTCCGTAACAATCAGCTGGCGCTTCAGTTGGAGAGAACACCTGAAACAATTTTTCCAGTAATAAACATTTTCAAATTTACATTTGGGTTTACCCACCGAGACATTTGTTGGTCAGGTTGCTGCCAGATGAACAACTTGCCCATGTTGTTTAGCACACAGACTCGGAGATCCTCGTTGTTCTGCTCCACATTGGCATCCAGGTGTCCACCTGACACCGCCACCTTCACCACACCTGGCATTCTGAACAAAATTAGATTTATTTATTAATCTATATTTCTTTCAAAATTTCAATATTTACACACACCTGTATGCAATTTTCTTGCACTTGTACTCATGAACAAGACAAATGACGCCCTTTTTCAGAGCGACAACCAGGGCAGCGTCACTGGAAGCCACCTGAGTGATGGAGTTGTCCTCATCAGGCTTGAACTGCAGAGCTGGTGCCATGATCTAATTCATTTACAAAAAAAAAAAAAAAATAAATAAATTTTCCTTTACTTCAAAGAAATATATGTTTTTACTCACAAGTTTTGGAAACATGACTGTTGGTTGCCTGTCCGCTTTAGGGTGGCCGAGTTGCCCAGCGTTCAGTCCGCAGGTGGCGATGCCCTTGCTGGACCAGAGGACTGTGTGATACCTTCCGGCGCAGACGCCCAGCACCTTGTGGACGGGCAGACTTTTCATGCCCAGGCACCTTGGGGACAGCAGCTGCTTCGGAGGTCCACCTCCACTCTGGCCAAGCTGGTGGTACTCGTTCGAGCCGCAGGTCATCACCTATTGCAGGAGCAAGGTCCAATTTAAATAAGTGGCCCAAGACTTTTAGGTGGAAGTAAGAATTAAAAAAAAAGTACTATAAAAGGAACAAATCTTTTAAATGTTTCAAATTCTCCCTATCACATTTAAATAGCTCAAATATAAGAAGTGCAATTAATTAAATTGGATAACTGAGGTCATGGAATATTGATTGATAACGAAAGAGTCAAGGAATATGTTGGATTTCTCAAGAACAAGATTGTATATAGCAATATGATTTGTTCACAAGGTTTTCACACCACCAGAGTCACAGTGGATTCAAAATGTAATGTGTCTCACTTGATAAATGTAAAATATATTTTGTTTATGTCATTTTAAAAACATTTGATTGGCCTAAATTTCACTGTTACTTTTTTATTCACTGCTTTTACTGCTTTTTTCGTTTAATAAGTTTTTGAGTATTTATCACGCCAATTTCTTACATTTCCGTTCTCCATGAGGAGGACAGTGTGGTCCATTCCGACCGCAACCTGGCTGCAAATTTCGGTGGCGGTCAGTTTCATCAGCTGCGGCACCAACGAGGGCTTCTCTGAATCCTGACCAAGGCGGCCGCCTTGTCCGTGGCCGCAGGAGAAAACGCGGCCAGCGTCGCTGACAAACACCGAGTGGTACATGTTCATCGAGACCTTCAGGGTAGAGGTTAGCCTCGGAAGGTCTGATTCAAGCTAAAGATATGCACCTGTTTGATGTTGACGCCGCCCCTGCGGAAGTGCTCGACCAACTCAGGCACAGCCTTGCTCTGCTGGTTGCCAATGCCCAGGTTGAAGTTGGCATTGGTGCCCCAGACATAGGCCTCGCAAGGGCCGCTCTTGGTGTACTCAACAATCGAGGGTCTGCTCTTCATGGCCAGGTCAATCGGGGTCATGTCCTCCTTGTCCACCATCAACGGGTTGGCGCCCATCTGTATAAAAAATTAATAAATTTAGACCTCTAAGGCTATTATAAACCTTTGCAGACCTGAATGAGGGCGACGGCGACGTCCACCTGGCCGTAGAAGAGGCTGCGGTGGAGGGGCGTGTAGCCTGACTCGAGGTCTCTGAGGTTGACCTGCGCCTCCTTGTGCTTCACCAGCCACTCGGCCACCCTGCGGCGGCCCTTGGAGGCGGCCACGTGCAGGGCTGAGCGGCCTTCTGCGTCCAGCACCTGTCCCGGTCGGTGGCACAGCCAGCGAAGGTAGGCGACGGCCTCCTCCTCCGAACCCCTCACCACGGCCGCAATCGCCGAGGCCGCGTGCCCCTGCCAGCGGCACCGTCGGCTGCACTCGGGCCCTTCGGCCATTTCTTCTTGTTTAAAAATTTATTGGCAAATTCCTCAGCTCAACTTCACCACGATTCTTCAGTCATCGTTTACAGATTTGTGCGGTCCATTTTTATTTGCATAATATTCCAAGAAGGGAGAAATTGATCTGCTTTTTGGCACCAACCACGGAAGAACCACCCCTCGTGTCAAGGGGTGGAAACTGGAACCTTTTTAGAAAGCCATAACACGCAGAAGGTGGCCTGCAAAAATTCAGAGAGCAAAGATAAATAATTAGAAATTTTGTAGTTATTTGTATAATTTTGGCAAAACATTTAATTATCAACATTTGAATCTGAAAAGAGACACGTCTTGCGAGGACTTGACACGTTATTCTGTCTCGCACGGAAAACGCTGACATTGAAAATTATAAATTATATAACTGACCTTATCTACGAACAACAGCAGTGGTGGTCAGCGGCGGTCTGCTCACCGACAAAAGACATCTCAAAAACAGCGTTCACAACAAGGGTGTTCATTATTTTTTTAGAATTAAGCAAGGAAACGTTGGAATTAATTGGTTTGGCTCAGTAATTGCCTAGTCAACTTTGGATCAGTCGAAAAACAACGAAGATTTGTTTTCGCTTTCGATGGCAGTGGTGTCAAATTCCGTCAAATTCATCAGCTTAAATCGGTAATTAAACAAATTACCAGTTACTTTGAAAATTTTAAATAAAAACCGATAAGAACTGCGATTTAATTATCTAATATTTTGTAGAAAGTGAACAGAGATTAAAAAAAATATAAATAAGATAAGCTTAGTAAAAAATTTGATAAAATAATTGATTTTTTATGGGATTAATTTGTGAAAGTGTTTTAGGTAAAATACCGGTTATTATTGTGGCGAAATTCGCGAACCGGCAGCTGTTTTTGGGCGGTCAGCGCCACCGGCAGTGAGGTCGGCGCCGTGGGCAACTAGAGGCGTCACTCCAGTCCAAATACGCTCGGAGATAAGAAGTATTGGTGCTCAAAAATTTGCAGTTGGCCCTGATTCTGCCCTTGTCGGCCGCAGCGAATCTTGACTCTCAACGGACCCTTCGGCAGATTATGAGTGAGTATAAATAATTCCTTTGCCGCTTTTCCTCCGGGTTCGCGGCCGAGCGGCGGCGGCAACGATCCGGAATCGGCGACTCTTCCCGCCCACGCCCCCGCAAATAAGCAAGGGATGAGCCGACAGATCGACTGTCGGCCCAAGGGGTTGAGGGGTGCAATAGGAGGTGCGATTTCACCAACCCTTTCCAATTTGGTCCCTGAATCTTGTTATTCAAGGAGAGGTTTGAGCGGGAAAGGGTTGCAGCTTTTCGAAGGGACCAAAAACGGCGGGGGTGGAATTGCGGAGAGCACCGGATTTGCAGGGGTCACTGACCTTCATGGCGGACAGGCAATTCCCAAACTTGAATTTGTTTGAGCAACTTAAAAGTGAGAGATCTTTTGTTTTAGAACTATTTTCTTTTATCGTTCTGGAAGCATTTTGATAAAAAAAAGCAAAACTTGCTCAGAAATTAATAAAATAATTACAAGATGATGTAATTAAGTAAAATAGCCTTTTACTTTTTTAATTTGTTTGAAGTTTTGGTGAAATTATAATAACGGCACATTTAGGCTATAATAATTTTTATCATTGATATGAATGAACCTTATTTTAATAAAATTGAAACTTATTTAATCGTGGATTACGTGAGATTGCGAATCGAACGGTGCAGATTTATTTATTTAAATTAATTATTTGTTTGTCGGTCGTGCCGTGCGTCGTGAATGAGTAATGATAGTGCAATTGCGTCACAAACGCTTCCTCTCGCTGCGTCATTTGCCTGCATTTTTTCTTCTTTATTCTCGCCCGCGCCTATTTATTTTTGGATCGACTCTCGGCTTTAGCTCATCCTTATCGCTCGTGACCGATATTATAAAAAAATTACTCACTGCTGGCCTGATTGCGTTATCAAAACTTGGTGGGGGAACACACGAGTTGCGTTCGACCATAACAAACAAACGCTTCAACACGCAAATCGCCACCAAAACCTTCAGAAAGTAAATGTATGCAACTATGCATTGAATTTTGTAGAATTAAAGTTGATGGACCTTCTTGAGACAGAAAATATTTCCCAAAAACTTAAAATTTTGGTTCAAATGAATTGAGAAAAAGTTGAGTAAAAATTCAAAAAAAAATCTAGATTATTTTTGAGGACTTGGAATTTTATAAAATTCGGCAAGAAAGAAATTAAACAATTCTTTAAATTTTCAATAGTTTTTTTTTTTTAGAAATGGAAATTTTTCATATTTTTACCGAATTTCTTTTAAATACATCAAGAATTTATCAAAACTGGTGTCAAATTAAGTGGTTGAATATTTTAATTTCCCGAAAATTTTATAACTAAGGAGTCTTATACACATTTAGACATACTTTCTAGGTCAAAGTTCATTGACCGTGGAAGGAGGTCAAAACTAAAATATGCAACTTGACGAAAAATCTAAAATATTGTACCAATTTTCTGAAATGTATTCAATCGAGCCGTTTTGACAATATGACTAATTTTAAACGAGCGTTTGAAAGACTGAAAATATAATGATGAGAGCAATAAAATTAGGAGATTTTTACCATAATTATTAGTGTAATTTTTATATTCCATTTCAATTTGAACAGTTTAAAATAAATCTTATATATTTTTATTTTACACCTGAAGCGGCAAGAAACTGTTTTGAAATAAACGATTGGGTAAAAATATTTTAGGAAAACTTTATTTCCGCCACCCGCCGAAACTGGAGTTATTTTGGAAAGCACCCCTTTTTTCAAGTCGCACTTTGAAACGCGATGAAGAGCCACTGCTTGCTAAATGAGAAGAGACTCATGGTCGGCCAGCAAGAGCACTTCTCGGTGTCCGCCTTTGTCAACCCCGAACCACCCTCGGAGGCCAAACGGAGAAGAAAAGCGTAATTTTTCAGCGCAAGAAATTTCGAGGGTTGCTAGTGACGGAGGAAGACCCGAAAGTGGCGCGGCTCGTTCGCCGGCCGGCTGGACAAGCTCTCGTGACCCACTTTTCCTCCTCGCAAGGGTGGGTGGGTGGGTGGGAATCGATGTCTGCACTTTCCGCCCCACGAGTCTCGCTCACGTGCTGTAATTATTTTACGCCGCCGTAAATATTTGATGAGGCAAAGGTCAACAAGTTTGGCCGCCGACCAAATCCTCACCACCTTTTGCCCAAACAAAGTCAACCAAGACGTGAATAGAAATTGCATTAAATCGGAAACAAATTCTGAAAAATGCATATCGGCCTGCAGAAATTTCCCAAACTTAATTTGATATTTTCTCATGAATTTTTGCGTTCACCTTGAATTTGTATTTATTTACCTGTCGTTTCTTTGTGACCTGACTTTTCCAACGATGTGTCACACTTTATATTTTACAGCCAATTTGAATTTAGTGGTGGGGAAACCTGTCAGACCAATGGGATTGCTTAATTCAAATAATCGTCAGTTCTTCTGTAAATCTTTTGGCAACCTTGACTTTTTAGTCACCATTCGATTCCTCATAACCTCTTATGATGCATTTTCTTTTACATATGCATTAAGACTTATTCATGATTTAATTTGAAAATGTTCAATTTTCAAGCAGTTTTTTAGCTGTGTATTTTTTATAACATTTTCTCACAACTCTGACCATTCTAAGCACACTTTTTTAAGGTTAGTTATTCCTTTGTGATTGATTTTCGTTTCTTTTTGTATTCCCTTTGGAGACAGATCGATTGCAATCGTTTCTCCGAATCCAGTTAGGGGTAGTTAAGGGTTGCTCAATAACTCAAGCAAATCGAATTACCAGCAAGTACTGCGCCTCTTCCATAAAAAAAATAATTTATATAAAAAGCAGGTCACAATTAGAAGAGAATAATTATTTAATTGCCTCAATAAAATATTCTCGGCCGAGTTAATTCCTGCATGGGGTGAATTTCTTTGTTCTCTGGCATGGAACTGGTGGAGCTGCACGCAAACTAGGTCTGCGGGAGTGCCAGCTCAGGATGTCGCGGCGCAAAGTCTTACGTCAAACTTTGAGTTTTGATCGAATCCCGTTGAGTGACGCAAAAGACCAATTGCAAATAATAATGCATTTTGTTTTCAACCAGAGAGAATGAAAATTGCCTTCTCCAGCAGAGCGAATCGCGCGAGGTGAAGGGATTCATGTGAGGGGGAAATCTCACCTGAGAAAGGACGATTTGCAACTAAGTCAGCCAGGTGAATCGCGGTGAATAAGCAAAAAGCTTGCTCTGGCTCTTTATTTGAGCATTTTCAATTCACCTCAAACTTATTGCTCTATATGAAAAGTTGATAATGGTTAAAAAATCCGTCTGAAATGTTTTATTGTTATTATTATTTTTCAAAATTCGAATTTGAATTTTGAATAATTAAATACTAAAATTAAATGCTTTTCTTTGAATGAACTTAAAACAAGAAAAAGTAAATAAATATGAGGCAAAAAATTAATTTCTTTGGAAATTCAAATTCATATAGACCCTAAGTTTTTTCAAGTATCAGTTTCAGTTTTCACAAAATATCATAAATTTCAATTAATTTTTTAATGTAAATTGATAAATAAAAAGATTGGAAGTGACTAAAAATAGTCATATTTTAGTAAAACGCGGTAAAAAGTGTTGCAGTAAAGGTCAAATTTTTGCTAGAACAGCAACATAGTAAGCCAATTTTTCATGGATCAAAAGTTTTGTATAGGAAAGTTGATTGAAAATGACAATTTTTGAGAAAAATTTAAAGATCCCATCTTCATTTTCAACCCTTACATCATCACGAAATGCTTTTTCCCCCGTCTTCTTTTGAGCCTCATGCAAACGTCAAAGGAGCAGAAAGAAGAGGCGACGTGAAAGAAGTTTTGTTTTAATCCACAAATGGAAAGAAAACGCCTTTGGCTCGGAATCGTTTTTCCTCTTTCTGTGAAATACTTTTCCGGCCGTCCTTGGCCGCGCTCCAAACCAATCCCAAACTTTTGGCACTGCGCATTCCGCGCTTATAAATTTCCACCAACTTTCCCCTACTTTTTATTCTTCCTTTTTTAGGCAGACGAGTTTTTCTTTAATTTGGCCTTCATTAAAATCTTCTGCCTCGGATGCGCTCGTTATTTTTTCGCTTGTCTGTCTCCACGCCGTCATTAAACGAGGAAAATTATCCCACCCTCGCCAATTTAATTACGCTTCAATTCGGTCAGAATTTCAGCTTTTGAATCCTCAATGTGTTTTACAACAGGGAGACCAAAAAAGTACTCAAAAATCCTTGTAGTGGGTTGATATTTTCAAGTTAAATTTTGTAATCAAACTCTAAATGAACTGATTCGGATTAATAACTCGATTTGGTTAAAAAATTCAGAAAAATGAATTGAATATTTTTCGTTGTACTTTTTTTAACATTACAATTCCTCAAGATGTACAAAATTTGAAATTCCGCCTTCTGAGAAAAAACAATCGAGACCGTGCAATCTGTCTTTCTCTCGCCAAAAGGCTCCTTTGCTCTCTTCTCTCTAAAGAGTAATTTTTTCCCGCACTCGGAGACATTTCAATTTGCAGCACGGAAAAAAGAGAGAAAAGGAATTGCTGCTGCTCCTTTTCGTCTAATGGCCGCGACCCGGAATGAGAAATTAAAAATTGATCTCTCGGGCCGAGAAAGAAAGAGAGACGTCGGAATGCATGCATCAAAAAGCTGCTAGACTCTACGTGGCTATCGATTACCGTGCTGGCAACAACAATAAAAGGCCAGCGCCCGCACATCACAGGAAAAAAGAAAAACGAGTCGAGAGAGGGTGGAATCGATAAGCCGAGAGCGCTCGGCTCGCGAATTATCCACCTTGGTAGCACCACGAATAATTTATGTTCACCAAATGCGTCCACACTTGTTGAACAAACAATCAATGCCCATCGTTTTCTATCTAAAATTAAAAAATGTATATAAATAAGGAGACATAAAACGGTTGGTTTCCGGAGAAATGAAACAGTGACCCGAGCTTTTTGGTCACCAATAATTTCGTCGTGACCTTTCCAACGATGTCTTACACTTCATATATGTATAAAGCCAAATAAGAATTGTAGTGGGGGAACGTTTTGAACCAATCAGATCTCTCAAATATATTGATCGTTGTTTTCTTAATAAACCTCGGAGTGACATTGACCTTTTGGGCACCAAACGATTCCTCGTGATCTGCCCTTTCTAACGATATGACACACTTGGTATGTAAAACCCAACTGAAAATTGATGGTGGGGGAAGTGGTCCGACCAATGAGATTGCTTAATTCCTGAAACCAATGTTTTGTTAAAAACTCTTAACTTAACCTTTCCGATGTCTAGTCGATTCCTCTTGACCTGAGCTTTTAAAACAGCCAAATTTTATCTACCAAATTTGTGGGTTTATATTTTAATTAAAAGAAATAATGGAAATAATGAAAAAGGTCAATTTTTATTTGTAAACAAATCAAAGTCAATTTCCACTCTGTTTACAGAAATAAATGTTGATTTGATCAGAAAATTAAGAGCAGGGGAATTGGCCGTTTGGACGCGCTAATTCTTTGGCGTCGCGTGCCGGCGATAAGCCGCTGATAAGCAAAGGGGTGTTTTCCGAGTGGGGCCACAGGTGCAGTCACGACTTTGGTCACGACAGTCCCGGGGCGCCTTTCGTCATTTCGGCCGCGAATTAGCACGCGCTTCTTTGATGAATTATTGACGGCCGAGGCATCGATCCGACGGTCGGACAAAGTCAAAAGTAAATAAGGAGCTGTTTGCGCAGCTGCCCCGATTCACCCGCACGATAAGAATCACTTCCAGTTTGAAAGTTGTCTTTCCTCAAAATAAGGCGCAGGCGAAATTTCATATCATCCTAAAAGTAAGAAAATCATAAAAATTATTTCTTGAAATTTTCAGAGTATTTTATTTTATTATTTCTTTAATTAAACATGAAGATTGCACTAATTCTCTTCTTTGATACAAAATTTAATGCTTTTCCCTCCAAAAATAATACAAACTATAAGTTTATAATGAAATCTGTGCTATTATTGTAAAATTTTAAAAATTGAAGTTAATCAAATACCACAAAAATAAAACTTTTTTAAAGGAAAGTATAAAAAAAATTGGAATTTAAGTAAGCATTTTTATCATCGTGACAATATTCGCAATGAATGCATTTGGAAAAAAACTATTTTGCCATGTTGGAAAGAATCAAAGAAGCGAGTCACGTGCGTTGGTCGTTGGAAAACGCGGCCCGAATAACAACGAATCCAAAATTCAAAATGAGGAACCGGTTTGTTGGTGCGAGTGACAAAGTCACCTGTAATAAAAAAATATCGACCCAAGGCCAAGCAGACGATCGAGTAAAAACGTTTTTCACGCGACGAGCCACCGAGCTTAAGGTTAGTCACTCGCTTAAGGTCTGTGCGCGCCGGCATGTCTTTCGTCGACCCGCTCACGTTGCGACTCTCTTTGCACGCCCAACTTAATAATGGGTGAGTTGATGTTGAGTTACTCATTTTCAAACTCTTCAGAAGTGAAATCTGATAGGAATTTCCCCCGATATTTTCTGAGTTGAAAGAATTTTTAAATCAAAATATTCGCCACAAATTTCATGTGAATTATATTATTTTTTTTTTTACAAGTTTTTTTTATGAATTTAAAATGACGATGCAACGCTGATTTTTGCTTGCTGTTCTTATAAACGAGGCTCAAGTAAAATGAACACCAATTTACAAAAAAAAATTAAGTGCATGATTTTAGGAGAGAAACCTGTTAGGCCGCTTTATAAATAACTCAAAGTGAAATTCCGTGTCCGCGCCAAACCAAAAGTATGAAAATTTCCACCACGTCGCGCTTTGCCCATCGGTCTGCGAATTGATCATTTTTATTCCTCTGTTGGAATGACGAAATTTGTTTTCCGCGTCGTCGACAACAAACGAATAGGAAAAAACTGATGCAGTTTGAGTTACGTCACAGAAGGCGGAAATTAGCGCCGAAGAATAGGCAACCGGCGCAGCATCCACGCCGACGGAGATGCCGCCCACTAGCTATTTTCCACTTCTTACTTACCAAACTTTCAACGCAAATATCATATTTTAATTATATTATTTAATTAATTTTAGGTTGAGTAATATTAATATAGTTTTTAACTTTTTATTGTTTAAATTTATTTCATTTTTCTCAATAATGTTTCCCTTTAATGATCATTTTGTCTCAGAATTGTTTTAAATAATAAAGCCTTTAGGTGAATTAGTTTTTTTTATCATCAAGTGGCTACCATTTTTGTCATATTACTTCAAAGGCCAATTTGGCAACTCTGAATAAAAATGGTTTGATTTCATTTTGTAAAAGAATTTATTCGCGATTGAAAGTTTCAAAGATTGAAAAAACGGCTGATTTATTTCTGAAACCAGACAAAGCGAAATATGTAAAATTATAAAGTTTCTTGTTTTCAATGTGTTATAATTATATAGAAACGTTGTGGAGAGGCGCAGGTCGTCTCCTCGTCTGGCCGATTAGATTTCAAACTCGATATACTTGGGAACGTGACTCATTTACTTGCAGCATATAAATCGAGTCAGTCGAGCGAGGGGGCTTGTAATCCTCGCTTGATAGCTTGCATGCTAATTACGAGTTGCACGTTTGCCGACGACAATATCATAGAAAGCAGCCAGTCAATATTTAAACACCAGCTGTGCACTTTGTCGCAATTTTATCGTCGCAGCAAATAAAGAAACACCTCGGTAGCTTTGATAAAGACAACTCGGCGGTGAATTTCAGTTTAATTTAATTTTATTTATAAATTTCCTGTTATTTTATATACCTTGAAGCATTTGATGAAAAATGCTTTATTTCTTTCTAAAATTTATAAGAATCCGTACTAAATTTAATGAAGAATAAATTCTTCTGAATGATGTGAAATTATTATTTAAATTTGTATCTAAATCTTTTCAAAAATCTCACTGCTCTATATAAATGGCTCAGAATTGTTTAGCTAAGGACTTTATTTAGATAATCCTCTTTTTGAGGGTTAAAAATTGGAAATAAATTTAAATAAACATATAGGAAAATTGCTTTTGAATTACTGTTTTGGACAAAATGAAAAACAAAGATGATTTGGAAAATATTTTTGTTTATTTTCAGTCCTAAAACAATAATCTAAAATTTCAACACGCAAATATATGAATGAACTTGGTAATTTTCTAAACTTGTTAGACCCTTTGAAGAGCTAAACAGATTGTTTGCTCTTTGAATTTCCAAAGAAGACTGCGCAGCTCGGATCGATTGGTTTTGTCGAAGCCAGACTGCTTGTTCTCTTTTTAATCAGCTCGCCGCGCGTCACATGTCATGAGATTCACGCGGGCTCACGTAACGGGGGGTTCAAGGCGGGGGCGGCAAATGCAGCCGCGCACCGTCCGCTCCGAGCTGGGCAAACTGAGGACGCGCCTCGCCAGGTTTCAACACAAGAAATCAAAATTTTTAACTCTAAATTTGTTCTCGTTTTGGCAGGAAAATGAGGCTGGACGCCGAGCAGACGTTGGACGCGGCGCTGAACGTGGAAGTCGTCGACGCCGCCGCCCTCAAGCCCTGGAGCCAGATCGCGCCGCTGCCCCTCGGCCCCCTCATCACCCCTGGGCCGCACAACCCCGCCAGCACCTTCCCCTGCGACCCCAAGCTCAACGCCAAAATCGTTTTGTGGTAAGTAAAAAATTTTAATTTTTTGTATTTTTTCAACTAGAACTTGATTTTAAATCGCAGGGTCGGCGACATTTCGCTGCTGAATGTGGACGCCGTTGTGAATTCGACCAACGAGTCCATGACCGAGCGGAACCCCGTCAGCGACCGGATATACAGCCAGGCTGGCCAGGAGCTGCTCGACGAAATACAAAATGAAATCAAAGGTATCGGATAAAATTTTGAAATAATGAACCAGATTTTTTAGTCAATTTATTTTTATATCATAGATTAATTTCAAGCCAAAACAAACAAGTTTTCTTTTAATTGGTTGTGTTTAATAATCAATCGAGGGATGGGAAAATCACCTTTTTGAACCTATTTGTTCATTAATAAAAAGTAATATAATAATACTTTTTTTTAATTCAAGTTAAGAAAAAGAATCACACAAAATCATATATTTTGAGATTTTTTTCCATTAATCACTTAAAAGCAGCCTAATTGGGATATCAACATAACCTCCCACTTATCCTTTTTCTCGAAATTTAATTAAAATATTAAAAAAACTTTCGAATGTAAATGAGACTTAATTTAATTGCATTCATTTATTCAAAATTTTAAAAGCTAAAAAAAGTTCCAAAAGTTAAAGTATTTGAGGATAATCACATCGTTCCTATGACGTGTTAAATTAAAGTTAAATAATTATTTTTATGTTGACAATAATTTTATTGTAAAAAATCGCCACCAAAATCACTATGCAAGTTGAATTTAAAATAAAAAGTAAAATATATATTTTTGTGTCTAGACTTTTAACAAATCCTAATTTCTAAAATTGCATTTTAATCATTCAATCGCATTCAATTTTTAATAATTACTGGAAAGATAAACTGTTTAAAATGGAATTTGATCCAAGCTTTTGTGATGTGATTCTCTAATTGATGGAAATCATCGACCCGAGTTTAAATCCCATTATGTGTGTCGCATCAATTCATCATGACGCTTGCGGTATTGTGTAGAAAAAAAGGGCCCAGAGGCATAATATAAAAGTAGAGGTGGCTGGAACCTGTTTTGCTTGCTGCGCACTTGGCGTCACGCAGCGCTCGGCTCCGCACCGATTTCCGATTTGCGTGTCCAGTTTGTGCTAAAATTCGACTTTTGCACCTGCAGAGTGCAAGACTGGGGACGTGCAGGTCACCAGCGGACACAACCTGCCCGCCCGCTTCATCATCCACACCGTCGGACCCAAGTACAACGTCAAGTACCAAACAGCTGCCGAAAACTCGCTCCACTCCTGCTACAGGTCAGTCAACTTTCTTAAAAAAAACTTTCCTTTATATAGAAAAAGGTGCGAAATCGCTTTTAAAAATAAAAAAGCTGCTAAAAAAAGTGTTTTATAATAATTAATATAATTTTAATTAATATTTTATAATTAAAAGTTAAATTTTGTTGAAATTCATCCGAGAATATTTAACAAAATATGAGAAAACTGACGTTTAAGGAGCATATTGTTATTTTCCAATAAATTATCAAGACTTCCTGATATTTAATACCAACATTGTTCAATGAGGAGTGAAACTTCTCGTTTCCAAGCAATGCCTTGAATCGACAAACACGCAATGAGAGATGGAACAGGTTTGCCGCAAGTCTTATTACTAAAAATAAATGCCTCTCCGCTTTCAATTGTTCAACCAAAACAAGGCTCCAGTATCTTTCTCGCTGATAACGCAATTTGAATCACCAAGTTCAAGACTGTAAATTACGTCAATTAATGCATGCGCACCTTTCTATGCTTATCGCCGTCACCGGGAATCAATCAATGGCAATTGTTTGGCCAAGATAAGCTTCCCGATTCACTCATTGCTTGTTTTGTGCGGTTGCAGGAACGTTCTGCAGAAGGCCTGCGAGCTCGGCGTCGCCACCCTCGCCATCCCGGCCATCAACTCGGTCAAGAGGAACTACCCCCCGGACCAGGGGGCGCACATCGCCCTCAGTAAGCGCAATCAATTTCTGCCCCCGACACTTGGCTTCTTTGGCTTGCACTCGGGGCGCACACTTGACTTTTGCTGAGCTTTTCATGTATTTGCATCGAGTCACGGTTCAGACACGGTCATGTTTTATCTGCATTGAATCATACTTAGAGATTTTTCACCATCAAACAGAAAGTTATGTAACAACCACTTAATTACTAAATTTAATCAAAATCGTGGTTAGACTAAAGTAAATTTAGGAATTTAATGATGATTAATCATTTAAAAAAATCTAACGTTTCAAATATATTGTGAGCTTGCATATAAAAGGCAACATGAAAAAATTGAATTGACCAAAAAATTTATTGATATAATTTATTGGAAATTCCTCATCAGCAGCTAATCAGGAAAAATTTTTTAAATTTTTTTTTCAGATTAAACAATTTAAAAATTAGATTAGACCGGATTAGACTGTTTGAACTTAAAACAATTACAATTTAGAATAACACAGTTGACAAAGTCACGGTTTAGAAAGATTTTAAATCATTTTATTGAATTTTTCTAAAAATTTGCCTAATAACCTTACCATTTATTTCTGGCCTTTAATTGATTCCTCATGATCTGATCTGTCCAAAGACGTGTCACACTTAATATCTAGAAGCAATTTTCAAGTCAATGATGGATAAACCTTTTGAACCAATCAGATTGCTCAATTTCTTTACCTTTCATAAATTTTATTCCTTTTAAAGATGGTTTTTGCAAACTGGAATGTATTCAGAAAGTTCCTCTTCGCAAGGGTGTGTAATTTTAATCCATCCACGTACTTTATTAGATTCTCAAATTTGTGCTTCCAATGAAACTGATCAACTTCATCTTCATGTGTGAATGACGTGGGTGATTGTTATTTTTTAACGCTGAGGAAAGTCAAATGTTTGCACGCTATCATCTCTTATCTTCTCTGGTCAGTCAGTCCGTGTGTTTTTATTACCAAGAGAGTGCATGTGAGGTAGGGGGAAATTTTAATTGGTAATCTCCCGCAATTGCCTGATCATTTTCTTCTCGGAATAATTATGTAATTTAATTAATCGATTTTGCTGCGCAGGGACGATCCGACGCTTCCTGGACAAGTACAGCCCGAGCTTCGAGCGGATCGTGTTGGCCGTCGAGAACTCGGACGTGGGAATCTACGAGTTGCTGCTGCCGCTGTACTTCCCGCGCACAGAGCAGGAGGAGCTGCACGCGGCGCGTCAACTGCCCAACTGCGTCGGCGGTTCGGACGGTGAGCCTTTGCTGCCCGATCGCCAAATTCGCATCATTGACAACCCGCACCACTTACACGGTACGCTTGCTCTTCGCACCTGCCGCTGCTTTCTCTCTTTAGACTTGCACCCTCTTTATAAATATATATATAACGGCGCAATTTGTTTCCCTCGAATAGAGCAAAACAAAGACTGGTGAAAAAGTGACTTTTTTTCTAATTAAATCTGAATTTATTTCAAATGTATTAAGAAAATTGTGTCATTCTGGTTGAAGAGACTAAAAACTACTTTTTGACAACAGAAAATGAATTTTTAAATTTTTTTAGTTATAAATAATTTAAAAACTTCTTTATTAGAAACTTCAAAAATTTGATTACTTTAAATTACTTTCATATAAAGTCTTTTAAAATATCGATTACTTTCTCAAGTTCAAAAATAAAACTCACAATTTTAAACATTTTTTATAGAATTTAATTATTGAGTGATTTGTTACTTTGATTGAAAACAATTTACCTAGGACCAATTTGAAGTGAAAGTCGTCTTTTTATGTAAATTTTTTTTCACCAGTCTAACAATAAGAGTTACACAATCCTTAGGCCAAGTGAGGTCGCCACGGTTGAATAAGGCGATTTTTGCAAACAAGATCACAAGAGGGCGTCGTTTGATCGCGCTGGTGGCGATTCCGCCCCTTCTCCCCCGGCTCCAGCAGGTTAATTGCATTACCACCCTCAGAATAACACACTCACACATTTGCTTATGCAATTGTTGTCCCCTTTTCCATCCGTCAGTGTCTGCTTTAGATGTGCTTCTGTATGCAAACATGCAAAGTTTATAGTTGCCCCAAAACCTCGCAACATGGAACCCAAAGTTCAGAGTAAGATAATTAGAGAGTTTGACAATTCATTATTTAGTTTATAGAAGATGTGAGTCACAAATTACTAGATTTGACTAGAAATTGTATTATTCATAAAAGCGCCTTGTAAATAGTTTTTCATCTTCTCTCGACAAAGCAGCAGCTGAAATTTGAATTATTTTTTTTTGATTTGGTTGATTTTTATTTTAATTTTTTGGCGACGCAGCAGACGACGAAGGTTTGTCCACCCAGCTCGAGAGCCTGGGTGTGGGGGAGCACGCGTTCAGTCAGATGCAAGGTGACCTCGACCAGCAGCGACTGCTCGGGGACCTTCCAACCTACAACTCTCAATACACCTCTGAAACGTTGATGCGCGAGATGCAGAACAACATCAGGTACTCCGCGTAACATTATTATTTTTGTTTTACATTTTCATTGAACTTTTCGAATCAGTTACGAAAGGCTTTTGCGCCGCGCCAGGACCGAGGATCTGTCCGAGATTTCCGGAATTGGCTGCCTCTACCAGAGCGGCGTCGACAGATTCGGCAGACCTGTCATTGTCTTTGTCGGAAAGTGGTTCAAGTTCAACGAAATCAACCTCGAAAAGGTGCCAAATTTGTTTCCAAAAATTGAATTTTTTTAAAAATAAAACTTTATTTCAATTTGTAATAAACCAAACTTTCCTCATTTATGTATATGATCTTCATCTAAAAAGCAATAATAATTTGGTAAATTTCCAAAATTTGATTGATTTTTGTATTCCAGGCGCTGTTGTATTTGATCTACCTGCTGGACCCCCTGGTCAAGGGTGACTATGTGATTTCGTACTTCCACACGCTCACGTCGAGCAACAACTACCCATCCTTTAATTGGCTTAAAGAAGTCTACAACATTCTTCCATACAAGTGAGTCATGCGATTCTCAATAGAAGCCAAACAAAAAGTGCTCATCTGCAAAATCCTTCCGTTTAACCAAATGTGCGCTTTTTTTCCAGGTACAAGAAAAACCTGAAGGCCTTCTACATTGTTCACCCCACCTTTTGGACTAAAGTGAGTTCATATTTGCAATCAAACTGAAAAAATAATGATTAATTAATTTATTATAAATAAAGATTTTGAAATACAAGTAAATAAACATTGGTTATCTTAATTTAGTATTTTGATATATTTAAGAAAAAAATCATTTTTTTTTTCAATTTTAGAGCAAACAATGAAAAATGAAATTTTGAAATTTTTAACAATTTTTTGCTAATTTTTAACTGCTGTTTAATTTAAATAAATAAAATGAACTTGCTCTTGTTTCAGATGATGACCTGGTGGTTCACAACATTTATGGCCCCTGCCATCAAGCAGAAAGTTTTCAGTCTGCCCGGCGTCGAGTACTTGTACTCTGCAATGACCCCTGACCAGCTTGAAATCCCCGCTTTCATCACCGAGTATGACATGACCGTGCGTACAACTTGACTTGGTTTATTGTTTGAAACTTTAAATTTTTATAAATTCCGTTATTTCAGATCAACGGAATTCGGTATGTGAATGCGAGCGAGAGCGGCTGACCTTTGGCCCTGAGTGCGTACCAGCAGCTGCTGGTGTCGTCCGCATAGTTCCCTTCGACAGGACTCATTTGCGCGCATAGTGAGACAGCTTTAAATTTGGGACCGCGAGGAAAAAATGTTTGTCAGTGTGTTTGCAAGAATCTCCTTTGGTTCCGTGGACTTTCGAGCTGCTCGGATTTTGGTTTCAAATTTTTAGATGTAAAAAAAAAGAAATAACTTGTGCACCCCAAAAAGCAGGCAATGAAGAAAGAAAAACGCTTATATATACGGAAAGGAATGATTGATCAAAAGAGGCCTTAGATTAACAGAAGAAGTTGAGGAGAGGGAAGGATATTTATACAAAATTCCTTGATCATGCATATCATGAAGAAAAAATAATGCTTTCATTACATGAGGAGAAGTTAGTCAATAATAATAACCTTGGTGTGTGAATGTGCTTACTAGGACGTAAAATAATATATATTATGTTATAAGAACCTGCTTAAAAAATTTAGGAACTGATTACGATTTGTACATAGACTCTAGGTTTAGCAAAGTTGATGCATTTTGTTAAAATTATATTAATTATAATATATAAACTCTTCGAACACACCTTCAACAAGTTTCTGTGATTAAAAAAAACTAAACCACTTGGATTTTGCTGTCAACTTATGAATATTGTAAAGCTAAATGTACTAAGCAATAATAACCGCAGTTACGTATAATGAAAAAAAAATAGTGAGTTGCGAATTATCGAGACACCAGAGAAGGTTCAATCAGGTTCAGTGACTGGTTGTGTTCAAATGTGAATCAATGAGAGGCCCGTACTTGTGTCTAGCCAGAACAAAACAAACTTAACCCCCTTGTATAAAAACATAAGTTGTAACTTGACTTAAAAAGGAAATAGTTTACTTTTAGTGAGGATTTGTTGCAATCATAGACTGAAGTTGCAAGTGTTTTTGTTGAAATTGGTGCAGCGGAGGTGGACGCGCCAAACTAAAATCCATTGGTGATATGTAAAGCATCTTGATTTTAATAAAACTTAAATTACAACGTTCGCCGCACTCTTTAATTTTTGAATCGCCCAAGTTGCAAAAGGAGGAATTGTTTGGCAGAGCGAAACGTGGTAATTGTTGCCGAACGCAGCAGGTGTGTGGCCGGGAAGCAATGCAATAATGGATGTGAGCGCGCATCTCCTGCAACTTGGGTGAGTTCACGAACCTCTGTGGTGGTTTGTCTGAAAGCCGAAAGTGAGCGGCATCGCCTCTTTGAAATAAAAGGAGTAGAAAAAATAGTAAACCATGCAAGGTTTGCTGAGGAGAACTTTGAGTGTGTCTAATGGTCGAGCGGAGACTTCAATGGGGGGAATTCGGAATTCTAAAATAAATAATTAGTTTAAAAAGGGAAATTCGTGATATGAAAGTTTGACGAAATAATTAAAATAGATTTATAAATTTATAAATCCTTAATTTCCTAGAATTTAAAATTTCTGTCTATTTTGTAATAAATATTTCCCACAAAATGCTGAAATTAATTTTTGTTTCATTTTCATCTCCATATTCTGCTTTTAAAATGACTTTTCTTGAAATTGTGAATGAAAATTATTTTTCAATATTTTGCTGGTTTATTTTTAAATAATTCAGTAGGAAATTTTGTATTTCAACAATATTTTCTTTCTATTATTTTGCAAAATAAACGTTGGACTAGCTCGTTGAGGAAATTCAAACTATATCAAACACAATAAAGTTTTTTGTCAATTGTGTTTTTGTTGAAAAGGAGAGGATTTGACTGTGAAGAGAATCACATTGAAAGACACCGCATCTTCATTTGATTGCATGGATTACCTGTAAAGACCCTCCATCAATAACAAGCACAGAAGCAAAAAAGTCACTGAATTGAGAGGAAAGTGACAGTCGGGACCTTTCAATTGGTATCAAATTGTCAATTGCTTTCTTTGTTTGAGTGGCAAGTTGACAAAAAGTGCACTGTAAAAAAGGGCAGTGACAGGCACTTGAGACACTGCACATTAGTGTAGGTTTATTTTACAACAAAAGAAATAACCAATAAACATTAAGAGTAATTTGAAAACAGATTGAAGTTTTTATAGCGTTTTTATAAGAAAATTCAATGCATGAAAAAGTGTTAAATAAATTTTCACTTTACGGCCCTGGAACTAATTATCAATACGCTCTATCGTTTCTAATGTGAATTAATTTCTGTTGAAATTTAAGTTTACATTCATATTGCAATTTTATAGTTAGATTGATTGTCTTGGGAGTTTCCTGGTGCAGCGGCGGACAATGGCGAGTGCAGAGATTGATTAGCGGCTCTAATCTCTTCTCTCACTTTTCCGACTTTCTTCGCTGCTTTGTTAATTCCGTTGAAAGCAGCGGCCCAAAACAATTCGCAGCTGGACGTCTTACTTAATTTAACGCGCCTCGCTCGACTTGCTCAACTTCTTTCCACTTGGAACACACAACCAATTATATTCCATCTTAATTTTTAACTATAACGACGAGTCTCATGTTAAAACCGATCTAATTGTAAAAGAGAATTTTGCTGTACATCAACGATGTTTTTTATTTTATCAATAATCTTAAGCAACAAATTTTGGATGTAATTATCAATATTACTTCTGATTTAAAATTTATTAAAATATCTTATACTGGTTTTTACTTTTTTTAAATAATAAATATTAAAAATTTATCTTTATCAAACTTTCTCTAGAATTTGGTTATTAAACAAATCAAAGTTGTATTTTGGAAAAATTTAAATAAGTAAAATCTTCTGTTATTTGATTGCATTTTCTCTATCAATAAAAAACGAAAATGGAAATGCTTAAACGGAATTTGTGCCAAAGGTGTGCACTTGACCTTAGCGTGCAATATGTAGGCTTAGGTAATGGACATGCAGATGCAAACCGCGCAATTACGCAGGTCAGTGAGGTCAGCGTGACCCCGAAGGTCGCGCACTGCAAAAGGAGGATGCATTTTTTTTTTTAAATTTTTTTCTATTCTCGATCGCGGTGCAGCTAGGCAGGTGTGTGCATTTTTGCGCCTACTTATGCGATCGAGAGAGAATGAGAGATGAAATGAGATGCGCGCGGTTGTATTTTTTCTTTTCTCATTCAAGTGCATAGTTTTCCAAAGCAGGTGCTGATTGAGAGAAGCGGCGGAAGCCGATTGACAATTGCGGCCTTGATTGAAACGCGCAAAGAGGCCAATTTCACCCATTGCTGCCGGCCCTCTTCAGCTCTTCCATTGTCACGTTGAAAATATGTGTTGCAGAGAGAGACACACACACGGTTTTCAATGGAATCGTTATTTAGTCCCGCATGCCAGAAGCAAAAAACCTCCCTTTGTTGCAAAATGCATTTGAAATTGAAGACAATTATCGTTTTTTGTACAAATTTAGCTATTTTTGGAAAAATAATTTTTGTTGCGAATTAAAACTGCAAGTTTCTAGAGTTTCTGGACCAAAAGAGTTGATTTATTGAGAATAACTTGAATTCATTGAATAGTAATTTTTCTGTAACTTAAAATACTGTAAAATACTTAATTAAATATATTTTTTAATTCAATCTGTTTTAATTTTTGCATTTTGTTTCCTGTAATTTCTTGCGCTGGAATCTGCAGAATTTGTTTAGTGGAATTTGAATTTTTAGGTTGCAACAAACTTTTGTAAAATAATTTTATTCCGGTTGGGTAGGAAACGATCGATTTCTATATATTTATTTTAAAAATATTTTGCGGTTCTTTTTGGTGCGGTTTGTGCTTTTACAACTGATTGGTCACATAATTGAAAGATTATCGCACACAATTTCTCTGTATTTGTTGTTGAGTAACTTCTTTTATTTTGTAAGAAATTCCAGTGACCGCGAGAGCATCAATCAACCTTTGAAAGCGGAGAAGAAAAGCAGCTATCCTTTGACCTGACTGCAGCCCCATTCCGTCCGATCGGATTTTTCCTCAGGTTGCACCTCATCTAACTCTAAACTGGGTAACCCATAAAGTCATTTCCCTGATATCGCAGAAACAAGAAGAGAGAATTGATGCGAAATGAGAGAAAAGAGCGTTGGCCTGTGGAGGGAGGGGAGGGGAAGACTCTCAGGTCTCGCCGCGGCTGAGGAGGCTCTCAGTTGCGGTGCTGCTGCAAACGACTAAGGTTGTTGATTTCTTCGAGTGTGTCGATGAGTGCGGGCGATGAGCTAGCGCGACCTTTCCGCTCTGAATAGACCAAAGTGGACCGACCGAGAGTTGATTTGTGACACCTAGATGCGCACCTGACACGGTAAGACCCTTCATTAGTTTCCCGATTTTTGTTCGAAATTGATCTTCAGCAGCGAAAATCGATTTGTTATTGAAACAAATTTTGTTTGGACGCGAAATGTGGAGCTCACTTGAAATTTCGGCATTAATTAATGGCACTTTTAAATCAATATATTGCATGAAGATTGAGTTTCTGGTAATTCCCAAATAAAAAATAATTAATTAACTGTCAATTTTCAACGCACGGAACTCCACGTGTTTTTCCAATTTTCCAAACAGACTGAATTTGACTATTTTTTAATAATTTTTTTCATTGAAACCCCCGCAAATTGATTTTTCAACCTCATTTTACTTTTTGTTGTTTTCCATATTTACTTTGTAATACTTTTATTTCTAACAATTTCTTACATCTGAATCAATTCATGAAAGTCTGCTTTAATTTGGTTTGTAAAATCCTTTAATGCGAAGGATTTAATTCATCAGATTTATAAATCTTGCATTATCTTTCTAAATCATGAGGCAATTTAACGAATAAAATTTTCATAAAATTTATTGGAATATTAAATAAAAAACTCAATCTTATTAGCTTATTTTATGGAATTGCATTTTATGAGATTTATTTCATTTGATAAATCAGTCGATTATAATCTTGTTCAATTAATTCAATTGTAATAAATTATTATTCTTGAAGGGTTTTAAATAACAAAAAGCATTATTTCGTGACGAGATTCACTTTCATTTCCGTTTCAGATTTACTAATTAAAACAATCTGATGTTTGTTACGAGGGTCGTGTCGTCACTTTGCTTTTCGTTTTGTGCCGCCGGACAATTATCAATTATCCGCGAAAAAAGTGCACCGTCATGAATTCGGCCACACAATATCTGAAAGTTGGATTTGCAGAATTGGAAGGCAACGATCGCGCGAGAGACACGGAATTGTCAAAGCAAAGCGATTGTTTATTGTTTTGCAAGCAAAGGAAGAAAGAAGGAAAGTCACGCGCGATCTCCGTCCGACAAAGATTAAAGACGAGAAGTATACACGAGTTATATGCGATCGCTTTTTTCGTTGCCAACAAAAGGCAGAAGGTTTTTCTTTTAACTGCGATCGGAAGAAAGAAAGAAGCAAACAACCCCAGCATAAAATCGACCTTGGCGAAATTACGGAAGAAGAACAATATCGGAAAGGGAAAATCGTTTCGGGAAAGTCACAAACAATCATTGAGAAAAACAACTAGTGTTGAAAAGGATGCACTGATTGTTTGACTTCAAAAAATTACACAAGATATATTTGAATTTTTATTCCTTCTAAATTATTTAAAATCATTTTAATTATATGGAAAATTAAGCAGTTTAAATATGCATATTTTTTCGTCCAATTATTTCCCGAACGTGGCTTTTCTATTTTAAATTGATTTATATATTTTAATTTTTAAAATACAAAAGTAGAAAATGAGCAATCATTTGTTATATTCTTTGGAAAATATTTAAAATAGAAATTAAAATTGATCTGTTTTCCGAAGAAAAACTTGGTGATGCATGAGGAGGGTCGAATTGTTTGCACTGTTGGCTCACTTTTTAAATTGGTGCAAGAGCAAGGACGGGCGGACAAGGTCGGCGCGGGTCTTTGTTATTAATTTTGCAGCTGGAAGAACACACGGGGGCTGCAGGAACAAAACATTATTTCTGCGCGACGCGACCATTTGATCATTTTAAAAGCCAGCTGGCGAGAGACGGGGAGAGAGAACTGCAAATTTAATATCTATTGCCTGAGCGAAAACTCTCTTTCATTTCAAAATTGCATTTTTATTGCATTTTCCGTCTCAAAGAACTGCTTGATCTTTTGCTCCTTGTCTCTCTGCGACCTTCAAATCGGTCAAATAATTTTATTAAAGTCTAGCTAAATTGAACAATTGTAGCTTTTTGTTTCTCTAGTTTAGGGTTTGGGCTGTGTTCGTCAAATGTGTGTCAAAATGCAGGGGGGTTTCTGGATCAGATAAAAAATTGTTAAATTTTAAAAGAAATTTATAAATATTCATGAAAATATAAGTACTCAATATTATTGATATGAACCGAATTTTTTTTTTCTTATATTATTGTTCGTTCCGAAGTAAATTCTGACAAAATTTGTTGAGATTTTTGACCGATTCTGAATCAAATTTTGGGACTAAAAACGGATTTTATCGAATTTATCTTCATGTGGAATTTATTTAATTTCTTGCAATTTATTATATTATTTATATTTGGCACAGATTTCATTATAAACTTCATATTCTGATATTTTTTAAGAAAATACTTGTTGATCCATAAAATATTTATAAAAAGTACCTTCATCATTGTATTTTTAGATTTTTTTTTTCATCAAACAATTTCGGTATTCGGGTAAAAAATTTAACTGTCAAAAATACCGTTCCTAGACTTTTGTTCCAAAAAATTAGCCTTTAGAACTTGTTACTTTTTACAAACTTATATTTATCTTTTCTGGATAATACTTATTTCATATAAAAAGTTATTTTCAAAAAATATTTCGGTAGAAGTGAAAATTTTTACACTTTTTTAAGAATTAGGGCTGAAATTATTTTCTTGTAGTGTTATTTTGTGCGGTTTTTTTGCCGAGGTTTATTTTGATTTGATGGCCGCGCATATAGGATGCAACCACGCACAGATCAAGTGCAGTGCAAAGAGTCTATTGACTTCTTCTTCTTCTTCTCTTTTTCAAAATCCGGTTTCTCGTGATGCAAGCGCAGGAAGGAAGGTCTGAGAATGTCTGGTCGCTCTGATAATATTCGCCGCCGACGAGAGAGACGAGCAAATAACACTTTTTTCCCTCTCAAAGCAAACTGGCCGAGCGCGGTTCTTGCCCTTTACGCGTCGCCGCCGCACCGTGAAATCATTGTTCGCGCACACACTGCGCGTTCCTTTTAATTAATTGTTTTTTTATTCCGAGCTCTTTCCCTGACCAGACCTTTTGGCGAGAATTCGTTGGAGAGCAGAGATCGAAAGAGAGTGTAACGGATTCGAGGAATTCCAAGTGGTGATAAATCAGGTGTTAATGGCCTTTTAATTTGCCTGGCCACCTATCAACTTCCAATAAAACGTGGCGTTTTACGATTCCCCAAAGCGTGGAACTATAAGGAGGCAATACCGGTTTCTGCGAAAATCCAGTGAAATATTTGTAGCAAATCAGAGTAGTCGAATTTTTACACAAAATTTTTGTTTGGGTAATTTTTTCTGTTTAAAACGGACTGAAATTGAGTTTTTGGCGAATCTTCACACTTTTTTTAAGAAACATCAATTATAAATCAACTATCTTTTAATAGAAAATGACTTTGCGTTGATTATTTATGAAAATTATACAAATTTACCTATTCAACGATCTTGTCTGGATGCAACTTTTTTTTACTTTTAAGTATATCAAAATTATTTAATTTTGCTCGAATTTCAAACTTCCATTTAGCTCTTTAGATAAAAATCACTATCGCAAACTAAAAAGTACTGGCTTATTGTTTGAGTTATATGATTAATGTAAAATCCAGTGAATTGCAAAAATTAATAATTGATTTGAGGTACAAGTAAAAGTTAAAAATTTCAATACCTAATTTGTAAAGTATGATGACAGGAAGCGAGGGAAATTATGAAGTGCTTTCTTTGTAGTCTCTCTCTTGGTGTAACGATTCGGAAGGGTAGTTCAGTAGCAGGAAAGATGAGGTCTTTGTCTGAAGGCGCTCGTCATTCGAGATATTGATTGTGCTTTAGCTGGATGGATGCGTCCGGAGGAACAATTGAGAGACAGGTGAAAGCATGAAACGTAATCCGCGATTGAGGCATCAAATGCAAAGGAAGACATGAAAAAGACACGTGCATCTGGCAGCTTCTTGTTATTTCTTCGGATCCGCGCTGCAAAATCTATCATTTGCAGCTCCACTTTGTGCAAAACGAAGACACACATTGATGTTTATAATGTTTCCTCCAAACTCAATTTCTATTTTATCGCTTCTTTGTTAAATTAAAAACCAGGCAAAAATTCAACAATTTTATAGATTTCTAGCTATAATTATTCATCAGGATTCAAATTATAAAAATGTCACCGATAAAAAGTACAAAAATTTTAATTTTATTTCAAATTCAAATCACATCTAAATTTCAAATCCATAAAAATTTTATTATTTTGCATCAGAATTCAAAATCAAATGCTGTTTTTTTCTTTGTTGAAATAAAAAACAATCAAAAAATAGTTTATTAAATTGCCAATTATGTAAATCAACTCAAAATAACTCAAAAACCGATATTAATTTATTTCATTAATTTATAATAAATATTGACACGAGCTTGACCAATCTATCTTTTAATCCTCCCATTACTGGAAAAACCCATGTACCTTTGCCAATTTCGATTTCATCGGTTTGTATTTGAGCCTTTTGTTGAAAAGATTAATATAAGGAGTGTGAATGGCCGTGCTTAGCCAAGTGGTTGCCAGACTTGCAGAAATAATTCATTCTTTCCGAGCGAGAGGAGCTTCCGAGTGCGATAGGCATCTGAATATACCACCTCTGCGCTCAGGTCGGACCGGCCGAAACATATAATCGCAGTTATAACTGTACGGATATATCTCGCTCATTGTTATGCAGCATAATAATAATCTGTGCTGCATTATTTCCGCGGTCGGCGCCCACCACTGATTTCGATTTTAAATTAGGCGCGAAAAATAACAGTATTGCACTCGGGCAATTATTGTGTTCGTTGAATTACTTGCGATGGGAGAAGTGTGTGTAATTAATTGCCCCTTCCCCTCGCGGCACATCCACTAGCAAACTAATTCCGGAGAGCCACTAATCACCTTTCCCACCAACATAAATAGTTTTGTATATCAAAAACTGAATATTTAATAATGAAAAAAATCAGACAATTTTAATAAAATTATACAATTTGCCCAAAATTCAAGAATGATTTTAATGAAAATCAATTAATTTGTACAAATATTTATTTAATTATTTCTTCAATTTCAGGGAAAAATCACTTCATAAG